ACTGTAGTTACTTGAGCAGCAGTTATGACACCTCTGCCCATTATTGCATATCATTACATAATCACCAAAGGCACCTGTGTATCATTCCCCTCAAAACCTGGGACTCTCCTGCACTAAAAGCCAACTCCTATACACAGTGGGAGTAGCCACATAAGTCCTGGGGACTTACTTAAAACTTATTCAGGACAAATTAAATATAATTATTGTAGGGAGAGCTGGACTTATTTTAGGACTTAGCAGAGACAACTTAAGAATAAGGTCTGGGGACTTATCTGGGACTTAGCCTAGTTACAATTAAAATTAGTTCTTTGACTCTTTCTGAATAAATTTAGCATAAGTTCCACAGGACTCTTTGTGGGCTTAGCAGGGATTTATATTTAAATAGCTCCCTACTTTGTCCAGGCAAGCAGGCAGGACTTATTGTGGATATATTCAAAATTAGTTCTTCTGTAGTTTCCCCATAATGTTTAAAGTACTTTCTAAAAATAAGTCCATCTGAACCAGCGGGTTGCTGAGGTAAGCTGCTGAAGGTCAGCCCAGCAATGGCCAATCCACAGCCTGTCATTGCACATTTGATGACCGAGCAATTGCCAATCAATGGCTGCCAGTGGCCAATCAACAGCTGTCAATGGCCAATCAACAGCCACCAATGGCCAATCAACACCCGACAATGGCCATTATAGGACAATGGCTGGGCAGTAACCAATGGCCAAATTTCTCTGGCCACCACCAAATCAGCAAATCAGGCACAGGTCAAGTCACCGGGGAAGATGGCCTCCGGGATGCAAGGAAGGAGCAACCGAAGTTCCCGAGGACACTGCAAGTCAGGAGGCTGGTGGGGGATGTGCTGCTGGTGATGTATGTGCCTTGATTGTGCAGAGTGTGGACATTTGATCCCACGGACTTGGCGCTCTGACTCAGCACTCTATTGCAATGATGTGTCTGGGTCATTATAGGGGAAGAAGATTTCTGCTGTTCCCATCTTGTTCCCATCTTTTCTATTTCATTTTTTTTGGGTTCATTGGTGAGTTTGGATGTGTAGGTACTAGGGGCGTATACTAATGTATTGTCCTCATACGGGAAGGTTCAGGTGGTGGCACTCAAATTCATGCTTGCCCATTGCAACATATAAAGATTCAGCACTCACTGGTGTACCGCGCATGCAGTTGCACATATTTGTTGTGAGTTTCTATCTCTCTCCTTCCCCTCCTTCCTCATGCTACAGGCACACACAGAGACTTGTACTCCTCTGTGTTACAATTCTACCCTTCTACCTTTGCTGGCTTCTCTGGTCCCTCCGGTATCTGCCTCATGCAGTGTTTCTGACGGTGTAGCAACCTGGGATAGAGAAGGTTGTCCGCTGGAAGGACAGCAGGTGGAGCACGCTAGTTCATGATCACACACACTTGAGCATCTGGGGTGGATACAACTGCAGGTGGGCAGCTCAGGAGGTCGGGCATTCTACATTGAATTAGAGCTTGGTGTTTTCCCCACGAGACAAAGCTGATATGTGATTGGCTGGGGACGAGACAAAACGAACATCTGATTGGCTGATTCCGCCGCATCTCGGCTATTCCGAGCTGTTGCCTCTTTTGCACTTTTTTCTCACACCTTGCTGCTGCGTCTTGCGCTTCAGATTCAGTGCTTCATCTTCCTCAATAATCTGTAGCAATCTGATTGTAGCAAGTGTAGGGTGAGCGGCCAGGGTCAGGTATAATTTTTGGGTAAGTGTGTTCAGTCCGGGCGGTACATGTACAAAATTTAGCAGTCCACGGATGTTCTGAAGCACATAGGGAATATAAATTCAATTAAATAAAATATACTAAGGCCTTGGGGTTTGGGTAACTTGGGGTGTGTACGGGTGAATGGAGAGATGTACGGGTGATCTGGGAGCTGTACGGTCAAGCTGATAGATGCATGAGTGAGCCGATAATTGTACAGGTGAGGTGAGAGATGCATGGGTGGGTGAATAAATCATGAAGTGCTTGCATGCAAAATGATTTAACTGGGCATTATAAATCATCTCACTGAAAGTTTACTCGACAGCTGAGTATAATAGCACAATTATGTTTACAGAAGCACTTTTTGTCCTGTGGCTGTCCACGGGTCACACACCTAGTAGTTATATATATCAAGTATGCTACCTATAAAACTACATGAATATCATCACATTTGCATTCAATTTTGCTCACTTTTTTGTGTGATAATCACTACAGTTTGACATTAAAACTATTGACTTCATGTTCAAGCCCACCCCGTTGCCTCAAAAGTCATGTTCCTTTGACTATTAGAAAGTACATTTAATCATCCAAAAAATTAGCTGTTGGATCTTGGCAAAGTCAATTACTCTCATGAATTATCTACATTATTACAATACTCTAAAGACATGAATAGTACATGAAAACTACTAATGTACAGGTGTGATTTACATACATAGGTTTCAGGCATTTCTGTCCTCACAGTGGCATACTCTTGGGTCTCATGGATACACTGGTAGGTCCACTGCTAACTGAGAGAGATATTCTAGAAAGACCATGAGAATATATGTTGAGCACATGTATATAACTTTTATACTTACCTTGAAGTACATTATGAAAGAAAAGTTCATTCATTCATAATCCTGCAGCCAACATCATCCTGGAACAGAACTCTGACTCAAAGTATTCAGTGTGCTGCACCCTAGTGCATAAGTATAGCAAATATGGACAGTGTAGTCTGTAGCTATTTTGATTTGTCTGAAGTGCCAGTAGCTTCATCACAATGTTTTTGGTATGATTTTGGTCAAACATAGAGTTGCTGTTCTTTATGGTGAAGTTGGACAGTGTGCGGGTGGTGCATGGGCAGTGCGTGACTACAGAGGAACAGACTCCGATGTGATCCACTCCAACGTGATCCACTCTGACACCGTGATCCACCTACAGAGGAACAGACTGAGTCCGGCGATGCATGGGACTATAGAATTTTGCTGTACCCCCACTCCATGATCTGAACTCCAACACAACCTGCCCACCATCCACTGTGCAAGAATCAAGCTCAAGCAAGAGTTCATAAATTCAATATAAATCCCTTGATAAATTCACCAAATAATAGTTGTAGACAACCAATGTCATATGTCGCAAAGGCAATTACATTCCAAGGTGATTGCAACTGATTGCAATTGAATGGAATTGCCAGCATCCATTGCGACCACTAAATGAATATATGGAAAAGGGCATGATGAGAAAACTTAAGAGTATCAGATGTTTGCAATACTCTCCCCATGTTTAATATGGGCTTGGTGTTATGTTCTTTGCTAGACCTCAACATGATGGACTATAGGCCCATTTCACGTGCACTATATATCATACTTTTCTTACTTGACAGTTCTATAGGGCAAGCTACAATAATAGGAGTAGATTGTGGTTGTGTCGGATTGCATCAGATTGCGTCAGAGATTGAAGGGTACATGGCTTAGAGTCAGAATCTGAAGTGGATCATGGGACATTGTTAGATTGAAAGATGGTCTGGACACCAGATATTAATATTCAGACTTGGCCACAACCACTCCATTTCAGCAGTGGTATAGTGATACTAACATCTAGTGCTGAGACTGACTAGTACTGACTAAGGTATGTCATTTTTGGCCTGCACAGGAAAGGATTTCCCCTGGATTGTGGGCCGTGTCGGAGTTTTTGGCCGGATTGTGGATTGTGGGCTGAGTTTGAAATGGAGTGTGGATTGAGGTTAGATTGAAGTTTGTCATTCTCAATTCAATGGTTTCCTCTGCAGCTGGAGCATGGATTGTGTTGGAGTTCTTATTGGAGCATGAATTGTGGGCTGAGCTTGAAATGGAGTGCAGGGGTTGAGACTTGATCAATATTCTTAACTAAGTAATTTAAATGTTTCCTCAGCAGCTAGATTTTGATGTTGTAGTTTGTGATCATGAATAATATTTTGATTCTGGGATGGGTCAAAGCTAGGCTGAAATATATTCTGTTCTCTACGTGCTAAGTGCTTTCCTCTCACTGCAGGCAAACTGCCATTTTTTGCTGGAGAAAAGGGAGAGAAAAGGTGTGGGGATGAAAACATTTTTTGCTGAGTTTTTACCATGAGAAAGGTCAAAGGAAAGATAGTTATTGCACCTGATACAGCACCTTTTCTGGACAGAAAAAGGATAACTCTGTTCCAAAGTCTGCTAGATTACCAAATTTGCCGGCCATGGCTGGACATTTATCCTTTTTTCACCCCAAAAAGAAGCTCTCTTGGGTACAAAGGTAATCTTTCCTTTGACTTTTCTCACAGTGAGGGCTTGGCGAGAAAGTTTTTCACCTGCACACCTTTTCTCTCCCTTTTCTCCGGCAAAAAATGGCAGTTTGCCCGTGGTGTCTGCAGCCTTCTGCAGCAGTGCAGCTGGATCGTGGATTGCATTGGAGTTTAAACTGCGGGTCGTGGGTGTGATTTGTACTTAGATACTCTGGAGTTTCAGCATGGTGAATTCCTGTGGGTCTGGCATATAGGTAAGTTGGATGAGAGCTTTGGCTTGAGAGGGATCTCTTATATTTATGTCCCACTTATAGGTATATTGTCAAAACTATATTATGCACACTAGCTACTAATTAGGTGTTTGCAGAGGATGTGTGTAGTGCTAATGAAGTCTCTAGCTCTTTGTGCAGAGGGCCAAAGTGTGGGTGAATTGTGGGAGTGGGGGTGCAGCAAAATCCTATTGCATGGTTCTGTCTGCAGAAGAATCACACCAGTCAGAATGATAGAAGGTATTTATAACACCTTAGTAGTGAACAGGCCCTTAGATTCAGTGAGGGTTTTAGCCAATGCTAGTATACACTACTACACCATTGAAAAGATAGACTGGTGGAGAAGCAGGTCTGAACCCGCTCATTTACACAGTCCGGTCACAACTGTGACCGTGACCGTTGTGCGTGAGGTGTGAGGCATGAGGGAGGGCCAAGCCTTCAAAGCTTCATGCTCCAAGTCCTCAGCTACCAAACCTGACCCTGCATTGTATGTTGCCTGCTGCTGCTGCTACCATTGGCCCTCGCAGCAAGACAGAGGAAGTACACATCTGGGTATCACAAGTATATCTCTGGGAGACCACAAATGCAAGAGGAGAGGGGGACGGGAGAGGGAAAGAACAAGGGCGGGGGGAGGAGAACGGGGACATGATGCTAAGGTGTGTCTGCTATCTAGCCATGCTGGCCACACACTTTTGGGGTCCTGACATTGGCTGTGACACCTTATACAGTCCACTAAGTGGGACTGTGTTTTTCTGGCTGCAGCCGGCTGCATTCACGCCTGAATTCCCTCCCTCCCCTGCTGAATTCACTCAAATCAGCTCCCTGCACGGGCTGGACACACTGTCCAAGCTCACTTACAGCCCATTCCCCCTCGCCAAAACGCTGTCCAACTGCCCGTTTTTGCAGCCATGCCCTCAGTAAGCACATTGTTTTTTCTTTCTTTTTTTCTATTTATTCTTTTGTCAACATGTATTCTAACTATCCCCCACATCAGTAAGTTTACACTTTACTTGTCGGTCTTTCGGGCTTGTTAGGGCTTTTTGTCTGGTCCAACAAGTTCACAAAATAAAGTAATCTTATTTTACATTTGTTTAAACTATTTAGTCATAGAATAATAGATTAAACATATATTTACACAACAGGGGCTATGTGCGTGTGAGAAAGGAAAGACAGGAGTAAATGAGGCCGCAAATCAAAAGAAGAATTTTGCGAGATTTGAACACTTGACCTTGCAGAGCATTATATACCAGGAAGCAACACCTTATCCGCTGCACCACAGTGACGTTGTAACAGGTGTTAACACTTGTAAATATAATTAGCTGTTGCCGGACTTAGAGAAATTTTGACTACTGTTCAATTTTGTGTCTAGCGAGTGCTAGCGAGTGGGGTTGAGAGTGAATGTATTTGAACAAAACACTACATGCTAACTATGGAGGTGAACTTAGTGATACTGACCCTGTGATGTGGGTGAGGCCGGGGGGACTACCAAGATGAGATCCAACCACAGCAGTGTCAGGCACTGTGCTAAGACAGACTTGTAAGTGCCGAAACGCCGAGTCAAAGTCACCCAGGCCGCCAACCCGTCTGGGTGTGTGTGTCAAGCCAGAGCAAGTCCAGCCCAACCCCCAGGCAGGCGCAGCCGCGGAAGCGAGGGCTCGCGCACCACCCCAGACCACCGGAAGGCTAGCCTGCTAGCTAGGAAGAGCGATGGTGACAGAAGCGCATTGAGGCGGCAGGGATAAGTGCCACAGGTAACGCGGAAGCGGAGGAGGGGGTTAGAAGCTCTGCGTGCAAGGGAGCGAGGAGATCCAGGGATCACCAATAACGTAAGAAGGTGTTGGACGACCAGTGTCCCATTGTCTTGACTACGTCTGGAGGCAGGCCAGCAAGAAGAAGCTCTGTGGTGCCTCCAATGCAAAATGCGTGACCTGACAAGGAGCTGAAGCCCGACGAGAGCTAGATGGTGTTGCAGTGCAAGAGGAACTTGCACTTTGTGAGGCACTTGAAGCGGCCGCGATCCCCGACGCGGAAGGAGAATAAAGGTACCCCAGGAGGAGGTTCATTACAAGCAAGGTGGTGTTCGAGAGCAGCAATAGGATTGGAAGAGCCAACCTGACAACAGATGTACAGTGCCGGACAAGCAAAGTCAACCAATTTGGTCGACCATTTTTATTACCTCCGATAACCATCGGAATCGATACATATTAACTAAAGGAGGTTCTCATATAAATTTCAAAGAAAACTATCAAGCTATTCCCTCAGAAATTACCATTTACGGATTTTAACCCTCAAAAATTTGATCGCGGCAAAAAGTCGTGGGAAAAACTTCGGAGGTACGTTTTTGAGCTCCTTTCGGTTGTCTGATGATGGCCCTGGTCTCAGTTTTCCTTTAAAAAATCTTAGTAGCGAGTTGTATAGGGTAGAACACGCCGGTCACCCATTTTATTGACCATTTTTATATCTTTTATAAAGTATCTAGAATGTCTTGTAATGCTTGGAGGGCCGTCCCCAGTGAATATCAGGAGAATCTGTCGAGCCAATAGCTCATAAATTAGCTTAACCCCAGTCTTCGCCTTCGAAAAGCTGTACACAGCCCCTATAATCTTGAGAGAGAGGTCAGACCACAGTTTGGGGATTCAAATATTCATACTTCGATTTGACGGTGTGGGTAGAGGAGGTGCCCCTTCATCGATTCATCCTTGCCCTGCCAAGATACTTAGTGTTGCCGCATTTGGCGAACTGGCTGGAACCCAGTCGATGAAAGGACTCATTAACATTATCAGTGTAGATAGCATACCTCGTTGCTGTGTAGAGGTTAAAAACCGCGAAGATTCACACTTCATTAATCAGTATTGTAGCAAGAAAGTGCATTTCGAGAGGTCGGTTTGAGCTGGTTTCTCGAGCCGCGGCAATACTAAAGATACTATGGTAATTCTCTTGCTCAATCAGCATCTTCCTTCATGGATTACGTGACTATAAGACACCCCAATAAGGCAATTACCCCTATAAAGTTGCATTTTTTTCTCTCAAAAAATTGATCGCGGCCAAAAGTCGTGAGAAAAACTTCGGAAGGCATTTTTTAAGCTCCTTTTGCCTTCCCGAACCCATTCACGATGAAAAATTGGCCAAAAGTACTGTCAAAAGTCAGTTACCAAATTTGTCGACGTGAAGGGGAGGAATAGTTTGCGGGAATGGTTGAAGTTCAAGGGGGGAGACAAGTGAGAGACAAGAGCAGTGTGATTAGGAATGAAAGTGTTCTCCCACTGAGAGAGGACTTCACCCAGGCGACACTGGCCATAGAACACTGTTGTGGCAGCAGACAGCACCACAGAATCCAGGGGGGAGAGCAGGTCAAGGAGCAACGCCAGCATCTGCAGCATTTCACAAGTGATTGGTGGATGGAGAGAGCGACGGGAGGAATCTGGTGTCATGTTTTTGACACTGTTGAGAACCAGATTGAGGCGAGGGCTGCCCAACCATCGAACATCGCAATATAGGTGCCATGCTTTGATTGCCAAGATGTGACCACATACGGTAGAGCCTGTCACAACCCCAATGCAAGAGGCTGCAAATGCACATAGCAGGTACTCGGAAGCGGGTAAACGCACCAGGAGAGGGATGCCCTTGGAGTCGCAGAAGGCATGAAAGGTGTGGATGCTAGTGCTGTACCTGTTGTGCGTTGAGGGCGCCCAGGCTTTATCGAGGGCAAGCTGGACACGGGCAAGTGTGGGGGCGGAAACAAGAGGAAGAGCCATGGGGGAGAGGCGGAGATCACACAAGTACAAGTAGAAATTAGATGCATTCCAACAGGCGCATCAGGTAATCAACATTACAAAAGGTCTAAGATAAGCGGGAATGGAAGGGGTGCAGCAAAAACAACGGCACAGACCCAAGAAGCAGCCGCAAGAAGGTGCATCCACAGAGTTGTCAGCAGATGGAACCCACTTGACCAATACCCAGATGTTGTATTCCCGAAAGGTAGCAATGATGTGCTGGAGAACGGTGTTTTGAGTTAGGCTGTGAGAGTGGCCAGCGCATAAAGCGCCAACAACACCTTGATTATTGGAGCGGAAGACAAGGTGGCAATCGCAAAAACCGGCGGTGGCGAGGGCCCGCAGGCCGAGATCAATCACCACCATTTCCGCCCACCCAATGTTGCAGTGGTCGGACTGCCAGCCGGCGGTGAGCGACCATGCGAGCCACTGGCCTTCACAGACAAAACCGATGCTGAAAGAGGTGGAGGCGTCAACATAGATTTTGTGGGGTAGGGAAGGAGGGGGCGTGATGACCTGCAAACCACAGAAGAGCAGCGAGAGCTGAGCGCACCACCACGCAATGTCGGAAAGAGCAGATGGGGAATAGAATGGTGGACAAACACGTTGTTGTGGAAAGCTGCCCGGAGGCAATATAGAGATGGGAGAAGAGCAACCATTGGGAAGTGCGAGTGTGCAGTGTTGAAGGCAGCCAACAACCTGCTCACACTCCCAAAGGGACACTGAGGCGCTGATGATCCAGGAGCTGATGTGAAGGAGATACTTGCTTTTCTTGGCCTCTGGAATGCACACGGTTTTTGCGGGGGAGGTCCCGTTCAAAACCAAGATAGACAAAAATGAAAGCAAAAAGAATATGCTTACTGGACGCCCAGGGCCAACCCAATTCTAATGCAATGGAGAAAATAAGAGATTTGTCGTGCGAGTATGACCAGGGACCAAAAACAGAGAAAAGAACCGGATAGCGCCAGAAGGTGAAGTTGTCCGACCACTTGAGGATGTCGTCAACACCGCGGATGCGGTAGACGATGACAATCACGTTCGCCGGCCAACCAAACAGGCCCATGGAACTGGTACACCCAAAGAAGCCCGTATGGTTGAGGTAGAACAGCGGGACACCATCTGCATCGTTGACGCAAATGCAGACATAAGGCTGATCCTCAGGAGCAATTGGCGAGCAACGGTGAGCAGCCTTGACGTTGTTGACAGAAACCTATGTACCGGGGGGAGCATTAGCGACAAGAAGGTAGCAGTCGGCAAACAAACCCAAGTCACATTTGAAGGCAGAGCTGTCAATCCCACGGAAGGGAAAGCAGGATTATTACAAGGATAAGAGTGTTCTTGAATGAGGCAAAACTTGGAAGAGCCAGGCTTGGGGATGACACCAAGGGGACCAGTGCGAAAAGGGCCGACAAGGGCTTTGAGCTGGGAGCAAGAGAAGGGACCAGAATAGCAGCCCTCGCGGACCTCAGAATTAATGTAAGAGAGAATAAAATCAGGATGGTCCAGGGCTGAGCGATGATTTGGGGGAATGAAAGTGGAAGTGAGAGGAAAAGAAACACTGAGGCATCAGCCATCTCGGAGACTGAACGGAACATCTGCAAACTCCTGGAGGACGCCAGCGTCATCCAGGGTGATAGCCCACTGCTGCCAGAGGAGGGGTGTTATGATGTGGAACAGACCCGACTCAAGCGCAGGCTTGAGCCAAGTGAGCCGCCCCGCATCAAGAGCACTTGTGGAGGAATTTGCAGGGTTGGCGGGCGCACCCCCCGGCACCATTGAAGGCAAAGCAAACTGACTCGTTGGCAGCAGTTGTCCACTTGCCATCGCGGAAGGTGAGGAAGGCGGTGGAGGCGGTACTGCAGGAGCAGTTGCGGCAGCCGACGGCACCGCAGAAGATGCAGCGCTGGTTGGGGGAGGCAGTGGCATGGGCGGGATGTTAGGTCGTGGAGCGCAAAGCTGAGGAAGAGGTTGAGGCAGAGGCGCAAAAGGAGGAGGACAAGGAGGCGGTCGCCGCCTGGGAGGACGTGACCTGGGGCACTGCCAACAAGAGGTTGACACGGTCCATCTGCCAGGCCATGACGAGGCGTGACCAGACGCGCTCCTGCCACATGGAGGGGTTGAAGGCCTCGGAGCCCAATGCAAAGTTGTGCCGGACCTCAATATTGTACTGGAGGAATACGGGCCAACACCCCTCAGTGTAGAGATCAGGGTGTTCGCGGATCTTGTGCCCGTGCTCGGACCAGATGGCAGCCCAGTGGGATGCGTCACCTGGGTCCTGCTCAGGGAAGTGGGCCTGGATGATGCTGACCAGATGCGGGAAGGTGTGCATCCAGTTGCCAATGGAGAGGGCCGACTTACCATTGAGGTCCCAGGAAGCGGGGAGGAGGGTGAGGGCGCCGGAATTGGCAATAGTGGCCGTGTGGTCAGAGGACTGCCCCTGCTTGAGCCCGCAGAGTGCCGCGTTCATCAAGGTGGTGAGGGGAATGTGGGTCACCCAACCTGCCTTGACTGCCTGCACAACCTTGGGAGGGTTGGGCAGGGTGAGGCCACTCATCTGGGCATTGCTCAAAAGGAGCCGACGCGCGCCAGCTGGGAGCGGGGCGGCAGGAGCAAGGGGTGCGGGGGCAAGTGGCAAGGGAGCGGGCAGCAAGGGGACAGCACGCTGCCAGTGGGAGGCCAACGCGGGAGCGCCGGGCATGGTGGTGCGGTATATGCCCGGGAGCGAAGGGCCTGGAGGGCGGAGGTCAGCATGTGCTGGAAGCAGGGGTGCGGGGAATGGAACAAGGAAGGGACAGGAGGAAGGGAGTGGATGTGGAGGTCCACGACAAGAAAAGAGAGAGACTCACCCAGCGGGGGCTGCGGAGCAGGAGGTTGAGCAAACCTGGGCAAGTTGTCCCGACTCTCAACGTGCTCCACCAAATGCTGGCGAGTGTCGGCTGAGAGACTCCAGAAGGCAATCAGGCTCGGCATGAGGTTGAGCACGGGATCAGGCAGCGGGCAGCCGGGTGCCAAGCAGGCAGCAAGGCAGGAAGGGTGAGGGAGCCCTCGCAAAGAATGTGCATGCCCATGATGCCCGAGATAGAAGAGAGTGGCGCCATTGGGGGCGCAGAAGGGCCGTCAAACCAGACTTGAGGCCGCGGCAAAGTGAATGGAGCCAAGGCCGAGGGAGGAGCAAAGGATAAGGCATCCTTGGCAACCTGAGAAGCCTCCGGTGCGGTGGCGTGTTCCTTGCCTTTGGAACACTTCAGGGGGGGAGCCGCAATGGAGTCTGATTCCAAAGGCATGCGGCAGCGAATGGAATTTGCCCCCAGACGGTCCAACCCCCCAAAGCTTGGGGGAGGGGTTGGAGCGTGGATGGGGTAGTCCTCCCCATCATCCTCACCCGGCTCAACAAGATCAGGGAGGTCATCTGAGGGCAAGGAAGCAGAGGCCGTGTTGTCAGCGGCCGCCATGATAGTGTCGTTGTTGAGGTAGTCAGCATCCATGAGTTCCAAGCCCGGGCTCGAGGCCCTGGGCGAGATCAGCTCCACAGCAGAGGAGACCAGGTAGATTCTGCTGGAGAGGACCTGCGGGTGGTACGAGGACCTGTCCCCACCAAGCGCGAGGGCGCTGGAGCAGAGGGAATTCAAGGATGCCCTCAGACCTTCACCACCTCGGCTGTCATTTGTTGGGATTCAAGTTGCTGGGGCTTGCCGACACAGTATGAGTGCGGTTTGTCCCGGGCAGGAGAGTAGCCCGAAGGGCAATCGCGTAAAGATTAACATAGCATAGTAGACAGAATGTATACCGTGGCTGATGTCCTGTACAGTACGTAGTTTCAAGATGCTTACATAAACACAATTTACAATATCATTTACTTTACTCATGCATGTAATTTTAGAATAGTTTTGCAATGTAATCCATTGATTGTGTATATGTTTACACCTCTAATAAGACTAATAATAATGTGTACAGCACATGTCAGCCACTCTCCATTTTTGAAGAGCTCGCTTGCGTCAGAGGGCAAGTGGGGTGCACACAACAGGGTGCAACGCGTGACACGCCAGACCATGTTTGTTGCAACATGGTCCCACGCGACTTTGGCATGGGCCGCGCGATGTCACGTGCGCCGGACTGTGCAATTCACGAGGGAAGCCATAGGAAATGCAGGTTGCAGGTGATCTGGGACCTTTTGGTGGCGGTGTTGGCATGTGTCAGCACTACTAAGCTTATGTGACGGCGGAGCGCCTCGTGTTAGCTGTCAGTTAATGTTCTTCTTAGATAGTTTTGCACGTCTCTCCATGCACTGTATTGTAGTCTATCTCCTTATAAACATGTTTATCGAGCTCCCTGTCATCTATAGTTGTCCAGGATTTCATTGCCAGTCTAATCATTGGTCAATCTTGGCTCATGCACCATGACTTTGTCATCCTCCCTGATCTTGGCATGGGTGGCGGTTTGGGACTTTGGATGGCAGGACAGTTTTGAACCTGACCGAGCACAAAATAGCCACTTGTCCACCTTCTGTGGTTACATTGATTTATTTCCGTTTATTTTATTTCATCAGAACACCTTTATGACTGTATGATTGAACAGGGCAGTGTTTGATCATGTTTCAGATGAATAGTCCGAGATCTGCGCATGATATTGAGTGGACATTGATGTCAGCTTTGGACTTTGTTGGTGACAGCTAAAAAAATCACCGCAGCTTGCAAAAAACGGCTCAAATGCTAAATCGAACACTAGCCTCGAGGACAAGAATCCTTAGACTTACATGCTACACTACTGTGCCCATCAGGAAAAGTCGTTTCAGCCGTGTAGATAGCCGCCGAGATGCTGACAGCTGTCAACGTCATCGCCCTATACAGTGTCCGTCTGCGATCGTGCTGACAGTGGACGACAGTCACCCCGGGAGAATGTCGGGCTCACCTGTCAGGCAACGTCGATACCAGCGAATAGAGTTTGCGGCGCGTGTCCACAGCGCATGCAACGGACACCAGTGGTCACCAGTGCACTCTGTAGGCACCACATTCTCCCGGCGTTGAATGGTCACCTGCGCCTGCGCCATTATGCCGCCGTTGTCGCTCGCCACTGCTACCCAAGCAACGAGCAACACATCTGGGCCAAAGATGTGCTACTTACTTGTGTCGGACAGGGGCTGGGTTGAGTAATACCTCAAGCGGGGCGCTGCTAGCGCGTACGCCCACCCCGCTCGTTTTCCTTGTATTTTACGAATTGTACATAATCTTCATACATAGCAGTATCAATGTATCTATTGAGTAAGAAATGCGGGGCAAGCTCCAGTACCCTGCCGCAAAGCCAAGCTGAAGGGACAGCAGTACGGCCAAAACATGGCACAAGATGACATGGATGAATGATACGGGACAGAGGGACGCACTCGGTGTGAGGAGAACCGCGACGGGATGCTCGGGAGAGCTTGAACATGCCGGAGTCGCGGTCGAGGTTGCTGAGTCTGACCTCACGGAACCACTGCACGTACGCGAGTGGCTCTTTGACGTGGCCGAGGTGTTCTGGCAATGAGAATATAACCTGTACCTCAGCAACGCGAAGACCTAGGAGGGCAAACAGTTAGCAAATGAAAGACTAAAAAATGACATAGACACGCACCGTGCAGTCCTCCATGCTTGGCGTGCTGAGCGTGATCCACCTCCACCAATACTGTATCCCACCGGGCTGGTGCTTCACGCTTGCGTGATCCGTTCCACTTGGCTGGTGTTGCTCGAATACAAACATCGAGCTTGCTGACGTTGAGATATGGCTCAGGGGGGAGGTGCACAACGGCTCCGTTGAAGAGATCATATACATCGTATTGGTTTGGATGGAAGCTGGGGCGAAGTGCATTGTTGTTCTCTAAGAACGCGATCAGCGCTTCTGTGAAGCCAACAGCGCCGTGATCCTTGATGATCATCGAGACTGGTATGTTCCTATGGGGCACTCGTATTGCAACGGTGGGCGATCGCACGACAAAACCGGCTGCCGCGCTCGCATCTAGATTTGCACTAGTTGCCTCTTGAAGCAAATCGTCGGAATTGCGGGAGGGGCGAGGGAGAGGCGAGGGAGAAGGGTTTGGGCGAGTATGAATGGAGGGCAACATCAGAGCAGACGAGGGATCAGACTTGACGTCCGCTGGATCAACGTCTTCATCCTCGCTGGCATCAGTCCCAGATGGAGGTAGGCGCCATTCGAGATACTGTGGCCACCAGGCTAGAGCCTCAGAGCGCTGAAGCCAGCGGGCCATCTGGACTATATAATCTTTCTTGTTGGTCGCTCGGTATGCCCGTTTTGCGTAGTCGATGTGTAACCGCTCGGTATTTTCAGAGTTGAGGCCGTCAAGTGAACCGAGCGCCAAAATCATCTCTAAGTAATGAAGCAGTGAGTGCAGCTTCGGGATGTTGAAGTGATCGTGATCATAGTGCTTGAGAAACTCATCCTTGTATTTATGAAAGGTCCGTAAAGCCTCCTCCATCCGCGAGAGTGTGTTGGTGGTGTGTGAGTAGTACTGTGCAAGCGTGATGAAGTCTAGCAGTGCGCGCGTAGGAATTAGCACGTGACGATCAACAGAGCCTGCAACTGCTGCGACAAATACACGCTGCACTTGCTTGTGCTCTCCTCCGGTCCACTGCCGGATTCGCGAAATACCGTCCTTGAATTGGCGTAGACCTGCATAAGGCGGCATGACTTGGAAATGCTCATCAAGATCTGTATCTTCGTCAACAGCAGCAGAGCACCACTTGAGTAGGTGATCCTTGAAGACTCCCTGGTGCAGCTGATGCAGGACGTCCGACGAGATGCAGCGGAAGATATTGGTATAGGGAAGGGATGCCCAGAATGGCGAGAAGATGGGGTGGAGACCATCGGCGATGAATGTGGGGGGGGTATTGGCCTTGTTGCTGCAAGGTAAGGGTCTTGAGCGTCTCGGACTGACTCCGGTTTGCAGATCGTGCTTCTTCTCCACGTCGGTCCACATCCACCAGACACCGCGGGCAGCAATTCTGGGCACAGCATGCGACCAGGCACTGCTCGGGATGATCTGCGATGTACGCGGCGAGGATGGGGAAGACACGTCGAAGAAAGCCATCAGCACACAACATGAAGATGCCTCCTCGTCCGGCTTCCACCAGGGGGCGCAAGATCTCGCCCATACAGAAGTGAAACAGCCGGTATGAAGCCACCGCGCTGTTCTCGAAGCTTTTCAGCTTCGAAACCGGTAAGTAGCCAATAACCACACTTGCATGCTTTGACGGCTGACGTCGTACTCCTTTCGCAATGTTTCCCAAGGTTATGTAGACGGGGTACGCCTGTTTATCGCCTCTGAAGAGTGAGAGCTGTGTCTTGTCTGTTGACAGGATGATGGCGCCAACAGTGCCCTTTCGCTCAATTTTGCTCTGTGAGTGCCGGTCAATTGTTAATCTATCATCCGCATGAGTTTCTCCTCACCTGTGTCTCCCACCACCAGTCCGCGGTCCACATTTCATCGATACGTCGATTCGTCATGTCCATGTCCGTGTACACGTGCTCCGGTGCATATGCCATAGACTCTCGGAAATGCGGGTTGCCAATGAGCTTGCGTACTGCTTGAACTGGATCTCTCATCCACAACTCCAAGCGCTCTGTCTCGTCACCACCATCCCCCACTTGTTCATTGCTACTGTTGAGGTCTTCAGAAACGTCACCATCGCCGTTGACGAGCATGTGTTTGCACGTCCAATCTGGACCAGTAGGTAGCTGATCAATCTTTTTGAGCCAGGTATATGTGCTGCCAAAGCTCGGGCGCGTGCGTTGTTGCGTCTACCGTTGACGTTGAATGTGAGTTAATTGATGATAAGAGCTGACGAAAAACTCACTATCTTCATCTTCAACAGCTTATCTGCTCCGCTTTGCGTGCAGTTATCCCACAGCCATCTAGCAAGCTCCCAGTCATCCTCATCCGCAAACGGGCCATACACGCTCATCTTCTTCGCGTCCTGGACATCACGAATCTGCTCGAATAAAGTGGGTACTTGCTTGTACGCGTATCCGGCATCGGCATCGGTATTCACTTGGTTATAGTCCTGACACCATCGCATCTCCGAGATGACAGGGGTCGGTTCATCGTCGCCATCAGGGACTTCTTCAACATATGCACGCTGTGACTCGCCTGAATTCTCATCGGGTGCTCCCAACTTGCTAACCAGATGCTGACCAAGGTACCCGTCGAGCTCCATATCATCATCACGAGCCTCTCTGACCACTGACTGTCCGTTGAGAGGAGGTACACAGAGGAGGTCTGGCGGGTTACCCGCCGTAATGGCAGCCTCCCATGCAGCCCAGCATGATGGAGTCGACTTGCGGTGCTTACGCAGGTCAGAGTTCTTGGTGAATGAGGACGCACAGGTCCGACAAGAGATTCTGGTCGAGGATTGACGCATTGGTATTTCAGAGGGCAAGTTGTATTGTGTCAAGGATGCACGTCCGTCTTGCTCCGATGAGATGGCGTGAGGGGTACAGCGAATCAGGGTGAGTGTACTTCGTGATTGGGTGCAGTACCTATGCTAATAGTTTATCGTGCTGATCTGATAGCATTGAGTGGCTGCATCAAGGTTTCAACTCCGACAAACCTACGCCCTCTTCTCTCTTACCACCATGTCCTCAGGTCCTCAGGTCACACCACAACACGACACGACACGACGCGACACGGTTCTGTTTGTTGAATAGTGAGTCTTTGTTGATTCTACATAGCCGAGAGTACTTAAACTCGAGGTCAGCCCATGTTTCCTCTGGTATATAGAGGGGAGTGCCCATGTGTTCTCTCTTCAGCAGTTGCCCTCTGATCCCTGCCTTACCAGCTCCTGTCGCCATCATCCCCCCTTATCGACACCATAACCCCTTATCAGTTACCCTCAATGCCCATCTGCTCGCATCCCTCCCACTCGTCTCTCTCCTCTCGTTCCCCCCCTGCTAGCACTCCGGTCAGGTCTATGGGCCGTGATTGTCGCCAATCCGAGAAGGTCCGCGAGAGCAAAAGTAAGACATTTCCTTGTTGTAGTGGACTTTACTTACTACTCATGATGACCATAGAGAACGACTACGAGGCTGCTAAGCAAAAGCACGCCAAAGAAGAGCGTCTTGCAGCTCTACGCGAGGAATGAAAGCGTCGCAAGCAGCAAGCTGAGCAGGCCGCCGAGTATCGCGCTGTCAGACATGGTATGCTCCGCTGTTTTCCCATTATCACCCATACTCACTATCCCACTCTAGATGGTGGTGCCCACGGCACGACTGGCAACAGTAGAGCAGTCAGTACTGTTGCCGGTGGTGTCAGCAACACAGACAGCACTACCAGGTCCATGCTCATCAACACTGCGGTGAGCAATGCCTTTGTCGAGTGTATGCATGAGGACTCATCGTCTTCGTAGTTCACTGCCACGAGGGTTGAGACCATGGCTGGCAATAGCCGCCAGTCCATGGCCCCTCCGCTACTAGTTCCTCATGCTGCCACATCTGTGGTTCCGCCGCCTGCACGCCAAGGTACGGCACATCCTTTGTTTCATTATTAATACTGTTATGTACTAACATTATGTCTAGACTCTCCTGCGCCGTGGGGAAGGTCAGACGTGGACGAGGCCATCAACACAAACCTCAGCCACCACCCGGACGATAACGACGGTGATGACCCCAACAGGGATGGCAACCCAACCGACATGGATACAGACACACTGGACACCAACACCAACACCAACACCAACACTGACATGGACATGGACACCGACGAGGACGATGGCGGCCCCGACAGCGACACAGAGGCACCCGCCCCGAGTCGCCGAACTGGTGATCGTGTCAGACCCAAGCTCGGCAACTACTCGGGGCCGCAGCGCCGAGTCATTGTGACCACGCAGGAGTTTGTTTGTGCACTCGCGTTCACTACGAACGCATTCCCCGACAACTTCCAGTTGGAGTCGTTGCCCGTGCACGCCTTGGCCCGCGTGAACAACGCCCTCAGCCAGTCCTTGGCCATGACTCCGGAAATTCACTGGCTGGTAAGGGTTTCGTCTCCATAGTAGCATGTTGGCTGACGTTGTTGCATCTCAGATCTCCCAGAATGTTGGCCACCTTCGCGGCGAAATCAAGACAAAGGCCCGCCACATCGTCGCGCTCGTATTCAAATTCGAGTCTAGTCCCGGACCCGAGGGAAGGGAGAGAAATCGCGAGCTGGCTTCGCAGCTCAAGGAAGAGACGTCCTGGATCTATCGCGTGAATGCCTTTCTCCTCGTCGCAGTCTTATTCTGATATTTCGAATACCAGGACTGGGTCTCGCGCAGATTTATTTATTCCTCCCCCGCTATTCAGATGCTCATCAATGAGGTTTTCTTCCAAGGCCGTAACGACGACAGCATTCAGCGCGCAGATTTCTACAAGCCGTTTCCCAAGGTTGCATTAGCTCTTATTATGGCAGCGGTGAGTCACTTTTGTCTTAAATCCGACCACGCTCCTGAGTAATCATCGACAGATTGACTGTGCAATCGACGAGTGGCACACCGGCAAGAGGACCACCGTCCACTTCACGGAACCCGCTTACTGCCCCATTTACGAGACTTTCCTCAACGACCTCAATCGTTTCGAGCAGGAGGGCATGCAGTATAATATTATGGAGAAGCTCCAATGCCGAATTTACCGGGATGGACTGTAAGTGTCTGTTCCTCGCATCGGGGTTCCTTATTGACGTTCTGTCAGGGAGTATTCTGGCGTCGAGCAGCAGGCTGTTGCCGCTGTCTCCATGACTAACACAGCGATCTCTTGCGGCGTCGTTGAGCTGAACGATGATTTTGATTGAAACTAGATTAGCTGTCTTGACTGCTACACCTCTACAGTACAACTATAAGTAGTGTATCGATCAAATATATGTTTCTTTCTTTCTTTCAACTGGATTCGGGCGAACCAGAGGGGGGCTCTGTGGTCCTATCACACTCTGTAAACCAATGGCGCCATCTCTGTTATGGAGCTATGCGGCAGCAGTAAGTAACATTGTGCACTGTTACAGCCACCAGTGCAACATGTGTCAATAAAGATGGAGGGTGGCAACCTCCGCAGCACCGGCCACCTGGGCCATATTGACGCATGTTGCCACCAGTAGCCAATCGACATTTTCCTGATGCCATTTATGAAGGACATGATGACATAAATTATAACGAGTGTCATCATGTATATCCTGTCCAACTAATTAGTAATACTATCGATGCCCCCCTGTGAAACAATGTACCCCCTGTGAAACACCTCCGTTTTGTGTTTTTTCCCTTTACCTTGTATATAGCTAATAACCTCCGAAAACTTATTATTCATGTAATCCAATGTCTTCCGTAGCTCCTGAATTTTCTGCATACTTTCTCGAAGCCTGGAAGAGATGCCAGTGGGATGCCGATACCGTGACTCTACCCTCACTGTGGAAATCTGTAACCATAACAGCTATGTCATACTGGTCACGGCGTTTTGATAGTTGAATGACTTCATGCCGATGCGTGCTGCCATGCTACTCCATCACGCTTTTGTCACGACCGAGCCCCTGTCTTCCAAGCTCAAAATCTCAACGCTGCTGAAATGCGGGCAACTAAACATTGATGTGCACAATTTGTACTCTGATTAGTAGATACATGTTTCTAACAGACACCAAGAGCCCAAAGTAAACGAGGCATATTTGACCAGGTGCCTGGGGCGAATGAGTTTTGAGTAATGCAACTTAGAAAGGTTTGTCGAGCTGTACAACACTCAGTTTCTGACCTTCTACTGCTGAGCTTCGACTATGCTATAGACTAGGGCGTGAACAGTGTACAGAAAAATAATCGTGAGCATTGATGGTGGGATGGACGAGATATGTTCGAATAACAGCGATGTTTCACAGGGGGTACATTGTTTCACAGGGGGGGCATCGATAGTATGACGAGAGCCATTGTCTGAGTTGATTCTAGTGTGGCCTGGATGTCACTCAACAAGCCATGAGTATCGCGCCGACACGCCGATACCAAAAGTTCTGGATTCTCCTTCATCCTCAGGAAATGAGACTGCCAGGGGATAGGTGGATCGCGTCGGAGTTTGGAGCGCGGATCGCCGGTGCGGCGAAATCCTACAGCCCGTCTGGTTATTGGCCGAAGTCCGCTGTCTTATCCACTATCTCAGGTGGTCCATTTTTCACGTTTGCAGCGCCACTTCGTCGAACGTTTCTGCTCGTATGCTCTATACTTGAACTCAAGACCATGGGCAAGAGAAAAAGAACAACGGATGAGATCTGTGAGCCGCAAAATGCCTTGTTGCCGCAGGTGCGCCTGGTGGATCTGCTCACAGTAACGAAATACAAGATCTCATTAATCATTCCTGACATGCCTGCAGAAAAAACACTACAGGCAGCGAGCGCACGCAAACCCCTTTTCGGATCACTCGCTGGAATACCCTGCAGCGCCCTCGACTCTGAACTGGGATGTGTACTTTCCGGCGTTTTCTAGCTCAGGAAAGACGCCCGAGTTTGCTGATATAGGCTGTGGCTTCGGTGGTCTACTCATTTCCCTCGCTACGTTGTACCCGGAGACATTGATGCTTGGTAGGTGGTCAAGTTTCTTGAAGTTCACTTAGTATATTGAAACGGTTGTCGATGAGGTATGGAAATACGTGTTCAAGTAACGCAGTACGTTGAAGATCGAATCGCTGCCCTTCGTGCCACATCGTCTGGTGCAAACTATCAGAATGTCTCCGTTGTACGAGCAAACGCTATGAAATTCCTTCCAAATTTTTTCCCAAAGCACTCCCTATCTGCACTATTCTTCCTCTTCCCGGACCCTCATTTTAAACTTCGTAAGCATAAGGCTCGAATCATCTCTCCAACATTACTTGCAGAGTACGCGCATGTCCTTCGTCCCGGAGGAATCGTCTACACCATCACCGATGTACGCGACCTTCACGAATGGATGAAAGCGCATCTGGAGGCTTTCCCCCTATTCGAAAGCGTTGACGAGGAAACCCTACGGCAAGAAGGGCGCGGTCCCATCATTGATGCTGTATACACCAGCACCGAGGAGGGCAAAAAAGTCGAACGAAATGCTGGCGAAAAATGGCTCGCTTGTTTTCGAAGAGTAGAGGCTCGACGGAACGTGGATGCTTAAGACCACAATACTTGTCACTCTTGTAGGTTACATATCAAATCAAGCATTGTCGTTTTTAGGAGGTTCCCTATGTGCGATTAACCCTATCGTATTTACTAGGACCCTTGTCCTGCAGTCGATAGCGTCTTTCATTTCTGTATGAAGAACCTTGCCTGCTTCTGCTGCAAGCTTCAGTAGTTCTTCAAAGCGGTCCACGTGAAGACGAGATTCCATGGTCACAAGGGTGACTCTGTTCGTCTTGGGCATAACCGCGATTGTCACATGAGGGATGTCGTTCTCTTCTAAGGTCGTGAGATCCAGCATGGGGGACACGGAATGTACGCCACCAGTCACCGCACAGACAAAATCGTAGAGAGGGATACCGGCGGTGATGAGGGCGATGGTGGTGGCATTTATGCATGCTTGAAGCAATCCACCGTCTTGCTGAACAACCTGCACGTATACGTTGATCTCTGAACGCGGGTAAAGGTGGGTTTGTATGACAGGGTCAAACGTAGACTTGATGGTAGCGGCAAGCTCGAGGTTGCGTCTAGCACTGATTAGCAAGTCGATGCATACAGATTTCGTTAGCTCACCGATCAGCACGACCTCTCCTCCGCCTCTCTCCAGAGCTAAACGCAGCGACGCTGACTTCGACATTGATATTTGCTCGATCGTGGATAGTTTGTGATCGCATCTTGGCTTCGCGGGGCCCAAAGACGGAGACGAGAACTTGAGTCAGTCCATGGCTGACAGAAGCGGAGCCATCTGCGGTGCCTTGGGAAGAGAAGTCGATGCTAATGTCGCGAAGCTCGTATTGGCGTCGGCCATCAGAGCGATACCCTCCGTCATTCAGTATTTCTACTCGAGAAGCCTGAGTTTTCTCTATCACCCACCGAAAGACTAGAAGGGCAGCAGAGACTAACCATATAGGAGACCAGTCAAATGCTTTCTCGGGAGAAGCTTGGTCTTTCAGCTGACACGCGTGGAAGTTTTTGCAAGTCGATTCTTGAGCTTGGTCTGATAGACGGATGCGTACCTTAAAAATGGAGTACTTGTATCCTGCAGACGCTGGATGGTAATTTGAGTGAAGCCTCTTGCGCGTTCCGGAATCCGGAATCCGGACACCCACGTGAGCTGACTGGACTCTCGTTTCATATCTTATCTTTAATGACATGAGTAAGCTGCTGCAACGGCCGGGTTTCCTCTCCTCCTCTTTGATCTCTCTTCGTTGCACACATATCAGTTGACACGACCACACGACCTTTTCTTCTCTTATAGCAGCCATAGAAGCCATGTCTGACTCTCTCAGTCCAGCCTTTACCCTGCGGTCTCTGTTGGACACCGACTTGTACAAGGTCACACATCTTGATACACCAACAGTTATACCTATTTGTCGCTGACAACTCGACAGTTTACAATGCAGCAGGCTGTCTTGCGTCACTTCCCTGACGTCGAATGCGTGTATCGCTTCACTCACCGCGACCCAGACATTTATTTCCCTCGCCGAACAGCCGATGAATTTAGGAATGCTATCGCTAGTACGCTCTTCCAATTGTCTACCCTCTCAAATCAGCTTATGCCGGGGGCATGAAGGATTCTCCGACGTCTCACTCTCCCAGGAAGAGCTACAGTGGCTCAAGAAGACGTGCGCCTACTTTCATGACGACTATCTAGACTACCTCGCGAAGTACCGTTTCAAGCCCGAACAGGTTACGATAGGCTTTGTGCCCAAAGATCCTGGCAGCGATGAAGGCAAAGTGACCATTGAAGCCAAAGGGCTCTGGGTCGAAACTATCCTTTGGGAAGTTCCCCTCATGGCTTGTCTCAGTGAGCTGTACTTCCGTACCTGCGACACGGACTGGAACTACGACGGACAAGCTGGCAAGTCTCTCTCGCTCCTCCGCGTGAATGGCTCTGTTCAAGTAGCACAGAGCAAGCGTATGAGAAGGGGCGTAGCCTGCTAATGGCTGGTTGCGTGTTCAACGAGTTTGGCACACGTCGAAGGCGATCCTTACAAACACAGGATATCGTCGTCGACTATCTTGTCCGTGCATCTCGTGATTTCGCAGAATCCAGCAGAGGGAGGCTCAATGGTACGAGCAATGTGAGTACAGAATATATCAGTGTGACTTTAGTCCCCATGCATGTCCAAGGTCTATCTTGCACGAAAACATGGCATCAACCCGTCGGGGACCATCGCCCAGTAAGCCCGTACCAGAATTACTGCGTCCTCACATTATAACCTGACCTTATGAAGTGAATGGTTTATGGGGGTAAAGTCTCGTCTTTTGGCTTGCTTGATACGTTATGGACTGGTTTTTGCAGGTAGCGGCGATCAAGGGCTACGAACATGCTAGCTCGTATGCACTGGATCTTTGGGAAGCAGTGTATCCCAAAGACCTTCTCGTCACTCTAACGGACACCTTTTCGACGGAAGTCTTCTATAAGGCATGTAATATAGCACTCTCTGCATAACGATGCAGACCAATACTTGTTCCTTTAGGATTTCATTTTGGACAAAGCCCGTGCACAGCGCTGGAGAGGGCTTCGCCAAGACTCTGGTGATCCGTTTGTTTTTGCCCCACGGGCCAAAGAAATCTACGAAAGCCTTGGCATAGATCACCGCGAAAAGACGATCATCTTTTCTGACGCATTAAACGTCGAGAAAGCTCTGCGCCTAAAGCAACAGTGCGACGAGCTGGGATTTACGTGTACGCACGCTTCAACCCCTACGTTCCTGTCCAATACTGATGGTGAACTATATAGGTGCTTTTGGAGTAGGGACTGACTTCAGCAACGATTTCCGTACTTTGAGCAGCGGCGGCAAGGAGAAGAGCAAAGCGCTCAATATGGTGATCAAATTGGGTGCCGTCGGAGGAAAAGAATGCGTGAAAATCAGTGATGAACTTACCAAGGTACGAAGGTGCATCTGCGCTTCCCATGATATTCTTATACTTTTTGCAGAATACTGGTGACAAGGCGACTGTTGCAGAGGTGAAGAGGATCTACGACATCCGCACGTGAAACAAGGCTATAGATAAAATGATATAGAAGTCATCAAAGGAACTGTACAAGGACGGCCTCCGTCTCTTGAATATCCAGCCCATCACTGACGTTCACGGTCTCCACTGTTTCCTGTCCGCTCACCGAACCATCTGGTGTCTCATAAGACTGCCCTCCCCATGTGAGTCCCGAAGTATCGTTGGCATATCTGTGTAGGAAGGTGTCAATACTGTGTGGAAAACGACATTTTGGCAGCGTACCCGATATTGAGCCGCTTGATGGTCATCTGCGACGACGCCAGGTAACCCCCTGGGATAACCAAGTCAATGTGTGTATTGGAACGATTTGCACCCGGAAGATATGCAACAGTGTTGATGAAGATGGCGCGGGACAGCTGTTGGCCCTCGAAGAATGCATATCCTGAGGTATCGGTCGCGTTTACGTTAAGCTCAATAGCCTGAGTGGTACCGCTCGGGCCAATAGCTTCCGCCGCGATAATGGCAGCATAATAAGGTGGCTGGACATGAGGAGCCAGTGGAGTAATTGGTGAACCATCCAAGATGGAGTAGTTGAGTGTGACGGGTTGAATCTATCGGCAACGAATCAGATCATCAACTGAGGCGAGTGTTCTCGTCTCACTCACGAAATTATACTTGTATCCAATTCCCTCGTGGAAGTGGAGTCTCTTTATGCCAACTTGAGACGCATACAATGAGTAATCCAAAGCCCAAAGCGCAGCGCCTGCGGTATTGCTGACGTCTGAGACATCGATGAGTACCAGGGACCAATACATGAGACGAACGCCGACTCACCTGGCGCGCCATGGCAGGACATACCTAGAGTGTACGTGGTCAATTATTGTCGCGATAATGTAAGCACGACGACATACTGTTCGTCTCGCCGAGGATGTACTCAAGCCCATTCTCAAAAGTGGCGTTGATGTCGGGTGCGAACACGGAGATGTTACCGCGAATGTACTCCTTGGTCATAAGGTCCTGAAGAACAGCGCCGCCGCCAGTGCAGAAGGAACCACTGTACTGGTGCTGAGAGATTCTAGAAAGTGACATTAATTTGAAGGTAAATAACTCTGAGAAAGTGAGACAATGCTCACGTGGTGATCAAAGAACCAGGTTCTGATTCCAGGATACCTAGGTTGTAAATTGCCTGCGGAGAGAAACCCGAGAGATTATTGTGCGCTGAGCCGGCGAAAGCGCCACCAATGAGCTTGGTGTAGGAGGAAGATGAGAGACCAGCGGCCGAAGAAACGTTGGAAGCAAACTCGATCCATCTGACGAGATTGGTGAGCAGGATGATAAATAGAGGCAAGACTGGACGCCTACTGGGGGACATATTCAAATATACTCCAGCTGCTGTTTCTTCCACCATTACTATAGTACAGATCGGATTCGTTTCCAACCTCGATGAGATCGAGCGTGATGTTTTTCTCCGTGACCGCAGACGACTGGAAGGCCTTGACGAGAGCAAGAGTCTCGAGGTATGCAGCGGTCAAGTTTGCTTGCCTGAGGTTGACTCCCCAGTGTACGTGGGTGCCTAGTGAACCATGAGTGGGAGAGAAGCAAGTCTCAAAGATAAGGACTGACCTGCTGGAAGGTGAGAGATGATGTCATAGAAGCCCTGACCGACTGTTATGTTTGTTGCCTCTGGGTAAGGCGTGACTGCGGTGCTGTTAGGAAAAATATCTTCTTCGTACTAGCAAAGAATTGGTATGTTCACAACGAATATGTAGTAAAATGGGAACTACCTCCAAATTATAGCTAAAGTCTGTGTGATCCTCCGAGTCTGCGCCGATCCGGATCCAGGGGAGCTGTCCGGTTATATTCTGGATGTTTTCAAGGACGGTATTGAAGAAGTCGTTGGGGGCTTCCGTTCCCGCCCAGTCGACCCATCTGTCCTGTTCGATGGAGAAGGAGACGAGAGCAGGAGAAAGGAGGGCGGCGGTGGGAGGTGCAGTATAGGGGAGCGAGACATTGAGCGCGTAGACTGCAGGTGCAGCGAGAGCCGAATAGAGAGCAAGCTTCATGCTTGGTTGGCGGGGGATGGTCGGCGAGACGAGCAGGGCCTTTTATATGCTGCATGAAGGATTGAAGCAGGTGACATTGTGTTGAGTGAATCGGCCATGGGATGAGCTGATAATAGTTGTATGCATTGTGTTCAGTGAATAGGTTTTCTCAAGAACGCCAGTCACGAGAGCGCGTCTTCCACTCCGTCCTCCTTCCCGTTTTAGACTCTCTCCCACCACTCGTCCCTCAACATGTCGGATGTCCGTGCCCTCCTCAAGGCAAAACGCCAGGAGACGCGCATATCTCACCCCCTCGCATCCTACTCTGCCTCAGGCCAGCTCAAATGCGCCGTCTGCGGCACATCCGTCAAGCACCCGTCAGCATGGGAGGGCCATCTCGGCAGCAAGGCCCACCGCACGAACGTCATTCGTCTCAAGGAAGAGGAACGCCGTAGAGAAGAAGAGGAAGAGGCTCAGCGGACAGCATCTCTCAAACGCAAGGCAGACGACGATATACCACACGCTCAAGAACTAGACGTACCAGCCAAAAGGTCCAAGTCAGCGTCTGCCCAACCAACCCCGGGCCCTTTCCCCGCCGGCTTCTTCTCCGACCCAAACCAGGCTCCAGCTATTCTTTCTGATGACTCCGACGACGAGGACCAACCACCTGCAAATGCACCACAGTCCCAGCCGCCCCAGGCCCAGTCCGTCTTGGATCAAGAATGGCTCCAGTTTCAGCAGGCCGTCATCAATGCCCCCGACGATCGCGAAACATACCAGCGCGCTACTGTTTTCGCCGACCCAGAAATAAACAAAGACGCCACTCAAGGTTTCCCCGCCGGCCAAGAAGATCAGCCAGAACCTGAACCCGAGCCCGATCCGGAGCAGCAGAGGCGGAAACGAGAGGAGGACGACAGGGAGCTCATCATGGACCGTCTCTTGGACGAAGAACGCGCTCAGGAAGAAGCTGACATGCGCGTCAACGTCATGAAAAGCCGGCTCGAAGCCATGCGCAAGAAGCGCGAGTTGGCAAAAACCAAGACCAAAACAGCTGCTGGTGCCGCTGCATGAAGGTCTGCACATGTTCTAAACATATTACTTAGCATATAACAATTGTATTTACAGTAAATTCCAGAGGTAGACGTCTAGACTTTCGAGTCTTTCAGAGCTCCATCCACTTTCTCCTCTTTGCTGTCGAACCAGCCACCCCAGTTTGCACCCTGTTTATGAACCATCATCAAAGCCAGGATGACGGGCAAATACCAGAGGCTGTGATGCCACAGCGCCCGTGCTTCCTTCTCTGCACCTGTTCGCCAGAACCGCCACGCTGCCTGGACAAGGATCGCATTTGGCACTAGGCTCGTCAGGGCGAACGCCCACGTTGTCAGGCCGGACAAAGGGAACAGTAGAGTGCAGATGGGTATATGCAGTGCGGCGTAACGGAACGAGACGAGGGCATTCTTGGACGGCGATAGCACCGACAGCATCTTGTAGCCCGCTTGTGCGTACGATGCGCGAACAAGATGAGACAGCGAATTAAAGTGAGGGAACTGCCAGCTGTACAGAATCATGAACAAGGCAAGAGGAGCCAAAGGGCTATCCACCAAGGACATGTCGACCGGGACATCGGATAAGAACGGCGGGAGGAAATACGTGATGGATTGGCCTGATGATGGCAAAAGGTTTCCGCCGCACGCCGTCCAGCCCATCAGTGGTGGTATGCCTCCGACGACAGAGCCCACCCAGGTGTTGACGACGTGTTTCCGCTTGAGCCACGTATATGCACCGGCGTATAACGCGATGTTGAGTGCGCCTAGGACGGCAGTAGTCGGGTTCACCATCACCCACAGGAGCGCGGGGCCGGCCACCCCAGTGATGGTGGCGAAGCCGAGCGCGTGCATTGGGCTGATGGCTCTGCGTACGAGGGGCCGCATACGCGTCCTTGCCATCTGGGCATCGTAGGGGACCTCTTGTAGTTGGTTGAGGGCATTCGCAGCCGAGGAACAGAGGGTGGTTCCGACCGCAGTAGACAGAAGGACGGGAAGCGTGGCAGGCAAGGGAGAGAGGGCGACACCGGACATGGCGGTGAGGACGATGAGTGTGGTCAGACGAGCCTTTGACAGCTGCGCGTATATCCCGAGCAACCGCCGAGGAGTGAGGACTTGGACATGCTGGTAGCCACCTGCAAGGCTTCCGTCTGCGGTGCTTGCGATGCGGCGAGTACGAGAAGCAGTTGGTCTTGTGGTGGTGACACTGCCTGGTCGCTCGTTCCACGTCGCATTGTGGAAGAAATAAGATGTGAATTCTCGCTTCGGGAGCGTCGCAGTAGAATATAATCTAGGCAGAGGCAGATGGCTCAGTGGCCGTAGCGCAGAACGGGGACATGCCCTGCTACATGGCAGGAGGATCGAGAGGACCATGTCCTTCCCCTGCCGTCAATATTAATCCACTTTGTTTTGCTTGTAGAAATGAAGCAAGCTTACACTTGAGTCTGGCTGTGTCCGTGCGTTTTTGGCGCGTATGGATGAGGGAGGGACAGGTCGGAGCTTCAATTGCCCTTTGGCTTCGGGCGGTTCGACGCGCTCACCTCAACATGCCCGGCACACATCTCCTCCCCCCTAACCTCCTCAAATTATTCGCTCCTAGGCCCCCTCTTCCCTACAAGAGGCCTGTCGACAGGGACCCGGGTCGTATTAGGCCCAAGCATGTCAGCGGTGTGGCCGAAATACTTTCTAAGCTGAAGGAAGCCTCCGACAACACCCTCATCAATGGCGACGGAGGCGAAGGGATGGAAGAAGGCGAGGAGCCCACGTTTACCCTCGCAGAAGAAACAAAAAGGCAAATGCGGAGGGAAGAGCGCAGGAAGCGCAGAACCGAGGACTTCAAGGTGGCCAAAGAAAACTGTGCATCATTTTCCCCACTCCGCTTTTTCTTGTTTTTACAAGAGCTGGACTAACAACCATTTCAGACAAACCTGCGGATGACGCAGAGGCTATTGGGGACCCGTACAAGACATTGTTCATCTCTCGGCTGGTATGGTTTCTACGACTTACTCCACTCGTGTCCTCACTTTTTCTGCACAGCATAAGGCGGCTACGGAAAGTGATCTTCGCCGCGAGTTTGAGAGCTATGGAACCATAGAACGCGTCAGAATCGTGCGCAACAAGAATGGCCGAAGCCGTGGTTACGCTTTTATAGTATACGAACGAGAACGTGACATGAAGGGTACGCACACCCACTAGCTTGCCTCCCAATATTTGGCTTGCTAACTCATAATCCATAGCTGCGTACAAAGAGTCCGATGGCATGTACGTCATGGGTAAGAGGATTCTGGTCGACGTCGAACGCGGACGGACCGTGCGAGGCTGGAAGCCCCGCCGTCTGGGCGGCGGCCTTGGCGGTCGACCCAAGCCGGAGGCCCCCGCCGTCGTAGCTCCTCGTGGCCCACCCAGGGGAGGATTTGGAGGCGGACGCGGTGGGTTTGGCGGTGACCGTGGAGGTGACCGTGGAGGATTCAGAGGCGGCCGCGGCGGAGGGTTCAGAGGTGGGTTCGGGGGAGACCGCGGTGGATTTGGGGGAGACCGCGGTGGATTTGGGGGAGACCGCGGTGGGTTTGGGGGAGACCGCGGTGGCGGTGGCGGTGGTGGATTCCGCGGCGGAGGAGGCGGAGGGTTCAGGGGTTCGAGAGATGAGGGATACAGGTACATTTCATCTCTTGATCCGCCAGCAGTTCCAGGGACTAACCTATGATTTGTAGCTCCAGAGGACGTGGTGGCGGAATCGGGTATCAAGGAGGGTTTGGCGACGGGCCTCCGAATGGGTACGGACCTCCCAGTGGTGGGCCTCCTCCTGGCTATGGTGGTCCACCCGGACCAGGCGGGGGCGGGTTTGGGCCTCCGGGCGGCGGGTATGGTGGAGGAGGTGGGTATCGCGGCGACCTCAAGCGCGAAGGCCCTGGCGGTTACGACGAAAGAGACTCGAAGCGACCGCGTTACTAAGATATTTCTGAGTGGACGGGCGATGTTCTGTTTGGAGTTGCCTCAAGTTTCTTGCTCTCGCTCCATGGTAGGTGGGGCGTGTAAGTACTGCATCTTGTTGTCTCTTTGTTCTATTCCTTTATCTTTTATTTTCAAGCGACTTGCGTAAGTATATCTATGTTTTACCCAAGTCGGAGTCGATATTTGGGGAGTAATAAGAAGGCAAGTATGTATACGATTGTACATGAAGTAGAATGGAGGAGTGGGGATGGCACGGTAGGTAAGGGTGGGCGCGGCTGGACGGGACTGCGATCGGCTCGGAGTTGCCTTGATATAAAAATGATTTTCATTCGGGGCAGTCGGGCATGCGCGGCAAGGTGCGGCATGGACGAGAGGAGATATAGGCGTGTGGGGGTCCCTCGAACGAGAACATATTATTGTTTGCTAGTATGGTGTTATATGTAAGACTGCAGGACTCTGAGTGTAGGGCAAGAAAGCTGGCATAGCAGCTAACGGTGTGCCCCGGTAGCCACTGGCAGGCAGCAGATAGGGACGAGACAAGTCCGAATTGAACGCAACTATAAAGTGCACCCGTAAAAACAAGAAAGCTAGAAGCTTGTAAATCGGTAAATCGAGAGCGCTTCTGGTCCGGTTTATCGGAGGGCCACGTGCCGTCTCAAGTGAGCGCCGGGAAACGCCCTGGATTTGCCCTGGAACGCCCAAGGATCGACAAGAGCATCATCTGAGGGCTGCGTATCTGACCCATCTTATCCAATTCGACCAATCTCCTTCAGGGCAACACGCGCTATTGTCACAAGAAAGAAAGAAAGAACAAACAAGGTCAGCCGCTAGACAGTGGGTCCTCACATTCAATCCACTTTGTGCGTCGAGGTCAGACCCTGATCTCGGCACAGCATAATGCGGTAACATGTGGCAACGGATGGCACCTTCGGAGCTGACGGCCTATCTGACGACATCCATCCATTGTCAACTCCAAACTGGCCACTGATCTGGCAGGAACTTCGCGCCTCTTCGCGCTAAAAACTATGTTAAGCTTCTGAGCGTTCTTCGATGCCATCGGACAATGTAGCCGGTGTCCTGATTGTTGGCTTTTGTCTATCTTGTCCGACCCTCGGTGACGTTCCTAACCGCCGAAAAACCAATCAGTACTACTAGTACCTCGCACTTGCAACTGCCTACACCGTCTCAGTCGAGAGAGATCTCATCTGTCAGACCAGGTCAAACTGCATGACAGTCGTTCGGTCTCACTGCTCGGCCACTTGTGATCAGCAAGCCTTTCAACGGCACCGTACCCTCGTTTGGGCCGAGCGCGCGCTTAGCTCACCAGGTGAGCAGTTTGGAGGTAGAAAAAAATCCTACTTCCTTCTCCAGCCCCATTCCGTAAAGACCAGTAAAGATGACGGTTTTCGGGTGTGGGGATGTGCTCGAGATCTCCATCCGCTACCCATAGCTCGGGGAGGCTGACCAACGGGACGCGGCTGGAGAGTCTCCAAGAGATCCGTTTCCTTGCCATCATTGTGTTCGAATGATCACTTTCTGTGTTCCTGGATCAAGTCATCACGCCTTCGCGTCTCCAGTGAGGTTAACCCGATCCGGATCCGTAGCTGCTTGCCCCAACTGCCCGACACGTCCAGTGATCGACTTGCCCTGCCTCTTCCCCTCCTTCCTCTTCTGTCGCTGATCGCTGCACGCTTCGCATCTTCTCTTCTCCCGCCTTGTCCCTGTCTTATGCATTAACCTTCTGCGCCCCGACTTTTTCTTCGACACCCAGTCTCTTTTTCCTCCACAAACACTCGTCTACTTACTCTCTCTCCCTATCGTCTTTCTTTGTCTCCTGCTCGCCGACCGAATGGCACAAGAGGTCCATCTCAATCACCGGCTTCATGCCAGACAACTCCCTCCGCAACTCGACGTGGCTGCCTTCCAGCGCACAGAGTCTGCCTCGCCTAGCTCGTCCACCCATTCTCCTCTCACTCCTGCCATCGTGCGTCCCAGCTCCGCCTCTGCCACCTCAGAAACAGGCCCTTTCCACGCGTCCAGGGAGCCCGCCACTGGTCCTCAGCGCTCCAAGTCAACCAGCTCGACATCAAAGGGTGACCGGGAGAAGCGGAAGCGGTCCCGAGTCACACCCGAGCAGCTTGTCCACCTTGAAAGGTTCTTTGCCGTTGACCGCAGCCCCACCGCTGCTCGTCGGAAAGAAATCAGCGACATGCTTGGTATGCAGGAGAGGCAGACCCAAATATGGTTCCAGAATCGGTGCGCTTTATTTTTCTTATTTAGTATCCAGCCAGGTGAACACCGACATCCGTCCCAGACGTGCCAAAGCAAAACTACAGGATGGCAAGAAGGGGCGAGGAACGAGCACCGAGACTCCTCCGGATACACCTCCAGAATTGTCAACTGGCTATGAAGCCGAGCTCCATAACCTTATTCATGAGGACGAACGTAAGGATAGCCAAGCATTCGTCATCCGCATCCGCACCCGCTGACCCACCATGCTAGCTGTAACCATCATACCATGCACGGATTTATCCATCGGGACTTGGCGCAGGATAGCGACCACTGTAGGCAAACACGACCTCGTCGCATATCTCTGTGACACGAAGCGCTGCCTAACATGGTTCATACAATCTGCTGGGTATGGGTTCAAGATGGAGATACCCTTTGACATCATCGCCGACACAGAGTTCACCAATGCCGCGCCCGGGTCCGGCCTCGCTACGTTCCTTCTTTCACAGCCACCGAACTTCTATCTGGAAAGTCTCTCGCCTTCTGGTCAAGGGCCGATCCGTCACTGGAAGAAATGCGCTGATTGGACGGAGGGTCAACAAGCGACCCAAGTCCTCCGCCATGATTTGATTGGATCAGCAGTGCAGCTCGCACATGTTCTTCGCCACTTGAATGCGTATACTCAAGGATCAGACATTCACTTGCACGCTCCCCATCTCACTTCGTCCATCATGTTCGATCATCAACATTCTACCCCCTCAGTTACACTTTCAGGGCCAGGGTACCACTATCCAAATGATGCGAACGATAGACCGGATCAGAACCGACGCAGATCTTTCCCCGGTCAAGTCATTGATAATCCACATGCTCTTCACGGTCCTGGCATGTCTCAAGCTGGAAATTCCTCAGCCGGTATGCCTCAAACACCTGTATCCGCTCCTTACAATACTACCTCATTCACCCCATACTCGGGCCGACCTCCAGCATTGCACAACCCTACACACGCCCCGTCGCCCATGTTCTCGGACTTCTCTTCGGATGTCCACACTCCGCACAGCTCGCACAGTCATCCGCGCACGCCGCTCGACTATCCTCAGCACGGCTTCCCTTCATCATTGCCTTCTCGACCTTACCACCCCGGTGATTCTCGACCTGGCTATGATGATGGCGTCCACATGCTCTCCCCTTACCCCTCCGAGCCACCGTACTCCGCGGGTCTTTCCCATGTCACTATGCACACGCCCTCTCCGCCCCTGCTGGCGACTCCCTACCCCCACTCACAGTCCTCCACCCAATCTCATGGAGACTCTGTCGACGCAGTGGTTTCGGGCCTACCAGGCTACGAGTCAAAGGACGACATACATCATTGAAATCCCGCACGCATCGTCAACCAGTGCAGCTAACCCTATCCTTCAGTATTCATAATATTCCTGCAACAGATCCCTCATATCGCCCACAGTCGGCTGTTGGTCCGCTAGCTAGGTAATATCCACAACTTTAATACCTAACATCTATACATACCGTTCCAATTTCCCGCCCTAATGACCATTGCTTAGTGTGTACCCATACGTACCCTTCCACAAACATAGTGTCACCATCCTAATTTTCATTTACAGCCCCCTTAAATTATTATTACGATGGTATTATTGCGCCGTGTGGCATGCACATGTAAACCTTACACATAGGCCTACATGTATTCTATAAGTATTATCTTCCAAACATAGGTCTGTGCGCGTTAAGGGGCTACTGTAATTCTCAGCCCGGTGCTTTGAACATGACCTATGAAAATGAAGAACTAGTGGTAGATGCTGGTAGTTGCCCAAGGACTATGCACTCGCGTCGCGTTCCCTGGCCAGACGCGTCTGGTACGACCTGCTGACTATGCTGACTGGTAATATTAATTGGGTTTGCATCAGCTCCAGTCGGCCAGACTGAACTGCACGAACTCACAGGCTTCCATGTAACGGTCCATACAGCGCGCAAGGCATGTCTTTTAACACACTGTAGTGAGCACGTGCCGTGAATGAACAATAGAGCGGAATACCTCTTCTGAACCCGACAACGACGTTCCTGGCTTCGTGATGCATTTAGCGTAGCATTTCTCATTGGTTTTCTACGAAGCGGTGGTGAGAGTTATTCACGTCCAACAACGGAGAACACCAACATTGAGGAGCTCCTGAGCATTTGACAATGCTATTTCATTGCGTATAGTGTTCATGAATGCCTCCTTCCTCGAAGCCATGTCTACCGCGTCGAACTCATGAGAAGTTGGGAATGGCGAATACGTCGGTGTCACACACACCTTCGGGAGCAGCGGACGTTTTGGACTTGAAGAAATCAGCCATATTGTTCCAGAAGCGTGAAGTGCGGAGGTTTGAGAAAGACGGGGAGACGGACAGGTCAATGAGTATTGACAGACTCGCGTATGTGAAACTTTCTCGACTGCCGAGAAATTCGGAACGACGTTCCCGGACGCGTGACGCGTGTCAAGTACGTAAGCAGGCTTATGTCCGGGTCCGAAGGGACAAGTCAGAGATCGTCCAAATTCTTAGGAACTTAAAGTTAATCAAGGCCAGCAACCACTGAACATTTCATTTTGTCTAGATGGGTGCTCAGGAGTCTAGAGCGCCAAATGGGCAAGATGCTCAGCAAGATCAGGGAGTATCAGATTACTATGAGCTTCTTGGCGTCGAGGAGTCTGCTACTGATGACGAGATCAAGGTGAGCATCTACCGAATCGCTTGACTTCCTCTCATGTCCATATTCCTCGGCGGTAGCGTGCATTTCGAAAACTCGCCCTTGTGCATCATCCAGACAAGAATCAGAACGATGTAGAAGGTGCGACGAAACGATTCGCCGCGATCCAACAGGCGTACGAAGTATGTCTTGCTTCACCCATTATGCTGATTTTGTTGGTGCTCATATTTTTCGCGCAAGGTCCTTAGTGATGAACAGGTTAGCTTCATGCTCAAGTTTGAATGGACGTTTAATGATGCTTAACATCAGTAGGAGCGCGCTTGGTACGACTCGCACAAAGCCTCATTGGAACCGGAACCCGACGCAGACGTCATATTTGAAGAGATTCGTCGCGGAGCACCAGCACGGCGAGCGCGAGATCGAGGGCTCACCACTCGACACCTTCAACAATTCATGGACCCTAAGATATGGTCCGGGTTCGACGACGGCGCAGACGTATGTGACCATGTCAAACTGCGTTTATGTCACTGCACACTCATCATTATCTTAGAGCTTTTTCACGCTGTATCGGAACCTGTTTGACCGACTTGGCCAAGAAGAGGCAGCAATCTCAGGCATTGAATACCCCTCGTTTGGATACTCCACTTGGACTTGGGCTGGAGCAAGCAAGGACAGCGAGGATGCCGCTCGATGGTTTTACAGCGCCTGGTCGAACTTCACATCCTCCAAGGAGTTCACATGGATGGAGCAGTGGAACGTCAACGATGCCCCGGATCGGCGAGTGCGAAGGCACGTGTGTCATTTGCAGAGCAGTCCCTCATCTCAAGTTGCAACTCCCACAGGTCGATGGAACAAGACAACAAGAAGGCGCGCGATGACGCCCGAAAAGACTTTAATGAGGCCGTCAAAGTACGTAGCCAGATCGTGATTCAAGGGGGTAAAGGTCTCACTTGTCAATTCATACAGGATTTAGCAGCTTTCCTTCGCAAGAGGGACCCTCGCCACAAGGCACATCAAGTACGACAAAAGCAGTTGAATGAAGCGAAAGCCTCTGGTTCCTCCACTCCCAACAAAGTTCCTAAGGCGTCTCCGAAGCCAATACCAGAATACGTAGAGCAAGAGTGGCAACGGGTCAGTCGCCGCGAGGGAGAAGATGACCTTGAGTGGGCTGCTGGTGAAGGAGAGAATCCCGAGGACTATGAATGCGTAGCATGCAACAAGACGTTCCGGAGTGAGGCAGCTTGGAGCAGTCACGAGAGAAGCAAAAAACATCTGAAGGAGATAGAAAAGTTGAAGCGCATGATGCAGGAGGATAACGACGAGCTTGGGCTGGACCCTGACGCTGGCACCGATGGTTTGGGAGGCAACGACGATAGTCAAATTGGCACAGATGAAGGGTTCGAAACGCCTGTAGGGCGCAAGTCTTCCCTGGACCCAAGCGAGCAACTATACCCACCGGTTGATGACCCATCACCTACTCTCAAGCCGAAAGATAGCACTCGACAAAACGTTGGCTCAGGGCAGAAACCACCTAAGAAGAAGACGAGAAAGGGTCAGAAAACTCCTGTTGAGAATGTAGCCAAGATTGCCGACAAAGACGACGCGCGAGGGTCGGACATAGAGGTTGTGAAAATAACTGAAAACTTCGAAAAAATAGTTGAGGTGGATACGACGCCGCAGCTGTCCAAGAGGGAGAAAAGGAAGCTCAGAGAAGCCAGGAAAGCTGAAGCAGAGTCGAAACCAGAACTTGTGCGTGTTTCTGGGCTTCGCTGCCCTCCAGACACTGACGTCTCTTAGACTTGTAATTTTTGCAAGGGCGGATTTGAAAACAAATCTAAACTGTTCGCGCATCTCAAAGAGACGGGTCATACTACTGCCGTATCGGACGATGCACCAACGGCACGCACCAAGAAGAAGGGAAGGAAGTAAACCATTAATCGACGATAGAATTTCCAGCGTAACGGATACTCGGATTCATAGTTGACTCGTACAAAAAGCAATAAGCACAGACTCAGAGATGATCTCGGCGCCTACGGTTTAGCCCATCAGCTGCGACACATCCTCCGGCGGATACTTGGTTTGTGCGAATGTTAGCAATCTGAGGAACGGGTTAGCCATCTCTCTTATAGCGACGTGACAGATCCTAACCTCTTCAAGCTTTGAATATACTTCCTGCTAACCTCGTCGTTCAAGACATGTGCTACCTGATCCGAGGAAATCTTCTCTCGGGCAGAGCGTTCATGAATACTATAGAGAAATTAGCCCATGAACAAGGATGGGTGCATATCACACGTACCCAACCATAGTCACTCCAATCGGCCAAGGTGCATTGCCAATTGACAACCTGAGATACGCGTCGTTTGCCCTTTGGTACTGACGTTTTTGCATGTGGTGCACAATTTCTGCTATTCGGGCCAACATATCAGGGGGCAAGGCCTAGAAGATGTTTAGAGTTATGTCCACGGAGGGCGCAGAGGAACATACCCTTTGTCGGAGCGTTTTAAATAATGGCTTCAAGTATTCGGCAGATTGCACCTGTGTTGCAGCCGCAAGCTTCCCCTGATGTGTGCGTTTGACATGCTCTGAAGAGTTATGCTGAATCACCGAGTAAAAGTTGAAAATGTAGGCACGCACCTGGCCGTTCGTCCATTGCTTCTTCCCACTCCTTCAGCGTACGCTTGAGCGCGTAGTAGACGAGAGGATAGAGCTTGTCTGGGTCGGTCTTGATAAGGTTGAGGTCGACTAACGCTGAAGAGGTTGCAGTTAAATCATCTTCCTTCTTCTTGCCCTTATCTTTGGTCCTCATTTCCCTTTCAACATTCTCTACGTCCTCCAGTGCTTTCTTAAAGTCATTCTGACCGCCTTGTCGGTCGTGACCCTTCTCCTCGATAAGTTCTAGCGCACGTAGTCGAAGTCTGCGGTCCTTGTCGGATTCTGCGAAGAGCCGTATAGGTTGACTGCGAGCACGGAGTCTGCGAATGGTCTCCTCATTCGAAATGTTGAAAGTGCCTTCTGGCTTTGGCGACTCAGAACCATGTCCGCTCGGAAGAGGAGATTTAGAAAGAGGAACCGAGGTGGACTGTCATAAGCAGGTTAAGTCGGCAGAGAATGTGAGACTGCCAGGTCAAGATAGCGCACCTTTGGCTGAGGCGGGGGTAGTTCTACTGCTTTAGCTGCTTCTTCCTTTACGAGGCGTTCCTTCTCCTCCTGCTCCTTACGTTTCTGTTCCTCCTGAGCACGGTCTAAATCGCCTCTGCGAACATACTTGTTAGGCCGAGCACCTCCATCGGTCTCGATGTTCTTGCGTTTGGCAGCAATTTCAGCTTTGAGGGCATCCATGGTCGACGCGAAGAGAGGGGAAGGTGACGCTTAGTCAGCAGGCGAGCACCAAAATCCGCTTGTGTCCGAATCCATCCTCTTTATCCGCCGTCTGCACTTCCACCATGTCTGAAGATTTGTCCAGGTGCGTAGTCTACGTCCACAAGTAGCGCTCTTCAGCTGACCTTGGTCACAGCAAGTACGTTCTCCAAACCGCTGGCTTTGATGGTGAGCATATTGTATGAATGTTGGGCTGTTGTTGACCTCCCGAGTCAGCCCGGTTCCCCAACACGAACCAGACCCGGCATTGGTGCGTCACAATACAATGAGTTTGGTGCAAGCGTGCTCACAGCTTGGTACGGTTCAGTTTCCAGAACTATACAGATTACTTCAAGTGCATCGCTGCCAAGGGTGAGGACTTCGCCCCCTGCAAGCAGTTCAAGCGCGCCTACAACTCGCTTTGCCCCAGTAAGCTTCTCTTTACGCGTCAGCAACGTCATCCTGACTGGGTTTGTCTTGCAGATGAATGGGTAAGTCGCATATAGCCTGGTGCACTTCAAACAATGAGCTTGTCCATAGATTTCCCGCTTCGACGAGCAGCGCGAGAACGGCACTTTCCCTGCCTCCCTGGAGCCTTGATGTATCATGCTATTTGTTTCGCAGTAAAACCGTAATAGAGCATCAATTCTCATTGTATAGGCCTGTCATGAACGCGTATGCCGAGAATGTTACACCCACTCATACATAGACAGCTGCAGGGAAAATATAAGCGCGAAGGAGCGTGAGGTCACGACGAAGTCACGAGTCTGTCAATAAGCTGCAGCTTGTTTCAGCATCGGTCCGGCGATGCACCGCGTCAGTCCAACTTTCACCAACCTCGCTTTAGCTTCAGTCTTGACGTCGCTGCTCCCGATCTTGCAAGCATGGACTCCATCAACCTGAACGCTTTCGCTGAAAATGCATCTAGACTTGGCCTACGCATACAGGAATCTATCTCAGAGCACACCCGAGACTTGAACATCACTCGCGGTGCTGGAAACATCTTCGATATGGCAGACGACAAAGTCAAGAATATTGGCAAGCAACTTGACTCTAGCAGTGACCGCGAGAAATTAGATGCGATGAAGAGGCTGATCGCCGTGAGTTGCCCCCAGATACTCCCGCTCTTTCATCCCAACCCTCCGCTTGACAAAGTTGATTTCCAAAGGTCGTAATGTATCCAACTATTTTCCACAAGTAGTCAAGAATGTCGCATCTCAGAACCTTGAGATACGGAAGCTCGTTTACATCTATCTTCTACGCTATGCAGAGCAAGAGCCCGATCTTGCACTCTTGTCCATTAACACGTTTCAGAAGGATCTTGCCGACCCCAGTCCACTCATACGTGCCATGGCACTTCGTGTTCTCAGCGGGATCAAGGTCCCGATGATTACTAGCGTTGTAGTCCTTGCAATCAAGAAATGCGCAGCGGATACTAGCCCTTACGTGCGCAAAGCTTCTGCTCTGGCGATCCCAAAATGCTATGAGTGCGTAGCAGGCTAGGGTTTCAAGCAAGTCCTCACTGACCCTCTACAGGTTAGACTCTAGTCAGCAGCCAACGCTCATTACCGTCATCCAAAGCTTGCTCTGTGATAGGTCCCCTCTTTCGATAGGAAGCGCTGTCACTGCCTTTGAAGCCGTATGCCCAACAAGATTGGACCTACTTCACCTGCAGTATCGCAGGCTTTGCCGGATACTCGTGGATGTTGACGAGTGGGGACAAGTTGACCTCTCGAATCTACTCATGCGGTATGCACGAACTATGCTCCCCAAACCCATCGTCTCGCAAGACCAAGACTCCAATGAGGAGGTCGATCCCGATTTGCAACTTTTGCTTTCTTCAGCGGAGCCCCTGTTACAGTCTCGGAATCCTGCTGTGAGCAATAAGCTAGTTCCCATCTCCTTAGTACTTAATATACTGCAGGTCGTCCTAGCAGTGACACGAGTGATTTACTACTGTGGTCCTCCATCGTATGGGGCCAAAATTGTCAAACCTTTGTTACGATTGCTAGGCATGTCGAAAGCAATAGAACGCGTCACCCTGGTTTACATTCACAAGATAGTTCGTTTCTATCCTGTAAGTTTCCTCATAACCCAAATGAGATCATGTCTAATAGCTGCTGGACGTCAGATTCTGTTCAGCTCGCATTACATGCGGTTTTTCTTACGTTCAGAGGACGCTCGTGAAGTTAAGAAAAGCAAAATACAACTACTCATGGGCATAACGACTCTCGATAACTATCAAGCTATACTGCGCGAGCTAATAGTAAGACTCTTATCGTCCACCTTCAGAAAATCCCTTACGTTTTCCAGGATGCTGCTGAAGACGTTGATGATGAAGTAGTCGGATCAGCCATTCACGCCATCGGATTTTGTGTTCAACTGCTTCCCAGCACAACACCACAATGCCTTTCTGCCTTGACTTCGTTGATAAAGACTAAGCATGGTACGCTCTTATTCAAAATGAGTGGATGCCACGAGCTTATCTGGATCAAACAGACATCGTAGTTAGTAAAGCAGTCGTCGTGCTAAAGTCACTGGTGCAAAATCAGCTCTCGTCATCAGCTACGAATACCGAAGTGCTTCAGTCTCCTATCTCAATAGTCTCGCAACTCGCAAAGAGAGTCGACGATATACGTCATTTCGAGGCCAAGGCATGTGTTATCTGGCTGGTAGGCCAATACTGTGCCACTCAAGGCGGCAGCGGAGTGGTTGAAGGTGTAGCGGACTGGGCCCCAGACGTGTTACGCAAGTCCGCTAAAACATTCGCCAGCGAGGTCAGCAGGAAAGTGATATTGTCTCAACCTTACCTCACTATCTTGGCAGAATGTTACGGTGAAGCTGCAAGTATTGTCGCTTGCAGCCAAACTCGTGGCGCTTTCTCCTGCACACAAGACTATAGGACAGATCAGCCAATATGTGTTTGATCTCGGAAGATACGATATGAACTACGATGTTCGAGATCGTAGACGTATGCTGGTTGCCCTCCTGTCGGGAATATCAGAATATGTCACGGATGAGGATAGTGACGCTACAAGTCAGGGTGGCATTGTTTTGCGGAGAGAGCAGGTGATACGAGTTCTGATAGATGGCAAGGCAGGCGTGCTCGAGATTGAACGACCAGGTAATGCCATTTGCTTACTATCCTCGCTCTTGCTCATTGGATTTGCAGACGTCGGTCAGCACTTGATCGGATCACTAAGCCTGGTTACCGGAAAGGACATGCAGGGCGACGAAATCCTACCAGAATGGCTTGAGTCAGGAATTGATCCGTCACTACGTCAAGTGGAAGAAGAAACGACCATTAAGGTCGAAGCTCCGCGAGCTATTTCCTCTCATCGTCCTTCAAACTCTGCACCTACGCCTGTCGTTCTCACCGAAGCCTCAGCTCACCCTCAAGAGAAGAAAGACTGGCGAAACTTGGATGACTTTTACGCAGAGAACGAAGAGGAGGGTGGCCAAGAACAGTCGGAAGAAGAGGAGAGTGACGAGGAGGACGAGGAGGAGTCCGGTGACAGCGAGGATGAGGATGAGGAACTTGGCACTGAAGATTCAGAAGAAACTGAGGACGGCGAAAGCGAAGACCACTTAGAGCATGATAGTTCCAATCACGTCAATCATACAGTAGAGTCTATTTAACATGTATGCAAAGCTAACAACGATAACAATTTACAAAAAGGTACACTCATAGCGCAGCGTCGTCGGGTAACTTATAATAAAGAGGCTATAGGAATGTCAAAAAACCTTCAGCAGTCAAAAAAGAGAGCACCTACTGTATGGAAGACATGGTAGTAATGGCCATTCACACCGCCTCCGAATTGATTTCCATAATATTCCATTGGGAACCACTTTCCCAAGCAACATCAACGAAAGAGAGCAAACCGTCAGATAGTACTCACATGGCTTTCAGGCAGACCCTCCTTCCAGGTGCGTCGCATACGCGTCTCCCGTGCATCGTTGACAAGAGAAAACCCATGCTTAGGGACGGCAAATTGTCCAATCTGAACTTCCGTATCTGTTACAATGCCACGAGAGATTCGAGCATATGCCGTTCGATACAGCCCTCGATACAGGATGTATTCACACCTACTTCTATGAGCGACTTCACATGGCGTCATAACAATGCCTTACCATCGGTCCCAGTCTTCGGCGTCGATGTCGTACATGAGGCCGTCTTCGACAAGAATTTCGTACGGATTAGCTGGAAAACTATCGGGAGTGAATTCAATTAAGCTTAAATTTAAGATTTACGTTTCTTCGCATGCGGCTTCGTCACCACATAACCCAGAAAGATGGTAGGTTGCGGATATGCTTCAGCCATGATGCGAGCGAGCTCTTTCGACTGGAGCTCTCTGTCAAGCGGATCTTCCTCTGATTGAAACGATAGTCCATAATGGGTACGGCGTGAGCATGATCGGTCCACATACCTTGTCCATTGTGCGATACGACAACTGTGACATTTGTCCCAAACACGTCAAGAACAGCAGAGATGGCGGGTGCCAACTCGCCAACAGGAGAAGGAAGGAGATGATGATGCGACTCAAGGATCGGAAACTGGTAGAAATTGGCACCGGTAGGTATAGTTATAAACTATTATAGTATACCTTACCTTGGAGAGTAATGCAGCACCCCATGTATGCTTGTTGGGCCCCGGACCAAGGTCGACGTACTGTTTTGACACAAGTAAATGATCAGCAACCACCGATACGCAAATGCTTTACTCACATAGCCAAGCTCTTCAGCAATTACACGAGTCCTAAAGTGACATGAAGTAATCACGTTATTGGAGTATCGCACGGTACCTACAGGTCGCGATTTCCGTAAACTGGACGCTGACCTGAATTGAGCCAGCTCTTCTCGCCCAAAAAGTGTGCGGAGTAGCTTACGTGCAGATCTGACTCCAGAAGTCCCATGACATCCACTTTCATATCTCTATTGTCTTTGAGCATATAAATCAGCCAGTCACAATGTCCCATACCCTATGATGTCGCGTATGAGCCGCTGACTATCATGGCCATGGTTGTCGATGCCAAAATGAACCGTCCAGATACCGGCGTTGAACAAACGGTCACCTTTCCTGTAAGGTTGAGGGCCCATGACAGGCATTCGATACAACGTTACAAGGACAGATGACAAGCTAAGCACAGCTACAAGTGCAACGCTGCATGTCCGAGTCAGCGACGTCAGGGTGTCCGAGTCGGTATTGATAAACTTCGGCGTAGGTGTCCGCCATTGGAAGGAAAGCGAAAGAGCCGCAAACTGAGCTACCAGCACACTTCAGGAAGATCAGTTTACGGCCGCGAACAAAGGTCCATTCGCACTTACAAGTCAGTGCGTTCTCGCAGTAACGAGCCACCGAACGGAACAAAGGCGTAAGCCACAGTCCACACATTGGCCAGATACAACAGCATTGCTGTGAAGAACGCCGTGAAGAATGCTTTGCCAGCGTGAGCCGTTCCTGAGAGTTGCAGCACAAGAGAGGGAGTAATGGACATCAGAAATACAGTCATCAGCAGTCCGCCTAGGAACCCTAGCCAGTCGCTATGGCTGTACAGAACGTAGGCCCCACAACTACCAATCATAAACCAGACTTGAGATGCAAGGGGGTTCATGCCAGCTCTCTCGGCCAGAATAGCGAGCAAAATTCCGAAACTTTGAGCAATGATGGTGAGAAATCCATGCACATGAGGAAGCGGACCATTGGGCTGGCCATTACTGTACCCTGTCCAAGTCCAGGAGATTATGGTTCCTGGCTCAGAGAGGAGGTAATGAAGACTGAAAATTAGACTGCCGAGAGCGACAGACGATGACAACCAGGGAGTGTCAGGAGCACTGTTCTTTTCCTTCTTTTCCACTGGCGGGCCAGATGCTGCCGTCTCTTCAGGATCGTTCCCTACGTCTGGACGAAGGGTCTGCTCGACCAGAGCAATGATTGCAAGCGCCAGTCCGATCTTATTATAGCCTCCGGAATTGTGCGTTACCATTGGCCATACTACAAAGATATCACTAAGAAAATGCCGAACCAAGACTGCAATCAACTCACCAGGATTATTCGAGTGGTTAGCATGCTTGGACAGAGCGGAAAGAGCGAACCCCAATGCCGCAACTACGCAGGAGAGTAAACAACTTGGTCTAACTCGGTACCTTTCAACTCACTTATTCCATGATACCTGTCTCCCAGCGACCACTGTGCGCTCCGATGAAATACAGCTATAATGTTAGCAAATGCGACGGCCATCAAGCGATGCGATGGACGTGGCAATGCATATGCGACGATCCCAGCTAAAGATAGTCCCTGCAATGTGACGGAGCCTGCACGTGTCAATGCCCACTTGCGAAGAAAAGATATTCCGAGGAGTGCTGGAGACAATATAGACAGGAGGGCAAGTTCATGACCCGATACACCAAGCTGCCAGACCGAAAAGAAAAAGAGTGTCGGTAGCAAGGACGTGAACAGCGACCAGAAGATATAGGCTGAGTGAATCTGTCATTAACAAGCAGAACTTGAAGGATGTGATAGACTTACAAAGGTACACATCACATAGAAAGCTTACTGGTTCTCTCGTATGCGATTTAAGTAAAAGGGCACAGGTCTCGTGCAATGACTCAAGTCTCCCGGCCTTTGAGTAGGGGACAGAACCATCGCTCTGAGGCGCATCGGTAGTTAAGATGTCGGGAGGATCGTTTGCATCTTTGGACTGAGTATTTGGTGAGTGTTTCACAGTATCTTCGGACCGGTTCAATCTGTTTATTGACATCAATACAAAGCTCAGGCAAGGTGATCAAGCCGACTAAACGTATTGGTGCGAACATCCTTCACATCAAGTGACGGGCCGATGGCAACCTAAGATTACGGGATGCACATGAGTGGAATATGCCGGAAAAAGACAAGGGCCTGGCTTACTCGTAGGTTACTCTCTGACAGGTCTGTTCCGATGATCGAATCGTATGCGACGTCCAAAAGAATCAGGGCCCACTCAAAGAAGCTATACCGTGTGTATGCTATGGATGCGGCAGCATCGAGATGAACATCGAAGTGAGGGGGGGTTGCTTACATGCTCACCTCCTGGTATCCCATAGACCTTATGCTGAACAAAAAAGTACACCATGGGTATTATAGAAGCGAAGAACCTGCCTAGCCTAAGAAGCAGTCTGACCAGGCTTTAAGCATTACGCACAATGTGGATATAACACGGCTGGGCGATAATGTGAGCTTTGTGCTAAGCTGTCGAGAAAATGAAGCTCTAACCGTCTCCTTCTAGCCCGAAGACTTTGAAGAGGTGTAGTCGCAATTCCCCCAAACATCCATGGTACATTACACAGAATGTAAGTCACCATAAGGACATCGTGAGCGTCGTGATCATCATTGGATGTAATGTAAACCCAGCCGCCACAAGACAAGGTGCGCAAGAGACCAGCTGTGAGAAGAGCTTTGGAGAATGCAGGATGCCGATGACGCGCCAGATAATACTGAAGGAACACGAGCGCAAAGCGAGGTCCTATTGATCTCATGTGAGTGGTTCAAGGGCACGCATATATCCACTATTTTTACCGGAGGTGATAGCAATGAGTATCTGAAAGAAGTTCCTCTCCGGATACCAGTCACCGATCCTGATTCAACTTAAGTGACATACTTTCATAAAGGAATCGACGAACAAGGGCGTACGTTGCGGACACGGACGGAAACCACTCCTGAGGGTATCCTGCGATGCCGTTCTTGACAATTTTCTTGTAATGAAGTGCACAGCCAAAGAACAAGGCCGTCGCAAAAGCAGCTAAGCTGAGGATCGTATGGACTCCGGCGATGATGTTGGCGTCAAAGGCAATCGGTGCCGGAGGTTTCGCCAATGGTGGTGCGCTTTTGCGGCGCGTTGCCATCGTATGTACAGAGATTCACGGAGACGGAGAAGTACGCGTTCGAAGTGCGAATAAGTAGATGGAGAGTGTTGACCTGCGCCGAGGATGCGCATATGCTTATAAAACGTCAGAAGGTCAAGTTGTCAACAAGAGCCGCGTCGGGACGTCATTCGCCGCGTGCGAACTACATAACCGATGTAAAGTACACCGACGTTCGCGCTGTCTCCTAGCTCGGTCACCTCGGGCGAAGATAGCTTCAAGCTCCTATTTGCCTCAGGTCGCCATACACCTTATATCTGAAGCATCTTTATACTATGACCCATAACATACCCATCACAGTCTTCACCGGATTCCTTGGTGCTGGAAAGACTTCCATCATTCTCTCCTTGCTTCCTAAACTTCCCAAAGACTACAAGGTCGTCCTTCTCAAGAATGAGTATGGAGATATCGAAGGTAAACTCTACCCACCGCGTTCTCCATCCTTTATGATAGCCAATCACGAGCTTTTGACTCCTAGTTGACTCGCAGCTTGCACGGCAGTCCAGCCTGGCTGCGGTCAGTGAAATCCTGAATGGATGTCTGTGCGTTGCCATCCTTGCTGCGTGACGGAGGACCCGCTTACCAGCCGAAATCAAGCTGCTGCGTCATGGTGGGCCACATGAAGAATGCTTTGCTGGAAATCAGAGGTATGATCATGCCATTATCAAACTTGCAGTCTAGCGACTCAGGTCCACTGTTACAGAAAAATTTCGCCCTGATAGGATCATAATCGAGTGCTCGTGAGCATCTTTTAGGTTGAAGCTGATGTGTCGCACGGGCTCATCAACTAAAGAGGATCCGCCTTTCCAGCCACACTCGCATTTCAGATCCACGAGCTGGAAAAAGAGACCAACTGTGATCTCAAACTTGATGCTATTGTGACAGTCGTAGATGCCGAAAACTTTACCGGGTACGACGATGTCTCTCCGACAGCTCAGATGCAGGCCAAATATTCGGACATCATCCTCATCGTGAGTGTCCAACAAGATGAGTCACCATGCTGATTTTTCAGTTTCATCATAAACACAGAACAAGTCAGAACACGTCTCCGAGCGGGCTCTCGATGATGTGATCGACCATCTCAATACCCTCAACGACTTGACACCCAAGGTGCGGTGCAAAGGTCGCGAGGGCGTTGACCCAAATCTTTTGTTTGGCTTGGACACTAAGTTGTTCAAAAATACCATCCCCGAGCCGGTTTCTGATGAGTCTCATCACGATGAAGTCCAGACTGTGACCATTTTCAGAGGGGGTGTAGCTCCTCATTCTCACTGCAGCCACGAAGGCTCAGCTCATACCCATACCCTCTCAAATGACACTGCTGGCCCAACGGAGGAAGAAGTAGAATGTGTAGACCAAGCGGAATTTGAGGCCGCTCTCAAGCTGATCTCGAAAGAAAGTGTCTGGAGGTTGAAAGGCTTCGTGCGCACTCCTCAGGGTGTACAGGTCTTAAATTGGGCCTTTGAGCGCTATGACCTCACGCCGATAGAGGCTTCGAATCAGCTAAAAGGTGGTTCCATCCGGTTGACTGCAATGGGCGAGCGAGGAGAGGTGAAGCGGAGAGTGAGGGCCTTCTGTGACAAGATGGGTGCTTGTGTTGTTTGATTAGATGTAGCGTAGACTGAATCGCTGTTAGATTAGATGTGCCTATGTCATCCCGATCGTGATGGCGATGTCAGACAGGCGCGCTGACCACGCCTATACTGATCCCGATTACTACAATGAGACAGATTCCCGCAAGCAATGTCGATGTGAGAATCACATGAAGTTACGTCGCATGTCTTTTCCCTTCAACTATGATCTCCTATGTCCTATCCTCAGGTGAGTTCTTTCTTCTCAATATGTTCTTGTCATCGATGTTGCTCACCAACAACTATTGTAGCTGCAGCATATATACCCACTCCGCCCAGCAATGACAATGACGTCGGTGGGCACAAGCCCGGGTCTGACTGCGTCTCTATGTGCATAGCGCGTGTTCCTACTTTCCCAGATGCCCCTGCTTTCGATGGCATATCTCACTCGAACTCGTCGTCGGCTTCCTCCGCGGAGATCAAGGTGGTGCTTGCGAGCAACGACCTCTACCACATACTCGGCATCTCGCGTTCATCTAAGCTTGATAAACTCGCCATTCGTCGTGCTTATCTTTCAAGAAGTAAGGCATGCCATCCCGAGTACGTGGTCTCTTCATTACATCCCTTTGCTTTCTCACTGAAATCACTCTCAATCAGCAAATTTCCCGATAATCCTGAGGCTACTCACGCTTTCCAGAAAGTCGCAGTGGCGTACGATGTTCTCAGCAAGCCCTCTTCCAAGCGTATCTACGACTCGCGCTCCCCGGCCGCTCAGGCCAACTGCTTCGCTTTCCAATCCTCGATGCACGCTGAGGAAACGTTCAAGGGTGTCATTGTGAGCGTCATCAACGATTTCTTGGACGGAGACATGGAGATGATACGCACGTTACTTCGTACGTTCACTCATCATCCTACGTATCCCTCTCTCATTGATTCCGGCAGGAGCCATCAACGATATAAACCCTTCGCTCAAACTGGGAGACGAAGGCATCAACTCTGTGCTGGCCGTCTTCCAGACTATCCGGCAGCGCGCCTTGAGTAAGTTAATTGAAACAACCCGAGACTTTGCTTTCTTATCAGCTATGGACAGCATGCCGGACGTGTGTGATGGCCTTGCACTCGGAACTCATCAGAGTACTAGAAATCCAAACTGCATTCCGACAACTCCCCTATCTTGATATTGCCGGCCGCTCTCGGCTTACCATTCAGTTAACTCGCATCACCCTCAGCCTTCCTGTCACACTGGAGAGAGCCATACGCGAACAGAATCTCGAGCAGCTGTCTGGCAAACTTGCTACAAATCATGACCGAGATTACGATAAAACTGCCTTGCTGCCTCATCGCGTCATATTACTTATACGAGGAATTGATCTCGTTCTCGATCGCATAGAGCGTATTTTGGGCTAATTTGGAGGACTTTCTCTTTTTCTTAATCACTGTTTCACTACTCATGCATTGTTTTCATAGACATAGATTCACCAGATAGGGCACCGTCTGCGAGCATTTGTTTCTTATGGTATCACTATTTCTTTCATGGCTCATCTCACTTTCCAACCTTCGTATTAGATATATTTATACGCCAGGCTACATCGTACAGCTACTATAGGACACGGCATATGGAAGATCGCATGCAAACAACTCGTCGCAACAAGGGGGAACAGGCGCAAAGGGCATAAGGCATAAACGCGAATAAACGATGGATGAAATAGCAAGCAATTTGAAGCAAAAGCAGATAAACCACGTGAAAAGAAGCCCTCAAACAAAACACCTTCATTGAACGCGCAGACTTCATTACGCGTTGCGTTCTCCGTTATTGTCCCACTGAGACGGGTCATAGGTACTCTCCTCCAGCATGTACGCTTCCGGTGGGTACCTGAAGCCGGCTTCTTGTTGTGCAGCAGCAGCAGCCAACAGTTGCTGATAGTCATGGCTGCCTCCGTTGTTTTCGCCGTTTGAGAGCGTACTAGAGGCACTTGAAGACTGATTGGGTCCGATTGAACCCATAGGATTTTCCGGGTAGAATGGGTAAAACAAGTTCGCGGGAATTTCTGCAAGTCGCTCCCCACCTCCCGGGAGGGTGGGTGTTCCAGGCATCGGCTTGCCGGGGGTTCCGCCCTGCGAACCTGGTTGAGGCTGTGGAGCGTATGGACTTGATTCAACCTTGAAAGTAGGAGGCATGGGTGGCGTGTTCTGAGTATGCATGGACTGGGGTGCCATGGACGGCGAAGATAGCATTCCTTCGTCCCAGTCGAGTTCCGACAGAAGTACGGGGTCCTTTGGCGGCTCAACGCTGCGTAAATTGACTTCAAGTACCATCTCTGCAAGTTTCGAGATCAATGGGTGAACGCCGTTCATGTCCTTCCGGTCCCAGCGCCAGCGGAAACGAGGAAGCATATCGAGAGCCATCCAGACATCCTCAATCATCACCTGCCGCGAAAGCCGTTCACAATGCGACATGTGCCCGTATAGAATAACCATTGCGGCGATGTGAAGTGGGATTGGTGAGACAAAGAACGCGATGTCGGGGAATTGAATGAGTTGATTGTGGATAATGATGATATTGTGAGACGTCACAATTGCTATGAAACCCGTATAAATAAAAGGGCAACCTCATGTTTGCGTATGACTTACCATCCACCAATGCCCTATAACGGTGGTTGTATTCCAGGTCTCTAAGACTGAATAAAGCTCGCAACAAAAGAATCCGAGCAATACCGAACTTGAGGAGGGTGAGACCTTCGTCAGCAGTGATATTATGCACGAGTTTCTGGCGTTCAATCAACGGCCATTCCTCAGTACCGCCGAAATAGAACTTGTATTGTTCTGGAAGTTGACGCCTGAAGCCGACCATACGCTTGATGATCCTAGAAGCATGCGTCATGACCGTGTCCGTCGTCTGTCGCGTTGGTGCATATAATGAATTGATGATATCGGCCTGAATCTCAGCAATGGGGTGAGAGTATAAGAAATGGTCTGAGAAATCGCCAGGTTCACTCCTAGTCGACGGTGGCGTGTTCTGATCACTAGGAGCAATAGCGAGAGGACGCCCAAGAAGAATGGATGTTCCACGGTCATGCACCATGACGATACCCCAAAGGCGGATCCTGAGCTGCGCTTCTTCCTCGGTGAACGATTTGTTTTGCAGCGGGTCGTGATGTAAATTAAGCTCGACGGCTAGGCGAACCAAGCTGCCTACTAGGCGCCAAAGCGAACGTCCTTGTCGCTGTGCAATCGATTAGTAATCTAACATGGTTTGAGTAAGGGAACAACATGCCTCAGTGTAGAGATACCAGTGCAGTAATATGAGAGCTTGAAGACTCGAAAGTGACACTCGAAGCGCGGGCTTGACTACCAAGGCACGGTCAAACAACTCCTCATGGTCTGGCCAATCAGGTCCAAGTGTCTTGCGCGCTATGATAGGGGAGGAGTCATCCGGTTCGCTCTTGTCCTTCTCTGGCGATATTGCGCAAGCACGATGGTTAAGTTCACTGAGTGTCCCGAGAGCCAGGATCAAGTACATGCTACAGATAAAGCCCGGATCATATGAGCCAGCTTCGCCATCGTACACTGCCTTAAGTCTCCGCTCGAAGTCTTCCCTGAAGAAAAGAGGTCGGTGGATATTCAAGCGAGTAAAGTAGTTGTCCACAATCTTGTCAAGCATTGTGCGGTCTTTAGGTAACCAAATTGCGGGGGTGGGAGCAGAAGGGTGTGTACCAGTGGCCGGACGCCCAATAGTAACAGTAAGCCACTTGTTCGAGTCTCGAGGAATCGATGACAAAGCGAGGTGGCGGTCACGGCCCGAAGACAGCCCGTCGGAACCTACAGAGAGATCCTCTGCATCATGATGAGAACTTAGTTGGGTCTCGTTGATAATGTTAGGGTTTACGCCGAAGCCCTTGGCGAGGCCCTGTGAATCGAATTAATCTCTGCAATAACGGATCTTGCAACTTGCCCTCACCTGCGGGTTTGCCAGGTCCCATGTAGGAGGGTCCTGTCCCTTGACGTCAGCAAGCGGTGGCTGCGCAGGAACGGGTGCTTGAGTTGGACCAGGGGGCGGAGCGGCTTGTGCTGGCGGCGGGCCGGGCGGTGGAAAGCCTGGATGAATGGGAGGGGGATATGGGCCCGGGGGACCCTGCATGGGCATATGCATGTGCGGGTACGGGGACCCTGGAGGTGGAGGAGGATAAGGCATGTGCATCATAGGATATCCGGCGGTCATCATGGGGTGACCGTAGGGACCTTTGGGCATTTGATGGTTTGCCGGGGGAGGACCGCCATTGGGATGTTGTGGGAAAGGTGGACCAGCTTGAGCGCCCATCCAGGGAGGGTACACGCCAGTGGCATCTGGAGGGGGAGGGCCGTTGACCTCGATGCCCTCTCGATGGCAGAATTCGTCTACGTTATGTATATCGAATTCAGGGATGCGACGCTTGAGGAGGGCCTCACACTGGATGAGACGGTGTTCAAGGTGTTCGACGTGGCCCCTTGGTTGGAGAACCTGTCTGTGTCGGTCTTCTTGTTGACATGCTACGCCAGCAGTAGCGCAAGCGGTGCACTTGGGATGTTTTGAGTCGCACTGAGGTGGAAGGGAGATCGTGTCAGACGGATCGACATGCAGGCGAACGGAGATTTGCGGTCGGTGTCTACCGACGGGACTTGCCTTAATTTTCTTGCTCCTGCAGCGTGCACAAGCTTCATGCGACCGCCTCAGCCGCCTCTGCCCAGACGAACCTGCCGCATCGTCGTCGTTGGAATCCGGGTTTCGTCGCTTTTTTCCAGTCTGTCTGGCCGGCGCTTGTTGCTGCTGTGGTTGCTGTGGCTGCTGCTGCTGTTGTTGTTGCTGCTTGTCCATATTGACTGTAGGGTGCATCGGTGAGTCGAGGTTGAGATCAGGGTGGGGAGGGAGGATGTGGGTCATTGTCTGGCCACTCTGCACGGTGAGCACCAAAGCGAGGTCGTCGCCGTTGGTGTTCACTGTTTGGCACGGGCTCAGCGCGTCTCTCTACTAATCTCCTTCCTCATCGCTCGTTGACTGGGAATTTCCGTAAGTTTCCCACGCACGGCCGCGGCTGCCGCTTTCTGCCGATTCTCCGTCCTGTGTCTCCGTTTCTCCGCTGTGTAATTTCGGTGTAAACCTAGATTATATATATAATAAATACTTATGACATGAGTAATCTGTATTTGTCACAGGAAGGACCCAATATTAGGCTAAGGCGCTTGTCCTCCTCGACGCACTCACACCTCGCCACTCTAATGGCTACTCGAATGACCTCCCTTATGTCCCCCCAGGGCGTCCACCACTCAAACAGCTCCGAGTATACTCTAGCAACTGTCGAGTTTGAGCAGTATCGGGACGAGCCAAATGCCCCCCTCCTCCCTGATAATGCATCCTCGTCTAGCTACGGCTCCACCTTCACTCCTTCACGTCCGGGCCCGCCTCCCCCATCTTCTACCCGCCTTCTAGTCACCGCAGCGCTCCGGATGGCCGCGGTATTCATTGTCAGTACCCTTATACTCGGTGGCACTCTCTGGCTGGCCCTCCCGACCCTTGAAGAGTAAGCCGGAACATCTTGGCCTGGATCATACGTTCTGACACACTCTTCAGAGCGGATCGTCCTCTCCTTCGTATCCCCAAATCGTTTGCTCAGCTCCAAGCCCTCAATGGACTTCTCAAGAAATATCGCGACATTTATCCCTATCGCATTGTTATATGTTATGTGACAACTTATCTTTTGTGAGTGGCAGTCCTCGCTACCAGCCTACTCGTCACACGCTCAACTGGACATGCGTACCAGTCTCCAGGCATTCTCTTTGCCCGGATCGATGTATTTATCCATTCTCGGCGGCGCCGTCTGGGGCGTGCCGCGAGCTCTATTGCTCGCATGTACTTGCGTTGCTACTGGTGCATCCCTTTGCTACCTCATCAGCGCTGCGTTCGGCCCGGCCCTCCTCACTCTGCCTAAATGGAAAGCTCGTCTTGACAAGTTTCAGGACAAGATTCACGACCAGAAAGATAACCTCATTTCTTTCCTTATCGTATTGCGCATCGCCCCCCTTCCTCCACACTGGGTGGTCAATGTGATTTGCCCACATGTTGGTATCGGTCTTGTTCCCTTTTGGATCAGCACATTCCTTGGTATCATCGGTGTCACAGTCATTCACACCAGCATTGGGGGTGGGTTGGACGAAATGACATCTGCTGCAGATTTCCACCTCATATCCTTCAAGAACTTCCTCCTACTCTCAGCTGTAGTTGTCGGTGCACTTATCCCTGTTGCCCTACGGTTCTATTTTAAGCGACAGATCGCATCCGTCGCGGATGTTGAACAAGGACCAGTCGTATTTGAGGAGGAGGAAGATGAAGTGTTCGCTGCCGGTCCAGCTGGACAACCCAAGGGAGTCAAGACAGCGCAGCTCGTCGACGTCACTGACGCCGAGAGTGTTGCATCGTCTGATGATGACGAGGACATAATACTGGAGGCTGGCCCTGCAGTAGTTTTGAAGGCCTCGGATGATGGACATTCCAGGGAGAGTAGTCTGTAAGATATCCTGACGTAATATTCTGTAGCTGTAGATTTTAACTTTGTTCTCCTTGTGATCGTGGGTTCGGCTCTAAAAGCATAGATCTAGAGCTCGACTTACGATTTTTGCATTGCAAGAATACATATTTGTATGTAATAGTGCCCATACAATGCGCCAGCTAAAACAGATCCATAAAGAAGCATGGTTTGTTAACTCTAGCTAATCGAGCCAGGTCACAGCGTCGAGCGTCCAAACACCTGACTGCCCTTTGGTTGGGCTCCTGTCTTTAAACTAATTTGGTCGTATAGCTCGATCAAATATTCGACCAGCGGGCGCACCGATGAACCTAAGCTTGATAGCGTGCCCAATTGAGGGCACGGATCCGGAACTATGTCTGTGACATCATAGTTTGTCGCGAGAATATTTGTAGGTAATTAAGATTATCTTACTGAGCAGCTTGCTGAGCACGCCGATACGTACATATAGACGAACAATGGTAGCAACCGTGTTACGGGAAGTGATCTGGCAATCCTGGAGAGACCGCAACGGCAGCCGTCTGCCAAGTCCTTCATCAGTGTGACGGTATGATCCTGTCCGATGGTGGCGGAGGCAAGATGCTAGACAACGACGTCGTCAAAAATAAATACATACTTGACGTTTGTATCCTAAGGCCTAAAGAACCGCTGTTACAAGTGGAGTACTGTGGTAGGTTGGGTTACAACGCATGATGCATGATGTACTGAAAACGTTAACGTAAACGGATCGTGGCAGCCACGCGCGCACTGGCACGAGTCAGGTTCGGTCGAGATTGAATGACGTTGTCTGGTATTAGAGAAAGTAACGGGCTACTGTTGGCAGTACAAGTAGCAACAGCGCATCGCGTTTCTTGCAAATGCCAAACTTACAGACAGAGGGGCCCATAATCATAAATTCGAGAAAAGGCAGATGTAAGTCAGGGGGTTAGTGCTCTTGGGCGCAAGAGGGGGCAGGCACACGGACCTCCATCCAGAGGAATGAAGCTAGCCACCGCGGAAGGAAACGGACATGGTAAATGGGAGGTCAATCCCGTCCGCTGGGCTGGCCGTGGCCATGCTGCGTTCTGGTGACCCGACCAGTCCGTGGTCTCCTTTTGCAGATTTCATGCGGATCCTGTACAACTGCGGGGTTCGTTTGGATAAGAAAGGGGTTGATTAAGCAGAAGGATGCCCCTGTAAGGCTTGTTTGTACAGATTTTTGTAGTAAAGTGGCGACGGCAAACTCCGCACGGTGTGGTCTGTGCTGCTTGCAAAGGTCTAGGAAGGCCCGACCAATCCTCACTCCCACCACCAGCTCCCCAGGCTATCCTCCTCGCTGTCCTCCGCGTTGAGCTCCCCTCCCGTCAGCCTCCGAGCACCTGGCGGCGACGCCCATCCTCGCGAGCTGCTCTCTTCTCACTCCGCCTCCCTCGGTACCGATCCTCGGTCCCCTCCAGCCCTGCGCTAATACTACCCGCCTGGATAACCTCTGATCAGTCGCCTCCGCTACCATGTATCCCTCGAATCTCCTCCCCAACTCCCTTGTACAGCAGCAATCCGCACAACAGTCACAGCAACCCTCAGACCACCCAATGGTCCCAGGTATTCACAATGCCGAGCAGAGCAGGATGTGGCAGCAGCTCAAGCAGTACCATCGTTCTCAGGGTGGAGGTGACATGAATCAGTCTCAGGTCAATCAGCAGGTCAGTGTCAATAAGCCTCTCTTTCACCTATGCTATCCCTCCTGTTGAACTCGACTCTCTTTGCCTCATTTTCCGTCGCTAAATCTTCTCCATCTATTGTGTGCTCACGCCGATATTAGATGGCAGAGTTCGCTCGGAACCAGATGCTTTCACGTCCTGACCAATTTCCACATCAATTCAACATGAACGCCGCCCGAATGGGAGCCAATCCGCCTTTCAACGACGGCCAAGGCAACAGCAACAACCCCATGATGCCCTCGTTTTCTATGGGGAATAATTCTATGCCCTCGGACATCAATACACGGAATGCTATGATGCAAGCTCTTCAACACAATCAGCAGAACAACGTCAATCGCCAGATGCAGCAGCTCATGGGCGGTCAGAATCACCAAGTATCCCCATCCCCGAATCCCGTCGACCTCGCTCGCATGGCTTCTCAGCAGCACGCACAAATGGGGAATGCTCAGCCTGGGTCCAGTCAAGCGATGAACCCTCACATGTTTTCATCGCCGAACATGCATTCCTCTCCGCATCCCACTGCCGCCCGGCCGACAGCACAGGTCAACACACCGCACGTAGGGATGACTGGTCAGCAGCCTATGCCCAAGCCTGGGCTGCAAGATATGAATGACCGAAGACTCTTTCTACAACAAAACATCGCAACGGTTGAGGGCAGTTTGCGCGCACTGATGCACCAGCGGGGGCAGATTCCTGATAACACCTTCAACTCCAAGCTCCAGCAACTCCAAACAGATCTCAAGCAGAAGAAGGAGCTTTTGCATCGCTTCACGCAATTCGTCATGTCCTCTCAGCAGACGGCCGCAAACGGGTCGCACCCTGGCGCTAATAACATGATGTGAATAGCTCTTTGGCCGTACTTTTCATTTCATTAATTGCTTCCTCTTTTACAGGAATGGCTCGTCTCAGCAGTCATCCGTTCAGTCCGGGCAGATGCCCAACGGACAGTCTCCGCAGGGTTGGATGTCGCAGAACATGCTGCAAAACTCAAATATGGGGATGAACATGATGTCGAATCAGCAGCAGCAATCTGGCCAGCAGCAGATGGCGCATGGGATGAATGGTGTTAATCAACAAGGCAACCAAATTCTTCGCCAGAATGCTATGGCACAGCGGTCTGTTCAGCCGCAGCAGCAAGTACCAGGCAACATGGGGAATGTCGTCTCAAACGGTAATGTCCAGATGCCAACGCCATCCATCCCCACAATGGCGGCTGGTATGGATAGTATTCAGGTCCCTCCCCTTGATCCCATGAAGTTTGAGATGATGTATCGCCAATTCTGCGCCAATCAGAAGCAGGAGTTTAAGTTAACAGTCCCAGTGAGCGACAGGTCTGTTGAGCTCCATCAACTCCATCGTCAGGTCATGACAGCCAACGGCCTCGGTAATGTAAGTGGCAGTTTTCGCCCGCATTCAAGAGCATCTATTGAATTTACCCAACGGTGGACACTCGAGATCTATGGCCAGTAATCGGTGGGCGCCTGGGTCTGGTGCAGTTCCCCGGAAACGATCGTCAGCCTCCTCGCTGCGGTCCTATGATTGCTCAACAGCTGCGACATATCTACCAGGAGACCCTTCATTCGTTCGATCAGACGTACAGCCTCAGCTGGCGGAACAGGCTAAGGAACTTAAACAACGGAGCAGGCAGCTCTGGGAATGCGCCATATACTCCACCTCAGCAGCCCAATATACCTGCTGTAAACGACAACCAAGCGAATGCAAACCGAATTCCGGATAATCGACAGCTCGCGATGCTGGCCCTCAGATTCGGTGCTTCTACAGCCGAGGACATGCGCGCTCAAGGGGTTCCTCCACATATTATTAACTTCGTGGAAACTAAACGCCCATTAATGACGTTCATTCGGCAGCAGCATGAACGTCGTATGGCACAAGGCAGCGCTAACGGCGGCCTGGTACCCCCGCGAAACATGGCCAACGGCCCTACCGGCGCTCCGATGTCGACGCAAGCTGGACCATCAGCTCCTGCTCGCCCTCCTATGAACAATGGTGTTCAACCTGGCCCTGTTAGTCTCCATGATGCTCAGGGAATGGCGGCGATTCAGCCCCCATCTATGGCTGGCAAGATTGCTGCCACTCCTGCGCAAAGTATGGGCAAAGCCATGCAATTCATCACCATGATGAAGAACGCGTTGGCTCCTAGTATGTATCTCAATCTAACGTCCTCGATCATTACTCACGGTGCGATCATCAGATTTGGCCAACATGAACTCTGTCGGCGTGCCCGACGAACAGCGGCTTGAATATGGACAGGTGCTTGAGACTGTCTACAAGCTTTGCTTAGACCTTGAGCATAAGCTAGCCATGTTCTCCGTTTTGGTTCCCAACCACCAAACGATAAAAAAACTGGTTGCTATCGTACGTGTTTTGTTTTGTTGTCAGTGGGATTGTTTGGGCTCAATCGAACGCCTTTTAGGTTTTGACCGTGCAAAGGCAAAGAGCTGAGCTGTCCAAGTCTTCACCCAAGTATATAGTGAACCTCCAAACTCTCCGCGACATGCATGGCCAGGTCACTGAAGCCCTCAACAAGTTCCAAGAAGAGGCTCGTAAGAGCAGCGAGAGCGCTGCTCTCCGCGGCATGCCTCAACCAGGCCCTTCTCAGCTGCTAACTCAGTCACAACCTGGGCCATCGACGCAACCTATGCCACCAACGATACCCCCTGGTCCACCTCAGATGGTTACACCACCAGTCAACCGAACGCCATCAATGAACAATGCCCACCTGCCGCAGCACAAAAATCAACAGCTTTCTATAAGCGCTAGCCCGTCGCTGCGTAACGCACCTATATCTCATCCCACTCCTCCCTCTACGACAGCTTCCACTGCAGCGACTCCAGCTGCGCAGGCTCCTACTCCCCAGGCCGGGCCATCACCTCAAACACCCAAGTCTCCGAAAGGGAAGGCCGCCTCCAAGCCTGCTCCTAAACGTATCCGTAGACCGTCTAAGGCAGCTCTGCCTCAGGTGGCCGAGCATTCTACTGCTAGTGCTAGCCTCAAGCGAGTACGTGAAGAAGATTCGCATGCCAATGAGAGCTCAGGTACTGCGCCTTCGTCTTCCGCCCAGCCAAGTAGCGCCCCTTCACCGAAGAAGTTGAAGACTGAATGGGAAGGTCCGCCCGATGACGCCTTGCTCAAGAGGAAGCAGGACATCGAAAACGTCAACTCCGAGGAAGATGCGTCAGCATTCTTGGAAAAGATGTCTGAGCTCATCCGGCTCACTGCAGGTTCCGACCCTGGCATCAACAACGATATTGCGCAAACTCTCGACCAGATTTTGCGTGGCGTCGGCCAAGATCCTTCGGATAACGCAATTTCCGGCTCGGCATTACAATCTCGCCCTATTGACAATATGGGCGAGCCCATGTCCCCTTCGCAGGTGGCTGCGAATGAGGAGTATTTAGAGTTCCTCGACCTTTCCTCTTTCGCCACCGGTGAGGAGGAGGACAGCGCATCAAAACCACCGACGCCTGAGCTGGTGTCGTCTTCGTCAACAAATCCTAGCCCGGAGTCCTCCGATGCCGATCCTGCCACAGCTGCAACATCGATGTTAGACAAGACAAAGGTCGAGGAGTTCGATGCATCCATTGACCTTTTCAACCTAGGACCCTTGAAAGATATCGACGGTGGGGAGTCAGCGTACTATCAAGCAGACAATTGGAAGTGGGATGGATCGATGACCACGATCGAGCAGCCCTGGGCTATCTTCACATCCACGTAGAGTTCCTTGCGAAGACACCACTTTACTTTTGTTTTTATTTATCGCACTCATCATTATGCTGGATATATTTCACACTACGCTCAGATTGTCGTATCATCATTACTCTTATCGTGTCTTATCGTCGTCTCTTGGTTATTTCTGTCGTTTGTATTCCTAATGTTTTTCTAGTTTGCTATCCAGACCCTTGCTTGAATCCTTAATATCATAAACTGAGCTAATCGACACAAATAATGTTCACTCTTAACTCAACCATGAGGACAAAGACTGCTAAACTGCCAAAATTACATCATTATTGCAGATAATCTTAGCTATGAAGCTAAACTATGGAGGCTTGAGGTTCGCAAGTCCAGGTAGTGCAGATCTTCGACTCGTATTGCCGAGTATTCGGTCCTTGAGAGAAGATACTGCGGGATTTTTGTCTGTGCTAGCCAATTTATGTAGTCGTGATGAAGATGAAGCAGAAACTGCTGGAGCAGTCAATCTCTGGCGCTTGTTCGACGTTTGCGCTTTGTAATCGGCTCGACCACGTATCCATTCGCTGTGCGCCTCATCTCTCGCCTTTGCATCATCCTCCAACAGCTGCAGCTCTTCTGGAAGCGCATATTTGCCCTTCAGCTGCTTGTCGATGATTTGCTTCGCCTGGTCTATCTTCTTCTCCGCGCGGAAGCGCTTCCTGACTCGCAGAGAGGCGGAGTAGGGGTCCTCATTGTAGTGATCCGACGTTGATTGTAGCTGCTGGATACGAGGCACTTGGACTTTGGTCAAGTGATTCTGGGCCTCTGTTGATTTCTCTAGGGCAGCCAAGGGGTCGCTAGGTGCACCGGAACCAGCAGTGTCTGCACAAGAGCAATGAGCCTTTCGAAAAGCGTCTAGTAAACTCGGTTGCCTTACCATGTACTGCAAAACCGCCGTTCTCTTCTGGGTCCCATTCCTCGTTCTTTTGCCGGGCACCAGAGACGACGACGTATCGTGTGTTCTGGACAGGGGTTTGCGGGACACACTTACGAAGGAAGCTGTACGACGAACCTTGGGATCGGTTTGAATCTCGAACCAGCCATCGCATAAATGGCACTTGCAGCGAAATGAATAAATGGGGGTCGAGTAGTACGAGCCCACTTTCTTCTTCTCTGCATTGTAACGTACGCCCATGCCGATGTGGTTGTTACATGTTCCACTGTAAAAGGTGAGACCGGTTGCAAACAATAACATAAGGCTCAGGAACATACCACCAAATGTTGAAGGGAAGTTCAAAGCGCGTTATGAGGATACCCTGGTCCAGCTTTCGGGCCCTATCACCGAGAGCATGTTTGCCTAGCGAATACTGGTATTAAGACAGATATAGCAGGAGATTCAAGTAGGATACCAACCTCTATACGAATTGAGACTCTTATGCTTTTCAGGATCATAATCAGGCGGATAGTATTTGTTAAAGCCTAGTTGCAAGTCAGCTCAATGCGAGGAAGTGAGCCTTATGACATGACTTGCCTTGCATGACCGATATGAGAGAGAGCGAAAGTCGGCAAATCCCGAGATATAACCTGGGCCTTGAAACCTTGTTTTTCGCGTCTCATACACACAAACCACACAAACCTTAGGTGCGTCCCCCTGAACATCTCGTCGCGCTTGACATTATTAACAACTCGCGCAGTCACCTTCTGACTCATTCACCTTTCTCTATCTTATCAGAATGAGTTACGTCGCTAAGGGCGAAAAAGACTACGATGCTGCTGGCGCCGTACCGGCTGCCAAGATGCACAAAATCCGCATCACCCTCACGAGCAGCAACGTCAAGAACTTGGAGAAGTGTCAGTGATTTCAAAGAATTATCATTCTTATTAAGCTTATTGGGATCCTAGTCTCTGCCGACTTGATCAACCGGGCTAAGGACAAGCAGCTCCGCGTCAAGGGCCCCGTCCGCCTGCCCACCAAGGTCCTCAAGATCACCACCCGTAAGACTGTGCGTGTACTTTCTGATACTTTCCTGTATGCTTGACTCTGAACGTATGAGTCTAGCCTTGCGGTGAGGGTTCGAAGACCTGGGACCGCTACGAGCTCAAGGTCCACAAGCGTCTCATTGATCTCCACTCCTCCAGCGAGATCGTCAAGCAGATCGTGAGTTTCGTTTTTGTGCTGTAGCCTGTCCCTGTCGCTCATGAAGTTCCAGACTAGCATCAGCTTGGAGCCCGGTGTCGAGGTCGAGGTTACTATCTCTGCTTGAGCTTATTACGACCTGCACGTCTGCAATCAAAATCATTTACTCCATGAGAATGAATTAAACTGGAAATTCTCGCGTAAAATATAAGGTAGCTTATCCAGAGAGCCATCGTCGTTAATGTTATGGGTATAAAGAGTGCCGTGAGTACGTGAATGAGGAATTGGAAAAAAGAAACGGTCAGATATACACTGCGTAAGAACCTATCACTGGTCGATGATCACTGCGGCCCTGTAGCCTGCGCATGCCGCCATCATCGAGGGTATCATAGGACAGACAGACCACGTCGCCCTTTGCAGGAGGGCGCTGACCTAAAGCAGGAGTCGGTGCCCTTTCGGAGTTCGCAGTCTGAGAGGCCTCCTTGCGGAATGAAAAAAGTTTCCACCGAGCAGAAGGAGGTGTTGCTGCAGCCGGAGCCGTCGGCAAGAGCATCGTCTGCTCTCGGATGGTAGACGGCTGGGAAGTGACGCGGGGCGCTGACAGCCGGCGCTCTAGTTTCGTCTGAGCCAAGCTGTCGTCTTTTTCGAAGCTTTCACTCGACCGTGACCTTCTCACCGGGCGAACGATGGCTGGTTTGGGGCCAGTGGCAGTGAGAGAAGTCCGCCTTGAAGGAGACTCCGTGGATATTTTGAGCTTCGGAGATTCTCCGCCTTCTACAGCGACTACCGAGGACATGCCGTCCATGGAATTCCGTCTGACACGAGAGGCGAGCTGAGATAAAAAGGCGGCAAGACGATTGGGCCTCGTGGGATCAGCGGAGGGCACTTCAATGTCCTCCAGGTCTGGCTGGATCGTTGACTTCCATAATATGCGGTCGCACCTGAGAATGCCAATATTGTCAACAGATACCGCCAAGCCAATAAATCGTCAAAGTACTCACCAACTTGGAACACGTTGCTTGTGCGAAGAGTCATACACACCTCTGTCACTGTCCTCATCAAGGCGCTGCGGCGCGGATTTGACCGACGATGGCCCTCTAGAATTGGAACGTGGACAGGGAGGAGCCAGTAGATTGCCCTCGGACGCTTGAGCAGAGACCGACAAAAGCTCGAATGATCTCCCCGGAAATGGCCTAAGGTCTCCTGACGCGTTAGATGACGGGGGCTGCTCATTGATGATGAGCGGCTGGGAGTTTCCGAGCAACCACTTGGGAGGTGTCCTCGGAGCGACCGGGGAAGGTGGGGAGGAGATCAACGATTTCCACTTCATCTTCGCCTTCTGCGCAGCAGCTGTCAGTGCTGCCCCACTGCGCTCGTTGATACCACTAAGCGCGGGACTCGAGCTGAGACTTGCGTAATAATCATCTTCATCTCCATCGTGCAGCATGCCTTTGGATGCACTTGATGTGCGCAGGGACGAAGTGAGCGAGCGCACATCATTGTCATTGTCCTCCTCGTTCTCGTCATCTTCCGCACCGGTCTCCCTTCCCGCCTCAGACTCCATCATATCTCTATCGACCAAAGAGCGCTTACTCTGCCGCCGTGAGGTCTTGGTCTTCGACCGGCTTACGACGTCATACTTGAAGGTTGGCGGGAAGTTAATGGGCGCCTCCTGGAAACCAGTGAATGCTGTTCCCTTATTCATCTGCTCTCGTAGTTGATCGAAAGCAAGAGCCTGGGCGTACTCTGGCTGCATGTGAGAAAATGGCAAGACGATGATTTGGGGTGGCAAACATACCTTGCCTTGATATAAGCCAATCAGCATGAAGGCGGGTAATGTCCAGGCGAAAATTCAGATCGCCGAATAGGAAAGTGAAATCAAACTTGTCTGTAACATCTATAGAAATGGTCAGAAGATTTTCGCATAACCGCAAATAAACCTTAGTGGTTCACCTTCGGCCATGACGCGCTCGTCGTCGGCTTGGAGGAAATCGCTGACAGCAAGCTCACCCTTGATCTTCGCAAGATTAGCTAGGCGGTGATGTACTCGACCTTCGTGAGCTGGACAAGATGAGCCTCATTAGCGTCATTCTCCATAACCTTCCTGAGACACTTTACCAGCAAGGTGCGCGTTAAGAAAGAGGAAGGTGGATCCAGCGATGTCTAAACTTATCCCCACACCACCCTTATTACCTACGCGCCCGCCAATGAGGCCTGCAGTAACGAATGACTTTGATGAGCCTACATTGGACGTTAATCTCGCACATATTGCTGGCATCCAAGTAAAGAAAGACATGCCATTGACAAGGTGTTCGACGTCTCGGTGAACAAAGATAGATAGGTAGAGACCCATGAGCCTGTCCTTAATAAATGGTACATATGGCCCTTTTTCCTGCTCCTTGAGGGTCATTCGTCGGTGCAACGAGATACGCTTCGGGGATATGAAGTTTTCCTTCGAGCTGCTTTCTTCCATGTCTACGGCGCTCGCCTGTGACCGGTGACAGAACCAGTGTTCCAATATTGATGTCCATCCCGAAGGCTGTTGAACGACGATCTCATCTGGTTTATCTGGGGTTAGTAAGCTGTTGACTAATTCCTTCATGTGATCCGAGTCTTTCGTGTTCCTCCGAACATTGTGGATAGCGTGATTTATCTGAGGCTTTTCAACGTCCTTGTCTTTATCAGCTTCCTTGCCCTTTTCCTTGTCTTTGTCCTTCTCCTTGTCTCTGAGGCGAAAGTTCAGCCCGTTCAAACCTATGGGAAGTCCTGTATGGATATCGTCAGTTTCGTGTCTACGTTTCAATCCTAAACGGACGGACCTGAAGAACTCGGACATTCTTGTCCTGCACTGTGCGCGAAGTGTAAATGAGGCCAGGTAGACCAAGATAGCAAGCCTACATGACAATAAGGTGATATGGGTGACTAGCGTCGGAGTTAAAGGTTGGTACGTCCGAGTTCTCGTCAAGGTTGGGATCAGGCTTGTAAGGAGGGACGCTCCCGAGAAGGTCTTCTAGGTCACCCTGTCCAAGAGGAGGATAAAGTTATGAAGCGGCCGTAAGTTGAAGCTCTGACCTTTGGGAGGGAATCATGCATGTTCCATGTTATTATTCTTATCTTGAGGAATTTGGGCGCTTTCTTGGGCGGGACGCGAGGGAGCGTAGGATCATCGTGAGCATCGACTGGGGAAGAATGGGGAGGGGCGGATGGAAAGAGAGATTGGAGACGAGCAAAGACAGTTTGTTGGGCTGTGATAAAGTTTGGATGCCGTTGTGGGAGTGGGCAAATGAGTTGCGACGTACTATGGCGTGGTGAGGGTCGAGCAGGATCGACACCTAGAGTGAGGCCGTCCTGACGACTTTGCATGGCGTGCTAACGCGTAGCAAATAAAGTGAGCATGAGATGGCAGAACTAGCAGAGCCAGGCCAGGGAGGAGACTAGAGACACGAGACTCAAAACACGGGTAAGTAACAAGTTAACGGTTGTACTCCAGGAATGATCGAAGCAGGCTCATCCAAGAATAGCATCACTATCCACTTATGTAGATATTGAGAAGCGCGTCCTATCTCCTTCTGATTCGTCCCTCCCAAGCTTAGTCACTAGGACGCTCTCTCGACCAGTAAATTTCTCCGTATCTTCGCAATATCCCCCTCTGTCTTCAGCGTTGTTTCAGCCTTCAGGTATCCCTCCACGCTCCCGTACTTCTCTCGGAACGCCTTCATAAACGCGATCATGTTCTCGGCTCTATGGACGCCGTTCACCATCGTCATCCAACATGTGCAAGCATGAGGCATGAGCGCATGAGCATGAGTGCTGCATGACTACGTCACTCGTACCTGGAAGATCCCATGTTTAGCACACCTTCCCAATTCTCTTTGAACACCGGAATTGCTGAGAATCGCTCAACCAGTATTTCCATCCCAGGCTCCAAGCCGATTGTCGTCAATGCATAGTCGTTTGCAATCACCTCGTCGTCCACACCCAAGAGCTTAACCATGGTTAGAACAGCACCCAAGGTGATCATCGAGAACTTGCACCATAAGAAGCAGACACGCGAAGACACCTGTCCTATCTTTGCCGGCTAACCCACGCTTAAACTCAGCGATAGGCCACGGGGTAGCGTAGACCTACCTGTACAGTGCACCAGACAATGAGGATTAGGCTCGTCTCGCAAGTATGTGAAGATCGTCTCGTATGCCGATCTACCATCCTTCAAGAACTCCGTATAAGTCACTACGAACGTCTTTTGACTTGTGTGTTAGTTCGTTGGCTCAAGAATGATTATACTCTGCTGACCTCCCGCTCCTTCTCGCCGAACGCCTTCAGTCTAGTACAAGATCAACATTGAGGTGTGACAGCTACGATTTCAAGATACCTGGCGGCCAGTAGGGTGGGATCGGCCCACTCCTTGGCGGTGATTGGCACTCTGATGATCTCAACCCCGTCAATGACTTGTGTTAAAGCATTGTACCTCTTTATCTCAACGTCCGCCCGAAGATCAAACACTTTGCGCACCCCGAGTTCCTTGAGCTGCTGCTTCCCTGTGTCAGTTATATGCGCCATCTCTCCAGATCGCAGAATAGCCTTGGGCTTCACAACGCCGTTCGAGTGTCTGCTGTCGTACCCGCCCAGGTCACGGATGTTGACAACCCCATCGACGACAACAAACGGAGGAGAGGCGAGATCTTGGGCTTCCTCTGGAGAAAGCGTGGCCATCGTGGAATGATCCTGAGTTACAAAAGCGGGCTCTTTTCACCTATAACCGCTTCAGTTTGAACAGATCAGGTTCTGTACACAGGCCATGCTCGTAGTGCTAGCCTTTAAGCCTTGATTGCCGAGCTTGAGCTGACTTGCGGTAGCGCTAGCCTGATTGTGAGGAGACAACAATACTGTAATGGTTGCTCTAGACCCAATCCAGACTTTTGAGCTTCCTTCGAGGAGATACATGTATGTAGATGATGTCAGTTGGCAATCCTAATATCAAGAACGACTGTCTTCTGATATAGGGTCTGCCTAGGGGAGACTAGTTGGGAATAGTACCGTGACTGTTTTGCGATCTCATCGTAGTCCAGTACATAACAGCTGTTGGCACAAGCTTCAGAAACGTTCAAGAACCTTCATACAAACCTACAAAAGCCCCTTCACTAAAGAGAGATAAACAATGTTGTGCTGCAGCCGGATACTCCACGGAAAGCCCCGTCTAACGCAAGTGCAATATACCGAGGACGACTGGACCTTGGTTGTCGTCACACAACCAGCCTGAAATGAAAGCATATATATCCTTGAGTGGACGAACATAGGGAACAGGCCGAAACATGGCTCGAGGACGAAGACCGCAGGGTTTCCTCAAAGCAGAGAGAAAGGTTGAAAACATGAGCCCAAAAGGTTGAGTGCGAATACAGTCCCGCCGTACTATCTAGTCTTCAGTATGTCCCCTCATGAGCTCAGCTAGGTGACCGCTCAACACAAGGTGCGTCCGTCTAACAGATTGTTGCGTACTATCTCTTATCCTTCCTGAAATACTGGCTGTTTACGGCTGTGGCTTGTGCCATATCGAATACGGTTTCACCAAAGCCAAGGAAGCGTTCTGCCACACTGCGCATCGTGGCATCCGATATAGAGTTAGTGTCAGGCCTTCAGATATCCGGAAGACGCAATGTTAGCTACGTGAAGCGCCTCTAGCAAGAAACCACGAACGTGAAGCCACTAGACCGACGAATCCCAGCGAGGACGGTTGACAAAAGGGCAGCGTCAATAGCGTAATGCGCAATTCGGCCCAGTGCCATGGTGCAACAATTCTAGAGTTGGGCGACGGTGGTGGCGAAGAGCTGATAATAGGTCTACAAGGTGGATGAAGGTATGAGAAATGAAGGACGAGATTGTCGAGACCGTGTTATACGCGTTTGGGACGCTGAATCCACGCGTCCGCTCGGCGCCGGTGCGCCCTGCAGAGCATTGGCGGAGATCACCGTTTCGGTCCGTGAGCCGTGCGAACTCCGTCTCCGTTGAACAGTTTCTTGCACTTGCCTATACCACAAAACAATCGCCCTTCTCCCCCACTTTCGACTCACGCTGTCCAAGGGAATTCACATAAATGAAAATCAATGATGAGATAATGGGCGAAAGAGTTGTCCTTGTACCTTATAAGCCGGAGCATGTCGAGGTGAGCTGCGAAGGCTTGAGTAACTTGCGACGAGTTGATTGCTCAATCAATCAAGGTCTTCTAGACGTATCACAGATGGATGCTCGACGAGGATCTCAGAGAACTTACTGCAAGCGAACCTCTCACCCTTGAGGAAGAGTACGAGATGCAGAGTAAGCCTTGTCTGTGACTGGCTCAGGGCATGACTGCTTACAATACTAACGTCTCCCAGCCAAATGGCGGAACGATCCTGATAGTACGCTGTTTCTACATGTCTCTGCTACGACCGGCTCAGCTGTATGATCAGAGCTCACGTTCATCATTCTGGCCCGTCAGCCTGATGTCGACACCTCTAAGCTCCCCATGATCGGAGACGTAAACCTTTTCCTCAAAGGAGACGTAGACGATCCAGAGTCTGATTTCGAAGCAGAAGCGGAGATTATGATTGCGGGTGCGGATGATCTCGCTAAAATGACCGCTTTGTCTCATGGGCTATCATTTCCCCAGAGCCAACTTATCGCAGGCAAGGTTTGGCACTGGAGGCGCTACAGCTTATGCTATCCTTCGCCACAACCTCCCGCTTCATCGCTAGTACCTCGGTAGTCATACCAGAGCCAGATACAACACTCCGACCATTGCCCATTGACACCAGCATCCTTGTCGTTCGGATTTCTGCTAGCAATGCTCCGAGCGTTGCATTGTTCCGATGTCTTGGCTTCAAAATTGTGCGTCATGTCGAGGTGTTCAACGAGCTTGAGATGCGGTTTGACTCTAAAGCCACATAAATTGTCAACGCCATACCTGTGCATGCAAAAGCTGACAACAATGAGTTTCACAATACTGTACCATTACGACCTTAAGTTCATGGTGGCGTGGGAAGTTATCAAATTAAATTCTGCTGTCCACCCCAACAACTTCAACTGGTAGGTGGCCTGGTGGACATTGTTCACATTCCAGGACAGAAAATGTTAAATATTGCACTATTTCAGGTCAAATGATCCTCTCAACCTCATCCCAAAGTGAGAATATCATTACAAGGGATATCAGTTAATGGAAACATTTATGAGTGTTATTTGTATATTTATTCTATTTTTGGTATGATTTTGTTGTTTGCACATCTGTCCACCTCTCTAAGTTCGGATGGGTTGACTGAGGGTGGACTGTCCACCCTAACTAAGTTCAGTTCGAGCCCTGCATGGACAGGGGACAAACTTAAGGTCATAATGGTACAGTATCATGAGTTGAATGTTCATTGTAAAACATTCGATGAGAAAATGACTCACAATGAAGGTTGCTTCATCTACATTCTCAACAACATTGGGTTCCACAACACTCATCAATACACCTACCATTCAGCAAGACCTTCTAAATAACTTTAGAATCCAGGTTGCAGCATCTGCATTCATACTGATGGTGTCCACATATAAGCACTTACATCTGTGCACCTGCAGCATCACCATTCAGGAAGCATCTTCTGGTATTGCACAGGACTTTCAAATTCAAAATCAGCTGCATATAGATAACAAAATATTAAATAATCCTTCATGTACTATACATGCACTTGCACTTGTAGACAATTGCGAGTAGATGGCAGATATACCGCATCTATCTGCTGTTGACTATAAAGCTATAAAGGTTATAATTTACAAAATGTATGATTTAGAAGTGATTGGCAGATGAGCAAAATAAAATTCGAGTAGCGGGTTGAACCAATGACCCTTGCAACAGCTTCAACTCCACTCAGTGGCCTATCCACAGCACCACTGGGCTGTTATAATGTAATTGACCGTGACATATATAGCTGCCTTCCAAAAAGACTTAGGCAAAATTGAGCCAAGTGTACCTGCATTGCTGATGATAATTTTGCTAAGTCCATTCCAGAGAATCATATACCAGTGTAGGTCATGCAGTTGGTCAGCTCTGTGGTGCAGTGGTCAAACATTGCAGTCCTTCTTCCTGAGGGTGCTAGTTCAAATCCTAGCTCTGGTCTTTTTGTTACCACAACAATTGTTTTCTAATATCCCCTATACACACAATGCACCATTGTGCTGGTACACATAGATAGATATATTTGGAGTTTTTTAATAGCTATCAAGCTGTGTGTACATGAATAAGGACAACAGTGTGCAGCACAGTAAAACACATGCCCTCAAAAGTGTGAGTAGACAGCTTGTGGGTGCATACCCAATACAGGTGCTTTACTATCTCATGGCAGATTTTTAATTTGAAAGTCCTGTGTTGTGTGCATGCATGATACTATATCTATTTTACCTTTTACAGATACTCATTGGCTATCCAGCAGCACACTTATCCTACTACCTGGCTAGTTAGTACATATGTCTAATGATAGTATATTTTTATATGTGGCCTCTTATCTGCCAGCTGCGTATTTGATGCCTGTTACCCTCCACTGTGGTGCTATTTTTCGAGGAAAAAAAAAACCCCTTCTGTGCTTTGCTTCATACTTTATACAGCTTCCACACTTTGTATAATCTCCGTTTATTTAGCACAAGACATCTCCATGTATCTTATAGCAGTGTTTTCAATCTGTTTCATTTTTTATTTCTGCTTCTCTTCTACTATCTAATGTTACTCTACACTTTTACATAGTATTCCTATCAACATATTATATCACACTCTATTATACTCTCCTTGGTCTTAATTAGATCTACTAACACTGGAGTTTCAAGGAAATAAACCAAAATAGGAAGTTGGAGCAAATATAAGCAGAATTCTATATTCCTTAATGTACTCATGCCAGTATGAATACTCAATGCATGCTTATCTCACTTGCTACATACTTGACACTGGAGTTTTTCAGTCTATTTTGACTGGATGATATGTGCATCAGGAACATTGCAACCGGCTGTGTCAAGCTTGATACAGCTTGATCGAGCTTGAAATAGTGCTGAAGGACTAAAGTGCGGAAAGGGCTCCAGACGAAAAAAGGACTGCATCAAGTTTATACGCCAAATTTGGTTTGAGGTGATGAAAAGTTAGAAAAGTCAACCAGTTTATTGTCCATGTCAAAAGTCTACGGAAGTCTAAAGTCTATGATGGGAATGTGTCTACATGAACAGAATACAAAAATGCGGTGATCCACGCTATTGCAAACCTTCCAAGCTACTCATCACCTTCTTCCTCATCCTCATCCTCATCCTCATCCTCATCCAGCTCTTCCAGTGCCGGGCTGCTTGAGGGCATCAAGAACCTACAGGCATGTTGAAGGGAGCTGCTGGCAACCAATGTGGCAGTGGATGCAGGTGCATCTCTGGAACCATTATCAAACCCCCATGCCATAAAACACTCCAGCCAGTGATTCACCTTGATGTTGCTGACAGCTTTCCCATAGTCAACGGTGGCTTGCTTATAATTCTTGAATGAGAAGGTCATGATGGTGTCATTGCTAGTACCCAACCGGTACTTCTCAAACACCCTTTCAACCTGTAAGAATTTTGTCAGAACAGCAGCATATGAATCAAGTATGAATACATGAATATTCTTACCGCGATCATTGCGAGAACTACTGCACCCCTTGGCTCATAGTACAGAATGTAGGAACTGGCCATTCGCTGCACCATTAATTGCATGATGCTGTTGATGAATTCTGAGCAAAGATAGCCTTTCAGCTTCTGTAAGATAAGTGTACAATTAAAGTTCCAAGTATTATTGAGAAAAAGGTGAAAGGTACCTGATATTGCGGATTCTCATGAGAGGACCGCTGCGTTTGCTCCATCGGCATTGGATGTTGCCAAAAACCGGGCCCATCTGCATGTAGTGCCCAGATGGTGTGGTCCCGAATGGCAGCAGGATTGTCCTTATATGGTGGGGCAGAGTAGAAGCTCGCAACGTGTGCGAGGGTGGCACAACCAATTTTGGATTGCTTCTGATATAAACAGTCAACAGCCTGATGAGCCCATAAATGAGACAACCATGCCAGTATGAGACAATTAATATAACTCACATTGTCAAAGAGTTTGTTTCTGAACTCCACCGTATACCCCAGCCCCAGCACAACAATGTCAACAATAGCCTGGAGCTCCGGAACATTTGCCGCAATCTTCATGAAGATGAACCAGGGATTGAGGGTGTTGGAGAACTTGGCGTACACTGTAGGGCGGATTGCTGAAGGCCAGTAAGCAAGGATATTCACAGGCACTGGTTTTCTCACGGAGGGAACGGATTTGAGCCCTGGCTCGGTCTTGATGAGTGGACGCGGGTTGGTAATGGGCTGCGTCTTGACAGCTGCACAAGCTCCACCGCTGGAAGTGTGAGGGGTGTGGATGGGTGCCTTCGTGGTCTTCAGAGCCTTCTTTGCTTTAACGGCGGTGGCAGCGGTGGCAGCGGTGGTTGGCCTAGGGGCCTTCTTGATGGTGGTGGAAAAAACAGTGGCTCATCGAGTTCTTGAGACATGTCCAACTCACTGTCAGAGTCAATGGTAATAATCTACGCTATTATTAGTAATTAGCATGTGATAAAATGAAGAAATACACGTACATCATTGCATTGACCACGCTTCAGCTACACCATGCAAAGTCCACTCAGTCCATTGGCGCAGGCGTCATCATCGTTGAGGCCACCAACAAATGGTCCACTGCATCCATGAGAGGCACTTGACACAGCCTATGAGCACCATGTGGTCTTGGGGCCTGCCACCATTGTTGCCTTCGCAGCTTTGCTGCTGGCACTCTTTGCATTCCTGGAAGAGGTGAGCACTTCTGATAGAAATGACACAAATGGCAAGTACTGACTTCTTCTTTCCCTTGTTGCTACTTGCCTTTCCCTTGTCTTTGTTGGTTCCTGCATCCACCTCCACTCCCACATCTGCCTTGGCTACCTTGGCAAGAGTAGCTTTGTTGTTCACCTGCAAAACAAATGTGAGTGAAAATCATAGTACAAGTCTTGAGTTCTCACTCTGATCATAATCCTTTCATAAACAGGATATTTGTCATCACCACCAAAGTAGTACGGCTCCTGGCCAAGGTTCTCCTACTGGAAAATCTTGTCTGGCAAGTCTGGGTCCAGGTCATCTGAGTCGGGAGGGGGATTAAGCGCATCCTCTAATGTAAGTACTACCAATGTCCTCTTGTTGTGCTCTCTAATCCCATCTAGCTGCTCGTTCTCCTCAACCTCTTTCATATGCAAGGATGCAAGCTCCCAAATACGCTGCTCCTGCCACAGCTGCTCCTCATACTGCACTTTGACCTCCACAGAGATTTGTTTGTGATGTGGGAGATCCGGCTTGCCTGGGTGCTCTTGCTGTTTGTGGTCTGGCAACTCACGGCGGGCTGGAGTAGCACTGTTATGGATGTTGGAGTCTTGGGCACTGGTAGCTGAAGCTGAAATGTTGGGTGGAGCAGAGGACAGAGCTGTGGCTGGCAGTGTGTTTTCTGCCAGTCGCTCTGCCGTCTTTGTCCCCTTACACTTGCGTTGCTTGCTGTTGCGTGTTGCTGCCATGTTGATGGGCAGTGCAGCTGCACCCATGATGTTGCTGGCTGCACATCTGTGCTTGCAGGCTGCTGGCATTGCTACAGCAGTAGCTGCTGCAGGGGAGATGGGTGTGGACATGGTGTCAGAAGTGGTGGGTGTGGTCACTGCGGTGAGCTCGCTGTTTGCTGCCAGGCCTCTCACCCTTGTCTGCATCTGGGAGGGATAGAAGATGCTGAGTGGCAGGTGGAACCAGTTTATGATGGGGGGAACACAAGAGAAGTTTTAGGCGAAGTGTGGCCATTCATAGAATACGTGGCACGGTGAGCTTTGACAAATCTTATGTTTCCTCTACTCCTCCCCATTCATTCACCGCGTCCCCTTCATGTTTGGCTCCTGCATTTGTATTACACCTTCTCTGTCTTCAACCATGTCTGCTGACCACGCACATGCTGCTCCCATTCCATGTCCTCACTGCCTTCACAAGTGTCTCTCACAGGTTGGGCTTTTATGACATCTCAATCTTCAACATTGAAGTGTTTCTGAGGACCTTCCCAACTCAGATGCACCCTGTCCCAAGGCCACATTTGTTTGGCACCCTCATCTCAGTGGCACATAAAGTTTCTGCTTGTGAACTTTGTTCCTCAGTCCACCTTTCAGGCCACAAAACAACAGCAATGGAACACTTTCTCCTAGGCAATGCACCCCCACCCCCACCACCCCCACCACCCCCACCACCCCCACCTCCCCCGGCCCACACACCCAATTCCTGGGCTCTGTTCAACTTGCGGGTGGAGTTTGACTTTGCGTTCAACCACTACATGACAACAGAGTCCCCAGCTTCCGAGATCAAGTGTGCACTCACCTTCCGGGATGCTGTACTTGCCCCACATGGCGAGGCAGCACCTTGGAGGAATAAGAAGGATGTTTACGACACAATCAACCAAATATGTGAGGGCAGCATCCCTTGGAAGGTATACAAGATGTGTTACAGCAGCTCACACCCTCCCTCGTCTCCAAAGTGGATGATGGAAACCTACAAACTCTGCACCTGCAACTTCCATGCTGTTCTCCACCACCAGCTTGCAACCCGTGACTTTGAGGAGAAAATTAACTATGCACCATATTGGCACTTCAACCACAATGGCAAGCATGTATTCTTGGACCTTGTGTCTGGTGAATGGGCTTGGCGTCAAGCAGTGCGTAACTCTCTCCTTTTTTATCATTCACTTACTAACTCAGACTTTAGGACATTTTGGCAGAAGATCCACGTACACATGGCACCATGTTTGTCCCTGTTGTTGCTGGCAGCAACATAACTACGGTATCTGTTGCTACAGGACACCAGGAGTTCCACCTGGTGTATATTTCACCAGGGAACCTCTCAAACACAGCTTGTCGAGGCCACACCAACTTGGTGCTACCTGTGGCCTTCCTCCCAATACCTCATAGTAAGTTCGAGTCCATTGCTTGATATGTTTGACTGACGACTATTCTAGCTAAACGGAAACATTACCAGAAGCCTGAATTCCAGGCCTTCTGTTGGCAGCTATATCACGAGGTGCTGCAAAGGGTATTCCAGCCACTGGCAGCTGGAATGGAAACCCCAGAGGTCATCAAGTGCCCAGATGGCCACTTCCGCAAGGCGGTGTATGGTCTGGGACCGTACATAGCCGATTACCCTGAACAGGTCTGGTTGTCGGGTATGATATCAGGCTGGTGCTCTAAGTCAGTGTTCTCATTGTTTTATGTACTCTATACTAATGTCTACACAGGTGCGACACAAAGCCGGACACCCTTGACAATCCAGGCACTCAACAATGAATGCGTGACAAAACAGACCACTACTGTGTCCATTTCGATACGAACACATTGTGGAGCAAGTATGGGATACGAGAGGATTACCGGGTGAGTACTCTTTTGCCTGGCATGTTTGTTGACACAAACTGAACCTTCAAGCAGCTGTTTATGCACCACTTCCCCCATGCTGACATCCACAAACTCTTGTCCCCCAACCTCCTTCACCAGGTGATAAAAGGCACCTTTAAGGACCATATCGTTGTGTGGGTCAACACATACCTGAAGATTGTCCATGGCAAGACACAGGGGAGTGCAATTATTGATGAGATTGATTGCTGGTACGTGCTCAGCTTATACCTTGCATCTACATCTGATATCTTCTCAGAATCAACCTTGTACCTTCATTCCCCAGGCTACGATGATTCCCAGATGGCCGAGATTTTGAGCAGTGGACGGAGGATAATAGCAAAGCATTGATGAAGGTGCGTACACTGCAGATGCTCAAGTGCTCACTCACCATCACGCTCACCTTCTATTCACCTGGCAGGTCTATTTACCCACCATTGCCGGCTTTGTTCCTGCCAAAATGGTCCAGTGCCTCTCGGCATTCCTCAAATTTTGCTATATCACCCACCAGAACAGCTTGTCTGCGGACAATCTCAACAATCTCAATGCTGCCCTTTCTCACTTCCATGACCTTTGGACTATATTCATTGATACCAGTGTTTGCCTCAACAGCATCTCGCTCTCACATCAACACTCGCTCTCTCACTATCAGTACTCGATTATCCTTTTTGGATCACCCAATGGGTTGTGCTCATTGATTACTGAATTGAAGCACATTATTTCCATCAAGAAACTGTGGTGACAATTGAATCAGTTCAAGGTGCTCTACCAGATGCTACGCATCTTGGTACACCTTGATAAACTTCACGCGGCAAGGTGCTTATTTGAAGAGTGTGGAATGATGGTGGACGATACCTCAAGCTATCAATGAACAATTCTTACTGGCGGCTTTCCTTCCTGTGAGCGACCCTTAACTAGGGGAGTCACTGCACACGTGAACAGGAGGTGATGATGATGAGAAAGACTAACCCTAACCCTAGATGGGGCTTGGGCAGAAGTAGATGCCTCGACAAGAGGACTTGAGACTTATGTTTACAAATAGATGTCGGAAATAATTGTTTTGCTATATTATGCGTTATTATGCATTCATATAGGTCCGCCCCACGTTACTACGCGTCGGTAACACGATTTGCGATTGAATGCCGTAAAAATGGTGTTGCAACGCCGCTCACACTCGCGTCTAATGACAAGCTGCCAATGAGAATGCATGACAAGGACCGTAATCCCGCAACTACGGCATTTTAACTGCATTCTAACAGCGTTATAAGGGTCAAACTACGCGGTCGTAGGGCATTATTACACATTTCCATGGCAAAATGGGTCCGGAGTTGGAACGCCCCTTTGAGGTTTTCCGACAGAGCTAAGGGGAAATCCCAAAAGAACTCTCTTGGAGTTCTGGGTCATCAATTGCAGTCTTATATACTATTGGGCAGCTGCTCACAGACCATGTAACTAAAGGTAGGGCTCCTGCCTAATTAGGAATACAAGTACTTAGTAATACAAGCACACCATATTGCACGATCCTTGCATCATATGATGTCATGGTCCAGACCCATCACGTGTTTGGTCATGTGCCTGCTTATGTGATAGATAAGGCCAAAGCCTGGCCATGTCAAAAACGAATGCAATAAATAATGCATTGTTTGTCCGAGTTAGGGCTAGCAGGAGGCATTTTTGACACTTCCCCTCCCAACAGCACTTTAGTACCAGCCCCTATGGATCCGGAAGAGGACAAAGAGCCAGTGACTGGACCAAAGGTCATATCAGCAATTGAGCTAACCTGAACTTGTGGTAAGTACATGCTGTGCTCCTCTAGTGTTGTCGCTCATTTTCTCCTGACTAACTAGAACATTTTTGACCTTGCTGCTGTGATTCACCAACCGGCGCTTCCTCATCTCATCCGCCACTTTTTATTTGATCAACTAAATCCTGATCACGATCATGCTACTAACCCAATTTCTATTGATCAGTGCCCCATCTTTTCCGGACCCGTTTATGTTTGGCATTCCACCATCACTTGATTCTGGGTGCCGAGCGACTACTGTGGAGCCAGGGGGATGCATCGTGAGTGGATCCAATGTCATCCTTCCTGGTGTGGCCAGTATGCATAACACAACACAGTTTTCATTGAGATGGATGGCAAGGGACTGGGTATGCACAGAATAGCAGTAGGATGGGTGTTTCTCTTTTTCTTGGTTAAATACAAAGGCAGAGAGTACCAGCACGCTCTCATCCACTGGTTTATACCTGTAGGTAACCAACCGGACCCAACAACTGGGATGTGGGTGGTGCGTCTGATGTCAGTTGCGACAACAGGTACTACTAGTGTAATACCAAGTCCCAGATGTTGAAGGTTCTCCTAAAACGTACAATGGTCTGGTTGTTTGGGGTGAAGTGGCAAATGTAGATAGGAGTGATATAGGAGTGATAGGGAGGATTGATAGACGAAGATTACTGATGGAGTAGAGAATGGGAGTAGCGATGATGAGGGATAATAACTGAGGATGATGATGGAGTATAGAGAGATGATAGTTACGATGATGATTAGAAATTGATGATGAGCTTAGTGAGTACTGACTTCACACTTGGAAATCAGGGAGGAAGATGTCTCTCATTGCACAGTCTAACTACTGGTATATATACTACTGAGCCTTTGCACGTGCGTGTATACTAAAGGCTATTTGTATGGTATTTTTAAGTAGGGCTGTGGCGCTGAGTAAGAGAAGTGAATAATACGAGAACGATTTATAAGAGCCACGAGAACGCTTGGTAAGAGCCACGAGAACGCTTGGTAAAAACCACAAGAACAAAGTACAGTGAAAAGGAAATAGTGAGGCTGCACTCGCGCAGCATTATTAGTAAGTGCGAGAACAAAAGACAAGGAAAGGGGAAGTGGACGAGTAAGCAAGGGAAAATAGTGGTCCATAGTCCAATGAAAACAAAGTAGGTGAATAAGCAAGGGAAAAAGGCTGATAAATTGATGACAGATGCAAGAAGAAAATAATAGAAGTAGTAACGAGCTCACAAATCCAACACTGTCTTCCACTCCAAGTGACTCATTGATGACCAAGCCAGTGGTCTTGAGGCTGCGCTCCCCCTGAGGTGCTGATCAAGCACTGAGTAGGGTAGTGGAGGAGAACTACTGCAGTGGCCTATGCTGGAATACCGGTGGCTTGGCAAAGGAGTGTTCATGGTCAATGGCTGATGAGTTGCTGGATGTCCTAGATGCCCCGGATAATGTGACCTCCAGGAATGCTGTTACAAAGTCCTTGCTGGTCTGTGGACTGATGGGGTGGAGGGCATGATAGACGCTACACCGCACAAAAGAAAGGTTGCAGAGGTGATAAGGTAAAGCCAGGTGAGCGACGCAGTGGAGAGGGTGATGTTCTGTGGAGTAGACATTGAAGACAATGTAGTCGTGCTCATAGTGGCAAATGGAGTGAACAGGGCCTCTAGCAGCCTTAGCTTGTCCTTCGCCAGCAGGAAGGATGATGGTCACAATTGACCCGATGCCAACCTTGAGATGGTCATTGAAATTCGTACAAGGGTCTGCAACGAAGTAGTTCCTGTTGGCGATGCAGCGAACGAAGGTGGTGTCGGGATACATTTGGGGTTCTGGGAATTGGCGAAGAATGTTGAAGGAGTGGAAGATACTGTCGCTGATGAGCCATGCAAGGAGGACACAGTAGAGAAAGACAACAAATGTGACTGAGAAGATGACAGTCACCAGAGTGAAGAGGAATGGGCCGTCTATGACTATGCCGAGCATGGTGATGGGAAGAGACTCGGTCGCGCCCTTCTGCTCTCTTGGTTATGAGGTGTATTCTTGTCCTGCGGGTCCCTGGGGTGTGTTGGCAAACTGTATTAGTGCTCATCTTGAACCATATCGCGGGCCAATCACTATTGGTGCATGATAATGGGTACATCCGTAGATGGAGATCAGGAGATGCAAAGTGAAGAGGTGTGGAGCACTTCTACGGGTACATCCATAATGGAGATGGGGATCAGGAGGTGCACATTGGCAAAAGAGGTTGAGCATGTGGGGAGATCCATGGGAAGATCCAGGGATATTCCATGGGAAAGCATATTGGGGAGATTCTTGACCAAGCAGTCCATGGGAATGCGCAATAATGATAGAGCCAAGTGTGATGCACTTGAGGTGATGAGTCACATAGCCAGGAGGTGCATGTCTGCAAGGGATGTTGCAGGTATTGTGTATCCAAGCCCAGGCGAGGCTGTGTGTCATGTGACAGTGTGGCAATAGGGGTTGACCATGCGAACAGGAAGGAAAAAGACAGGGGTGGAACAGTAAACCATAACAGATTTAGTAATAATAAAGCAGAGGCTGAAAGCTGATAGGGGTTGGCTGTTGCAGGAATATGGGATTAAAATATTGTGTGGCAGTAAACCAATTGACCAATGGCAATAATTTCTCAACTTCATGCATGACTAAAATGTGCCTGGAATAACTAAAGCATGCCTGGGAAAATGACTAAGGAAATCATGTGCTACACCATGTAACAATAGAGTCCATGTGGTGATGGAGTTATATGTTCCTGATGACCAAAGGACCATGTGGTACTGTTGATAATAACTATTTTGTTGATCTGAACCTTGTCATTTGGTGAACCTACAGTCTTACCAAATTTAATGGATCCAAGTTAAATAATACTGTTTATGAGTCCATCTCTATTGTTCCACTGTTTATGGTGTAAACAGCCTCGAAGGCCATAGTCCTATGTCATAGCTTAATACTTTCACTTGTTTTGGCCCTGTATTGGTATTCTCCATGTGCTGCTTTTATTGTTTTGTTTTGATTTATATGCTCAGAAGCTACCTCGTAATCTTGATTTGCCCTTTGGAAACAGATTGCACACTTCTCTTAAACTCAATCAGATCTAGGCCTTTTGTGACCCTACTCACCCTCACACCTAGATTGTTATTTTATTAATCAGTGTTTATATAGCTTCAGGGGTGACCATTTGAACAGGCAAGGATTATCTCAAGGCTACTTTGAAAGTAAATTTCAGCTAAGGTACAATAATCTCTGTAGCAATTAGTAACAAACATTTTTATTATGTTTTATTGTTAGTTACCCCTTATTTTTACCATAAGTGTGGAACAATGTAGTGGTTGTGCTGGACTTAGCTAATGATCCTGGAATAGATTGGTCCGAGTGGCCGGTGTGGGACAAAATGTGACCTCAATGTAGAAGCGTGTACAGCAATGCTGTGCCGTGTGATGTCAGCCAAGTCACAACGGACTAAATGAGTTGTTTACGCGTTGTTTGGCCCTCCCTCTCTTTGTCTAAGCGAGATAATAATATAAAGGCGTGTGTCCCAACTCAACTCTGAACCACCACCCACATTTACCCCAAGCGAACACTGAGACGGAGATGGCCTCAATGTACGTGCTCGCATTCATGCTACTTTCTTACCAATCGTACTGATCCTTAGCCCAGAGATGACTTTGGAGAGATTCCGGGTATCAAGCCTGGCCATATATTCAAGAAGAAGTGAGTCCATTGATCCAAGACGCGACGGCTTGTTGATCATAGTTGTTCTCTGCTAGGGACGACTGCTACAAAAGCGGAGTGCACAAGAGCCCGAGAGGTGGTGTTCACGGCAGCGAAGCGCTGGGTGCCGCCTCTATTTGCATCTCAGGGGGTTACGAAGACAACAAAGACGAGGGTAACATTATGTGAGTGCCACCATTGGATCAGTAGAGGCGCCTGGTTAAACTCTGTGAATCCAACGTAATAAAGCTGGTACACAGGATCTGGTGAGTACATTGTCTTCTATGCTGTGACATACTCTAACAAGACATAGGCGGTCAGGATGATGAAGGCGTAAGTAGTGTGAACTATTGCATACCTATCAGGAAAATTGACAGCAGGATCCTATCGTGCCAGACTCAGGTCGGAGATCAGACGTTTACCTCGACCACGTCGAACCGAGCCCTTTACGTGGGTCTCTCGACCAATCTTTCTTTCCATTCTGACCTTCGGTTTTGCAGACGTCCTATCAGCAGAGACGGGCAGTACGCGTAATCCGTGGAGCAGGTAAAGCAAACTCCCTAACAAACAATCTATACGCGCCCAAGTCTGGGTAAGTATGCACCGTCTTATGTATCTATCGCACATTTATACATCTGCTTTATAGATACCGATACGATGGCCTGTACTATGTAGACGATGTAGGTAGCCAGCGACTCGTCCTCTGCGAATGGTCTGACAGCACGAATATAGGCACGGATTGTTGAGGGCAAGAGTAAACACAAAGTGTGCCAGTTCAGATTGGTCGTAAGTAGCGTAGGTTTTGTTATTTCACGGGCTAACGGAGCCTCAGCGAAGCATGACGGAGGGCATGAAAGGCATTCCCACCAGGCGCGTGTTGACCACTGAAAGACTCAAGAAGATGATGCGATCAACTACACGCTGATCCCACATCCAATTCACTGCTATTAGCATTCGCTCGTTGCTTCGCATATGAACCTGTATATCTATAATGACTTATGTTCTCATATATCCGATTTTACGACTGCTAATTGGCTTGACTTACTGCAATGTATAGCGATTTCTTTGTGATCACACGAACTTTTCTTGCGTTTGAAGACTAAGCAAATACTGAGATTTCCGGCTGTAGTAGGATATGGTGACAATGTTCCTTGAAACACAAATAAAAGTTGACTGCATGATGACAAAGGGCCAGAATAAATGGTTGGTATCACGGTGAGGGATAACATGTTGGATGAAACGGAACAATAGAACATGCCACGAAGAAGTAAGGAAATGAGAGACCGGAGAAAACGACGACTATCTCACAAATTCCTAATGACTGCTAATAAGCCAAGCGTTTGAGACGACATACTGACAAAGACTCACCAGCGGCTCAGCGAATTGTCTATGGCGACTAGTTCTCTTCATCTGGGATGCTGGCGATGCTCCGGGGCCGGTCATCAGTCAACTTCGTGCCTTCAAGAAGGTTGACCATGGCTTCAATCTCATCATGGGCACCGGGGGAAGCATCCTCCACGTGCTGGATCTCGACGCCTGGGATGGTCGCTTTCTCGTCCACGCCATGGCCGTTGACAGTCTCCTCTGTAGCCTCAATACTATGCCCCTCGACAGCAGGCGCTCCAGTTTCGTGCTCTTCATTCAATGGTAGATGTTCTTCATCCACGTGCTCCGTCTCATCATGCGCTCCCCCATCGGTATGTTCTTCCACTGCAGCCTCTTCATGCGAAGGTTCCTCAGCACTTAACTCTTCGAGATGCTCCTCGCTCGTAGCTTCTGCGTGTACGATAGCCCCCAGCTCCCCCTCATCAGACAGCACAGGTTCTTCATGGGTATCCGTGTGTGAATCCCCCGAGGCCTCCTCATTGTGCTCCACTCCCGGATGCGGAGCGTCGATCTCCTCTTCGTGAGGTGCTTGCTGTTCTGCAACGACGGAAGCAGCGGCCGTGACACCGGCAGCAACGCCGGCACGAGCAGTCGGCTTAGCAGCGGTCTTCGCCTTGGGATCTTTGGGCTTAGCAGCAGCTGGAGTTGACTTGGTTTTAGTGATTGCAGATGCGCGGGGCGGGCTCGTTGGTGACTTGACATTCCTGGGCGACGTCACGGCGGAAGGGGCTGGAGCAGTAGAACGCGCCTTTGATAGCGATGCAGCCGTAGGCTTGCTGAGACGTTCTGAAGCGCTGCTGCTTGGGGCCGTTTTCTTCGTGGGAGCCGGCGCCTGCTGTGCATTACGCGATCGCGCCAGGGAAGCTGCGGTTGGTGCGTACAACCCTGAGGACGGCGTCTTGGGACGCGATGCGCCAGCAGAGGGCGACATGGTGCCCGATGGACGAGGATGCTTGGTTGGGGTGACATGAGACTTTGGAGTCGCAGACCGTGGTACTGACCTCGCCGCCGAAGCATGAGAAGGCGGCGTGTGTCCAGTATTCTGAGAGCGAAGGGGCTGGGTGGTACGTGGCGGGGACTTTGGGGTTACCTTACTGGCAGGATGAGTCGATCTGCCTGGGGGTGCTTTGATGGGTGAGGTCGATTTGCGAGCAGCGGTAACCGCAGGGGCTTTGGTAGTGGGCTTCTTCTCATCTGGACTCTGAGCGGGCTCCGGCGGCGGAGGTGGTGGGGATGTGGGCTCGGTTGGTGATTGCATGGACGGAGACTCCGGCGGTGTAGGTGCCATGGGTTGAGGGGGAGTGACTGGCTCCTTGCTGATACTGGTGGAAGAGGATGAGGGTGTGAGGGCTGGTTTCTCAGGTGACGCTACGGATTTGGGAGGCCATTCCCGTCTCTCTCTAAGTTCTTCCTTTGCGGCGTCCGCCGTGTGCTGCGACAAACCACTGGAGGTACGTGGGATAAGGGGTGGTGAAGACGTAGAAGGCTTGGACTTGTTCTGTTGCTCAAAGCGTCCTATAAGGTTGGCAACACTCGCCCGTGGACGCTCATCTGGGAGAGGCCTGCGATAGTGGGAGATCGACGTCAATCCGATGGACGTTGAGGAACATCGGAGGAACAGGATACCGACATTGTGCTGGCTGGATGTCTTGCAGGGCAGCAAGGTGGGGAACAATACGACTAGGTGATGATAGAGTAGAAGAGAAAGGTAAACTAAGAAGAAAGTGATGACACGACAACGAAGAACGGATGAACCACCGTCAAGGGATGCATCCCCGCTAAATAGCATCCGGATATGGCAACGTAACGACCTGTAACCACCACGACTGTCGACTGGCATCGCTGTCTCCGAGATTTAAACGCATGCATTCGTACAAATCATAAATCAACTAGGTAGCCATCGACTCAGTTCATCAAGTAACACTCTCATGCCCCCGTTGCGCCAAAAGTGGCCCTCACCAGGCACCCGCAAGACTTCGACCCGAGCTGACCCTGCCGGCGATCCTTCAACTGTCTCCGTTTGCTTCCGTATCTCGCTGACCCACGCGTCATATCTCGACACGCTCGTAAATTCGTCCTTGTCGCCGTAAGTGAAGAACACGTTTGCATCGGGATTGTGCACGAGATTCTCGAGTCCAGAAGTAAACCCTGAAGTCTTGAACATCGTCAGAAAACCCATCGACCATGAGCTCATTGGGTAAGAGATCAAGACATGATACGTCTTGATGGATGGTAGGACAGGATGCACAGAGGCAATCAGCGATCCATACGAATAGCCCTAAGATGGGGGTAGGCTCTTTTAGTTGCCGCGTGCATAGGAACAAAGGTGACTTGGACGCACCACCAACACCAGGCTATTGATCCGAGGCAATCGCCCGATGGCCCATTCCGTCAATGCCTTCAAGTCATCCACTTCAGACTGTCCCGACAGAGAGGAGCGTCCAGTCGATTGACCGACTCCTCTGGAATTGTAGAAAATGACATGGAAGTCGATGGAAGCTAGGCTCCGTGAAATGTGCGCAATTACTCTGGTCAAAGCCTAGAATGTAGGTAGGAAAGAGGCCACTGCACATGAGTATATACGCACGGATCGTGCATGTTTCCCCCAAGCCAAGACCATGGATGCAGACATATGGCCAGCTTTGTAACGCTGTCGGTCCCCAGCTGAGACATTTGGGCTACCTCAAGCTTGACACCGGTAGAAACTTCAACAAGACTCGTCTCTGCGTATGGTGCCATGATGGAAGTGAGAAGGTCTTGGGAGGTGCCGGTGAGTGCTGGTCGAGGTCAGTGATTAGAATGAGGTGGCTGTGCATCACGTCCTGGTCGGTGATTGACCCCCTTGCACTTGCTTACAACCTCTCAGTACGTCGCGCTCGCTTACTCCAAGCAGGGTGGCGAGTCCAGAGCGGCAGGTGCACTACAAACTTGTCTGCATTGCATATCACCACCGACCTAAAATCGCTCGAAGCCTTGGATGGCCGAGACTGTACTTTCTTTACTCTTAATTACCTCGTCTGCCAAGGGCTCCAGCATCGTATACAGATGGCCTCCGAATCCCCAGACCTCTTTTCGACTCTCTCGTCCCCTTCCCACTGCAGACGGCTTACAGGTCGATAATCCGTGGCGAGCAGCCAACTACTTCTCGACTTCGACAGATGGCAAGACAACTCCTCCCCGTCCCACTCACCGAGACAGTGATCACCAATGGAAAAGGCCAACGTCGGAGCGCAACCGTTCCATGTCATTCTCGCGTTCCTTGCCTCGCTCTTCTTCAGCAAGGAGCTCCCCTTCTAGAGATGGCTATCCCGACGAGCGTGAAGCTGAAGACCTAGACGAGTACAATAGTCTGTTCAGCTACTCTTCTGAGTTCCTTGCTGGCATGCTGTGTCCTAATACGTCCCTCTGCCACCAAAAGTTCGAACTCATCGTGGACGACCTTGTCTTTTTGGGTCATCCTGTATGCGTAGAAAGTGATGGGTCATGGAGTTTTAAACCGGAAAAGGCCAAGTCGAGCTCGAGAGGCCGTAGGAATCAGGAGCTCATTCCCATTGATGACGAAAAGTCTGAGCGGTCCGCAGGCACGGCTCAGGAGCAACTCCCTCCGCAAATGCGTAGCGCATGGCTTCAAATGTTTCACTTCGTCATCGTTCTAGACTTGCCTGACCCTTCGTCTTCTGCATCTGGCAACGTTGCAAAGTACTTTGACATCATATACGAGCAGATTGCTTTTACAGTCACTGCGGTGCTCTTCCAGGAACAAGTTCTTTCGAATTTTGTCGAGACCGAATGCGATACATTGTATGCCTTGAAGGACGATTGCATGGACAAAGGTGACTTTTATGGCGTTCACCCGCAGCTGTCGGGCTAGATCTCACATTACCGTCAGAACGCGAGTACTCCGAGTTCAGCGCGCAGGCGCTTCAAGTTTCCTCCATTGCTCCGGCTATGAAACTGCTCTACGAAGCAATCAAGTCCTCTACCATGGCATACATAACCCTTCATGATCTCCCACTCGAACTCCAGCTTCCTCCGTATCTCGATCAGCTTCTCCACAGCGAAGAAGAGTACACATACGATTTCTTGGATCACCAGATAGATCCAGATGAACCAACGCGATGGGGCCCCCAGTTTGATGTTGGCTGGCGGCTTCCCAGCCTAGCGCCTTGGAAGAGCTTGCTCCTGCTTGATAATGAGGATGGCTTGGACCCGTACGAAAACTTGAGGGGCCCTCACGTACGCCCTGATGAAAGGGCATTGGCAGAAAGTTTGATCAGGTTCCTTAAAACTGCCTCAGTCACTCTATCGTGCGATGCCTTGCTTTTATTTTCCTTTCCTGCGTGATTACTAAGGGCTACTCAGACTGGCTGATATGGCAACGCTTCTGGACTGGGACCTTGAGCTCCAGATTTATCCTACCGTGCGCTGGCTCGTCCTTCATAGACGGGCTAAAGTCGTGGACACGGTCCATCGAGAGTTGAAGACCATATTCACGCTCCCTCCCAAATTCGAGCAGCCGTGAGTGCTGTCTCATTCCCTGTTACTTGATAGCTGACGTCGTTTATCTCAGACTCGCGAAACTATCCACCCAATTCAAAATTGAGTTCCCTCACTCTTTCATTCCACCTCTGCCAGCTTTACTCGCGACAATATCAAATGCATCATCGAAACAGACCGACAACCATTTCTTTGCCGTCGTTGTTCAGTCCAAGGAGCTTATCCCCCTCTATCACGAAGTCGTCCTGTGGATGCTGAAGCGCGACTTGTTGTATGCGCTTCACCTTCACATACGCGTCATTGCTCCCTCTGAACTCAAGATACGTGTCCGGTATACACACGAACGAAAGATGCAGCGTCTCATCGGGATGCACCCACGAGGTCGTAGCAACAGCCGGAAGATTTCGGCGGCGTCTCATGGCATATCCCAGTATCTCAAGGAAGAGATGAGCAGACGGGTGAACCATCAGTGGTACTCTAGGCGCCTTTTATCCAGTGATTCACGACATAACAACCCCGCTGATCTCTCAGCCTCCTTGTTTACGGAGGAAGAAGAGTATGCGATCGATGACGATGAAGAATCTGACGACGATAATATCGACTGGGGGCCCAGTGAGGACTGTCAGTACCCGTCACTTATTAGTGATCCTGCCACCGCTTCGCCGTTGGAACGGAAGTGGCTCAATGCCATGTCAGAAGGCAAGCCACAATACATCAAGAAGCGGTTCGACCTGTGAGCACTTTTCTTTCAGCAAAACAAGATTTCTTATAGTTCGCTTCAGCATCAACCAGTATTTCGATGGCAAGAAAGCTGATGACGAGATACTGTACCGAGCTGAGATATCCAGGAAGCAGCTTCGTGAAGTTTTGCATCATTACGAAGACTACGTAAGGCGCATTTCATCACCTGAAACGATAGGCTCATTCTCCGCCCTAGTTACAGACTTTCCTTCACCCTTCGTGATTTATTTTTTGAGTAGCAAGACAGATTGTATCTTGGAGGCGAATCAGCCCAAGGCATGCACAGGCTTACAGCAACTAGGCACGATCACGGTGCACCCATCCCAGCAACCGTTCTGCCCTGCTACAGTCGTAGAAGGTCCCTTTCTGACTCTCGACCCAGCCTTCTCTGATAGGCACGTCGGGGAAGTACCGTTTCTTCAGCTTCAACCAATCTTCGCCACCGGGGACGGCAATGCTGGGCGCCACTATGAAAAACCTCTCGTGTCCCACCCACTTCTCTTCACTCGAGGTCACCCCTCTTACAAATGCCTCCGCACCGGAGTCTTCCTGCACGTAACACCATAGATCTCCCTTCGCCTTTGCGTAATCCTCCTTGAACACATCCCTTCGGGTGGGAACGGACGCATGTAGACGAATACTTGCTATTCGCATGGATGGATACCTTCGTATGATCGTGTCGGCTTGCAGCTCAATGATCCTGCGGAGCCATTTTAGATATCAGTACGCGCCTGAAGGATTGCGTTGGTAAATCACAGCTTTGAAAGTCCATATGGCTCGTCCGGGAGACAGGGGTGATTTTCATCGATGGGAAAGTACTCGAACTTTGGTTCGACGCTATAGATGGCTCGCAGGACATTCACGGATGATGCCTGCGAGATACGGCTAATACCGAGCTGTGTTGGCATCGTTAGCATGGCCGAATTCACCACTACTTTTTCCAAACTTCACTTCCGCTACAGCCCGAAGGATATTCCAGTTGATAATAGTGTTCCTGTACCGATGTCAACTTCAGCTGGAATATGGGCAATTGTTGACAATCCCGTACGTGTGGTGAGTGTTGGTCTTCCAATCTGTCGGATTGGGTGCACCGGCTAGCTGCACTATGGCATCGCAACCTTGCAATGCTTCCCTGGTTCCGTCGTAGTCTTTCAAATTTCAAGTCCGCTTGACGGTAGCTAAACCCAGGCTCATTCTTGATAAGGTCTGCAGCTTCGTTCGCTGTGTCGATGCCAGCAACTAAATGCCCTTCCTTGAGAGCAAAGAGGACGACATGTCGGCATACGCTTCCATTGCATCCCGTGACAGCGAAAAGCATTATATGTCGTAAGATGAAGAAGGGGAGGGGTCGTCGGCGAGGGGCTAGGAGATTATATGTCTGCAGGGAGTACCTGGGCTACTTTGCCAATGACGTCGTGAAGGACGTGATATTTCGTCCGCAATGTACGCATACCGAAATGTCATGTTATCTTCGTTATTCCACTAGTTTTGAGTGGGTTAACCTGATTGCAACATAATTAAACTGTCTTTATGTAATGCGTATCAGTTTCTCAATGTAAGTAGTTATATCCATGGCCACCGGAGCCTACATGTATGTATCGGGAGGATGAGCTTTCTCTAAATCCCACCCCAGCTGACCTTCAGGAGAAGTCGGGCCGGTCTATATTCCTCGGGAATAAATTCTGAGCCCATCAAACCTGTCCGTGCCCAAGCGTCTACCACATAATTCCCCGGAACAACAAGCCATAGAAGCGTCCACAACCACCCATATGGGCCGCCCACCTTTCGACCAGTGAACCGTAGCCAAGCAAACTCCATGATAATGCCGACCGAACTGGCCATGAAGAAGCCATACATTGCCAATGCATCACCGCCGTGTCCCATCCCTCGCACACCCACATCATGGAGAGCACCAGACAGGAAGAATGTGCCTAGGATACCCCACGGCTTCCCAAGCACGTGGTTCAAAGGGCGAGCACCAAGCTCGATGAAGAAGTGTCTAAAAAGCTGATGCCACCTTTTGCCCCAAAACGATGCCAGCGATGTCGACTCCCAGGGTGCGTGAAACAACGGGGGCCATAAGGATCCTGGCGAATGAAGAGCACGTTGATGAATGTTTGCATCTCGTATAGAAGGGCGATTATGATGACAACCGTCCAACCAGCTACAATGGTCAGGAGAGACGCGCGGAGGTAGCGTAACATCGGTGGATACGACACATCAAAAATCGTCGTTCCCGGACTAAAGTTGCGGTGTGGGGCAAGGGAGTTAATGAATGCGACGATTATGTCGAACAATACGGCCAGGCAAAGGAACCGGAGTAGAGCTTTGAAGGCAAAGAGACTAGCGCTTTCTGTCGTCGATTGTAGAAGCCTTAGTTCCTTCCGTCGCGAGTCCCAGTTCCACCCAATGCCACGAAGATTTACCATCAAATCAAACGCGTCCCAGAGAGCAGAGTGTATATCGTCTTTGGTCTGTTTGGCAGAGGGATGGTCGGCCTTCTTCCTATGCACCCGAGTGCACGGTGTTCTTTGAAACGTCCAAATAGTACATCGCATCGAAAGTACGAACATCGCGAGCTGGTGAGGTTGTTAACATTGATGTGTCTATATTAGATCTTTGCGATTTGCACCATGACTTACAGCGAGACCATGATTGAGATACTGGTGGCGAATGTTATTGCTAGACATGTCGAGGTTGATGGCAGCGCGGAAGGCTGATAGTATAACAACGCATAATAATGGTAACCGAAGGAGGAGAGGACTCGACTTTTGAGCTAGAACAGCCATGATGTAATAAGGAATTATCACGGGCGCGACGAGGGTCCGGAAGACACCTGAATCATCTTGCACTGAAGAGTTCATGAGGAGTGGTATCCACTTTACAGACTCAAAGCAAGCTTAAACAGGTTGTGAGTGTGGGCTCAAGCGCTCGAGTAATGCTGCAAGGAGCTCACCAGCCTATCACGGCGTCACCAGCTGCAGCAAGTCTGTTTTATTGCTACTCTTGCTGTCCCTTTTCCGGCGGTTCGAATGACTAAAAAGTGGGAAATATACACTTGAGAACAGAAATACAGCCAACCTCCGAGAGCAATGCACGGTATGCTGAATACTGGAGAAGCTAAAGAAGGACAAAGTGCTGTGATAAATATAGGTGGCTAGACTTTTTCGGCCTCGGTATCGAGCTTCCTCGGTTCGGGCCAGTCGGGCCGAACTTTCAGTATCTCATGTGTGCTGCTGATTGAGCTAGACGACAAAGCGACATCATTGTATTATCTCCTTTCGACGTTCATGAGGGCCAGCAAGAACTGATGGGTGACTTGGGGCTCAGTCAATAAATCAACGACTTGTCCCTTTATGCATACTCTTAGTCCATTACTTAGTCAGAGACAGCGAAATACGGCCTCCAAAATGGCTCACCTAGCTGCCAACGCAAACTCAAAGCACACTTTTTTGACTCCAGAAGGACAGATAGGCGTCCACAAAGCTCCGCCTACTGATGACACCTTGTTTGAGATACGCCCTGAAGCTGAGCGCTGAAGACTCGATCTTCTTCAAAGAGCAAACAGGGATCCATGATGACGAAGAACTGAAAACGCACATCATCACTGTACAACGCAAAGCATACGAGGTACCAGTGTGAGCTCTCTGTTTACGGGGCCTCACAAAACCCATGTATAGGTTGCGCCACACAACTGCATATATCTCTATGAATTCCTAAAGAATGTCTTCTGAGCTCTTTCAAAGCAAACTCTTGTTTAAGATCAAGATCATGACGTCCCAGGCTCTCCATGCCCAAGTCTCCTGGTTACCAACATATTGTGAAGATCGGCCACGAGAGATCAGACGCTATACTCCTGGATATTGGGGGATGCCGTACGTTGCTTCAATTGCGTTATGTCTGTGTTTGTGCCTAAAGCTTAAAGCTTGAACGACAATATTTGGACAGGAGGCCAGGACTTAAGGTACTGTACCATTACGACCTTAAGTTCGTCCCCTGTCCACCTGGGAATCGAACTGAACTTAGTTATGGTGGACAGTCTACCCTCGGTCAACCCATCCGAACTTAGAGAGGTGGACAGACGTGCAAACAACAAAATCATACCAAAAATAGAATAAATATACAAATAACATTCATAAATGTTCTCATTAACTGATATCCCTCGTAATGATGTTCTCACTTCGGGATAAGGTTGAGAGGATCGTTTGACCTGAAATAGTGCAATATTTAACGTTTTCTGTTCCAGAACACGAACAATGTCCACCAGGCCACCTTCCCGTTGAGCTTGTTAGGGTGGACAGGCGGAATTTAATTTAATAACTTCCCACGCCACCGTGAACTTAAGGTCGTAATGGTACAGTAGTAGCGGACTCGGATTTTCGACCAGAAAATGACATCATCTCGGACTTGCTATAGGCAGGTGAGCTCAAGCGTAGATTGGAACTATCTAAGTTAGCCTCATAACCATCTCGTAGATTTCTTCCAGCTTGGTCACGACCTATTCCGGACTACGCCGGCCATGTACCCAGCCCATTTCATCGCTGGTGACGTTTTCGACTCGAAAACACTTGTCGTATATCCGCCTACAAATCCGAAGAACCCTTTACCCCGTCCAGATCTTTCGAACATAGAGTCTCTGAACCCCCTCCGAGGCCAAGTTTCAGTCATATACGCAGCAAAACATTTCCACCTGTTCGACGAAGAAAAACAGCCAGTGCACTTGGCGCGTGCATTAGCTGGACTGCTTTCTCCGAAACCTGGTTCTATCATTCTCGGAGGACATGTAGGCCACACGAAGAAAGAGAGGGTGTCTGGCGAGGCTGGCGATACGCGATACGACATTTTTTGTCATTGCCCGGAATCTTGGACCAAAATGTGGGAAAACGAGGTGTTCAAACCAGGGCAGGTCAAGGTGGACGCAAAGCTGAATATATATGAGAGTAAGAGAGGAACTTTTTGCTTTTTGGACTGAAGTGTGATAAGGTTATAAAACATACTGAGGCCTGTTGCGGTAAACATTAGCCAAAGCGACGCAATATACAGATGGGGATCGATTGAACCGCATGAAGTTTAGGTGTTTGTCAATTAGGCATGGCCATAGTTACACAGTTACACGGAAATTGTAGTGGTTCCACTGTTTATATTCCATTTCGAGAGGATATGCGAGAGTCAGAATATTCCTCTGTCCGTATCGCTTTTACGAGATCACTCAAAAGACTCTCGATCCGAGTTTGACGTTCCTGTTTGGGGATGCTTCAGAAGACGTACTCGCTATGTGAGACTCAGAGACTCACCTGGATATCTCGAATTTCGTGTTGTAGTTGCGCGTACTGTGACTCACGAGACTCCTCTAGCAAAGAGTCCAGCCTAGCCATTGTCGGCAGTTCCTCACCGTCCGCACCTCGTGAATCTAGCCGTGAGGTTGATGGCCTCGACACGGAACTAAAGTACCGTGCCAAGGGTGTCGACGTGTCAATAGTGAGCATTTTCGCGTTACTCGAAACCCTCTCAAGCGGGGTGAGCAGGCTGACTTTGCGTCTCCTTGGCGACATCATCCCAACCGGTGACTGTGTCCGCAGAGAAGCAAGGCCGGTTTGCCGTCCAGGGGACCTTGATCGCGACGCTGGTCTTGAAGATTGCCTCGAGCCTGTTTTGCGGGAGGTATTTCCCGGCGTGCCCTGGACATGCCACGGCGGAACCTCGTCGTCGTCTGACAGCTCGAAGAGGCTGAAGTCGCGTGTCTCTTCAACATCAAAGATGGCTTGGTGTAGATCAGCAGCTTTTGAGCCAACGATGTACTCGATCAGCGGCATGTGCTTGATTTGCCGAGGCAGGCTGTTGTAAAAGGAGTGCGCAGCGTCTTTACTCGATCGCCGAATTTTCTGGCCTCTCTGGAGGTGTCGTTCGTACATAGAGATGAGAAGGAGGATGGGAAACGCCTGCGAAGAAGCATGAGAAGAGGACAATGACAGCTCATCGGAAGAACCCACTGTGAGACGAATGAGGAAAACGTTTGCTGAATGTAGTTCCCTGGGCGGAAGAAGGTAGCTGGCTGGTTTCAAGATGACGAAGGCTAGCAAATTAAAAGGCACTTGATAGCTGAAAAGTGCATCGGACTTGACCCTGTGCCAGATCAGGTCAGTAAATTTCTGATTGCCGTATGGATAGCTTACCCATCGATGGTAGAAATGGTGTGCTGAAATAAGTACTGCAGATGGTTAGACTTGGTGCAACTGACAGTTAGCCTGAGACTGACCTCTTGCGTCGCATTCTGTAGGGCATTTCAGATGAAGGAAGAACTACCTAAGACAAAGTCAAACTCACTGCGTCGATCCGTGCCACAGTATTCGACAACAAGGAAATGAGAACTGCATGGGCTCGATTAGCATCCTGGGAATTTCGACATGGATCTAACTTACTCGTGAGAAGCAGTGTACCCGCGAGAGCGGCATATACCGTCATCAAGATGGGTCCGAAAACGGGGTGGAAACTCGTGGCCTGTCCAAAGCTGAGGTAGGTGTTTCCAAACCAGATCTGAACCATCAACCACGCAATCGCCTTTAGCGACCAATTGCCATTGTCCGATCCTACGTATTAAATGAGGACGCGATTGTCGAGGCTCATGAAAAAGACTGACCTAAGGTCCAAAGGGTGATTAGAAGTCCAGAGAAACATATAGATGCGATTGATATGAAGAAAACGAATTCCGAAATCATAGCACGTAGAGCTCTGCTGTCGTTTAGTCGATTGTGTGACTGTAGAATCAAAGATCACATACAAAATGACGATATTGTGAGAAACGGCAAAGAACGCCAGGCTATTGGGTTTCAGCATCATTCATGAGAGTAGAGTGCCAATAAACCAACCGCGGAACAAGTACACAAGCGCCGCATGCTAATATATCAAACGCCAGCTGTGATAGCTCGACTGGCAAATGAAGTATCAGTACATTCCCGAACCGAACAGCGGAGATACTCAACGGTTATGATGGACGAGCCCGCGTACTCTCAGCCCAGCGTATGCTAGAAAGATGACTACAAAACAAGAGTTGAAGATACTCCAGGTCTGCGAGGGGTTTATGTCAAAGGGGTTATGAAAAGTGGAGCCCTTACGTTGGCAATGTAAACTAGATAAATCACACAAGATGAAGAGACGAGCCCAAAAATGATTAGCACTTGCGAGGGTGGATTGCTGAGTATGACATGACCCACTGCTCCATCCGTGTTCCTTGGAAGACGTGTATTCTCGCAAAACAAACGCGGCTGCGAATATAACAAAAACAACTTCCCAGAGTGTCAAATGCATAAGGTCCTTTGCTAGAAGTTACGATCACCTTAGTCGAGCTATACAGACGACAATGTCATTTCACGTACTCCAAATGCAGGCCAAAAACGTGACAAGCAAAGTGACGAAATTGATTAATTGCAACATCGCCGAGTATCGTGGGACACGAAGCCTACGAAAGTGTATGAATAGATGCAACATTTAATGGGAATGGTAGAGCAACCTGTAGTGATCAAGTAGCGGAGCCGCTCGAGGGTCATATATTTGGATGGACCTTGTCTTGTAATTGTCGGCGAGAATAGATCTAGTTCCACCAATGGAAAACACGATGCGTCCGCTATACATATCATCGACGACACCTTGCACCAACGGGGAAGCCAGAAACGCTTTGGATTTAGTGGCTATTGCCATCTGAAACATTCGTTTAACGCCGCCGTGATCGCTGCAGTGATAAACCCTACCTCTATCGCACTTTGGGAGTCACTAATTTCATCATCGGTACTTCCAACAACATCTCTTACCTCTTCGACGATATCATGAGGTGCTCCGTTCAAAGGGTTCCAGGTTATTGTGAGCACGGCAACAATCTGAACCTTGCTTGAAGCAAAGTAGCCAAGCAGCTTGAGCGCAAGGAGTTCGCACAAAGTCGCTCGGGCCATCATAACCCCTGAGTGGGCGAGGTCTGAGCTTGCCTGATCGAGGAAGAAGGAGCGGACGACCAAGCAAGCATACACGACGGCCATATTCTTGAGACGGGCATACTTTTGGACAAGGGGGCGAACAAGAGCGAAATGAACATCTGATGCGACGAGGTGCCTAGAAAGAAACAATGAGCATCCATATGTTGCTGCCACGTCTGTGATGGACGTACTCCCAGCTCATGGGACTGTCTAGATGTAAACTCAAATCAGGCTTGGTATGACGGTGTTGGGTATGTGCGGCATACCGACGGCATTCTACATAGGAGAGGTTATGAGATGAGTCGGATCTTGAGAGGCGGAAGCGGAGAGAAGCAGACGAAGTACTAACAATGATGTCCTTCTTGAGATATGGTAACAGCGGGAAGACTTTCACAGTAGCGACATGTTCGGGCGAAGGAACGCGTATGTCGTAGGCTTCCTGCTCTTCAGTGTCGAAGTCCATCCTCGAGGTCTCCTTTCTAGAGAGGAGGCAAGTTGATTTTTCGCGTGGATATATCGCGGGCGCGTAGCCGGTATGTTCTGGTCACAACAAAAGAGCTGGAGAGATTGATTCCGCTCTATTTCTGCGCACGAGCGGGCCACGAGATGTGCCGGATGAAATAGTGGAAGCAGATCGAGATTGCAAGATTGCAAGATTCGGCCTTGCAAAATGGAAAAGACACGAGGAAACGTGGGAAACGCGTCGGCTACCTTGTTGCGGAACAAGGTGTCGCCAAGATGGCAGGACCCATACTTTAAAGCATAGGCCGTCGATTGTCTCACTGCCCTCCCTTCCCTGCCGCTCTTTCACTCAAGCTTCGACCACCCCATGAGCCATGGGATGCTGTTTCTCTGAGCCAATCGATTTTGATGGTGAGGTTAACCTCTACCACTTCGACCTCCACAGAGCAGTTGGTAAAGGTGCCTTTGGGAAGGTGGGTAGACTTTCGGACCTTTTCATCCGTCAAGTTACTAAACATGTCCGTCTCCAATCTACCCAGGTCAGAGTCGTGGAGCACAAGAAACTTAAAAGGCTTTATGCTCTCAAGTACATCGACAAGGCCAAGTGCATCAAGCAGAAGGCTATTGCCAACATCATACAGGAACGACGGCTGCTCGAAGAGGTTCGTTTCATAGGACTGTCTTTTCCTTCTCGTCATTGTCATTAAACGTATATGTCCTTTTGATCAGATTGACCACCCATTCATTGTCAATTTACGCTACGCATTTCAAGATGACGAGAACTGTTTCTTCGTGCTAGACTTGATGCTCGGCGGAGACCTTCGCTGTAAGTTCGTCTGTGATTGCATTGCTCTCTCGCTCACACGTCTATAGTTCACCTGGAGCGAACAGGGGGATTTAAAGAGAACTGCGTGCAATTTTGGATGGCTGAACTTTCATCGGCACTATCATATCTCCACAAGCAACGTATCATTCATCGGTAAGGGTGCCTCATGCTGGTTATCCGCGTGCTTGAGGACTCACGGACATGGCAGGGATCTCAAACCCGACAACGTCCTACTTGACTCGGATGGCCACGTGCACATCACGGATTTCAACGTTGCAATCCACTACTCAGAGCGGCGGTTGCACACCAGCGTTGCTGGGAGCATGGCCTACATGGCACCCGAGGTTGTCGGCCGGAAAGGCTATACCTGGTGCATTGATTGGTGGAGCTTGGGCGTCATGGCTTACGAACTTCTCTATCGACGGCGGCCGTTTGATGGGCGCACTTCAGAGAAGATGACCAACTCCATCTTGAAAGATCCTTTGAGGTTCCCTGACGACAACAAGAAATGCAGTCCAGAATGCGTCTCATTCTTGCAAGGGGTGAGAGGAATTTCGTGCATCAAACATCACGGTCTAACAATATGAACACATCAGCTCATTGAAAGAAACGTGGTTAGCCGCCTGGGCTGCCGGTCTCTTAACTCGGGATTTAGAGAAATACAACAGCACCCATGGATGTCTTCTGTGGACTGGAGAACCTTGCAGGACAAGAAGACTTCCTCGCCCTACATCCCAGACGTGAGTGTTGCTGTCTTGCGTAGGATATGATGATTTAATTTTGATCCATTAGGCAAAGAAAGCCAACTTTGATGTCTCACACGAACTTGACGAATTTTTGATGGTAGAGAAGCCCTTGCAACACACCAAGCGCAAGGCCAACGCAGACCTAGACAAGTTAAAACCTGAAATGCGTCAGTTGGAGGAACAGTACGTCGACTCTTCCTGCCTTCGACACCCTTGACTGAAATATCCTTTTTTTCAGGTTCACCGTCTATGACTATCAATCATCACAGCGCAAATCTTACTATCCCCACAATCAACCAATCACCGCCATCGTTCAAAGCTCTGAGTCGGAGCCCACAGCTGTACTTCTCCAGTCCCAGACTGGCACGCTAAACGCAACTGCGTCTGTCTTCGACCGATCACAGGCAGGCTCGCCTATTCCCGACCCTTCACGACACCAGCGACATCAGACACTGGCTTCAATCACTGCATATGCATAATGCATCGCCCTTATTCTTAGTGCGTGCCAGATGCTCCGGGTTAATAAACTGCAGGCAACTTACCCTTGTATATTTTAGTTCATTCTACTCATACGTGTCTGCAGGACAGCTCATTCATCTAATACTCAGCATTTTTCGGTTTGCTTAGCAATTGTTGATCATATCTATTCCACACATCGCATCATGTCCACTCTTCACTTTCTAGTCGGCACATCACTTCATACCTTTGTTCAGTTTTCTACTGTCGTCACACAGGAATGGGCGCTGCTTTCTCGAGATTGTCCGCCCATGTATATTGGCATGCCTTCACACTTGCTGTATCATCATGCTGTATCTGTACTCTTGTTTTTCTTTTCTCTCCATTACGAGACCAAACTATACCTTACAATGGATCTTATATCACTGGGAAAGCCTGCGAGCGATCTTCCGAAAACACTATTGCAGCCTAATGTTGTAGTTACTTGGCACTGAAGGTGTTGATCATATTCCACGTGGCTATTAAATGTACTCGGAAGCAATACCAGACGATAGATCTAGACAGGGGCAGCTGTCGCGTCAGTTGTGGTGTTTCCTGGGACCTTCAGCTTGTGGGCCCAACAGCTAACATTATCATAACCAGTTATCAAAATGCAGGCCTTTCGAAGATCATCGATTCCTCTGGCTGAAGTCAAAACGCTTCGCCAGCTGTACGAAGCAGGCGACCTACGTGCTCCAGCAAAGTCTGAGTACAAACCCGCTTTTCTGGACAAAGTCAGCCTACAGTAAGTTGATGGCACCTCTGCCTTGTGGTCTGAACTGGATGCACGGCTCTTGTAGCTTAGGGGATATCACTAAGCTACAAGTGGATGCTATCGTTAACGCTGCCAATAGTGGGCTGCAGGGTGAGTGATCATAATGCAAGCGCTCACCAAATAACTACACTGTCACTCACCTTATCCTGGGATGAGCAGGAGGCGGAGGAGGTACGAGTTATGTATGTTTCACATGACTAGGGTCTCCACTAACGATATGACTGTGCTGGATAGTCGATGGCTCCATTCATCGTGCCGCTGGACCGGGTCTTAAGGCAGAGCTTCGTACGCCTTTACTTGACCTGTTCTGTGTCCAGCCATGAACTTCACCCAGGTGAGAAGTACGTCGATACAGCCAAGGCGGGATCGGTACCCTGCCCTACTGGAGAAGTCAGGATATCAACTGGTCATGAGCTACCTTCGTGAGTCGAGTGCTTTTTCCGCTGACGTTAGGTTGGCTGATGCAAACACTACCCCAGAAAATATGTTATACATGCCGTCGGACCTAGTTTAGCTTGGAATCTGAGGGGACCGCCAGCTGAAGACACAAAGCTTGCTACCTTGCTCAGGGATCCGACCTCCGCATCTGAGGGCAAAATTCCAGCAGCCCTTCTGGCGTCGTGCTATCAAAACTCTCTGGAGGTCATGGTCGAGAACAAGCTCAAGCACATCGTATGTCCACCGTCGTTTGGAGCAGCGTAGCCACTAGATATCTGACTTGGGTCTAATTTGCGCTGAACAGGCCTTCCCATGTATTTCTACGGGCATCTATGGGTATCCCATAGTCGAAGCAACTGAAATCGCGCTTCATACCATTCGAACATTTTTGAGTGCGGACGATCATGCAGACAAGGTACGTCTGGATCCATGCCCACCCGGATTCCATCCCAAGCCGCATTTTTTTTACAGGTGGAACGTGTAATCTTTGTCCTTTTTGACAAAGGTCCCGACTCAGAAAGAGACATTGCAACCTACAGGTACGGTTTATTTTCGTGATACACCTTGCGTGCCTACTGACAGGTGACATAGAAAACTTCTTCCCCACTTCTTTCCCCAAGAATCAGACACGTCGCACGCTTGATGGTGTCTATCAGTGTTAGAAGACGAAACTTGTATGAGTACAGTTCAAGGAGAATTAACCCCCTTTTCGGGACGGTCAAGTACCGCGATTCTGCTATCCTTCGTGACCACCAATCTTCACTTCGATTGACCTCTGCCTCCGCTTTGCGCCGTAAGTGGGTCACCGGTCACTTGTGCGACGCGCAAACGTTACGGCATGATGTGCCTTGATTTTACGCTCGGTAGTATGAGACCGGGCCGCTGCAACGGCTCTCAATGCTCCGGCGTTACCGCCCACAACAAAGAGTGTCCCATGATCTCGCCTATGGCCCTCATTGGTGTTAACTCAGTTCCCTAGGATGACCAGACCTTGCAGAAAGCCGTCATTTCTCCGGTATTTCTGGCGTTGAAACAATATAAACACCGTTGCCGTGATGCCCTGCGTTCTTTCCGTTTTCCGGCGCTTCGAGAAGTATGGGGCTCTTCTTCAACACCTTCGTGGCTCTATTTAGTGCTATCGGTGAGTGCAAAAATGTAGGATGCGTGCAAAGATACTTCGCTGATTTTTGTGCAGGCGCATTCTTGTACGGGTACGTAAAAAGCTTCAGATGCACATTTAGCGTAATGGATTTACATGCCGCCCAGATATGACAGGTGCGTTTTGATTATAGGCTATGAAGCCATTTCTAATGACTCCCTCTCGTGGTCAGTGGTATCATTGCGTCAGTGAAGGCAATGAATCAGTTCAACGCTCATTTTCACGAACCAAGCAATGCACTGTTGGGCGCCGTAGTGTCCACATTCAACGGTATGTGTCTTGGTGGTTTTTGCTGCTCACACGTACTCACTTCCATTTAGGCGGCTGCTTCTTCGGAGCGGCTGGTGCTGCTTGGTATGAGACTTCACAAGCAACCCATATGATTGACTTACAGCGTGCAGGACAAATGACAAGTGGGGTAGGAAAAGGACCATACAAGTAAGCTTTGCATACTCACCCCTACTATTGCCGCCTGGATCACTCACTGATTGACCGCGCAGTTTGGTGCTGTTTGGGCACTCTGGGGTTGCGCTATGCAGTCGGGCGCCAATAACATCACGACCCTGCTCATTGGTCGAATTGTGGCTGGTGTTGCAATAGGGTAATGCAAAGAACTGCTTATTGTACTTACCACTCATATTTTTATCCCATAGAATTCTGTCTATGACCGTACCTCTTTACAACGTTCGTACGAAACATTTCCCCGCACAATCCCAGCTGAGCAAAAGTCACTGCAGACGGAGATCGCACCTTCAAAGGTTCGGGGATTCATGGTCGGTCTTAACCAGCAAATGATTGGTATAGGTTTTATTGTTGCGAACTGGGTGGATATCTCCTTCAAATTGATCACTGGATCCTTCTAATACATGACCACTCGTAGGTTGGTTATGGGTGTCAATTTCTCGACGGAGATAAATCATGGCGGCTACCCCTCGGCATTCAGGCGAGTCGTTGTATTTTTAACTTATGTCACAATTTAGGTTTATCCTCTTTCCACTAGATGATACCCGCTTTGGGCCTCTTGGTCGGCATCCAATTTCTTCCGTATAGCCCGGTAATCCCTACATCATGTTCCCATATAATCAAGCCTCACATCCCAAACAGCGATGGCTCCTGGAAGTTGGACGAGATGAAGAAGCGCGCCAAGTGGTCTACAAGCTACATGGCGGGTCCACACCTGAATCCAAGGAATATGCGGATAAGGAATATGCAGAAATGCACGATCAGATCAAGGCCGATGCTCTCATTCGGAGTCGTAGACTTAGCGATTTATGGGCCACACGACCAATGTTGCGCCGAACTCTGATTGCCGTAGGGGTGCAAATCTTCGGACAATTTACTGGTATCAATGGTGAGATTTGGCCAGACCTCGACTGCCTCTATGCTAATATATCCGTAGTCATCAATTATTTTGGACCGCAAATGTACCAAGCACTTGGCTTGACGACGTCCCAATCCTTGCTCGTCCAGGGAATCTATGGTGCTGTTGGACCAATAGCCAACTTCTTGTGCGCACCGATTCTTCGTCTTTTTAATTGTCTTGCCGACCCCTCGTAGCTTCATCACCTGCATTCTTGATAGCGTTGGGCGTAAGAAGCCTCTCATGTTTGGAGCTGCCTCGTTCGTCGTGACGTTCAGCATCTTAGCGGCTCTCGTCGCGTCATTCCCGCCTGAATCGGATCTCAACTTATCTGCTCAGAAGGCTGCAATTTCCATGATCTTCCTCACCAGTATCATATTTTCCCTTAGCTTCGGGCCAGTAAGCTGGGTATTGGCATCGGAGGTCTGTAATATCAAGTCCACTGGGTCCCTCTCCGTCTTATCTCATGGGACATTTTTAGGTCTTTCCGACGAAGACACGCTCCATTGGTACAAGTGTGGCCACTTGTGCTAACTGGCTTTTCAACGTCCTGATTTCTGAGACCTCGCCCATCGGTCTTGCCAACGTGGGATACAAATTTTACATACTCTTCGTTTGCTTGAACGCGGTAGATTTTGTGATCATCACACTATTTTTCCCAGAAACTAAAGGTACGCTTATGACTCTCCGCTGAATGGCCACTTACAGTCACAATGCTCTCGCCCACTGTCTGCAGGAAGAACGCTCGAGGATATGGACATTGTTTTTGGAGACAAGGTTAACGCGCAACAAGTTCTAGAGGAACACGTTGAGACAAAGGCGGAGGAAATTTTTGAACATAACGAAATTAAGTCACAGGCCTGATCTTAGGCAATCACTCGAGTGGAGTAGGATGCGACGATGAGAAACAACCACCTCCCCCATCCCCGCTTTGCTTGTTATTGTACTAGTCAGTTACATAGTCTATAAGGTGCAACCAGCATGTACTGTACTATATATTAGCCAGAGCTCCACTTTGGCCGGCGAATTTCCTTGGAAGACCATCACCAATAGTGACCAGGCTCCATTTACTTAATTTGACATGTCTTTAACGTCATATGTCCTCGCGCCTGTTGAGGTCGTGCCTGGGCATGCATAACTGAAGAAAAACAACTGGTTTGGCCTCGTCCCTCTCAAATCCGTGTCAATGAAAGCGAAATGGAGCCAGTGTTGGTTGTAATCTTGTTACCACGTGGACACATGGCACCTTGTCAAGAACGTCGATGAATCGCAGGTCACTAGAATGTCTACCCGTCGAGGTATGTAGCTATCACCTCAAGCAAAAGTAGACTTATCAATGACTATCCTCAGATCATCCATGACATCCAACTGTATGCCTGCTCCTCGTCTCTCCCACAGACGAACAAGCATCTCCAAGGTGTCTTCCGGTCCAGCCAGACAGGTTACAGGGCTCGCTACTTGATCGCATGCCTCCAGAGCGGAAAGGTCAAAGAGTTTGACGCTGCAACTGTCATCCTGAAGTTTCCAATCTGCACCCAGGAGGTTCTAGATGCCGTCTTCCGCATATCACCCGATATCATCAAGCTAGGATATCACCCCGAGCTTCCGAGGCGACTGTTTCGCCACCTTGCCCCAAGGACGTCCTGCAAACACAGCGCGGCGAATGAGCCAGAGTGGTCGGCTGAGGACTATCCGATACCTCTGCTCAAGTATCTCTACGATCATCCGAAGCTGCCTCGCCCAAATATCAATTCTCACGAGGGCTACGCGTTGACGAAGGCTGTCTACGCAGGCTTTGTCCCTCTCGTCCGCTTTTTGCTTTCCAAGGGCGCATCTCCGAAGCGCAAGGGCTGCATGCCTATCGCGGTTGCAATCCACAGGAAAGATCTTGCCCTCGTCCGGTTACTTATTGAAAGGGATGCCAACGGCCCTTGCTCAACGACGAAGACCTCGAAAGGGAAGAAGAGGAAATTGGAAGATAGGCTTGTCGTTACTCCGGAGCTACTGAAGGTGGCAGTCAAGAGCGACGCAAGAGATATCGTACAATACTTCACCCAAGAAAAAGGATGTGTACCGGACATGAACACCATACGGCTAATGTGAACTATACCATCACGCCATATTTGTCATACACATCTACTACACAGTTTTCCAGAAAGGTGCTCTCCAGACACCCACTCACTTGTGCTTTGGCAGACGTGAGGGATAGGGCGAGTCAAATTGTGTGTTAGCTCAACAACCGAATCGTGAAGGCGCCTTGCTATCAATCGTCTCACTCGCCTGGGACACTCGAGGTACAGCGAAAGGAGCGATAATATGATATGTGTTGTACACTGTGGGAGCTGCTAAAACCACATGTAGGAATACTGCATATCGTCCAATACAACAACGAAGAACAACAAAACGATGCAGAGAAATGATACAAAACCTGAACTGGGATGAGCACTAGTGAACGCGGAGTGCTTTGGCCTACTTACACAAAATTGCAACTCCGTCAGATGTCGTCAATGTCAATCTCTCCCTCGTCTCCGAACTCGAACGTGCATTCGCCGTCCTCTTCAAAGGTATCGGTTTCGTTGATTTTCGCATTCTCAGGAAGTTCGCCGTATGCTTTCACTGTGGAATGGTGAGGACCGATCCGGCAAAACAAGGCATATGAGACGCACAGTTACGAGCTTCGTCAGCGGTGTATTTTACAATAACATCGGCCTTGTCATCCTGGAAGTCGCGAAGGGACAGGAGGATAATGTCTCCTTGATTGATCCAGACCTAGTACATAGTGTAAGAGGTCACAACGCTATCAGGAGCAGCATCTACTCACCTTCTTCCGCATCTTTCCTCGAATGTGTGCTAACCGCTTCTCGCCGTCAAAGCACTGGGCCTCCAAGCGCCCATTACCCAGCATCTTAGTCACTTGAGCGTACTCCTGACCGTCCTCGCGAAAAACAAGTTCACGCTTGTCATCGTCGTTCTCGTTCTTTCCTCGTCTCCGGTTCTTACCACCCTGCATGCCAAAGAAGTTTGCTTGAGCACCCGTGGACGGCCGATCTCAGATGTAAGCCCACCTTTCCCTTATTCTGTAATACATCGAATCAACGCAAGGAAAGAGCTTAATCGCGGAAGTGCGTACCTTCGGCATGACTTGATGTACTCTTTTTGTTTCGCTCCTGCGTCTGCTGGCAGAGACGACAAGAGAATAAGGGTGAGCGGTGTGGTAGAGTTAAGTAAGATCAAACTATAGAGTGGGATAACCCTCTGGCCACACAGCTTGTCTCAATTTTAGCGGAGTCTGAATTACGCAGTGACTCACGTCATCCGCCTTACACAGCCGAAACACCTAGTATTCTCTCTCGTCGCTAGTTTGTTATATCCGCATCTCAACCAAAAGTGAGTCTATGACCTGCTATCTAATGGGCTAGCATATCTCCAAGAAAGTGTAGGATGTGACGTCCCATGGAACGCTATGTCTACCCTAGATTTCCGCGCATCACGTATATAAGAGAATCCAGATAGTCAAGGCATCGTTGACTGACGCTGCATTGGCACTGTGTTGATACCGCAGAGGCCTGAGGAACCGATACCCTGCCAAGTGATATGCTATTTGAGTAACGGCATGGTATGTCGAACCATGACTATATAGGCAAAAGACGGAAGAGCAAAGCGATGAAATAAAGGTTTCAAGGATCAGACGTCGAATTGGGTGGATACATCCTTTTCAAATGACGGTATTTTCGTAATGAGTACAAAGCTAGCGTTTCTGTCAAAGAGATTTCGGTTAGGCTTAGCTTGATAACAAACGTTATGGTACGCACCCTTCTTTATGTACTCGCCCAGATTATACGCCTTTTCAATCTCTTCTGCGTCTGTGAGGTTTCGATTCTCTGTAGGGAAGTCAAAGATGAGACAGAGACAAGAGAGGAAGGTGACGTACTCTCAAACATCCTTCTCAGTTTACCATGAAAGTCGTATCTGTAACAGGTCCGCCAACTCAGCATGCATGTAGTACTTCGTTCCCTGGCACTCACGATGGTTCATAGTCGCGCCCTAGCCTATGCAGCTCCTTGTACAGCGCAAGAACTCGGAGACGGTTTGCCTTCGTTGCCATTGAGAGACGACAATGTCAGGGGCACGGGGCGAAACCAGACAGGTGGACGACAAGTACGTGAAAAAAACTAGCCCTAAGTGGGTACGGATAAGTGTAGGATTTAGAGTTTGGAACCTAGGGGGCTCTAGAACTTCATGTGCGTTGGCTGAAGATGAGACGGATGTATCTGGGTGACATGGAGGATGGTGTACTCATCCAGAGCGTCTTGCCGTTCCGGTAGGCACTCACGACCGCTGCGTATCGCCGATGACTTCACTTCCACGTGATCGCAATTTTGGCGCCGACGGCCAGGAGTTTCGGACCTGTTGAGTAGACGCTCAAGCTGGTACTTTCATACGTTTGAACGTGGTCACTGCCCTATTACCACTCATTTCCCACCTCGTCCTAGGCAGCTTGTTTCCTTTCTATAGATAGCATACATCGTATCCACCATACGTATTTTCATTTATTGGTGGCCTTTTGACAGCAAGCTACTGTACTACTTACTGTACTTGTCCTTCAAGTAATACCCCGGCGGTGCGGCACACACTGATTGCAGAGAGCACTGGATCCAATATATCCCAAGTAGTTCTTCTAGCTTCGTAAGCAACATATTGAGACAGCCTGCAGAATCGTACAATGTGGTGGATTTAACAACAGCAACTATTGGACGATCATTACTCAAATGTACATGTCTAATGATCCTTTTATCCTCGAAGCTTCAATTCTGGGACACGGCTCAGAATAACACAGATATTATAGTCGATACATGATCATTCCTAAATACCTTTCTTGCCGTTCACGTCGTTCTGAAAACATTAACAACCGCTTCGAACAAAATTTGTGTTAGGGCGGTGAGAGGATCTTACGAGAGTGCACTATGTAGTGATTACCTGGTTAACGTACCACCATAGTCTCGACACTGATAACTATATTTCGGCTATTTTCTCTGTCCGAGGAAAGGGATGGAAGCGTTTGCCCTTGTCAGTGGAATAATAATTCAAAGAATGAAGGGGATTTTCTTTCCGTTCCCTGCACTAAAGTGTCTTGGGTAGTCGATACAAGTTCAGCCCCGAACGCGCCCAGGTCCGACGGTAACCCATCATTTTTCTCCGAGATACTTGCACTTTTGCATTGATGTGAGGGTAAGCACATCATTCTACCCTTGGTAGCGGTTATTACTTGACCTTACGACCCAACGGCTAATTGACAGGCCAATGGAAAAAAATAGGAATAAGCGCAAGTCAAGCAGAATCAGTTCTCCACGGCGATCCACGGCGATGCGAGTGCTTGATAATCCCTGTGAGCGGGTCTCCTTTCCAAAATCCAGGCACCCCGCAAACACCCATGGGGGCCAATCAGTTGAACACGGGCTATATACTGTAAGACCGAGATACGAAGATACTCTTGAGGCGGCCTTCTGCACCCCCTAATAATCAGGACTTGATCAGGGCAGTCAGTGCCTGCTCAGCTAAGAGCCTTATCTTACCTACTTTCTTCATATCCTTGCCTAGATCTCAGATATTATCTCTGAACATTTATAATGCTCAAGCTCATATCCGAGTGTCGCCGGTCATAGATATTTAGAAGCACCTTCAAGCTTCAAGACACAGAGAATTTAGATCTTCGATCTAGTGCCAAGTATGAGACATCGTTTAGCGCTGCCACCATAGCTGTCGCTCACCCGCCAGCTTTTACGCACGTACTCTGAGGGCTGAGAAATGATGCGTGATGATCAAGAGGTGGAAGAACTATGGGAAAGATAAACTCCTAGACCTTTTATGAACCTGTGCTATACTTGACGTTACGTTTGGTATTGTGCCTGCGTTGCCGTGGCTAAATTATGTAAAGATCCCCAGACTGTCCAAAAGAGAAGCAACATGCTATGCATGAGTCCTGAGGTGAAGCTTCGAAGGCACGGGGCTGGATGCCAGAAATTAGGCACAGGAAGGCACAGACTCATTCCATCACGGAAGCATGTCTGGCATCAAGAAGCACACGTGGTAGCCTCGAGAAACGTGCTTACCTTTAGAGAAGGACTAACTGTAAATGAGGGCCAAGAGTCTTCCGTCGAGGGCCCGCCATGTTGGCCGAACGTCGTTGGCATGTGAGAGTCGTGGGAATTGCCCCGACGCGGTCTAGAAAGGTAAGTTTGGTCATATGAAGATACCATACGAGTCCGTGATTGGCTGCTCCACTACGAACGTGCAAGGTACGAAGTATGTGCAACGGGAACACCACAGCATATACCTCCTACATTTTAGTTACTATAAGACAGAGGGGATAGCGCTTATGTCGTACCCACCGGTCAATTTCACGCCTCCGCTCAGTTCTTAACGTGACGGACCGTCTGCCAGTCATGGCCGCCAACATCGAGCAGCAATCCAGTCGCGGCTCTTACGCTGAAAAGCACCCTCAGCAACCATCCGTTGTTCTCCTTGATGAGCGTCGTCGCGCTGCTCTCGCAGAGATCGACAACGCAAAATTCTCGTGAGTGGCCCGCTTGAAGCTCTTCATTTCCCATATAATGAATTCTTTATGAAATGCACAGCTGGTTCCACGTCAAAGTCTGCTTAGTGGCATCGGTTGGCTTCTTTACCGATGCGTAAGTGTGACTTAATGTTGATATCGTACACTTGTCTCACCTACCGCCGGCATTGGTCTCTAGCTATGACATCTTTGCCATTAACATTGCCGCCACCATGTTGGGTTATGTGTATGGCCCAGGGTACTCCTTGAGTACCAACCAGTCTCTGGGTATCAAGGTTGCTACTCCTGTCGGTAACCTCGTTGGCCAGCTCCTCTTCGGTTGGCTAGCAGATGTCGTCGGACGCAAACGCATGTGTGCGTTTCTACTTATTTTCAACCGTTGCGAAAACACAAAAACTAATCTTGCGCTAGACGGTGTTGAGCTAATGATCATCATCGTCGCCACGTTCGGTCAAGCTGTGTCTGGCTCTGCTCCAGCAGTTAGCATCATTGGCGTGTTATCGGATTGTCTGGAGATTTATTGTTCGTGCTTCTCAATCAGTTCAAATGCGCCTTTTCTTACCAATGTTGATTAGATGGGTGTTGGTGTTGGCGGTGATTATCCTCTCAGTGCAATCATCTCGTCTGAATTTGCTGCCACACGCTCCCGTGGTCGTCTCATGACTGCGGTCTTTGCTGCTCAGGGTTGGGGCCAGTTTGGTAAGTACAAACACCTTTCCATTCCATACACACGAAACTGAAATCCCTTGCGCTCCTTGGTAGCTGCTGCTCTCGTTGGCATGATCTGTGTTTCGGCGTACAAGGACGAGATCCTTCGATCGCCTTACCCTGCCGCCGTCCCCAACGATTACATATGGCGCCTTGTCATCGGCCTTGGATGTGTTCCTGGCGTTTTCGCTCTCTACTTCCGTCTCACGATCCCCGAAACTCCCCGTTTCACGATGGATATTGAACGCAACGTTCACCAGGCTACTGCTGACATTGACAATGTCCTCACAACCGGCAACTCCAAGCCCGATGAAGATGCTATTATCCAACGCGTTCAAGCTCCCAAGGCTACCCGCCGCGACTTCTTGGCTTACTTCGGCCAGTGGAAGAACGGAAAGGTTCTGCTCGGCACTGCCTACTCTTGGTTTGCTCTCGACGTAAGTTTCTCGGGATATCATTGAGATTGTTGCAACATGTTGATCGACGTCCCGTACAGATTGCGTTCTACGGTCTTGGTTTGAACAGCTCTATCATTTTGACTGCCATCAACTTCGGTAGCCCAACAGGGGATTCAAAGACCTCTCTTTACGTCTACCAGAACCTGTACAACACCTGTCTAGGAAACCTCATCTTGTCTGTGGCTGGTCTTATCCCCGGCTACTGGGCCACCTTCTTGGTCATCGACAAGTGGGGCCGCAAGCCCATTCAGCTCATGGGCTTCACCGTCTTGACCATCCTCTTTGCTATCATGGGCTTCGCATACCACAAGCTCAATGGCTCACAGTCCGGCAGAGACGCTTTCGTTTTCCTCTATTGTCTGGCCAACTTCTTCCAGAACTTCGGCCCCAACACCACGACCTTCGTCATTCCCGGAGAGGCCTTCCCCACTCGCTATCGTTCCACTGCCCACGGTATTTCTGCTGCCACTGGCAAACTCGGCGCCGTCGTCTCGCAAGTCGGCTTCGCACAGCTCGTGAACATCGGTGGCAAGAACGCTTTCGTCAACCACATGTAAGTCAAAGCAAGTGATCCTTCGCCCTCATTTCTGACTTGTGGCTGTCTTCTAGCATGGAGATCTTTGCCCTGTTCATGCTGACGGGTATTTTCTCCACGTTACTCCTCCCTGAAACCAACCAACGCACCCTCGAAGAGCTTTCAAACGAGGATCAAGAGGGCTATATTCAGGGCGTCGCTGGCCGGAGCCCGGCGGAAATCCTATAGATTTGGTATCCTTTCCCTCAGTTCTTTTCTTTATCTATTTATCATGGATGCATACCATGCATGTTAGTTTCTCGTCGTCTCTTGCTTTCACACACTCGTTAGCTATCCGTTGTGCCGGGTTCATGGTGTTCGGACTCTGTCAAAACTCCTTCAGTATGTTGTACTCATTGTATTCAGCATTGATCAATACAGCCTTTCACCGGATACATGCATTGTCAGAGGCAGGTGAAACACGTACTTTCGAAATGTCTGTGTGTAACGTTTGTTCTCACCCGCATTGGCGGTGACCGCGTGACCGGTGACCCGGCCGCGCCTCAGCCAGGTCACCAGCGCTTCCCACGCTTCTGGCGCGAGCGTCACTGCAAAGTCACTGCAGCATCACGCCGCGGTCACCAGCGTTTGACGCGCGATCGCTGCGCCAGGTCACCAGCGTCGCCGTCCTCGGTCCCCTTTTCTCGCAAGACGGGCCCCTGTCCCGGCCTTCGAATGGTGCGTGCTTCAACGTGCTCGCCCTCGGTGTTCGTCTCTTTCTCTCAATCTTCCTCGCGCCGGCGCACCCAGGGGATGGCCTCTCGCCGAACAGCCGTGTTCGTGTGCGTCACAATGTCGCTCTTTACTCGCTCGCGAACCATGCACAATTGATTTTGTAAGTAACAGAACACATAGTGTATCGTATTCGATAGCTAAATCATCACGGACGTCCTACTTTACCATCCTAGTCTGAATCATCTTCTGTGAGGTCTATCACGCCTCGCCAGTGCATTTCCCTGGCGCTAGGGCCCTCCTCGTCACTCGACACCTCTATCACCTCCCGTCTTGGAGCTGTCGCTGGCCCTGGCGCCTCGTCCTCGCTCACCACGACCATTGCCTCTGCCACGTTGTCCATCGCTTCTGCCATGTCGGCTTCCCCTCTCACATCGTCCTCCCCTGCTGATCCAGCGGCCATCGTGCGTTCATCATTTGGTAAGCCCAAGTCCTCAACGTTGTTGTTGTTGTCCCCATCGCTGATTTCGTCCTCATTGCTATCGACGTCGTCTTCGCTGCCGTCGTTGTCTATTCCCGGTGATGACGCTGCACTGCATGCATGGGTGGTTACAGACATCAAGAAGTCGGACGATGGCCCCGGCTCGTGCATGATGGCCTCGTGCACCATCTCATGGAGAGAAGCGGGTGTATAGGAGAGGACATCCGTATGCCAGGGAGGGATATCCACTGTACGCTTGCGTACAGTTTCAGACACTGCCTATTTCAGTGAGTGTCAGCTTTTCTCGCACAGTGCCAAACCAGGACTTACGATTTTTGCTTTCTCGCAATAGCACTGTACACCCGACGGGTTGGCGTGCTCGAGGACTGGGCCAGGCACCCATACTTCCTTATCCGCCTCTGTGGGGGCCACATTGGAATGCAGAGACGCATTGGCGGCACGCACAAGGCGGCTGCCCTCCATAGCTACCTTATAGTATCGAAAACTTGTAGACTTGCGGCTCGAATGACCTTGGATACTGTATGGCACAGGTTTGGTGGTACCATCGCTCTTTGGCAGCTGTAAGATAAAATGAGAAATGGCCAGTGAGGTGTGAACAGGTATTGTAAGATGAACTTACTGAGCAAAGTGCACGTAGGAATACTCCGTCCCAGATCCGAGAGCGCATGTACTCATGGACTCTTGCAGTTGTCCAGTCAGTGAACCACTGTGAGCACAGAGTTGCAAGTCTCGACAGGTCGGGCTGGCAGTACTGGCCAATCTCATCAATGGTGACCTGAATGTGATCCCGATGGATTGTTGACCAGGATGTTTGTGGTGAAACATACGATCTAAGGACATTGAAAGATGGAAATGCCTCAGAGATGTCGGAAGCAACATGAGGGTGTCTTCGAGACAGGACACCAAGGCGGTTTAGTGACAGTACTTCACGAAACTCGTTTCGCCAGCCGGCAAGGGAGTCAGCAAACCTGTCAAAGGATTCCCCACGAATCATTGCACCCAGCTTCTCTGCGAGGCTTGTATGGCTTGCAATCTCGTATGCAAGCTCAATGCCTGCCCCTTTGAGGCCCACCTACAGTATCATTGATACCGAAGACAAAGCAACCCGAGAATTGGACGCACTGTGTCATAATCACCTCCACGTACTAATGCTATCAGTAGCAATGCATCGTTTGACAGCCCTGTCTTCTCCTGGATCCGTCCTACAGTATATACCTTGACAAGTCTCTTCTTTGGCAACCTGAATGCCAAGAACATTGCATCAGCCACCGCAACACAAAGCACCACAACTCACTGTCGGACTAAACGGCGTGTACCAAAGACAAACGCATCACTGTCGTTGGTCATAACAGCGTCAACCACAGTGTACTTATTCATGGCAGCCAGCTCCGCTTCAGCTTCCCCAGGAGCCTGTATAATAACAATTAGGATACAGCCTACAGTGATTGTACTCAATTCACAACACGCACCCATAAATATGTAAATCCGAATGCCTTGATAAGGGAGCAAAAGCCGTTCGTCAAATAGTGAGGCACATTCCGCTCAACTGTTTTGCCTCTCTTGACCTTGGGCCGATCAGCTCCATCAAAGACAAAATGCGGGAGTACAGGGAGTCGAACAAGGCAACCAAGCTTCCCTAATAGTGCCCGAAGCTCCGGGTTCTGCCCTGCATTGGCATGGTTATGCCGAAATACAGGACAGACAGCATGCATCCACGCACTGCAATGATATTAGTATCACTGTAGATACAGTGAACCCGGTTCATGCATGGCATATGCGCACCTTGCATCAATCCCGAGATGCATCAACCTGACATGTTCACTTCTCTCAGTCGCCATCTTCTCCATCAGATCGAGGACAACAAGGTCCTCCAGCCGCACACGTTCACATGCAGGCTCCAATATCTATGGTTATAAGTGCAGTCAATTGACAGTATACATGCCCAGCAGCATACCTTCCATAGCTGTGAGACACCCATGATATGGTCGAGAAAGAGGTTACAATAGGGGGTCGGTATTGGCATGACATCATGTTATTATGAGCTATAGAGTACAAATCTCAGTCTACGGATCATGTATACACTGCCCGGCGATGTCAGTCGCGTCGAGCGTTCAACGCGTCTCGCCCTCGTAGCCCATTGTCGGTGGGCTAATCGGTGGGCTAGGGCGCGGTGTACATGTCGCGCTCTCGCCTTCACATTCGTGCTCCCCTCCTCATCGACCTCTCCGAGATGTGTTGCTTGGCGTTGCAGCGGCGCTGACGACTTATAGCGCGGGCGTCGAGTCGTTGTGGGCGCTGAGTCGGCGTGTACACCGACGGCGTGCGCTGCCCCTCCCCTCGTCAACCTCTAGCCCGGGGCGCCTGGTCCAGCTGCAACCGACAGGCCCCTCAGTTGGGCCCATGCGACGCGCGTGGCTGGACCTAGGGCGGCGCGGCCTCATGCTCGTGCTGGCGTCATGGACAAGCGCATTGGCGCTCAACTTGAGTTGACGCGCACCTCATGCCAGTGCTGGTGTCAGCGCGTTGGCATGCGAGACAAGGGAGGCGTCGAGGGGGCGTTCGCAGGCGAATGGGCGAGTGGGTGGTGAGAAGGCGAGTCGGGCGTGAGTCGCAGCATGGGCGTCGACGTGGAGCAAGCAAGGAACGAGCGCGTTGACAGGCACTGCTCGTCTCGCCACAACAAGTGCGTCTTCGCGTGTGCGGCGAGCACATCACGGGCAGGGACAGGCTCCTTCAGTTGGGTCCATGCGACGCGCGGTGCGGGCGTCGAGTCGTTGTGGGCGCTGGGTCGGCGTGCTGCATCGAGCGCGTGAAGCGATAGTGCGGGCGTCGAGTCGTCGTGGGCGCTGGGTCGGCGTGTACATCGGCGGCGTGCGCTGTTCACGCTCTCGTCCTCGCGCACTCGCCCTCCCCTTGTTGACCTCTATCCCCGGGCGCGCCGGTCACAGGCGTGAGCTTCGCCGTGTGTCGTCGCCGGGGACCAATGAGAAAGCGGTGACGGGCGCGCTGATGACACGGCGCGCTGCCGACGCTGCGCGATGTGCGTGCGTCATCGCCGGTGACCACTAAGAGAGCGGCGACGGAGGAGGAAGTGGGCGGGTGAGTCGAGTGAGACTGGACGAGTGGGCAAGCAGACTTACCTTGTGTTAGTCGCCCTCTCATCCACTTCCTCGTCTTGCTTGCTCTTGCTCTCCTCCGTCGCGTTCTGAGCCCTCCCAGGCAGCGGGCTTTGGTCAAGCCCACACGTCGTCTGGGAGGGAGGCGAGGGCGGCCGTGTTGATTGTTCAGCGCGATTGACGAAACTCGCAGCGTGCCATTAGTCGTGCCCTCGCTCTTGAGCTCTCGGGAGTGGGTGGGCTGGCTGACAAGGTGAAGAGGGATAGGAGTGATGACAAGCACTGACAGATAGTCCACCTTGCACAGAGTGGATGGCTGCACAGTGCTTGCCATCGTGCGTGATGCTAGAGCGCGGTGGTGGTCACAGTTTAACATTGATCAAAGTCGCGCGGCACATCATGATGTCAATTCAATACAAAGCGAGTACCGTACATAGCACACTCTGAACTGCTGTAACATATCAATACGGAATGAATCAAAACAAATAAACATCATATCCTAAGAATAAACAGAAACAGCCTAATTAATGTGAAAGCTTTTGACGCTTCGATTGACCGTGCACAGGGCCTTTCCTCTTCCGAGTTGTCGCTACTATCCCACTAGTGCTAGCCGACGCAGACGCCGTGCTGCTGTCTGTAGCCTCTGCACAGATTTTCTGCAGGTGCCGCACAAGCGCATTCATGCCCAGCTTAGATCCGCCTGCAGCTGCCGTGGTGCGCATACCTTCCAGCTCGGTCAGCATATTATCCAGGGAGATGTGTCGTGTTCGAAGCTGCTCCTCGATCCATTCTGGGATCTCTCGCAATCGTTGCCACGCTTTTCGTGCCTATGAGACCTGAGTTTTGAAACTGTGAAAGGAGATAATTGACAACGTACTTGTGTTGTTTTACGCCATCGGGATCCAAAGCACTCCTCAACTGACTTGAGAGGAGGTTTAAGACCACTGGGTTCGCCTGTCGAATCCTCGGTAGCCTCACCAGTGCGCCAGCACTTCCAAATCTCGTCCAGAGTCATGCTGTCGAGCAATTTTGACGGCTTCCACACATCCCAGAGATGTTCAGGCTGCTGCACAAGTGCAAAGACATCTGTCCACTGAACCGACTGCTGGCCCAACACTGGTGGCCAAAGCAGTGGTGCACACCCTGGTTTCTGAAATGCAGCTGCAGGGGGGAGGACGAGATCAATCTGGGTTCGCGGACGGGGTAGGTGTGGAGAGACAGGTGATGGACAAACAAAGGCACAAAAAGTGTGGTCACCAGCTTCGTATACACCGGTATTCTCTGCTGCACGTGCATCCGGTGTGATGATGGCAGGTGCAAACATGACAGCAAAGGTTGCACTTACCGGTACCCTCCGTGCTATCTTCATTATCCTCCTCATCGTCAAAGTCCTCATCCATCCCATCATCGCCATATCCCAGGATCGACTCGATATCATCATTCGATGCGTTATTTTCGCGCAGAAGAACAGCATCGGGGTCTCCAGGAGCGACTTCGTCCTCATTGTCTTCAGCGGGTTCGGAGTTGATGAGATGAGCGGGGGATGGAGAGCGTGTGGCCGGTACCGTGGCCAGACGAGGGACTGCAGGCGTTCGCATTTGCTGAGCATGTCCATACCTACACATTAATTTTATTTAAGCTCTACGAGGGGATATGCGATGAGAGGAAAGAGTTACGCACCAGTGCTGCTCAAGGAGAGTACGAAGCCGAGTAAGCGTGGCCTTCTTGCCATACGTGAGCCCGAGGCCATCGCAAGCGGCCTGAAGCCCCTGCTTGCGCTTCACAGACTCCCTACATTATGGTCAAATGCTTGAACACGTCCGAGTAGATCAACGAGTACGCACAGCTGAAGCCGATATTGATCCCGAGGGACCAGTTCTCCATTTCGCAATCGCGTTGGGCTCGTCTGGTCTTGTTCTGGCAATTCAGTCGCTTCCGAGGCTGGGCGCAAGGCGGGATCAATGTCGGACCAGGTGAACGAGGTGCTGTCGGTGACAGATGTGGATGCGTGCGAGCCGGTCTGTTGGGACATCTTATCGCGGCTGTGGTTCGTGATTGGGCGTGACGTGTGCGTGAGAAGTCGTTCCGGACGTTGATTATAGCAAAGTAGGGTAGAATAAGAGGTGATAGAGTAGATTATGGGGCCTCGCCGACTAGCGGCGGGCGGACGAGAAGTACGAGAGGGGAGGGCGGGCGGCGCGAGCGAGGAGACGAGCAAAACCTGACGCGCGACGCCCGGTCAGCCTGCGGTCACAGACGGTTTGTGACCGCCCCTTCCCAAAACGCGCGCGGTCACAGAACCGCTGTGACCTGGCGCGGGCGAATCGCCAGGGGGTCTCCATGTTCTCTTCAATACCAAGCAAATATATCCAGAACGGGTGCCCGCGATCGGAGTGAGCGTGTCATCAGTGGTCTACTCGGACATGGGTACGCCGCGGTAAGGTGTCGCTTCATTAACTTGGAACCACCTGCAAGCTGCAGACATGGCATTGCCATCATGCTCCGAATTCATCGAGGATGCTGCCGCAGCCAACTGGACGAGGGGGGGATCGATGTGCCATGACGTCAGTTATGAAACCCCTTTGTACTCATAGTTATAATATCAATGCCCTTGCCATTGCGGCTTGAATTCAACTCGCCTACCTAACGCACGCATTCCAAGTGAGGAACATCGTTGCCTTTTTTTTGGCCTCTAAATCTCAAAGCACACTCCTAGTCAAATGGCACCTCAATTCCCGAACCAGAAGTGGCCAGGCGGACCCCCGCCTTCCGTCTTTACAGAGTCCCCTGCGCCTTCGCAGAACGCACCTGGCCGGGATGATAAGCAAGAGACCGCACGTCTTCAGGAGACTCCACAGGGAAACCCCAATCAGAAGATCGATGCTCAGAACGTCTCCAAGTCGAGCTCGGAGCCACCGCCATCTTCATTCGCAGAGCCCTCTGAGCCGTCCCAGGACGCACCGGGGGAACATGACAAGTCGCAAGTCGCCGGTCCCCAGGAGGAGAATCCTCAGACGGTCGTTAAAAGAGGGCCAAAGCTGTGAGAAGAGCAATTGAACCACAAATCTCCCAATGTCACTGTATAAATACAGTGTGTAATAACAGACGTCGCAGCGAAGCTATGATTTAGCCTTTTTCTACTTCGCTCATCAGCAATAGGCGTATAGCTTTATCAGACATACTCACGTAGGCGGCATCACCAAATTCATATTTAATGCCAACTTCCTCTAGCTTCCGTTTCCTTTCCTCTTGCCGCTTGAGAAGTCTCTTTTCTGCCCGGTCCTTCTCTTCGTCTGTCCGAGGCTAATGTGATCATGTCAAATTCAGCTTTTCTCTACTTTGTGAAGCCGCATACCTTGTTGTGTGACTCCCTCGCCAACTTTGCCCGAGGGATCGCCTTCCACTTTTTGTTCGCCCCGATCCAGAGTTCTGGATGTACTTTTTCGCGGGGGATGTATTTGCATTTGAGGATATGACCCATGAGGAGATAGTTGTCCATGGTTTCGACAACGATTTCGGCCACGGATGAAGAATCGAACTCAAGGAATGCATAATGTTTCGACTTCCCCGTCTAGATAGTCCATGAAAGTGAGTAATGTATGCGGTCAGCCGTGGCACAAACACAAACCTTTTTATTTCTCGATACGCGCAGCCGCGTTACATTTCCAAATTGCGAGAAGTACCCCTTCAACTGGTCTTCGTAGAAACCGTGAGGCAATCGAGAGACGGATATGACGCCACGATCTGAAGTCTGTGGGTAGGAAAGGCGGCTTTAGCTGAAGGTCATGTAGAGCATACATAACGTACCGGTTCACGTTTTGCTTTCTCTAGTCGTCTCTGGATACTCCGATCATCCTTTGCTATTGTCGGCAGCTTTCCAATGTCCACGCCTTCTCCATCTCCAACTTCCATATCGTCATCGTCGCTGTCCTCGTCTGTCGAGAAGCCATAAAGCTCCCCCTCAGACTCCTCCTCAGCATCTTCACTGCCAGAGTCGTCCTTTGCCTCGTCAGCACCATCAGAGTTGCCGTCAGCCTCTGGCTCTGAACCCGATTCTTCCGGTGGAGGAACGGGTGCGGATTTTGACTTCGGCTTGGCTGATGACTTGGCCGACTTGGACCTTTTCTTGTTCGCGTTGGCAGAAATGAGAGTGGTCGGCATATTGGGCCTAAAGACGTTTTTGGGAGAGCCTAAGCGAGTTTCTTGAAACTGAAAGATGTCCAATTCCCGAAAAATATCTACACGAATCACGTGGCGGAATGATCGCTCAGGGGCTTAACGGGCTCTTAACTAGCTTAGTGGCTACAAACGCCTCTTCACTCGCATCTCATCACTCGGCCCATGGCGCATCGTCCCAAATTCACGAATCCTCATTTCCTTGACCAGTCCTCCGAGCCAGTATTGCGCTCCCAAATCTTCAAATATGATCCTTTTGACGTAAAGGATATGGATGATGACTTGTCTGACGAGGATCATGAACTGCCAGACGCAACAGGCATCACTCAAAGCAGCAAACTCGAAGACACTCTACGCGCTCGGATAGGTAACATAGGTGAATATGTGCAGAATAATGAAAACGATGTTACGCGAAGAAAGCGCAAGCGGCGGAAGTTTGCTCATGAGTCGGACGTGCAAACCGTTGAGGATGTCGATGCGTACAAGCAAGAGGTCTTGGGTTCGTAGGTTTTCTGCAGAATTCAGCATATAAATCTCTTACGCGGCCCAATGATAGCCTTTCGCCTACTGTCTACTCAGTTTTCGCCTGTGCCCATATCTTTAGAGGATAAACCCCTTCCCCTACCAATGTGCTCGTTCACAATGTCTCCAACATGTATGCAGTGCATTGACATTTCTTCCTCAGGATGGTGCAGCCCCAATGTGAGGATAGCAAAGCAGCAGCGAAGGAACGTAAAGCACGGGCAATCGCGGCTGCCGTCGACGCGGATGGCGTTCACGCTACGTCTCATACAAGGTGGAAGGTGAAAACCGGTGTTGCTATCTGTTGGTTATGCTGGTTAACTTTCAGTATAGGATCGCTGCTCGCATGGACGAGTTAACACTGTCAAATCGAGCGTATCCTTTGAACTTCCTACGCTTATGGTAGTTGAGGAACCTCGAGCTCTCAAGAAACCTCCGATGAGGGCGATGGTAACAAGCGTCTCGGATGCACCTTCACCAGATGTGTCCAAGCATGTCGAAAGATGGACATGTCCAACTTTCCCTGTTACTACATCTCCTGGCCACGCCACAGTGCAGCGAAAACCTGCTCGAAGACATCGACGGAGGAAACCGGATGAAAAACCAAAGCTTTCTCCTACATATTGGAGGCCGAAACCTTCGCTCGAAGGAAAGTGTCGAGGGTATGCCCTTGGATATCCGAGCAATTGGCAGAGATTTTATGAGACAGATGGTATTGGCAGCAACCAACTTACTACTCGCCCCAGAGATGTGATGCGTAAAGGAGTAATGGCATGAGTTGACGCTTAAATGCACTTGAACGAACGTGCAAGTGACTCTATGACATGCTGCGCCTCGGTTCGTTGGGAATGCTTCAGGAGTTAAAAACCGGAGAGCGGAAGTAAATAATTATAAGCTTAAGGTTGGTACACCGAAAACACGTGATACGCGACGACGCGTTTAATCTTGGACGCCGAGGCGGCGCACCTCGAGAATCGACACCGACTCAACTTGGCGGACCTCATCTGTTCTTTGTCCCCTCCGTCGACGTAGCCAACTATATCATACTACTACATTCATTGTAGGGCTTTTAGCTACGATGACTTCTACGCCACCGCCAACCGGGGTTTTTGCCATCCCTTCCATGCCCCATCTTCAGTCGACTGCAAGCTCGAGGGGCCGCTCATCCATTGGCTCGTCTTTCTCCTTCGGACCTCACCAAGTCTCTACTAGTATGGATATGGGCTTGCGTCCACTCGCGCTCGATCCAAATCGTTCTATGCTCTCTTCGTCGCCGCGCTCTTCTCCTCGCAAGCACCGCCGAGCGAAAGAAAGTGCGGGCCGCCATCCGCTCGCCAATGAAACCATGGACGTGTTCCAAGACATACGATACGGCAGTGTACAGGGCGATAGTGATGAAGAGGTTGGGAAGGACGAAGAGAAGGAATGGAGTATGATTGACCGCATGCGGCTATGGAGGCATGATGCACTCATGCAGCACCTCTACGAAACCGCTGCTTTCTGGGGGGACAAAGTCTTGTCGTGGACGAGTGAGAACCTTGGAGCTTCTGTCTTCTTAACGAACTAACATCATCCGCAATGCGCGATAGACGACCCTAACGACGCCTTCTGGCTCGCTCAGACATTCTTTATGAGCCAGCAGTATTCCCGTGCCGAACGGTTGCTCACAAGACCTTTTCCAATACCCTCGCCCTCCGATGCCAAAAACGGGATCAAACAAAAACCAAAATCCAACGGGTTTGAGTTTGATTTATCTGCGGACGTCACAGGCAGAGACATTGGCAAGGGGAAGGGGAAGGAACCCAGCCTTCCAATGCCCCGCCTTCCAATGGGACCAGGCGCATATGTCGAAATGTCGGAAGACCGCATTCAGAATGTGTCTCGCTTGGTTGATATGAGCATCGCATGTCGATACTTGGCTGCTCAGTGTCAGGTGCGACAAGGTAACTGGATGGATGCGACGGAAATGCTGGGAGAAAGCAACCCGTTTCGTAATTCAGGTGTGGACCCTCTGATTAGGTCTTGTCTTACTCTCAATTCTCAAAGAACGCAGCGGGCCAGCCGTGCCGAATGTGGATGGCGGTATCAAGGTAGGCATTCGAATGCCCAGATAAAATCAAACTAAATTCGATTGATAATCTCCTCATTTTCCCTGATAGGTCGAGGCTTCTATGTGCCACCTCCGTGGCTTGCTGATGCTGAAGCTGAACCGTACCGAGCAAGCAAAACAATGTTTCATGGAAGCGCTTGCGCTTGATGTCAAATGTTACGATGCATTCGATCAGCTTGTCAGTGGGGAAATGATGAACCCCGAAGAAGGTAATCTAAGTCTTTTCTAAAGTAGCATTAGGCTCATATATCCTCTTCCACAGAATGGTCCTTTGTATCTTCGCTAGCATACAAAGCGCAGGAAGCCGCCGATGCTGACTTCATTCAGCTCATCTACACATCCCGTTTACGGAAGTACACACATCAGGCGGAGCACGCCGCTACGCGTGCAGCTCTTGTCCGTTCGTTTGGGCTAGCGGACAATCCCGATGTGCTCTACAGCTTTGCAGACGCGCTTTATGCGCAATTTCGCTGGGCTGATTGTTTTGTCGTCACCTCCCGGTACGTCAAGGCCACTGTCATTGCGTAAAAGTCCATTCTAATCACTATCACAGGATCATCAACCTCACACACATACATACACCATCTATGCCCCTCCACCTCGCTTGTATGTATCATCTTGCACACGAACGGTCCGCTCTTTTTGTGCTAGCGCATGAGCTTGTGGACCGTGAACCAGAAAATCCAATGGCTTGGTATGCTGTGGGAATGTGGTACCTTGGGCAGTCACGTTGGGGGCTTGCGCGACAGTACTTTAGGTGAGCATCCAATGTCGTATTCCCGATCGTGATTGATATCATGTTGTGTAGCAAGACTTCCCTAATGGATCCTCGTTTTGGTCCGGCATGGATAGCGTTCGCACATACATTTGCACTCGAAGGCGAGCACGACCATGCAGTCACCGCATATTCCACGTGCGCTCGGATGTTTGCTGGTTCACACCTGCCCCTTCTCTTTGTTGGGATGGAGCAGATCATGCTATCAAACCACACGCTTGCTGAAGAAGCGTTGAACGCGGCTCATGCAATATGTGACGCTGATCCACTGCTTGCCAATGAACGTGGAGTTATGGCATTTACCCGTGGCGAGTGAGTCTTGTTCACGAGCCCAATCCAAACATGCAACAATCCTGATTTAATGAAGGTATCAACAAGCCACGGAACTCTTCGAACGGGCCATCGACCTCGCCAAGGTCACGCAAAGCTCTGAAAAGACCTGGGCGACGACGTACCTCAACCTTGGAACATGTTACAGAAAATTAAAGTGAGCGTTTTTCTCAATCTTCCAAATTAAAAGTATCTATATGCGCATTCACAGGCGCCTCGAAGATGCAAAATTGCAATATCTACGAGTGCTTGAGATCGAGCCACGACATGCCCAAGGAGTCGGGTATCTTGGCCTAACATATCATCTTCTTAACGAAGTCGGGAAAGCTATTGAGAAATACCACGAGGTATGTCGGTGATATCTTTGGTCCCGCTTCACACCTAACATCTATCTCAAGGCGCTTTCACTGGATCCGCTCAACACACACCTCATCGAGTTGCTCAACCTCGCTCTTGACTCACACGCATCTACCGCACCGCCTGATAGACACTATCCAGGCGGCGAAGAAGAATTCAAACGTATGCTTCGACGCTTGAGAGAGAAGTTTGATCATGCTGTCGAAGAGAACCCGAGTGAGGGGAACATGTCTGGGAACACTTCTATAATCACCGCGCCGAGTGTCTCGATGGAGGATGGTCAGACTCCCGTAGATGCTATGACATTGGGATGAGGGCATAGCATGTTGTCTTACATTGTTATGGCCATGCATTGGCTTTTATCCAAACGGTCATATCGAACCTGCCAGCAGTCATGTTCACGCCACTTCGTGATTCAATACTGGTGACTTTTATGTGCGTCCGTCCGCTAAGGCAAGAAAAGCACAAGAAGGAATACACTACTAACTTAACACTGCTGCTAATTCGGGATGTCCAAGTTTGTCTGCAATATGGTGACCCATTCATGAGTTTGGACATGGTCAAAACGTCCTGGTTCATGTTGCACTTAAGCTAGCTCGTAACAAATCTGGGTTATTAATCTGAATAAATACGCAGAACCAGCGACCAGCGCATTTGTCAAGTGATTATGCTATTTCCATCTGCCTGACTGGAACAAGCCCTACGCGAAGGTAACCATGTTAGCATGCGCCCGACAAATGACCCCCGGCAGGACCACTTACCTTGTATGAATCCTTCTTGGTCTTCATTGGATATTTCTTCCAGCGATCGTCCTTTCGTCTCAGGCAGCAGCATTGTCGATATTACCCCTGTCAACATGACGAAAGCAAGGATCTTCATCCTGATGATCGTGTTAGTAACAGACACTCTGAATGTCTTTTGAGAAGATTCACAGGGATGAAACATAACTGTCATTAATATTATCGCCCATTGTGTAGTTGATGTGGGGAAAGCTTCGCCGGGGATGATGAATGTCGTTGTATTCGGTCCAAAATTCTGGAAAAACATTGCCAGGCAGTAGAAGAAGACGTAAAGGCCGACCAGATGTGGTTTCAGTAGCCTGCCGTTCTCGTTGCCATAACCTTTCAAGGACAAATGCCCGTTACCCCTAGGGTAACTGGGATTGAGGGGGGCACTATTTTTGCGTTTTGGCAGAGAAATTGGCTACGCGACAAAAACCATGTGACACCACGTGACTATCCAATGTTATGATTCTGAGACTACTTAGTTGCTATTGTTTCGAACGTTCCCTATCACTGCTCGAATTCCTTGCGCTGGACCGCTCGCTGTTCCCTCTGCACCTCCACCATTCCCCTGCCGAAGCTACCATAGACCCGATGGCGTTGGTCAATGGCCGGACGGCCACTTCATCAATCGACGATATGGTTCCCAGGACATTTTTGTCAACTCGTTTTGCTGCGACCCATGGTTGGCTTTCTGGCGAACTACGAAGTATCCACCTCAAACTCCGTTATCGACATGTGTGATGTTCTCGCTGATGAGCTTTCGACAGATATCGTGTTGGGCTGGGATTGGCTTTGCTATCGTAATATCATTCTCCGAGACACCGCTACATCTACACCTTCTCAACACATATTTTCCCTACAAATAGATGTTGCTGGATGTGTGGAATCGCAATATGACCGTGTCATCGACAATGCCGCCAAAGCCTGAGATCTGAAACTTGACTTTGTTCTGGCCTGAACGTTTACCACAAATATTACTCCCGCACACATGATTTTAGTGAATGACCACCGTGCCTCTGTCTCGATCGACGACATCACTCTGAATCGCAAGGTCCAATATCGTCAAAATCTGATCGATAAAGTCGCATAAGTTGGGTACCTCTCGTGCGCACTGCGCACCCTTGTGTTACGCACTTCCGAAACAGTCTCAAGTGCGGGAAGGGGTGGGGTAACGGGTATTGCCGTGCCACGCTTGGACGGCCCTACTCAATTTTAAGTGTCTTGAAACTCTGACCACAAGTCTGATAAGCGCACCCATAATAAGGAACAAGATGGTCAAGGCGATGAATCCCGTGAGCTGGATTGGCTTGCGTCCCCATCTATCAATAAAAAGGAAACAAACCCAGTACCCAGGTATCAAACCAGCTACGGAGAGGACGAGGTTGCCGACACAGTAGCCCATGAGAGTTTTATAGATTTGCTGTCGTGTTTGTATGATCGTGGTATTCGTCATTCCGTATGAGGATCCTAATTCCAGGTTGGTGACTGAGTTTAAAGCTACTGAAGCGGTATCTGACTGGTAAACGGAGAAACTCATATTGTGGAGGATTGAGGAGTTGTTCAGGTTAAGCACATAAAACGCAAACAGGATATCATCAAGATTATCAGCATAAAAAGAACAACGTAAAATGCAAACGAGATCCTCACGCCAAGGGCGAACCATGAGTATGCCGTTCCAAGGAGAGCCTTTCCGTTCTTCCATTGCAAAAAGTATGTCAAGAAGTCACTCTTCGTTGCCTTGGGGGCTATGACACGCCGAATGGGCGCGTCGCGGTCGGCACGATAAGTGCCTGTCGACAGTACATTGTCAATATCCTGTGTAGCTTGCTTGACATTGCGCTCTATGTCCATTGTAAAGCGTGGGGTCTCCGGGACCGTAAGACGAAAGTAAAGCGCCACGAGAGCGGGGACGCAGCCAAAACCAATCAAGATACGCCAGATTTGGTCGATGGACGCGGTGGGGACATCAGTTGAGTTGGGAGGGTTGGAGATAGTGTTTTTGTAGGCTGCTACGCATATCGTTGCAACTGCAGACGCAGCTGTTTTGGGATTTTTCTGAGTCAAAACGTACGTAAAGGTCGGAGACACGGACTTACCAAACTGACCCCAGCCCCGCGCAGCGAACACAGCAGTCATGAAACGACCCCGCGATTGAGTAGCTGCGAGCTCTGCGGAAATACTAATTGCGCCCAATGGACAATCGCCTCCTACTCCAACACCCATCTGACGCAGACAGCGGCTCGTTCCTGAGATCAGGGGATATTGTAGAGGGAAGGCTCACGATAAAGCGATATACTATGATGACACCAACAATGCCGACAGAGGGCGCACTTCCAGCCAAGGCCTGACAGAAGGTGGCGTTGATCATGAACATCAATTCAAGACCGTCTGCGGGTGAGTGAGTATGTGGTTAACTATACAAAAAGGGCCATTTACACATCCGCTTTCGACCAACTTTATCGGCCGGCCAGCCAAAGAGCACCTGACCAATGAGGTTGCCTGCTCGAGCAGCGACCTTTATTCCTACTAGCTGATATTGACTCAGCGAATTGTTGCCTGGGAAACAAATTTGAGTCTCAATAGAAGGTCTGAGATTATCGTAGGGAGAATCACTTTTGTGATAGACGTAGCCGAGGAAGCACGGAGACTATGTCGATGGCAAAAAGGTCGTATCTGACAGAAGAAGAGTCAGCCTGATGCATCCTTACTAAACACTGCTCTACCTACGCATCAGTAAAAAATCCAACGCCAGCGACCAAGGCGACCCTAAAGTGAAACCACCTGTAACCAGAGTCAGCGAGGTAGTTCACATTGCAGAACTTATACAAGGCACAAAGAACAGGTTGCTCACGAAAAGCGGGCATTATCTATCTCGGCGAGGGCAGCCGTACGTCTAGCATTGAGAAGGTGAACACTGTTCGCATCCAAGTCCAGCTTGTCTTGGTCATCATCGACCGCTGCATTGTATACGGACTCAAGACGACTCCGACCATCGGAAATCGACATGGCGTTCGAGGGGGCGACGCGTATACAATACTCGGTGGGATGAATGCGAGTCTGGGATATTCTTTGCCCAGGCCCTCCGAGGCCTAACAACTTCTTTTATAATGAAGGTACCAGGTATGCCAAGTTTACAGTTGTGTTGCTTGTCTCAGCCAGCGCCATCAGAGCACCTGGCGCCAAATTTGGGCTATGTTATTGAGCGTTCGATAGCAGGCAAGCAACGTTCGTGTTCACCAGCCAATAAGAGTGATCACCAATTACAGGGGAACGAGCCACGACAGAACTGGGGTCAAAGGCCGTCGACAACAAAGGCGGTGATGCTGTGGAGAGGCCATGGCACACAGCAAGGCGACTTAGATACTTGGGTTCCAGTGGCCGTAAGCTCCATTGTAGGGGTGAGAGGCGTCACAGGGCAATTAGTAGAAGCGCCATGTGTATGTTGTACCGTTTATGGCTTGAGCCACCATCTTTTTCCCTTCGAAGATATCGCCAATGAGCCACCATCAGCCACCATCACAATGTGCATGCACAGCAAGGGACCTACTGCGAGTAATGGATACGACAACCTAATAACATCCAGGGCAGGGAATGCGAGTGCATATGTATGTTTTTGTCATGCTTATGGGCGAATGTTTGGGAACAGCTATTGTGTCGCCACAGATTCATGGGAGCAAAATTTCTTCCGAAAATCACCCTGGCCGATGCCCAGCCTCTAGGTGTGTTTGCCAGGCAACCATGAGACTTCCACCAAGAAACCCGTGTGTTTTGTCGGATGTCAACGGCCAAGGTAGACTTAACACAATCAGACATATGACGCCCCAGCCCGCGCCATGGGCAAAACGATGAGGAGCGCGAATAGGCGGGATCTTGGGATTAGCTTAATTGAGCTATCCAAAAACCAATGTGCGAGGTCAAAATCTGTCAACGGGGGAAATCCTGTGATCAAGATAGAGGGCGAGGACCATGTTGACTTCCAGATCAGACTGCATGAAGACCCAATAGTATAGTACGGCCGACAGCGGTCGAGGGTGAACGGGGAAGCTGAACGCCCACTTCAAGGTCCTATATGCTCCTGGATACTGCTTCCCAAGGACGCCGCATTGAGCGTCACTTTCTGGTGAGGCATCAATATCATAAGACACATGTCCAGTGCGTACGTGGCGAACCCGCTGCAGAGTATAGGACACCGGAAGCGTAGTCAAGGGGGGACTCCTACAGCAAGATACAGATTTTGACTGACTGAAGAAGAGGATGTCGCATTAAGTTGGTCGGTGCAGTCGATCCTGATCAAAATCAGAGAAAATCGCAACGGGAGGCAAGTTGGCCAGAGTTGGGTCAGAGACCCGGATGTATCTGAACATGGGTGTGCTCATTCCAAGTTCCTGGAGAAGACGAGGGCCGACCGTAGAGATGAGAGATGAGAGCAGCCTTGATTCACCCAATGACAGGCCTTGATGAAGTCCCACAAAGTCCCGAAGCAACATAGCCGCTGCTTTTCCAAGCCTGCAACAATCTGAGGCAACCTGGTCGTGGCCGCGGTCTGGTTGGTTGATCGTGGGTGGCCCAGAATTCGGAGTTGAGCGCTAGCGTGCCCCTCCTTATCCGGCCCGAGCCGAGGTCGATCAACTTGAATCTTGATTGACACTTCGCAACTTTTTTTTTTGCCTCCGTTCCGCTTTTCTCTTCCTCGACGTGTCTTTCGCGATCAAGTCCTAGCTCAACGCGTCGCTCATGATCTGTTGGTGCTCTACCGTAACCCTTCAACGAGACCAGGTAGTATATCAAGGACGATCAAAGAGGAATTGCTCGATCTTCTCATTTCTTGTTTGTCCGATGTCCTAATAGTGTCTCTTGGCGTACGACTCATTCGGAATAGGACGACAGTCACCTCCCTTTCATCGACGGATCCAACGGCCATAAATCTAGCAGATTACTGGCTAGCTTCGGTTGGCACCTGTCTCATGGTTTACAATTATATCGCTTTCCGAGACTCTTGTCTGCAATTCCAGCGTCATCCGCACCGCCACCTGCCAGTTCTCCCCTGACTCACGGCCGAGTCACGACCTGCTCCAGCTACTTTCAAATCCATGCGCATTCACTGACAGAAACTGTCTTGACTCTTCTACTCATTGGCTTGCTCACTGACGTCTGTTCACACTTTGTCGAAGGAGATCGCTTCCCGGATGCCAGTTCACAGGCTTCACATGCTATCGATCCGCTTTGATACAGACAAATCGAATTCTCGATGTCTTCCCCTCGACAACCCCTTGCTCTCTGCGCTTATTTTCTTGCGACGCTCTGCCATCTTGAACTTAGGGTATATGCGACCTCTTGATAGCCTTCACTGCGGAACAAGTACTGGTTTATCCGACAATACGAAGTCAAAATCCACAAAGCTGTCTCGAACCATGCCAGCATCGATATTCGACTAACAGACAGTAACAGCGTTACCAAGAGCTAACTTATAGGTCAATATATTACATGTTCGCCACGTACAACTACCACGTCATCCCAGGAGAAAGGGAGAGCGACAAGCGACCCGAAAGGAAGGGCGGTGCATACGAAGAGCGAAAAGGAAATAAAGGATCCAGCATCCGATAAGGTAACAGTAAACGGAGATATACACTAGGCCAGTCAGCGGAACAGAACATAATTCATAAATCAGGAACGAGATATATTGGATCAAGTCCAGGAAAAATCGTCAGGTGGGTGGTCCTCGTGTTGGACGAGAGCGGTGCGCGAGCTGATGAAGCGCGTGCATAGGGAAAATAGCTGCAAGAAAATGTACGAATGGGACAGATTTCCTCGAGATAAACTGAAGCACGCTTACCAGATAGGCCACAAGCGGCTTAAACAGTTGCACTCAGGCCCAACGCTCTTGCGCCTGCGCCTGCGGCCCCTTCCCAACCCAGGAATCGCTCTCTCTCAACGGCGGCGTATTCCTCGTCAAACTCTTCGTCTTCACCACCATAGCCCCATGCCTTGGCGCGCGCCCAACTCGAAACGAACACAATCCGCTTGAGCTTGGCGTTGAAGAAGAACCAGTGGCTCGACCAGAGCAACGCGCCAGGTCTCCGGCGAAGGTGCACCCGGGGGTACTTCCCCATCGGCGACGAGTCCATCGGCGACGGCGGCGTAAGGTTGTTTCTTCCACGACTGCGTCTCTCGGGCGAGCCACCCCAACTCCGACTCGTCTCACTGCTCCCCGCGCTTGTCTTGCGCTTGGGCGCATACGGTCTTGATCGCGTGCTCTCATCTACGTCATAGTCATCAAACTCAAACATGGCCTCGTCGTCATCATCCTCGGGGCTTGAGTCACTTGCCACGTCGTCCTCGTCATCCTCCCAGTCGTTCGCATGCGGATCGGCATCAAGAGAGGGCGAGAAGGAAAAGATCTGACAATCCTGCAGGCCGATGACGCTGTCCAAAAGGCGGTAGAGCTGGGGATTCGTCCCGCTTGCGAGGGAGTCGGAGTTGAGCGGCGAGGACGGATGGAACATACGGCTGTGCGAGGGCGAGATGGACGGCGAGGCGGAGGAGGTGGGGAAGACCTCCGGCGAGCTCGGGGGATAAGAGGAATAGCTGCGGGCGAAGGACTGTACACCACGTGTGCCGACACGCTGGGGCGAGACGAGGGTGGTGCTAAGGGCGTGTAGAACGGTCGCGCCATTGCGCTCCTTGGTGAACTGGTCCGGACGGACGTCGGAGAACTCATGGTCGGGGAAGGCGACGTTGAGAGTCGCGATGAGGAGATAGAGGGTCTTGCGCGATGCGGGATTGTCCATGGGCCCGAAAGGTGTTTGCGCGAGCGCTGGGTCGAGCAGCGGAGCCGAGCTGGGTGGGGACTGGGACGGGCCACTGCTGCTGAGAGGCGGTGAGTGGGGGGAGGTGTACGAGCCGGAGAAGAAGGTGGGTGGGTCGAATGTCTGGGGCGGTGGGTGGGAGAGCTCGTCTGTGTATGCATGTTCGAGCGCTTTGAAGAGCTTCTTGTCGCGTTTGATGTTCTTGCAGCTGTATGCCTCGATACGGGTGTGGACCGAACACTCCGGCCCCTCGTGGGTAAGGAGGCGGGAGAGGCGGGCGAGTTCAGGAGATTCTATGTACTTCATCTCTGCTCGTCTGGGATGGCGTCGCAGAAAGGAGAGCACCGGGTGGTGTGTTGGATGGGCTGCGGGACGGCTAAGTAGGGATTAGAGGAGAGGATGTGACAGGCGAGGTGGAGCGTCTATAGGCACTTGGCCACCGGTCTCACACCATCCCCATTCCCTAATCAGGCACTCCAGCCCTGCACAGACTCGTCAACGTTCACCTCAACACGTGCTCGACTTTGCATCCCCCTTTCCACGCCCAGCCCTTGACTGCGACTGCGAACGGCAACATCGTCACTTGCATCAGTTCGGTAGTGTCGTTCAGAGACCTCATTTGGCCTCCGCGACGTCTATAAACGACAAAGTCATGACCAAGGATTCGCACCTTTCACCTCCGCATATCGCCTGTTATCATTTATGGACAAGACAAGTGTGCAAGCTTATCGCAGCCCGGCTTAACCTCGTGCACGTTCATCACAAATTCACAATGTCCTTTGTGGCCACTTTTCAATTCAAATGACACCATCCAATCAATGACATTGACTGCTTCGCATCCTTCGGTTCCGCTACGCATTATACAGCAGGAACATTAACTATCTGAGAAGCCTGAAGTTGCAGCTTGAGCTTATTTTCGGCTTGAGTGACCGACTCTGTATAGTAGACACGATACCATGTGGACATGGTAAACATGCCCTACTTGCTTCATGTTTTGAGCGAATCCGACAAGAACCCGAAGTGACTGTTGGTTTCGGGTGATATGTAGAAAGTCGGGGCAGGTAACATAGCGTTCCTAGTAGTTGGGCAATCCCTCAAATTCAACGAAAGTAGTACGTGTCCTAGGTCTGCAGTTGACACTTGACAAGTAATAGCAGGCGGAGAATTGACACGAAGCTGGGGAAGGTATGATGTCGTGTCGTGCAGTTAGACTCTGCAATAACCGGTTATTGTCAGGAACCACACGTTCATAATCATATGATAGCCCACCCATACCTAAAACGCGTCACAGTCGCTCAGCCCGCCTCCGCAGAATCTCTCTTCCTTCCCTTGATCATCCTTCACTTCTTCCCTACTTAACGTACTCGATATCATCATGTCCGACCTCAAGGCTGACGGCTTCAAGGTGCGCATATGCCATGTTCGCGCTCGTCCTGACGTATGTCTCTGACCGAGCGAACGCGTCCACACACAGGCCTCCGACATCATCTCTGAGCTCAATAAGTCGTTTGACGGCTTCTCCGACGCCGAGCGCAAGGCACAGATCAAAAAGGTACAGTTCATTGACCCTCTGAGCTACCACTACATAGCGCCGACCGCGCGTTTCTCGTTTGGTAGACGAACGGCATCTTCGAGCTCAAGATCACCAACGCCGAGAAGGCGGAGGCCGTCTGGACGATCGACCTCAAGAACAAGGGCGTCGTCTACAAGGGCCCCGCGAAACCCAAGGCCGACGTCACCCTCATCATGAGCGACGACACCTTCTCGCAGCTCGCCTCGGGCAAGGTACGCACCGTTACCAGTATATGCCCCCCCGAGGCATACGACGAATCTGACCGGCACCCTCTGTTCTGAACAAAAAAAATTAGCTTGACGGCCAGAAGGCGTTCATCTCGGGCAAGCTCAAGACTCGCGGGAACATGATGCTCGCCACCAAGCTCGGCGCCGTCCTCGAGGTGCGCTCTCCCTTTACTCAGATCCTATGTACAATTCCTGACATTTGACGAACAGACCGCCAAGGGCCAGCAAAAGGCCAAGCTCTAAGCTTGGTCGCCGTGCTTGCCATGTAACCCGTATTTACCTCTGGCGTCGAAGACCAGAGCACACCTGTATGACGGCGAGGTCTGCTCGCGAATACACGAATGCAAGCATACCTCGCCACATTATGTATCTATCTATCCCTCGATGTAATTTTTGAGCAGGGCGGATTAATCCTATTCTTAAGCCTATCCAAAGATTATACAGCGTGAATCCAAATCCTAATTATCTATCTATCATAAGCAGAGAACGCAAAGAACAACAACGACAAAATCCTCGCCTCGAGGAAAATTGCTCATGCGCCTCGCCTTGCCATATCTACATGTGAAAAAGGGTCTTGCAAAGAAAGAACCTGTTCAGTCGTCTAGAACATGCCGCCGAACAGTCCTCGTTGTCTCCGCGCTGACGGCTGCGAATCCGGACGAAGAGTCGAGAGGCTGTTGAGCTGCTTCATGACCTCCTCAAGCTTATCTTTGCGCTCCTGCAGGTCGAGATGACGGCGTATGGTCGGGTTCTCGCGCGCAAACTCGATAATCTCCTTCCGGTCAAGATCATAGAGTAGCCGCGAGTCGATCTCGCGAGGGAACTGTGAGGCGTGTTAGCACTTCTGAGAGCTGATAGTCCAGGAATTATCACGTACCTGATAGAAAAAGTGGTCAAGAAGCTCGATATTGATGAACATCGTTGAGGTGTATGCGAGCTTGTCCGCGACGACGTTCAAGAACACCTCGGGGCAGAACACTTCACTCTGCGGGCCCGCCTTGCAACGCTTCGACCGTAAAGCTGCGAGGCGCAGCTTCAGTATGCCCAGCCGGTCACTGTACAACACTGCGTGTCGGGCTGTGAACGCGACGGTCAGCTCGCTATTACGCATACAACCGCATACAAGCTGACGCACCATCCAAGACCTGCGCTGGTGGATACCGATAGCTCTCCGGCTCCTCCTCGCTTGTGCCACTCTCGTCGCCTACCAACCTCCGCTGCTTCGCGCGCTCCTCTAGACCCCTCACATAGCCCATCAGCCCGTTCAGCCGCCTGCTCCCACCAACCTTCTTCCTGATCTCCTTCAGCTTCCCCTCGCACATCGTAACCTCGTTCTCGAACAGGTCCATCGCGCGATTCCGCCCCGCGTCCCAGTCGCGCTCGTCCACCTCGACCTCGTACTTGTACGGCTTGATGCAGTTCTCCACTTGGTCGCTCGTCAGCCCGATCCTCTCGCGCAGAATCGCGTGCGAGAACTGCGTGAGCCGCTCCGCCGCCCGTGGGTGGAACGTGAACGGCTCGCCCGTCGCAATCGCGTCGATCAGCGCGCGCAGGCCATCCGCCACGAGCAGCGTCGCATCGCGTCCGACGCCGCTCTTAGTCAGCAGCGAGCTCGCCGCTTCGAGCTTGTGCCGCCAGTACGGCTCGACGTCCTCGGGCCTGAGCCGCTTGTCCTCGGCGAGCGCGCCCAGCTCCGGCGCGCGCCGGTCGAGCCAGTACAGCTGCTCGAGCACGTCCATCATTTTCTCGTCCAGCATCGCCTTGAGCCGCGCGCGCACCGCCGGCTTCGCGAACTGCGCCGCGCAGTCGCGGAAGCGCGCCTTGAGCGTGTCCATCACCTCCGCGACGTAGCTCTCGGGCGTCACGCGCCGGTCGTTGTACTGCACCTTGAACTGGTACGACGCCTCCTCGAGCTCGAGCTGCACCGCGTTCGACAGGCCGTGCAGCGACGACGCCATCGAGCTCTCGAGCACCTCCATCAGCCGCCGGCGCAGCGTGTCTGTGCCGGTCATCAGCCCGGTGCCGCCGTTGGCCTTGCCATGCTTCGACGACGACGCGCCAAAGTACTCGCGGTACTGCCCAAAGTAGTCGTCCTCTCCGCGCCGCACGAGGGGTCCCGTGCCCTCGCCCCGCGGCTTTCGACCCGACTGCTTGGCGACGACGCCAACGTAGCCCAGATGCAGCGGATACCGGTTGCCCGAGAGAATGACTGCGCCCTGTTCTGGCGGAACGAGGTCCATCTTCGTCACTACGCCGATCGTGCGCAGGCCAAGCGGATCGACCTTGCGACTTGCACGCAGCGCAGGCGAGTTCGCGAGGTCGACATCCGCAGCGCACACGGCGAGAATGATGTTCGGCTCCTTGATGTACTTCTCGCAAAGACCTGCGATCTTCTCCTTGAGCGTCTCGGGTTGGTCCATCGACGCGATCTGCACATAGCCAGGCAGGTCGATCAAAGTGAGGTCAGGCACGTGTGGGCTATAGATGCGCAGGTCGATAGGCTCGTGCGAGACGCACTCGGCCGCCGATACGGCGAGATTGAGATCGGTGAGCGTCTGTTGGATCTGGGAGAAGGAGGTGATCTTGCCGAGGCCGAGCTGGGGGAATTCGCCGTACTCTTCACCTTTCCCGCCGGTTGAAGGAGTGTGGACGAGGGTAAGCTCGATAGGTCGGCGAGTGACCATGTTGTTACCCCTGGGGACCAATCAATATTCCGAACGCCATGTAGAAATGAAACATGTGTAGCGTACTTTGGGAGGAACTCATGTCCGACAATAGCTTCTAATACGGAACTCTTTCCGGAGCTCTGACTTCCAATGACAACGATGCTCGGAAGCTTAAGTGCGTCGCTCTGGTCGATACTGAGGAGCATGGTGCGGATTTCAATGAGCTTGCGGGTAAGATGCATAAGTCCATTCTGGGTAGGATCGCTGTCGTCGCCACCTTCAGCTGCGTGAGAGTCCGACTGTGAAGCCATGGTAGCAGCAGCCAGGACAGCCAGGGCAGCATTATCCTCGCTCGAGGGACGCTTGCCCGAGGGACCAGAGCCGTTTCCAGAGTCCTGACCATCGCCGCCCTTGAAGTCGAGTGAGGAGAAGAAGTCCTTGACGTCCTTGAACACTTGAGGAGTCTCTATCGAGGAGACGCGTCCCGTAACATTCTTCCACCCATCCGTGGCCGTGTCTGCAAAGTCACTAGCCGCATCTTGCACGGTGTTTATCCATCCCGAGGTCGTCTCCCGGAACTCTGTTACGGACGACGCGTCAGTGCCCCCTAGCGACGCAAAAGCAGCCAGGACATACGTTCAAACTTGTAGTTGGCGTATCCTATGCCTCCTGCTCCAATTGCGGCTCCAGCTGCGGGAATACGGAAAGCGCGTGCGACGAATCGTGGAATGGAAGAGTACGACATAGCGCGGACGTGCATCTGACGAAACGCAACTGGAGTCGGAGTGTTATACTGCTGCCTCAGTCGGAGAGCATTTGGAGGAGGGGTCAAGAAGGTTCCAAAGCGACGGTGGGCAGGGCGAGATGCGCTTGGTGGCTTCCGTGGTGGAGCAGCGAGGCCATATGTAACTGACTTGCGAGGAGCGAGCGAGGTGGTGAGTCGTTGGCGTATCGAATACATCTCAGTTAATCTTTGTGAGGGCCTGCGATTGTCTTGACGCGTCCTCGTAAGAGAGTGGAGAAACCTGGCAAAGAAAAGGAAAAGTGAGTGAAGCGTAGTCCGGCTGCCAGGAGACAGAAGAATCGAGCCGAGGCCTCTCGTCAGTGCGCCGGTCCACACAGGTCTCAGGGACCATTTATCACGTGACTCTGGTCCACCAGGACCACCGGAGTCCACGACCGATTGCTCCGTTGTCGCGAGTCGAGTGATCATCATGACCTCTTCGACCGGAGCTCCGTCGAGTCTGAATCTGACTAGGATTTTCCAGGATTACCCCCTCTGTGTTCTACCTGTCACTACAACACATAAGTATAAGTAAGGTGGATGATCTATCTTGGACTGCAATCCCACTGCACTCGCCATGTCTCGCTCACACCCTCCTCCCCCAGGAATCTATGTCCCTGCAGTCCTCTTCTTCGATGACAATGAAGAGTTCGACATTCCTGCCATCAAAGCCCATATCCTCAGACTTGCAAAGGTCAGTCTAACAGCTTCTTACATGAATTTTGGTCTAATTTCCTATAGGGTGGTGTAACAGGCATTGTAGTCCAGGGCAGCAATGGCGAGGCCCAACACCTCTCGCACGAGGAGCGTAAACAAGCTATTAGCCTCACTCGCCAGACGCTCGACGACAATGGCTTTCAGAACGTCGTGATCATCGCTGGATGCGGTGCTCAGTCAGCTCGCGAAACCAAGAAGCTCTGTTCAGACGCTGCAGATGCCGGCGCTGCGTTTGTTCTTGTCCTAACACCCTCCGTCTGGCCCAATACCATGACCCTAGAGGCCATCCTTCGCTTCCATCGTGAGGTACGCATGATTGCTTAGGCAAAAGTGGGCCAACATTCATCCTATCGTTCTGCAGATTGCCGACGCCTCTCCGATCCCTTACATGGTTTACAACTTCCCAACCGTCACCGCCGGCCAGGACCTTGATTCTGACATCATCATTGCCCTTGCCGCCCACCCTAACATTGTCGGTACAAAGCTCTCCTGCGGCAACGTCGGCAAGCTCCACCGCATCACGTCCACCGTCCCTGCCACTCAGTTCTCCACCCTCGCCGGCGTCTCCGAGATCCTCCTGCAGGGCCTGCTTTCAGGTAGCTCTGGCGCCATCGCCGCCCTGCCCAACATCGTTCCCAAGCTGCACATGAAGTTGTACACACTCTACAAAGAGGGCAAGATCGACGAGGCCATGGCCATCCAGGCGCAGCTGGGGCAGGGCGACTTCGCCACCGGCAAGGTGGGCAGCATCGGCGGCATCAAGGCGCTCGTCTCCAAGCATTTTGGCTACGGCGGTGTCAAGGTCCGCTCGCCCCTCCTCGAGGCTACTTCGACACAGCTCAGCGGCCCGCATTTTGCCAAGCTTGAGGAGTTGATCGCTTTGGAGAAGGCGCTGTGACTTTGATCCTTGACTGTTTAAAGTCTGCTGGTCTATGTAGCTTTTATTGCTATCTATGAAATGAAATAACATCAACGTGAGTAGGCCCCGCGTATACATCAGCAGTGACCTCATCAAACATTACGTGGAAGTTGAATAATATATATCTTTGATAAATCTCTTGTTCACTCGCCTTCGCACAACAGCTGCGCCGCGGGCCTGCCCGCGCCGCTGCTACACGTTCAAGCCAAGATGAGAGAGAATTCTATATTTATACCCTGCGTCGAACACGTGGTTCACGCTAAGTAGCGGCTAGGTGCCAACAGCCTAGGCGTAGTACTTTGCAGGTATAGCGAGGTGGGGATGTAGTGGTCTAAGCTGGTCTAAGTATGTACTCTAGTAGTGAGTGTGCGATATGATGGCGACATTGACCGTGTGTGTCTGACGGATTATGATACAGAAAGAGAAATAAATATGTTGGTGGTCACCCGGAGCGCTCACTCGTTCAAGCCGAGGTATAGGCGCTTTCCAAACGTTGAGCCACAATGAATCAGGCAAGACTTTGTAGGCTCTTATTAGCCACAAACTATATCCGCAACGTCATGCTGCCAAGTGCTGTCACGGGGCATTCGGCCCCTGAAGTAATAGCAGACTAGCTCGACAAATCATTAATGATCTTCTACTAACTTTCACATGGACCACCAAAGAACCACTCAGCTCTATGTCCGCCTCATTCAAAGCTCTCGGCTCATGTGTCTCAGCAGCGTTCCTGACAATGCATTGTTCCGAGCTTTCGTCTTCGTTTCCGAGTCTTCAAGGCTGTTATACTTGGCCCAAGACTATTTTTCAACGACGTTGCCAGGCCAGACGGCAAATACTCGCTGAAAACTCGTTTATAGCCCTCCTTCGCACATTGCAACACATGGATGGCATACTCACGAGCGGCTTTTACCCACTCTCATTTCCTGGCTTAAATACCCCAGAGCGTCGTTGGAAGGCTTTCATCGGTGCCATTCTCAGTGCTTGTCATCGTCAAGACCTGCTCCTGTGGAAATCATGAAGCTTTCCCCCACCTTCGTCGCTCTTGCGCTCGCGGCTGTCTCGGTCAGCCCCTAACCTCCACCTCAATACTCTGGAGTAGCTAACAGGCAACGACACAGTTCGCGAACCCCGTCTCCCGGGCCAGCTCCGGCTATGTCCAGGCTTCCGGACAGGCGTTCACTCTCGACGGCGCGGCCTACACGGTCTACGGGTACGCATTGCTCTTACACGGGCAAGTTGCATACAGCTTGAGCTAACGTGCCGCTCGTAACCGCTCAGTGAAAACTCCTACTGGGTCGGGCTTTCGGGGTACTCCACCACCCAGATGAACCAGGCGTTCTCAGACATCGCCACCGCCGGTGGCACGACCGTTCGCACCTGGTAAGTATGGGCACACTACTCTCGTACCATCTTCCCTCTTCGACTTGAGTGGTCCACGCACGTATGCATGTCCGACTGATACGCTATTTGTAATTCAGGGGCTTCAACGATGTGAACGCGACGGTCGTATCCAACTACCCTATCTACTACCAGTATTTCGATGGTGCAAACGCCACCATCAACACCGGGGCTACTGGCTTGGAGAACTTTGGTAACCCACTCTCCCTCAGCATGACAGAACACCAGTGACCTATGATTTACGCCAGACAACGTTATTGCTGCCGCGAAGGCCAACAACATAAAGCTTATTGTCACTCTGTGAGCAGGCTCCTAGTACAATGCCTTCGGTGACAGACGCTAACGCATGGACATGGTGCTCAGGACCAACAACTGGAGCGACTACGGTGGCATGGATATGTACGTCAACTCGATCCTTGGCTACGGGCAGCCCCACGACTACTTCTACTCCAACTCCGAGGTTATCGTATGTCATCCTCCTCCTCGCCATCCCATGACTGCTCTTAACCCAGTCTCAAATATCAGACTGCCTACAAGAACTACATCAACGCCTTCGTCTCCCGTTACGTTGACGAGCCGACGATCTTCGGCTGGGAGCTCGGTGCGTCTCCCGCCGAAACCCCACGACGTCATCATCACTCACTATGATCCAATACCCCAGCCAACGAGCCGCGCTGCACCGGTACCACGAGCGCGACCTCGGGCACCTGCACGACGACGACGATCACCACCTGGATCGAGGACATCTCCTCGTACATCAAGTCCATCGACAGCAACCACCTCGTCGGCCTCGGCGACGAGGGCTGGTTCAACTGGACGAACACTACCGACTTTGCCTACACGTTCAGTCTCCCTCTTTATATCTGTCCAGAGACCAAAATGCTGATCATTGCGGTTTAGTGGCTCGCAGGGCATCGATTTCGACGCCAACCTGGCTGTCAGCTCTATTGACTTTGGGACGTTCCACGTCAGTGCTCCCTTGCACATTCAAATGTATAAGCTAACCAAATATCTCATTTTTAGCTGTACCCCGTAAGATCCCCATTTCTTGTCGCAACCGATGACCATGCTGACTAGGTGACTGCAGTTCACCTGGGACGAGACCACACCAAGGTACGTATCCTAACTTCTCGGCACTTAACCTCGTCTAAGCTAATCGACTCGCAGTGCCGACGTGTGGGGCCAGGGCTGGATTGAGAACCACCGCGGCGCCCAGGCGACGTACAACAAGCCTGTGATCATGGAGGAGTTTGGCGTCCTTGCCGACCAGAACCAGACCCAGACCTACAAGGACTGGTACTCTACCGCCATTACCGACGGTCTCTCCGGTGTTCTCATTTGGTGAGCCATTTTTGACATCATGCATGGAAAATTTGCGTTCTCAAATGCGTGCGTTCTTTAGGCAGGCTGGATCGAACTACTCGAGCGGAAATACTCCCGATGATGGCTTTGCGGCAAGTGTTACTCGTTTTGAGCGTGGATAAAACGGATTCGCTGACTACTTTTGTGCGCTTAACTAGGTTTACCCCGGGACTGACCTTTACGAGCTTGTGCAGACATATGCCGCCGAGATCAAGGCGCGGGACGGCACTTCTTAAGCTTATTCGCATATTATCATTCGTGTCTCTGTAGGGTTCGAGTAAATCAAACGTGTTTATTAGATATCTTTAGCAGTTTAAGGAGGGAAAGTGGATGATTGCAGTACCTAGTACATGGCACATGGTCTCACATCGAGTATTGTGCTGCCGCGCAATTCTTGGCAAGAATCCTTCTCTACGACTCATGCGGCCGCTTGAGGAGCTCGTCGAGTAGAACAGCGACCTTTTCGCGAGCCTCGGTCTTCTCATGCTGGACGTGCTTGAGCTCGGCGTCCCGCCGATGCGCTATTTGGGTTTCGTCCGACAGCAATAGCAGCAGCTTCAGCGAATGCGTGATAGACAGCAGCGAGTGGGCCGCGCGGACCTGGTGAAGTGCACTGTATGAGGACGACACGGCATACACCACTAGACATTTGGATGCACCATAGATTCAGCTCGACACTCCGTCTGGAATGACTCCTGGGCGACGCGGAACTTGTCCTTGTCACCTATCTATACCTCTCATTGAGTGAGCTAGTCGGAACCTGAAATCATCACTGCACTTACCGAGGCCAGGCTGACGATGTCCACCATGCCATCCACGAGCGTCTCGATCTCCGTGTCCACCTTCTTGTTCCACTCCTCCTCGACATTGTCGAGATACTCGTCCGACTTCTGATCTACGAGCGCCTGGCTGAAGGCGCTCCGCTGCAGGAGCTTGGCCGTAGGAAGCGCCGAAGGACGAGAGACGTCGGTTTGGGGTGCTTCAGCCATGGCGCGTCATGAGCGTGTCTTGACAAGGTTATGTGCGATCGAGACGCCTGTGTCGATGTGACCAAAACGGAATTCCCCTGAGTTGGCAGAAACTAGTTGATGCCTCAGTCGAAACACCACTAAAGCTCCGATCGTATTGAGGAACGACTATCTTCCAAATACTATAAAGGCCTGCCTACGGGAGACTAGGCTGCAAACCATGGATTTGTGAGCGGAGACATCTATGCAGTATATATTGTTCGAGACACGTATGTTACTCTGACTAAAGAAAATGTAAATATTACCATGCACTACCTCAAACGACCATCCTTCCCGCCCATCTCGGCATAGCAATACACTCTCGTACATTCTCAATCCCAGTCACCCAGCTCACCAGCCTCTCGAAGCCCAGCCCGAATCCTCCATGCGGCGCACTCCCGTACCGACGCAGGTCTACATACCACTTGTACTCGTCCTTGACATCAATCCCGTTGGGTCCACGGGAAGCGAGGCCATGGGCGCACAGCGCCTCTAGCAGGAAATCGAGCCGTTCTTCACGGACCGAACCGCCTACGAGCTCGCCGACTTCGGGTATGAGCAGGTCAAAGCACGCGACAGTCTCGCGAGAATGTCCTTCCTCGCCCACAGGGATCTTGTCTGAGTTCAGGCGCATGTAGAACGGTTTAATTGCCTTGGGATAGTCCGTGACAAAGACGGGTCCGCCCAAGGATGCTGCTAGCCACTGCTCGTGCTCGCTCTGTAGCCCATTTCCCCATATCGGCTCAAACTCGAAAGGAGAAGCTTCATGCTGCTTTTGGAGTATTTCGATAGCCTTGGTGTAGGTCATTCGTGGCCAGCTCGATGCGTCACGCGCTTGCCGAAGAACGGACAGTCGGCGATCTTTTTCAGCAGCGTCGTTGTTTCCCCACAGCGCACTAATATCATCCTCTTGCTCTAGGAAGCTGCGTAGAGTAGCCTTGACAGAGTTCTCGACGAGAGAACACAGGTCATCCACGCTGTGAATGAATGCCCATTCGGCCTCGAGCATCCAGAATTCGGCGAGATGTCGTGAAGTCTGCGAGCGTTCAGCGCGAAATGCGGGGGATAGGGTGTAAACGCGGGATAGTGACGACGCGATAGCCTCCAAGTACAGCTGGGAAGATACGGTCAAGTACGTTGGTTTGCCAAAGAATTCCTTGTTTTCGGGGTTCTCGGTTGATGAAGAGGGAGCCGGCGTCGTAATGTTGCTGACAGGTGCAAAAATGTCTGGCCCATTCGCAGGAATAGAGGCTGTAGGCTGTACACGGAAAGTCTCCCCTGCGCCTTCACAGTCGCTTGAAGTCAATATGGGAGTATGAACATAACAGAAATCTTCTCCCTACGCGACAATCCAGAATGAGCACAGTCAAGCAGAGATAACAAGCTACCTTACCTCAAAGAAGTTATGTATTGAATGGAGCAACGAGTTGCGAACGCGAAGCATGGCTGCGTTAGTGTCCGTCCGAGAGCGTAGATGGACATGGTCGCGGAGGTACTCTGTTGACAATGATTGCTTTTGAATAGGATATGCCTGGATAGACCTGAGCTGAAATCTACTAGGCAGTCATGGAAACGCACGTCTGGGTCGGAGTCCCCAGTGACATTGACTTCCTCTACCTGAAGTTCTCGAGCTTGGCCACGACCACGACTTTCTACCAAGCGACCACAAAGACGCACACTTGCGCCATTCGTGAGACTGGAAGAACGGATTTATTTTCATGTTTTGAACACTGTCATCGACTTGTGAACGTACCTCTTGGGGGCAAGATCGGTCTTCAAGACGGCTTGCATACCCGAAGCACAGGTACCGTCACTCACGACGGCAAACACGACATTCTTCTGCCGGCGTACAGACTTGACCCATCCATTGACTTCGACGAGAGCATCCTTGCTGGAAACTTGAGAAGGCGAGAGTAGCTGGCGGATGGTCGGAGGGAGAACACGGGACGTCGAGGCAAACCGGCGGAAGAGCATCGCAAGGCTGGCTCGGCTTCTCCCGACGCGTCCTGCTTCTCAACGCGTCGCGACACGCTCAATAGTTCAAACGTTCACCTTTCAAAGACAGGGGTAAAAGTAAGGACATGATACGGCGTCGACTCGGCATCGACCCCGAGCATTTATTGGACCCCACATTTGCACCAGGACCAGAAGGGATTTGATATGTGTTATCTCTACCTCATGTCGAAGCTGTTCCAATCCTTCAGGCCTCAGGACTGGTATAAGGCTCATCGTCAAATCATACAGCTACGCATTGATACTATGTAGTCATGGCTGCCGCTGTAGAGATAAAAGCTGGTACGTGTTTCACCGTGCGCTCCTCCGAACTTGATCCCTTGTGCCTTCCGTTACTGGTTGGGTCTGGCTCGTCGTCGGCGAGTACGCTCCTTCATTGACACACACTCCGATGAGGACACTGTTACCATGAATGACCGATACGCGTCGAATTATTTGCTGGTTTCGTACCCTTCCCAGAGTACCACCTGGGCTCCGTCACTCTCCTACTCGAGCATTAACCACCTCAAGCATGACAGAAAATGACCCAGACTGTTTGTGACATTGCACACTAGTGCAAACAAGGCCAGCTGCATCGGGAGATGGGACTAATTAGATACCTTATGACGATGGAGGAGAGGCGTTGTGCGCGATATACAGCCATTCAAGAGAGGTTATTGAAGGAAGCTATCCCATCTTGGAAAGCCTATTAAACGGCTGCCTATTTCGCTACCACTACCATCATTTGATTATCTAGCCAACGCAAAAGGACTTTATCAGTTCTAGTATCAGTGCAATCAAAGCTTGGTCAAACCCATTACTGAGCATTATCAAAGCAGTAGACGCAGCTCTATGACTGCGGGAGTGAAGAAATCAGTGTCACCGCTGCTTTCTTCACTCACGCCACCACAGCCAGAGCGTCTAGTGCAGTCGAAGTTATGGATGATACACCGCCCCTGAGGCTAACGCTGAGGTAGGGGCCGTGTTCGAGGGCTACTCGAGTATGTTTGGTCGCACGACCAATTCTTGGCATGAGTGATTTATATCAACTTCCACAATTCGAACCCCGGCTTCGAAGGCGACTTGCACAAAAGCACGCCATTCTCACCTAGTATACAGACATGTAGTAGACTACTGAAACTATGCAAACACATCGCTCACGCAACAGATTGCAACTCGTGGTCAACGAATTATGATAGGCGATATGGTATATATAGGTATGCCTAATTAATGCCTAATGGTCCCACCGCCGAACTCAACGTTCAACGACTTCAGATAGAGGACATCTACCCACAACCAAGCTGGATACCGTAAACAACTTGAAATCTCGTTGAGAACGGTGGTGATGCATGAGCTCAGTACCGCCGGGCTTCATAGAGGTGTTATACCATGAACGTGAGCAACGACGCCATACGCCGAGGCCGAAATGCTAAGACAAGGTTGAAAGTGACGTCGATGCCCATAACAAAATGATCGAGGCATTTCCCATCGGCAAGATCTGTCAATATTAAATTAATTACATAGCTATAGCTGCCGTTGTTCTCCGGACAGTGGCCGGACTTATCCGACTACATCGGGAAGGACTTCTCGGCCTTCCCGAATTCTTGTTTGTGTCCTCGATAAATTCTCGATTTTCGAATTTGCTCAAGGCGAAGCTGCCAACATGCGCCTCCAGGCTCTAGTGCCTCACTTGCCTCAAGATCTCGTCTCTGCTTGGGCTGAAATTGGCATCCGCACTGATACCGATCTCCTCTTCTCGGGGTCTGCAGTGGACATCTTGTCTCGTCTACCTGAAGGATCCATCAGACTTGCTCAACTTCGTGACTACATTGCCCTTGTTGCTCAACAGTCGTCTTCCCCCGCAATCAGAGGTGACGAGTTGTTAGAACAAGAGCTAGCTCCAAGTCAAATATCCACCTTTTGTCTCACAGCTGGCGTTCCGGAGATCGACTCTTTACTTGAGACCTCCGAGCGCTCACTAGTGTACGAGATCTCAGGCGATAGAGGCTCGGGAAAATCGGTTAGTTTCTCTTACTCCTAATGTATCATCGGTCTCTTACGACCGCATCCTCAAGATCCTGGCTCTCCATTTGGTCCTTCAACAGCTGGTGTCGAATGACGTCTCTGCCCTCTGGATGGATACCACAGGCGACTTCTCTGTCGATAGGGCTCGTCATCAGTTGCAATACTATTCGGGAGAGGTACAGTGCTCTTCACTCTGCACGTAATCGACTTCGGCGGGATAACATGGGGCCATAAACGCAGAAGTCCTCATCTGCGCTCGCCAGGCTTGAGGTGGCCACCGCTCTAAATACTGACGCCGCTATCGAAATCCTAGAATCCATGCGTCCGCGATATTCGGTAGGTCTATCGAATGGCAAGGCGATGCTAGTTTCCTATCGTCTTGTATCGACAGGCTTCGCCTAACTCAAGACTTTGCTGCGTTGTCATCGATACCATAACAAGACTCCTTGGCCCTAATCTGAGCGCAGCATCTCCTCAAGGACACGCGATCATGGCATCCTTCATGCACCACCTCCGCACCTTAGCGCGCGAGCACGAACTTACTTTTTTGGTCTGCAGAGACTTCCCTGTGGGACTCGCTTTCATGCACATCTGATTGTGTTCAAAGGTCATCAACGACACTGCGTCATCGTTTCCGAAAGGAAACACACCCTCGACCTCTGGTCTGGCGCCACGTAAACCCGCCCTTGGCCCTTCCTTCCAATACATGACCGACTGCACGCTTTGGCTGATGAAAGGAACGGAAGCCATTCATGCTGATGACGACGGACCAAACACATTTCCTCATACACTTAGGGTATTGAAGTCAAAAATATCGGTAAGATGGTATCGCAAGAATCGCTTGATGTTCTGATCCTTTCGCAGGCCTCAGGTCGAACAGCGTCATTCATTATACGCCACGGTGTCGTACACCCGATGCCTAGTCAGCACACCACCACCTCGGGCAATCCGGAATGGTTGCCGGGTCGTAGTCATGCACTTACGTGAACATACAAACAAACTGAATTTGCAACTAATAAATGTCCATAGTAATCACAAAGGAGTCAACAGTCTCAGAAATCCCCAAACCTGAAGCAGTGTCAGCATATCGAAGAAGATGAACAAAAAACGAGCCTCTCACCTGTCTGGCATGAGAACAGGAGCGAGCAGGCTCCACATGTACAAGAACATGCAAACCCAACTAGACACAATTCTCATCCACATCGCAGTCTCGGACTTGCCAATGTACACAACCTCCTCGCTGTCGGCGCTCGATTCCGCGGAGACGACGTTCCTAACAACAATGAGCAACTGCAGGTGATATTTGCAAGAAGCCCGTGATAACTTACCAATCGGTGAGAAGCATGGCAACGTACATCGCGCCGATAGCAAAGATGACATGGAACCAAGAGTACTGCTCTTTTGTTAGCTCCGGTTCAGGTTTGTAATCACCGGTAACTCACATTGTACCGGGTTCCCGAGCGTTCGTCGTCCCTGGTTTCGCCGTAATCATCTTCGTCCTCTTCCTCCTCGTCCAGGGCGGAGGCAGGGATAGCACTGAAACTTTCTTAGAGCGTCGTCAAGAGCGTGATATCCAACTCCACCTACCCTGCTTCGACGGCGGCCAACAACGCTTGGTACCGAGGAGTCTCGGTCCGACCAGGCTGGGTCCTGACGACATCCATCTCAGAGTGCGGCGAATCATCAATCGGCAGCTGCACCGGGCCCTTTTTGTTCTTCCCAACAAGTGCTGTGCTTTGCGTCGCCGCGCGGCTCGTCGAGTACGCGATGGCAAGGAATGTGAAGATCGCACCGAGCACGACCGTGGTCGTGCGGGTTGTGCCAGACGCGCCGGCGTTACGGCCCAGCGGGTTGCACGTCTCGTGCGTGTGGTTGCTGACCGCCGAGACGACTAGGTACGTGCAGTATGCGGCGACCATGCCCGACTGCGCGAGCCCAGAGCGCGGGTTGTATTCCTGGATCGTCGGATGTATGCACATGACCGTGATGACGATGCACAGCGCGAGGTTGAACGAGATGAAGAAGCGGTTGAGCGTGCATCCCGAGCCGGCGAAGAACGCGTACATGACGCTCGTGAGTGCAATAGTGGCGGCATACATGGCGGCGGTCGAGCCAATGAGGATCCATTGCCACATATTGGAGCTTGAGCTCTCCCAGTTCTCGAGACAGGTCTCGGACCATGAGTGGGCAAAGTCGACGAGGAGAACCAGACCGAGAAGGATGAATATGGTAGCGCCGATGAGAGCGACGTAGTCGCCCCAGAAAATGAAGAAGCCGTTAGGTATGAAGAACGAGATAATAATAAAGATGATCCAGAGAAGGACTTTGGGACCCCACCAGCTGCTCCAGTGTGAGACACGGGCACGGGCTTAAGGATACGCGGTACTCACCCATTCTGAATGGCCGCCCGCTTGTCTTTAGTGTCCTTGACACCAATCAATGACAGACTCAAAAGTGCATGAAGGAGAGACAGTGCGAAGCATATTCGGTGAACCTGCGGCGCAGCATTCAGCTGTTCGGTTCAGCGCCTTTGCATTGTGAGGTGTGGCTCACTGCTAAAACTCCATAACATTTCCCGCCCTCGCAGTCCATCTTGATGTAGTCATAGCTCCAAGACTCGATCTTGCGTATGGCGAATGGTGTCTTCATGAGCCATGCGAGAAGTGAATTCAGTATGAAGATAATCTGGCGCAGGAAACGTGAGTACAGCCCCGCAAAGTCTGGGCGGGAGAAGCGGACCGCAAATCCAACCCTAGTTGCAATCGAGGAATTACAGTTGCATGACTTGCAGAACATAGAAGCTAAATGGGTGTATGAGATCATCCGTCTACATGCAGGGTGCCTGGCGACAAGGGCAGAACTCATCGAGCTTACCTGCAGTTGAAGTGAAGCAGAAGGCCACTCCTGCGAGGCATGACGTCGCAATGGTCCCTATAGAACCGGCCAAGGGAATTGAGAGCAGCAAGCCCATCGTGGTGTTGTTGTTGCGTGGTGAACTGCTTCAGAGCTCGCATGGCATTCGTCAGAGCGCCGACGTTCCTGTGGTGCACGTAAATGGTACCACATTCTCACGGTCCTGTCGATCTCCTTCGGTATGTTAATCATCTCGATACTTACCTTAGCTTACCTTGCTCTTCTTCGTGGATCATAGACCTTTGATAGCCGGGTGAACAACACTGTCAACAACGCCAGCTGCGCTTCACATACATACGTACAATCAACAACGAAGCCGGCCGCAACAGAACGATGAAGTAAATTGTGATGGCCGTGTGAGGATTGTTCACCGATGACTCGAAAGCACACCTACACTCCCTGTCTTAGATCCTTGCAGACTTGACAGGTCGGCTCATCGTTGAGCACAGTCGGAGCGATGCCGCGGATATTATCACGCATTTCAAAAACTGTGCCGTCGAGACGAGCATGCGAAGTCAGCGCCGTAGTGCTGGCAATGTTGCCAGTCGACAGGAAATCGAGAAAGACACGTTGAAACATCAAGGGCCTGTAATACCTACCAGACCCTCGATCTTTACTCTCTTGAAGGTGCTCATGACCGGGTGGGTGAGCAGTTGCCGTCCTTTGGGTACTCAATTACAAGCTTGGCATCCTAGCCAGTGCCGCTAGTCTGACTGGAAACGGACCGCGAGGGATCGCATCCGCGGACTCCCAAGCTTCTCGATGTCAGTAATTCGGGCCGTAATTACGCAATGACATCTGCTGGGCATGAGGAAACCGCGAGGACTAAAAGGCAAGTCCCCTAAATAGTGTTAATCATTCGATGACTCAAGGAGGTGTTGAGCACTCTTTATCTGATAAAGAGACAGCAGATGATTCTCGAAATATGAGCAAGTATTAGAAATCGTCACTGATTCGTTAAGAGTCGGAACCATATACCTGCGGCTGTACTAACGTATCCCCATTTTGAACCTCAGATACAGCGGAGCGCCTGAAGAAGCAAGATCGTCAGAGGGGCTGACAGATCGGCGGCGTCTTTTTATCCGAGCCAGGCAGCCGTCATAGGTTGTCATTCCGTCAGCGCGGACACTGTCTTGGTAACGCAAGGCGGCAAAACCATACAAAAAAGTCACGTCTTCTCAATCTCGTCAGGTCGATGTAGTCAATCTCAGAATGCATCGGACACCATCGGGCAGCCCCTCTGCCAGAGTACATATATCCTCGGCCTCCCGGGCTCTCGATTTTCAGACAGCCTTCCCTCGACTTCTATGGCGGATACTCGAGCCATGACCTCAGACATAGTCTCCGTTCGTTCGGCAACGTCCACCATCAAAGAGGCAAGCGGACCTCTTGCCATCGAGGCCGGCTTCAAAACCGAGAAGGCGAGCGATCCATATCTGGTTCTCTTCGACGAAAACGATCCTCTTGATCCGAAGGCGAGTCTGCCACCTTCTCTACGCCTTACCCCAAGCTGATGGCTTCTCTGTCTGAATAGAACCTCTCAGTAGCCAGAAAATGGTACTTGACGGCCATTGCCGCGCTACTCGTTCTCAATTGGTAAGCTGGCGTCGTTGATACGCATAACTACAGACGTTAACAAGTTTATCCAGCACGTTCGCAAGTGCAACTCCCTCAAATATCATTCCTCTGCTTCGGGAGGAGTTTGGCTTCAGCGAGGAGGTTGGCATATTAACGATATCATTATTCGTATGTGGCTATATTGTTGGCCCTCTTCTCTGGGGCCCTCTATCCGAAACCTACGGTCGACGGCCTGTTTTCGTTGGTTCTTTCTTCGTCTACATGGTGCGTTTTTTCTCAGGCAAGAGACTAGTGGTTTGACTAAATGCTCTTCAGTGCTTCCAAATAGGTTGTGCACTCGCAAAGAACACTGCGTCGATATTAGTCTTCCGTCTTTTGGGCGGCATATTCGCCGCTGCTCCTCTCGCAAACTCTGGGTAAGCGTATTCATATAGCATTCATTCACGAATAAAAGAGCATACGCTTAATGTGTATTTGAACAGTGCCGTACTATCGGACATATGGGATGCCAAGACCCGAGGAAACGCCATGACTCTCTTCACCGTCGCTCCCTTCGCAGGACCCGGAGTTGGTCCCCTCGTAGCCGGGTACATCGCAGTCGCCGGCATTTCGTGGCGATGGCTGTTCTGGATCATGGCGATTTTCGTGAGTAAACCTTTATGCGGTTGGAAACGATCAAATGCTCGAGATCTGACCGCGTTAATTTTAGGCCGGAATTTGCTGGTTGCTTATCGTCTTCACCGTGCCTGAGACGTATGCGTGAGTCTATTGAAATGTGACGGTGAAGATAGTATCATTAACAGACGTACAGCCCTGTCATCTTGACAAAGAAGGCAAAGTCTCTGCGTAAATCCACTGGGGACAGCCAGTACTATTCAGCTATGGAGGCTCGTGTGCTGACATTCGCGGAACGGTTTGAACACATCCTCGCACGCCCTTTCGTGATTCTTTTCCAAGAACCGATGTTGATTGCTATTACCGCTTATATCAGTGTAAGTGCGCCATGGTGATATTTCCTCGAGCATGTTTTGATGTCATCCTCCAGTTCGTGTATGGCTGCATGTACCTCCTCTTCGAAGCGTACCCAATCGTCTTTACCGAGGGCCACCACTTGAACCTTGGCCAGTCGGGGCTGATGTTCTTACCCCTGCCTATTGGCGGTATTATCTCCGTGATTTTAGTCAGTAGTCCCTTGGTTCACCGAAAACATCACGCTAATACCTTCTCTATAGTACATCATATTCATCAACCCCCGTTATGCCAAAAAGGTCGAAGAATATGCCCCAGCGCCAGTGCCACCTGAAGCGCGCTTGGAAATTGCTCTGCTTGCGGCGCCGTTCTTTGCGATCTCATTCTTCTGGTTTGCATGGACATCCTACCCCAGTATTTCGCTTTGGGCTCCAATGATGTCTGGCGTACTGCTCGGCATCTCCATTTGTTGGATTTTCGTGAGTGGTCTCTTGTTCTGCTCTTGCACACCCGGGCCATACTAACGCTCGCCACTAGCTTTCTCTATTGAACTACATCATCGACGCGTACTTGATCGCCGCGGCCTCCGCGCTCTCCGCAAACACCATCGTCCGTAGCTGCTTCGGGGCTGGCTTCCCGTTGTTCGCCACTCAAATGTACGAAAAACTTGGTTCGCAGTGGGCATCGACGCTGCTCGGCTGCCTTGCCACGGTCATGATCCCGATCCCCTTCATCCTCGTGAAATATGGACCCAAGCTGCGCGCCAAGTCCAAGTTTGCGCCTTCCGCGTAACCTATGTGTTTTCGCTTTGGATGGTTTCACGACTACATGATATCACGACATTACTAGCAATTTATACAGCATATATTTACATAATACCTCATCGCACACAGATTCTCGCATATTTCCTACAACAGGGATAAGATATATAGACAAGGGGTATATAGCATCGGTCACTGTATCCACTAGCTTTAGTTTCACAATATCAGGACTTTTCCACAACCGAAACGAACGCAACTAGATAGTACAATTCTTCGAGTTCAAGAAGATTCTTCAGATGTGAAGCTCCCGTTTCATTCCTTGAGTCAGTCTTTGAAGCTTGTTGACAGGCTCAGATGAGACCGAGGAAATTCTTCGCTTACGATGCTGAACGCTATTTTCCGCCTGTTCGACTTTGATTTGCTCTTGATTGTTGCCTTCGATATTCATGGCTTCGCTTTCCAAGTCTTCGTTCTTTATCCTGGGGCTTTCCTCCCTCTCTTCTGTGTCCTCCGCGTTTTCGTTCATATCATAATCATCATCATTCGGGCTTTCAGCGTCTCCACGCGGGGGACCACTTCTGGGGCCATGCCTTAGATATCTCGTGCTTGCACTAGTTCGAAATGATGAAGACAAAGGTGCGACAAACGCCGAAGAACGAGCTGGCGCCGGATACGAAGCGGCAGCCGGCGTGGAGGAAGAAGAGACCGGCGCGGGCGTCAAAGTCTGACGCTGGCGCTCACCACGAATCGGTATAGGGGCTTGGCCGGGGAGACGCTGGATACATGTGAGTATCACGATATAGAAGGAACCATTCGGATGAGACAAGCAGCCCTACCTCCAGCTGGTATCGACAAATAATCAAGTGGTCCGCATTCCTCTCCTTCCACGACTAGATTAAAGCTTCTCAGTCAGCAGGAAGGTACTTTCAGTGAGTCATGCCCACTCACACTTCTAACGGCATACAACCCGTCATAGCGAAGGCTATCGTCCTCTCAATATTGTCAGCGTATAAGAGACTTGATAGCTTACCCAGTCAAAGGCGCGTATTTCGACTCGCAGTCCGAGGTCCTGATAACGCGGACGGGTTTCCCCGTGTGCTTCGACTTGAGCAGTGCTCGATTGCCCCAGTCGTCCCACGTTTGATCGTATATTTGAGGCCCAAAGTGAATCTAATGACAATTTGGTGAGGGATGCACTTGGTCTCCAGCTCGTCCGTGTTTCCACGTACCCTCTTCGTTGGGTCCTTGTTGGAGTACTTTTGGCGGCCACCTGCATGCTTTCTCAGAAAGAGCTGGGCGTCGTGGACACCCGGAGACTCGTACCTGCACCAGTGTATATTCTTCCGACACAGTGTTCAAGTTAACGTCAGATTTATGACAGAACGACAAGCTCGTACATGGCGCTGCCATAATCCATATCGTCCTTGTAGTGGTTGGATATGACAATGGAGTAAGCACCGTCTTTCTTCGTGCCCTGAATCCCAGCCATTGTCGGCATATGAATGCTATCTTGTCTGCATGCTTCCCTGATCCCCCAATGCATGCGCAGTGATGAGTTCCTTCTAACAATATGTCAAGGAGAGATCATGCACCTGTTCGGCCACTCGGTGAACAAGGGCACGCCCGGGATATCACCGAAGGTATGTCTGCTCAGAGTCGGGGATTCGAGTGGCCGATAGTACCGAGCCCGAGGAGTAAGATGTGCGTCGACATGTCGGCACCGGAGAAGCGACGTAAACCATCAATGCATCACGCATGTAAGTTAAATTACAAGTGAGGCTATGATGAGCCCACAAGCATCGCTACTGCAGGAACGGATAGGGGCTTACGAGATGGCTTTATTCAGCTCCTCGGCTTCGTTCCTCGCTGCTCTGGGCATGGTCTTCAATGTTAATGAGACGTAGACGCGTCAATATTACAGAAGCGAAGACCAGCGAGCCCCCAGGTTTGTTGTGTGCCTCGTGGTAAACAAGAGGTCACTGGTCAACTGAGATCATCGTGTGAATTGAGTATCAACGAATTTGTTTCCGCTGATTGAGAGAAGCAGCAGGTCTCCCCCCGCACGATGATAAGAAACACGAGCAACCTCCATCTTGTTTCCATCGAGCCATCACGAGCACAGCAAAGTCTTGCTGTGTCGATTAACGCTCAGCCTTGGTGAAACACCTTCACATTTGTCAAGTTGACTGCGCTTCCGACTCGGAGGTCCTGCCCGGGAGGTCAAAAACTGGCCCTTAGGAGCATACGAGACACATCAACCACCGTTCCACTTTTTCGGATCCAGCTCCTATCCAACCATGTCTGACCTCGTATCTCGCATCCAGCCCTTCCTTGAGCCCGCACAGGCTCTCTTACAACGACACCCGCGCACCATTGCTTCCACCACGCTTGCAGCTGTCCTTCTGCCGTGGTTCGTCGACAACTATCGCAAATGGAGAGACCTTGGAGGTTTGGGCTTGCCCAACTATGTTGGCTGGCCGATGGCATTGTTAGCCAAGCCCTTTGGTCGTGAGACCACTTCGACCGGCATGTATGATGCAAACCCCATCAAGGGGAGCTGGCTGAAAGATCCGGACACCATCCCAGAGCGCAGGGGAGATAGACCTATCACAGGTTGGCATTTCGTGCCTCACAGACAGCTGAACCGCATCCCAACCGAAGACATCAAGAAGGTGCGTTTGTTTCTGCCAGGAGCACGGACATGAATAAGAGACGAACTCTCAAAATGCTGCCCTTCAGCGCTTGAAAGAGATCTTTGACAAGCACGCAAAAGCAAACTCTGACCTGGTCGAGGTCACCATTTCCCCGCATGAACAAGCTCATGATGGTCTTGTCATTGCATCTGCGCGGGCCACTCCTCATGCTGTTGCCAAGCATGCACTGAGAGAGATCGCGCACTTCCACCATGTCAAAGATTACTCGATGCACATGGTCCTCGCACCGCAGGATTGCAAACTCTGTTCGTGATGTCTTTTTCACCTGAATGTACAGACGCGCTGACCTCTGTTTAGTGATTGAGCGAGGATGGGCCGAACGGCACCCCATTAGTGGGACTATAGCGCTCCCTCAGGAGTATTTGTTTGTGTATGCGCCTCGTAATGAAGAAGAGCTGGACGTAGTTGAGCGGATTTTGGTGGCGGCTATCGGTTACATGACGGATAGCAGGACCGTGAACTGATCAGCTTGTGGGTCGTATCTGTACAGTTTTGTCGTCATTCACAATATGATTCATAAATCCAAGGACTTTTTTTTTTCGCTGTTTGCTCGCTGAGACGTTCGCTTTTGAAGGGTCGTTGGTCGGACTCATCGGACTTAGCTTTAGGCTGGCTTGAGTCCAACATAATTTGTCGTTCTGGATGACGTCATTGATTTGACTGGGCGTCCGAGAGTTTCGGTGTCGCGGCCAGTGTCTCTGGCGGGACACACGGACGACTCACGAAGCAGAGGACGAAACCCGTGACCATGGTTTTTGTCACTTCTGAGATCTTATTCGTTCAGCCGTCCAATGCGCACCATCTCTCTAAGCCATCGCAGGCCGACTTCGGGCGCCGTTCAATTCATTCTGACGGCGCGAGGACCTGTTTCTGTCTATTTGAGTGCTCTGTGGAAACGCTAACTCCCACTTCCTCATCACCAACGAGATCTATTTGAACGCACCGTGAAAGCCCCCACATTTCCCCGCACCACTCTCACCTCACACTGCACCATGTCGACCGCCGTGTCCCAGGTCGCCTCCCAGCTCCAGCCCTTCCTCGAGCAGGCTCGCGCCCTCTTCGAGCGCTACCCGCGCCTCATCACGTCCACTACCCTTGTGGCGGTAACTATTCCCTGGTTCGTCGACAACTTCCGCAAATGGGACGCTCTCGGCGGGTTCGGCGCCCCTAAGCCCATAGGCTACACCTTCGCTATGCTCACGCTGCCCCTGGGCCGCGAGACGCTGTCTACTGATATGTACGACGCCGATCCGGACAAGACTTCCTGGATCGCCGACGCGCACACTATTCCAGAGCGCAGAGGGGACAGGCCCAAGACAGGCTGGCACTTCTTCCCACACAGGCAGCTCGACCGGTACCCCAGCCCGGAAATTCGACAGGTGAGCTAGTGCCTCTAAGAATGTACCAGTATATCGCGCTCTTCACACCGAAGCTCATGCGTATCAATTTCGCAGCGCCTCGTAGAGATATTCGACAAGCATGCCGCAGCGAACACCAACCTGGTAGAGGTTACCCTCTCTCCTCGTGAGCGCTCGAACGATGCCATCGTGATCAAGTCCTCGCTGCCTAGCCCGCACCCCGTGGCCAAGAAGGCGCTGCGCGAGATTGCACACTGGCACCACCTCGACCACTCCATGCACATGATCATGGCGCCCCAGGATTGCAAGCTTGGTACGTGGCCCGCTTTGAATTCCCTCCGAGGACTCATTGAACCCTCGCTCAGTGATTGAACGTGGCTGGGGCGAGAGACATCCCGCTAGCGGCAGTTTCATGCTGAACAAGGAGCAGGTTCTCATCTATTCTCCCCGTGACGAGGAAGAGCTCGAGGTGGTCGAGCGCCTTTTGATTGCCTCTATGGGATACATGACCAACTCCAAAATCATCAATTGAGCTCATCTTCGTTTCTCGTCTCGTGGTGAACTTGTCTTATCTATGTTATTTGTAGTTCTTTACCACAAGTTTATCGTCAGCGAATGATATCCGTGCATCTCACTTGAAGCCGACTACATGACATAATGTGTGATGTCTTGTGGGGGAACATTTTAGACGCCTGCATGCCATGAAAAGCCCACCTCTCAGATCTCATTGTTCGTGTCCGACTCTCGTCAGCCTGAGCCACCGACGTAGGGCAAGCCACCCACAGGCATATATCATTAGCGACAACATGCCATCATTATGCCCACTCGCGTTAAAGATAGCACGCGTGGAAGGTCTCGACCCGGGCCCCGCAGCGTCTTCTATAAGTACGCCGTGCCGAGCCCATCCCGTCCCGCTTCCGCCTCACTCCAGATTGCAAACCACCAACTACTACCAACACGATGTCCCTCCCGTCGACGACAATTAACCTCACACCCTACATCGAGCCCGTGCGCGCACTGCTGCAGCGCTACCCACGCGCTCTGACGCTCGCGGCGCTCACGAGCGTGCTCGGGCCATGGCTTCTCGACAATTACAGGTCCTACATGGACATGGGCCCCGGCGGGCTGCCCTACAACGCCTACGGCTGGTTGATCGCGGTGTACCGCAAGTCGTTCAGCCGCGAGACGCGCTCGACGGCCGCGTACGACGCGGACCCGTACAAGGAGGCGTTCCTCACCGAGGCGGACCGCGCTTTCATCCCCGAGCGGAGGGGCGACAGGCCGGCGACGACGTGGCACGTGTTCCCGTCGCGTCAGCTGGATAGGTTTTCGCCGCCTGAGGTCCAGCCGGTGCGTGGAATGACCACTGTTTTAAAGGAACTAAAAATTGAGCGGATGCGATTCAGCTTTTGGTTGAAGCTTTTGATAAAATCGCAGCAGACAATGCGCACCTCATCAGCGTCGTCCCTTCTCGTTTCGAGCGCCTCCACCCAGCCATCGTGATCGGTCTGTCGCGTACCTTTGTACAGAAGGCCTCGCACAAGGCACGGGGCGAGATCTGCCACATCCACCGTGGCAAGGATTTCTCGCTGCACATCTGCATGGCGTCTCAGGACTGCAAGCTCGGTAGGTCGTCTATTAGTTAACTGGACGTGTCCAACATCTTATGGCTTGTCACTAGTCATCGAGCGCGGATGGGGCGAACGACACCCTCTAGCAGGCTCCCATTTCCTTCCCAAGGAGTATATGATGCTATATGCACCCCGAAGCGAGGAGGAAGTGGAGGTCATCAAGCGCTGTATCAAGGCCGCGATTGGCTTCAACTTGAATACCCATGATGTCGTTTGAATAGAAAAGATCATAGAATAGGCTTGCGTTTATGATCAGTGTATGCTGACGTTCTTTTCAATCCTGTAAACAGAATGCAGCTAGCTTTTCTAGTCTTTTTCAATGGATACATGCATAATACATCGCTTTTGATCAGCAATGCTAGTTGAGGAAATTGTCGAGGGCGCACGGCACCTTCATATAATTCCATATCACTTTTTAAGCAGCCGGCACTGACCTGAATAGCGTTGGAACAACGTCGTCGAAGGTTGGAAGCGGTTAACGGCAATTAGCGGGCCAAAATTGACATGTCACGTGCATTCTAATGTACTTTCAATTTCAGTAATGAGACCGAAAGCTGGCCAAGTGAAGCAGAGAGGAGGTTTCCAGGCGTTGACAACGTCGTCTTTTTTTTTCGTCTCAGCTGAACACTCAAGACTGTCCATCTTCCTTACTTTCTGGACGTCTCTTCTGGAATAACTCGACAATGAGGGACTATCTATGGCGTCAGCGCGTGAAGGTCGAGTCCACTCTCGCCATGTCTATGTTGGAACCTTGGGAGAAGCTTCTATGTGGTGAGTTTCCAAATACGTGGCCCCTCCTCCACGCCCTCCCCTGCCTACCTTTCCATCTCATTGGGTAACCACCGCTGGCTTCTCTCGGGCCTTTGACTGACGAGTACGTGTTGTTGGTAGTGATCATAGCGACACTCTTCGCGCTCCTGTTGATGACGGGCATCTACCAATACCTCCCGCAGCACGTCTCCGTTATGCAGAAGCGAGCAATCTACTATCTGTTTGGCCAGGAGGGAGAAGATAGTGTGCTGCGGCAGCTCGTAGTGGATTCACGTCCCGAGTTATGAGAGTGCCCAACGCTACTGGTTGCGTTGCCTGATTTGCCATTCGTGAGTCCTCCTTTCCTTTGCCCGTGATTCTGCGGATCCGCTGACCGTTCGTTTGGGCAGATACTTTTCGTCATATGTGGACTTTGGATTTGTCTCCGAACTTTGATGAAGGACTGAAGGAAGCCTTTGCCTTCCCTCCTGGATACCATACTTACGCTATAGATTTCGCCTGTAATCCCTTGCCTAGAAATGTACAATTTCCTCGTCGATTATGCAGCATTTTGCTGCCACCCATCGAGGGCACCGCCTATTGGCTAGGCTTCGGTGCGCAGCGAAGCGCAGTAACAATTCGTCCAGGGCTGGCACAGGCGCCTGCAGCTGGGAAAATAATGGGCCAGGCCAAAATCCTCCAACAGCTATTCTAGCTGAGCTCTTAAAAGATGCTGCAACAAATGTGATGATGCTTCATCAGCAATACTCAAGGAGGTCAACTTTGACCCGCGGCTAGACGGTTATTCTAACATTTCTGTCCGACAAATCCGAACACTTCTAGCTCTTTGCTCGTAAAATGACTGTGTGCATGTCGTACACGGTCTACCAATCTAATAATAGGTGTGTGTTGGACCAGGGTACGTTATTTATATAACGAGAGTGCTCGTCTTTCCAAGCGCTTGCTCGCACAACTCTTTGTTCCCTCGTTTCCCTCCATCTACGAAATCTATCCATGGCTACGACGCGTCCACACAAAGTGGCTGCACAACGGCCAACGCGAAAACCACTGACTTTGAAGGATTACTTGTGGCGGAGGCGAATAATGCTCGAGACCACATTCGGAGTTTCAGTCATGGAGCCATGGGAGAAGGCAGTCTTTTGTGAGTGCTCGCGTGCCCCTCCATCCCTTGCATTTGCCGTCGCTTCACCCACTCATTCCTGGCGCGGATATGCAGTGAGTCTCCTAACCGTCCTCACGCTACTTGTGATTATCTGGGTGTTTCATCTCCTCCCGACCCAGCTATCACATCTCCAGCACCGTCTAACTTACTACCTCTTCGGCCATGCGTCAGGAGACGAGTACGTTCGGCATTGGGCGGATGTCATTGCTGTTAGAGAGGTTTGACTGTCAAACTGAAGAACTCGTGTTTTGTGCGTTCATTTATCTTGCATTTAGAGTATGAGATCCTCACTTTGCCTCCCCCAAACCAGCTACCTTTCCTCGGTTTACCTGGACTTAGCATGTATCACTTACATTGACAGAAGTGTTGTAGTCATCTACCACGCCATTAATCTATTGGCCGCAAAGGATCGAGGGTGCTCGAGCACTCGACGAGCCATTTGGCTTCAAGCAATTTCGAACAAGCTACAACTTGGTCAGCATATCGACGAACAATTGCCCTCGCAACAACTATCAGTGGGCCGCCTACGGGAGGTTAGCAGTGACCAAATTCCCCGGCAGGGAGCTGACTGAACCTGACGCTGTCGAATAAAGTAATCAAGACCCCTATCATCGGCAACCTGTCAGTAGTGTGTGATCAGACTCCGAGACGAGGACATTCTAAGAGTTCGGTTCCGGCCTATGCCGGCAACCAAAGTATTCTGTTCTGTGGCGATGATCGTTCGCCGGTCGTCTACACCCGAGCCTCAAATCTAGTAATCGGTCGAGCTGAGGTTTGATTCTCATTCACGTCAGGCAAATAAACTGTTTATCAACATTAGGCTAGGCGTATGCAAATGTACACCAACTTGTGGAGTTGTGCGGTAGTTCTATGAGGTTTGATTGCAGATCTGAAGTCTAAGGGAGAGGTGATATCAATTCACGTATATATAGGTGACTCGAGGAGTAACACGACGACGGAACGTCTCCAACGTTCCACTCGAAAATATATAGATTAATATATGTCATTGAAATTGACTAGTGCGAATCATGACAAGGGTTCGTGCAAAGGTCGTATGCAAGGGGGTTGTGTTGATTATGCGACAGGAAGAATGCTGTGATGCTTGCGTGATTTATGCGGCAGAGCTGGTGTGTGCAATCGGAAGCCCATTACATGCAAGTGAAACTTCAAGAGATGAAGGTAACGGGAATTATAGAAGTAAGCCTGCTAGAGTAGGTGAATTCTGGTGAAATGTGGTTGCAGTCCAAAACGTCAAATGTCTAGGATCGTGATAGGCATCAGACGGGAGGTGTCCGTGGTTGCGGTGTCCTAGCTCCAGGCGGCGTCCGAGGAAGTTTACCTCCCCATTTCTTGATGAGGTCGTCGTCAGATTTCGTGTCCGGATGGATCTGAACCTTGCCCTCCCAGAGAGCAGCGGACGACAGAGATGGGTCGAACCTAGCAGGGTCAGAGAGGGAGCCAGTCGTGTGAGGGGCCCAGCCCGCTCCGATAGAAGAAGCAATGAGCGTCGGCACCATCGTCATCAGCGAGGGCCTGAGGTACACGTCAGCGAGATGACGATATATAATGGATAAAACGAGCTTACATGGTTACACGGCGTTCATCCTGGAGACGAGCAGACCGGCTCTTGACGACAAATGACGAGGATCGCATACGACCACCCCGAACATTGGAGAAAGTAGCCAAGTTATCCTTTACGAGCTGGATAGCAGAGTTCCACTCGGCGTCGGGGCGAATCGTGGGAAGAATTTCCTCATCCGAGGGAAGGAGTCGGACGAGCTTGAACAGCCGTTCGAAGAGTCCATTAGGCAGCAGACGGACCAAAGCACCTATAGGAATCGAGGCGACACCAAGAGCAAGGGAGATACCCCATACTTTGCCGTCGACTGGCGTAACCTGGAATGCGGCGCCACCGATGAACACGATCAATATTTGGACAGCAATTTCTAAATAAACAAATAAAGCACTGAATAACTGTCACATTGAGGAATAAGAAAGGACACACCGACAAGGGTGATACCCATGAAGTAGTAGTTGCTCAGCATGCCCTCGAAGATGTTCAGCTTGCGATCCAACCTCCGACAGTTGAACGAATTGAAGATTTGCGCAAAGACAAAAGCGTTGAAGACCAAAGTCTGAACGACAGTCTGGTTCTGTGTGGTATTCTCCAGCCCGAGGATCTGAAGGCCCAGGAAGTGGAAGAGAAGGATGATGAGGATCTGATAAATCGATTGGAACAAGATCTGCTTGTACATATCGACGGTGAAGAGGGGTTCGCTCTGCTTCGTGGGCGCACGGTCGAGCAGAGCGGGTGAAGCGGGATCCGTGGCCAAAGCGAGGGCGGCAAAAGTGTCCATGATAATGTTGATCCAGAGCAACTGTACAGCAGACAGTGCAGACTCTTCTTCGACGGAGGCGACAGCGGTCACAAGAGTAATTATGACAGCGGTAACGTTAGTCGAGACCTGGAACTGCAGGAACTTGCGAACGGCATCATTGACACAGCGACCCCACATGATGGCCTTGACGATCGAGGAGAAGTTGTCGTCCATAAGAATGATGTCTGATGCCTCCTTGGCGACCTCGGTACCAGCGATGCCCATCGAGAAGCCAACATGAGCAGTTTTAAGGGCAGGGCCGTCATTCGTGCCGTCACCAGTGACACCGACAATTTCTCCGAGTTCGCGAAGCTTCTCTACAAGCACTTTCTTGTCTTCCGGGGATGAACGAGCAAGAACTTGCAGATAAGGGACGACCTCGAGCTTTTCTTTGTCACTGAGTTGCCGGAATACTGGACCTTCCATGATCATGCCGCCCGGGGTAAAGATACCACACTGCGAAGCGATCGACCTAGCTGTCAGAACATTGTCGCCAGTAACCATCTTAACGCGAACGCCGGCCTTTCGACAGTCCTCGACGGCTTTGGGTACACCCTCGCGGAGAGGATCCTCAATACCGACGACACCGAGAAGAGTTAGCTCTTTGACAATGTCATCATAAGGAGCCTAATCAGACGGTATCAGTATATTAAGCGTATATAATTGGATTAAAACCATTACCTCCTTGTCAGCCGAGATGCCGGGGGGTGGCCAGTGCTCGAAGTCGCGGTAGCAAAGTGCGATGGTCCGCAGGCTCTGGTTGGCGTAGAAGATGATTGTGCGAGAAATATTCTCGCTCGAGGTAGAGTCGATTTCCGTAGTCTGGACACCGCGATCGGTATCGTTGTCGGAACCGTTGCGAGAAACGACGATATGCCGGACGCAGAGCTTGGTAAGAATCTCGCTAGCGCCCTTGACGAAGAGACGGCAGCGTCCGTTCGGAAGTCGCATAACAACGCCCATGGCTTTGCGTTCGCTAGAGAAGGGTATCATCTGCACAACATCGGCATCGTCTCTGACCTGCTTGTAATTTTCCCAACGCAGCTCCTTAGCGAACTTGAGAAGTGCCGTCTCCGTCTTGCTGCCCACAAAAACACGCTCTCCAGAGACAGGGTCCTCGTCCTCAAAGGCCGTAGAGTTGATAGCAATGGAGGCGTTGAACAGCTCGCGAACTCGGAGCGTGAGGACGTCGTTGAGCTGGGTAAGGTCCACAGAGAAATCGTCAGATGTCTGATTTGATGAGCCGCCTTCGTCATCCGCGTTCGTTCGGGACTGGTTCCCCTCCAGATTCCGGACGACTTTCGCGTGAATACCAATCGAACCGGCTACGATGGTCATCGAGTTCTGCGTAAGTGTTCCCGTCTTATCCGTGCAGATCACTGATGCGTTCGCCATGGTCTCGCATGATCCTAAGACACGGACTAGTAGGTTCTCACGCGTCATCCGCTTTGTAGCAAACGCAAGCGCCAACGTGACCGCCAAAGGCAAGCCTGTAAAGTTTGGCAGGATAATGTATCAGCTAGAACGTTCTGACGCGGGGCTGTGGGTCACGTACCCTCAGGCACAGCAACGACGACAATGGTAACTGAAATGATGAGAATGTTGACAAACGCCATACCGTTCTGATTCGCATTTCTAGAGAACGTCAAACTTAGCTATTGAGTCCAGGGAGATGAATGAACACCGACCTTTCTGGATTTCCAGTACCCAGCTCCACAAAAAAGCGGATCAGAAGCGCGACGAAAAGGACAATGCCGGCGAGACTGCCTAATTTGGCAATAGTCTCGGCAAGGGCGTTCAACTTGAGCTGCAGTGGCGTATTTTCAGCATCGGTACGCAGAGCTGTTCGCGGTTAGTTAGTGAAAGGGACATGCGAACAAGATGCGTTTCATGCATACCCATCATAATTCGCCCATTGAAACTCTTCGTCCCCACAGCAATCACCATGTAGCTTCCAACACCCTCCAAAACCCTGCTTCCACTAACAATGAAACAATCCGTGTGAGAGGAGATGTCCCTTCCGCCAGCGCTACTCTGATACTTCGGAGCGATACACTCCTCGTAAGACAGCTTCTTGATTGCGTCGGACTCGCCCGTAGCACCGGACTCGTCGCACTTGACGTTGTGTCCAGACAGAAAGATGCCGTCGCAAGGGACCACCTCACCAGGTTCTAGCAAAGCGATGTCACCGACAACCACTTCCTGTGCAGATGATGGCATGGAATCAAAACACTAAATACAATGCCGACTTCCACGAACCTTGACATCGATGACATGCTCGATACCATTTCTTATGACTTTGACACCACGTTCGTCTTTCTTCTCGTTGAGCGTCTGGAACTGACGTTCCTTTTGCCAGTCGTTGAGAGATCCTACGAGAACCTAAGCAAAGTTTGAGACGGTCAAAAATCGTAGAAATTTGATCCAAAAGCAACTAACCACAATGAGAATCGCAACCATGATAGCAACGCCTTCTACCCAGTCTACCTTTGGCCCTTCCTGTGTTGTAGTGCCGAAGTCCTGGAATAAACCTAATGCGAGGGAAACGACCGCAGCAATTGACAGCACAACCTGATACGGAGCCTCAGAAGTTTTGTTATTTTATATAGGTTTCGTGCGTACCAAAACTTTGTCCTTGAGCGCAAGCCACATGAGAGCGATGAGACTCTTAGTCTCGCGCCGGGGAAGCACGTTCTCGCCGAAAACCCGCTTTCGCTCGGACATGAGGGCGGTGAATGCCGCCCCGCTGCCGTCTGAATCTCCGCTGTCTGGCCCATTGCCCATTGGTGCTGCCTCGCTGTCCGGACCAGTGACGACGATGCCAGGGAGGTCCGATGAGGAGTTGGAATTCCGGTCATGTGACTGCGACGCGCCTTCGCCGGCACCGGCACCGGACGGTCGTGCCTCTTCGATCGAAGAGGGCTTATCTGACGTCCGCAGACCCTTTGTTCGATGGGTCCCCAAACCTCGTAGAATAGTCTTTGTACCCCCAAGCTCTTCTAGCGCATCCAAATTCTTCGGATCAAGCAGAGATGCCAATTGATAAGGACGGAAGGCAAAGGGACCAGGGTCGACCTCAGAGTCCTGAGCTAGCTCAACCTGGCTGATGCGACCGTTCTCTTCAGATACATTCTGCGGATCCTGCTGCGAGGACGTACTCCCGCGTTGTCCGGGGTGGCGCTGCCTGTCCGAGAGGGGGATGTCGGGGTCTGAAGAGTCGCTTCTGATGGATTTGGGGCGGCGCGAGCGCTTCTGGCGTTCTGAAGCGATGTCAACGTGTGTATGCGTCGGAGAAGGAATAGTCATGCTTGTTGCGTCAGACTTTGCCCTATGCAAGTCGTTAAGGTTGAGACCCAGAGCATCGTGGTCTGGTTCTGTCCCTTCCGCGCTACTAGCTGCATCAAGTGAGGCAAAGGTGGCGTTGCTTCCTTTGCGCCTATGGGTTGCGCGGCCATCGTTTCCAGGTGTGAGGAGACCGAGAGAAGAGATACCGTTGTGCTCTTCGGGCTTGTTATCGCGTAGATTAACAGTAGTCTTGAAATGGACAGAGGACTGTGTAGATAGGGTTGGTGAAGGTGGAGCGTGGAGCGTTGAGCCATCGTATGAAAACGCCGATGGCGAAGGGGAATGGCCTCTCGGACCGTCAAGCGAGGAGCGTTGGAAAGACGGTGCTGTTGGCGAGAGCGAGTTGGGTGAAAGGTGTGCGTTATCGCCTGAGGTCAAGAGTTGTCCATGGGATTGCACGAAGTGAGCACGGCCAGGCGACTGAGGACGCAGAGGCTGAGATGCGTCAGAGGACGGTTGATGGGGGTCACGGGAACCGCGGCCGCGTTGGGGTCGCGTTGGCTGGTGCTCATCGTCATTGGCTGTGTCGCTTGAAGACAGATCGGTAGTGACGATGGCTGGAAGTTCTTTACCGTCTGTCATCTTGAAGGGTGAGAGAGAGCATAAAAGTTAAGCGCTCGTCGGTGGGGAGTAGCTGACTTTTAGCAGTCGGCGAGGTAGCTGAGCACAGGATCGAAGGGGGGTAGTGGTTTTGGGACGAGTAACGCAAGGAGGCGAGCCCTTGAAATGATCCATGAGTTCCAAATAGAAGAACGGGCGAAATTATGCACAGAATGTTCGATTAGAAACACAGCCCCGTCCGATTTAGCACCCCCCCTGCCACCATTAGCTTGGCGCGTGTCGACCCGATGAGTTGCCCCCGCTCCTCCGAGTCAGAGCGGACAGCAAGGATTTGCACTTGCATGAGATGTCCAGGGCTTCAAGAACAAATCGCAAGTTGTGGTCAATGGAGAGTACTTATTCCCATTCTATCTTTGTCCTCTTCTCGATCAAACTACGATTCCCCTTTTTGGCTCACAAACGCAAATCAATAGGGACCTCCATGGTCGCGGCTAGAGCCGGTCCTCGGCCTCGGGTACCAGGCCCCGCATCCGTGACAGCTTCCCCTGACTGAACGCCGAACCACCAGCTCATCCGATCACAGCCCTCTCTTTTCTTTTGACTTTTTCTCGGATACATAAGGCTTGGCTTCCGACGACACTTGCCACTGCTTCAAGGCGGCCTTGTCTTTTGACCGTCCGTGACAAAGGCTGCATTTCTTTTTCTGCCCTTGTGCCGGAGCCCACGTCACCCATTCCGCAACAGCAGCTGTCTAGCTCGGCTTCATCGATATCAACTCTATGGTACGACCAGGATCCACGTCCAATTTCTGATACGGATCTGTCTGCCGGGCACGCGCAACTTCCTTTTACCATGCGAAACTTGACTCGGTTTCATTTCCACCCTGGTTCGTCTGGTGCCGCAAACAATCATTTTGCGATTGCCGATCGAGGCGTGGCTCGTGTCTGACATGGACACGAGCACGTTTTGTTTTCATCTCAATTGAAACAGGATGGTGTATCAGAACCCATTGGTCACTATCGGTCCGCTATCCACACCAGATAGATTTACAACTGTCCCCGGCCCATCGATGTCATACCAACGCAAATATTCCCTTGTCCAACGCAAGTTCTTCTGCGGCTTTGTCTATCCCTGGCTATAGGTTTATCTCAAGCTGCATCAAGAGTGATCTGAGTTCGCGGAAGTGCAGAGGATCGAGCAAACCCAGGACCCCTCTATAAACGTCGCCGTCTGACAGTTCTCCTCGCGCCTACAGCATGCATACGGCGGAAGTATTTTCCCCTATAGGCTACAGACCAAGTTCCACGGAGAAACTCTGATCTCCACCATGTTGATTAGGCGTGCCGCTTCAAGATTGTTCTTGTACTTCAACAGGTTCCATGCATCATATGTCAGCCGCCAGCACCACAAGTACATACCGCCATTGGATCTCGTCAGTATTGACGAGTACTGACGTATTACGGATACCTTACCAACACGGTGGTCCCTTACAAGTCTTCGGACTCTTCAAGATCTTCTATGATGCCCCGGCAACAAGAGGTACCATTATGTGGGCTTCACGTGCGCAACCATGCATGACTCCAACACGTGGGATTAGGTTGCCCCGTGTCTCCGAGAATCTGGATCTCCCTTGTCCAAACGAGATGCCGTTGATTCCCCAGTTTGCTACTTCGCTCTACCACACTTCCACGTCCATCTGCGACCCACCCGCCGCTGTCCGCTCAAACATCTCAAATAAAATATGCTCGACTTTTTGGATTCATGTATGTATGTCATCAATGGATCGCCGGACTTGGCAAGGCACGCACATTCTTTACCAGTGTTCCCAAGTTCAGGCCCCCGTCTCCCGGAGAGCTTCTAGAACCCGGGCTCCGAGCTTCGACTCAGACTTCCAGAAAACTAGCACTTGTCCGATCCGAACCCCTTTATAGTCTCCCTCCGAGCCAAGGTTAGTCCTCTTGCAGGACCAAAGTGCATTTTGAGACTGTCATTCAACTAGTACTTACTGTTTCCGGAAGAGTCTTGGACTACGCCCGTCGCCCTGTAGGCCGCCTTCACGGTGCATTGCGTCGTTCTAGCACGAATCGCCTGCGGACGCAGCCACCACAGCCATGAAGCAGCGCACGTCAAGCGAGGCAGACGGTGAACTCGGCGATCCGTATGTCGGGCCAACAGCGCCATACTTCAGCCCCAATTAACTTCCACCAGCGTACTAGGCTCTGGGCGGCGCAAGGTGACCACGACCACTTCCATATAACACAGCCGTACGGGCGGAAAACGCGCACTGCTCTGTCAAATGGTTCACATTCGACGCGCCTTTCTAATCGCCAGTGGCATCCTGTCGTCGAGCCTTGTTGTCACGATGCTGTTCAAACCCACCGACAACTCAGTCATGAACACCGAGTGGAACAGAAAGTGACAAGGTGATGATGACGCATCCCCGCCGAGAGCAGTATCATGGGTTTTCCTTCGATAAAACCTCTATTGGAACTGCGTACACCCGAAGCACATTTTAGTCGCATCATCCCAGTCCAGCTCTTCTGCTTAGAACGACTCGGTCTCTGTTGGTCTCTGCGATGCCTAAAAGCTGGAAATATGCTGTGTGCCCGCATTGTTCTATCTCGGTGTCATACAGCCACCCGACATTGTACTCAATACTACCGGATGCACCCTTTATCTTGAACTCCTCGTGAAGCTGGACATTCCACCGCGCTTCAAGTGGCTAATGATAGCACCTTGCAATCTACTGGTACTCTATGTGGGAAGCCAAAAATCGATCTTGAACTGCTAATCCCTCTTACCCATGACTGCTGTGGTTATATTATGCTGCCCTCGAACTTCTGGAAGCAAAGAACCACCCCTCGAGGCAGTCACGCAATAAAAAGAAAGAAGACGCGAAGCGGATCGCTGCTCATGTTAGGCGCCTGTCGTTTAGCCGGTCTTCTAGAAACGGCAGAAGTACCTCCTCTTCACTCGAGCATGTGTTCAATCATAGCGTCAACGCAGCAACGGCTCTTTGTTTTTGGGAAATGACTGCGAAGCTGTGCGCGACAGTCTGGTCCGTGGAAAAGCTCCAGGTGGTTGGTCGCTTCAAGCACCCTCGGTGGGTTGCATGCTCACCGTTGGCAGTGTCAGCGGCCTTTTCGGCGCATTGGTCTTTGTGCGCGCCGTACGTACACAAAACGGCGTCTCTGCGGACGAGGCGTGGCCGGAACTTGATTCATCACGCTGACACGAATGGCCATCCCTGTTCCACCTCTGGACCACTTGTCATCTGTGTGATTGATTTCGAGCCTCGTAGTGGCTCGTCGCTTGAGAGCCTCGAGAAGAACTATGGGTCAGCTGGTGATCATGGACGTAATTTAAGGTGCGTCAACCCCCGTTGGATACCCCACAGCGAATATGTTGTCCCAGGAACCCATAAATAAATTACGCGATTATTCCGAGGCTATGCTTCAACACGATGTCTGTACTACGACGTCGTGTCTTGATGGTCCATATGCCCTTAGCAGCTCTCTCATCACTGAACATCGCCTTTCACCAGGCATTTGATGCGTGCGTACTAGGTAAGGAAGCCACCAAATATACATGTGGGTGTAGACTGTGGTGGTGGACATTTCATGCTTGTAGCGGCAGATGCTAGTCGAAGTTTATACTGAAGGTGTATTTTATCGTAGATCTTGCGAACTACTAGTACGAGATTTCAGTCTCGGTGGTGCTGATCTCGACTTGCACTATCACCTGGGCTTCAAATGCAGTGAGTATGCCATTATTTATGGTCACTTTGGTCCACATCACCGTGGGCCTCATGCTCACGAAGCCATAGTACACGATTGCTTTGGAACAATATGCTACTCATTGCGTCCAAGGTTACGTCCAAGGTTAGGTTCGCATTTCCCGGGCCATGACAACACATACTACGTCGTTCCAACTCAAAACAGATTCTAGTACTGAAGACCCGCGCGCTCGCCTCAGGAGCTTGTCCAACATAGACGGCAAAAGCCGAGTGCCCTCAATGGTCCAAGTTGGTACTATGTCTCCGTCTTTATGGCCATATATCTTAGCCCAAACTACAGCGCAGCTCTGGTGTTTCGGGTTCGAACACTGAGTGACATATAAGTATGGCAGGACACCAGGTTGCCGGTGATCCGCCGCCCCTTATTTCTTGTTTCATCTCCCTGTTTTCCATCAGAACTTCGGATATCTGGACGGTGACGGCCTGATAGATCTTAGGACTCCACGACTAGCTAAGTAACCCAGCTCATGTCTTAGACGAACAGGTTCATTACGCTCAATTTTACCATCACTTTCTCAATAGAACATCCAAAATCTTAGAATCGGCCACTTTGACTGTGTGCTAAGGGTGAATTACTCCCTAGAAACTGCTCTACTTTTGCGCGTGGGTTTGGGAAACCCCATTTCCACTTCATACCTTCAACATGAGCAGTGCATGTGTTCCTATGGAGCTCGTACTATTTCCTCTACTTCTGAAGATGTCTTCCAAACTTAGCTGTGATACTTCTGACGGCCGTCCGCCGAAGTTGTCATTCCGTGTTTTCTTTACTCGAAAAATATTTTGCATAGGGCATTCTCAGGTTTCACTGCGAACAACCTTTGGCTTGTAAAGATCTCCGAGGTACTTACGTACAACATATCGTATCTGGGCAACGATGGAAAAGTAGCCTGCATAGTAGTTGGCATAGCCTAATGTTGACCTCGCTGGACTTGCTAGACACTCGCCATGAGCTAGAGAAAGTTACGGCGAATCCAGACTTCAGCGCGTGTCCGACAGTGTGGTGCAGAAGATTTGGTGACTCTGCTTCTGACCCGGCTTCGCTCGCACAACGTGTCGCGACGAAAGAGCACCGAAAGGCAGTACCAGTGCTATATATTCTGTGAAACAAACCCGTGACCCAAGCAGGAATCAAATCAAACATGTGCTGAGGAGCAGTCATGAGGCGACGCCGCCATCCAAAGTAGGCAGGAAATGCTGCGGAGTGACTTGAACGCGTCCTCGAATTCGAAGGGAGGCATGTCCGCACCAGTCACCAAGCCGTTCATTTTCAGGACTTTCACTGACGTGAAGACTTACGCCTGGGGGTAATTTGACGTCATCACGATCTAATCACAGTTGTCGATTGGCCGCTCTCGCAGCGTAGTCACTTACTAGTAGCCCCCTTTACTGACGAGCTACGCACACTATCTGTTCAGAGGGAGCACGGCACAAGCTGCACAAATGAAAATAGGCCCAAACGACTAAAGTAAGATCAATCGATGCGATAGCGATAGTAAAAGCACACGTTTATCGGTAACAGTACAGCAAAGCAAGATATGCAGGATCCTTTGAGGGATGTATGATATAACGAGTAGGTATGCGTTCCAGGACAAGACAGCAGTCGCACAGCGAGACTTTGGGCATATACAGAGAAGACAAGTAAAGATATCTAAGTAGTTAAAGAGGATGAGTTGGAGATCCAAGGATACAAGAAACATTGACATTGACATAAGGCAGAATAAAGAATTGTAGCGCGGAAGACAGCGCCTTAAAACGCATTTCCGAACGGCGTACTGTTATACCCCGAGTAGCTTTGGTTGTTCATCGACTCCGATGTGTTGGTCTGCATCTGGCTCAGCCAGGTGAGTCCTAGAAATCATAGTCGGAATTAGCCTGCAATTTCGACCAACAAGGACATGATCGACTTACCCGGAACGGTTGTCTCCGACCATACAGGATCAGCCATGAAGTCCATCGAGTCGAGGAAGTCGCTGTCAAACATCGGAGGGGGCTGCGGCTGGAAGAAGTCCGACGTGTTCATCGGTGCACCCCCTCCCAACAGACTGGGCGTCGACGAAGACTGTTGGACAACGTTCACCGAGTGCTGGTTCGCACGCGACACAGTCGCATCAAGGTTCTGAGGCTGTTGTTGGCCGTCGCTCACGCCTGGATGCAAAAACGCGGACTGCGACGGAGACGGGGAAAGCGAGTAGTTCGTCCCTGGAGAGGGATGATCCGAGGAGGAATCGAGCTCAGAGGGTCTGCCCGAGGGGGACTTGTTCTTCCGTGCGGATCGGCGGCGAGCTACGCCAACGTTTGGTGAAAGCGGTGCATCAACTCTGGCCATGGGCGTGTTGAGAAGACCAGTAAGGAAACGAGAGTATAGCTTTGGGAAATGCCGTTCGTCGATCACCACCTCAGGTGAGCCAAGTAAGTCGACCGCTTTCTGGACCAGGGCACGGATCTCCACTCGCTGAGTGGCGTTGAACGACATCGCATATTTGGGGTGGAGTAACTGAGAAGTGCTTTCAATGAACTAGGTAATACTGTTTTAAGAAAGAACGTACCTTGACAAGGAAGGCACTTGCGAAGCTGATGAAGATGCACTGAGCCTCGGGGCCATGGCGAAGGAAGTTCTCTGAACAACGTGTCAGAATACTACGTAACGAGTCCGCAGATAGACGTACTCTGCTCCGGTGTGCAAAAGACCTCATTGACTGCACCCTCGACGACGTACTTGGCAGCTTCATAGCACTACAGAAATAATTAACGATTGATGCGCTAGTGACGTCAATATTCGCACCCTCAACAGGAATGGGTTGTCCTCGAACGAAGTCTTGCTCGAAGCATGCTGGAGGCCGGTTGACAGAGCCACAAGGCGGGCATAGCTGAACCCGAGCTTCAACAAGCCCGTTCTGAACGAGTTCAGTAGGTTGGTCTGGTCAGTTTGCTCGAGACGGCGCATCCAGTAAGCCAGCAGCTGCTGGATTTCATCGTCCGTCTGAGATGCTATTTGCTCAAAGTTCGCAGACTGTTAAAAGGTAAAACAAGGTAATCAATAATCCACGAATAAAAAAGGCAGAGCAAGAGGGCGAACCTTGTTCAGCCCAGTGGGGTGGGACGGATCGCTATAAATCTTTGACCAGAAATTCGCCATGAGCTTCAACTCCGCATTATACACGCATGTATGGATGTCAAAGTACTCCAAATTATAAGGCGACGAGTACCACCAATTTTCGCTGTGGCTGGCGACATAATCGTGATTCGGGATGATTGGCTTTTTCCCGTACTGGGACCCAGTAGATCGGTCGAGGTTGAAACAGTTCATCCAGATACGGGTCCGGTTGAGCAAGATACGCGAATGTCGCTCGTTATCAGGTTTCGCCGTCACGGGCCGGTCTAGATTCAGGTCCTGAGCTATCCGGATGGCGAGCCCAAGATATATCCAACTCCGGTCGTCGCCCCATCGCCTCGACGGCACAGGGTAGAGTTGAAGGAGAATATATGCAGCGCACATCTCTTCGTTCTTCGGGTCGCCAATTAAAGCAGTACCTGCAGCGAGTTGGGCGTAGCGCATAAGTTCATGGTAAACGTGAGTTTTCTCCTCGTAATATCGTGACGCTACTGCGCAAACTGAGAAAACAAGGTATGTGAGTTACTTATGCACAGTTCCACTGATGGAAGAGCACTCACTGACGGTGAACAAGAACGGACTCTTCCAGTAAACATAATGAGGGGTGTGAAGGTGGCGATCCAGGAGAGAGGTAGAGGGGTTCATCATATCAAAATATCTAAACCCTTAGTGAGCTAATCGCGTTCTGCGCGTTGCAAAACATATGTTCTCACAGTTGGAACAAATTCTCGGCATCTTGGGGTGTGATGATTTGACGAGCCAGGATGAAGGGCACCCGTTCAGCATTCGGAGGTGTATCATCATTCGAAAATGGCTCTTTATCTTGGGTCCAATAAGTCTCAGGCTGAACGCGATCTCAAAGAACTCACTTCTGAAGAATTTCTCGTTCGCAACTCCTACTTCTTCTTCAGGCTCGTTCTTCTTCTTTAAGGGTTTCTGTCCGCGGAAACTGCGGGTGACACGAGCCATGGTCTGGAAGGCACCCGTCCCTTTCGCGCTGTCAACAGCATCCTCATCTGCTGTTGCATAGCGCTCCTCCTCCGAAGACGACTCCACCACAATTTCGACCTCGTCGTCACTCGAGGCTCCATCGTATTCTTCGTCACCCTCTTCGTCATCTTGCTTCCCAACGAGACCATGGAACTCCGCGAACGAAGCACGCGCTTTTCCAATCCAATCCTGGACTTCCGGTCCGGGAACAACGGGCCCTGTCGACGCAGTCGGCGAGTGAAGCTCTGACGTGGACGAAGGAGTAAGAGGAAGAATCTCATTAGGGCTTCTGGCGGGGCTAGCGACGGAGGTGCCGCCCTGCTTGTTCGTGACCTCGAGTTTTTGCATCAACTGCTGGATCTGATTCGCCTGGTCGCGGATCTGGTTGAGCAGATGTTCACGTTTCCTGCACAGAATATTCAGTATACACGCGCTCGCAATGATAAGGAGTGCACGTACGGGGGAGGACGGCGCTTTTTTCGTCCAGGAATGATGCACTCGGCATTCGCACTCGTACAACGTTTGCACGACTCGTTATTGCCGGTGAACAAGCATTTCACCTATTCATTGGTGAGATAAACGCGAAAGCAACAACTAAGTAACATTACTCACCTTCAATCCTCTACAACGAGAACAAGCCCCGCCGATCCTGAGAGAAGTAATATTAGTAATGATTGCGATAAGCATGTATTACTACACGTCACTTTTGTTTCCCGTCGGCCCCTTGATCTCCGTCATCTTGCGAATTTGTTGGCCTGTGCTCGGCAAACTCGGTCCCGTTCCGAGGCCTCTTGGTCGGATTGAGGCTGCTCTGCGCTAGCTCCTTTGGAAGTTGGTGAAATCGACTCGTCATTTCAGAGACCCGTAGTGGAGGCTGTTGCTGTACGGGTAACTGCATGTGTTGAGGAATGAAGTTGCTGCCATTTGTCTGCACGTTCAAGGACGCCTGGGCATTGCCGATAGACGATGGGGAGCTGGCTGAAGCCGGATATTGAGGGAGGTATGCGTTGGGGCTGGTGAATGCCGACTGTGGAAAGCCAGTCTGGGACGTAGGGGATGCTGCATTCATAGGGGTTTGAGGTTGTGGAGATGGTGTCTGAAAGGGTTGCGACATAGGCTGCAGGGTGTTCGAGGCGTACTGATTGACGGAGTATGGGTACCGAGAGGTACCATAGGATCCGCCGAACATCTGGTCGTCACCGTTGGACTGCTGTTGATGTTGGCCAAACATCTGGTTTGGTGCACCGAGTTGGGAACGTGGAATGTATGCAGAGTTTTCTTCCAGCTGGAGTTGAGGCTGGTTCATGTAGTCGAAGTCCCACGAGTCGGCGTTGGCCATGGTTGGGGGGAACGCAAGTGGTAGCGTAAGGAGGAGACGCGTTGGACGGAGGGTGCCGGTTATCAAGGATGCGAGCAGGGGAGAAGAGCCGAGAAGCGCGGGCGAGTGTTCACGCAAATAAAGGGAGTGCAGAGTCTACCCACGGACGGATGTAGCCTGAACAAAGCTACAGGAGGAACGTGCTCGTTCGTCACAAACGCCATAAAGGATCTGATATAGACTGACAATAACGCTCACCTTATAATAGCGCCTGCGCACGGACCGCTCTTGATAAGTAGCGCCTGCGAGGATCCCAGCCTTGGGCTACACGTACAGACAGTCACCTCAAAGCAGAGACGCGAGAGTTGCTCGAGCTCGTCGATGTAGGCCCCGATGATGTCGATGTAGTAGGCCGTCGATATTTAAACGATAACGCGGTGGACAAACCAGTGCATGGCGTTACAGAGCCCCACCCAAATACAGGGCTCGACGTTAGAAGGCCAGGTGGACCGGGCTAGCATGGCGTGTCATATTCTCAGGAGCAGTATCGTTTCTCCAAGTTGCCATCTTTGGATCCCCACAACTTCTGGAAGGATGGCTGTGGTCCACTCACCTCCTTCTCAGTCGGACTCATCGTCATCTGAGCGCAAGCAGGCCACTGACCCCTCGGCCGTCGCATACTGGCGGCCTGTCAGAGCATGCAACCCGACACGAGGCGCCGCACCTCCCACAGCCCCTATTAACTCATTTCGTTCGGAGGCAAACCATCCGGTTGGTGATCACCATCCAGCTATCGGCGAGAACCAGGCTGGCGTACGATATCCAAAACCTCTCCATGAAGCTCGAAAAGCTACGTTTGTTGTCCTCAGAAAGCCGACAAGCTACTTATCAGCGCCATGGACCGCTGTTCTCCCCGATGATTCGCAAATGGCGGAAACCGAAGTCGCGGAGCTCGACGGTGATCGACCCTCGAATGTTGTCACCGAGACTTTTCTCGTTCGCCGTCAACAAAGAGCTTCTCGTGCTCTCGATCCCGGCAACTTGACAATTCCCTTTCCTGTGATCTTCCTGTAAAGTCTCTTCGTCGACTCCGAACACGTCTCTCAGGACCTCGTACCCAGTCTGGTTCGGCATCTTACTCAGCTCGGATTGATGCCCGACGTTCAATATCACTACTTCGACTGCATGACGATCAAGACTTCGCACAATGCCGTTGTCTCCGACGAGAGTTACACGCGTATTCGCCTGCATTCGCGAGAGTTGGTTTGTTGCAAGGTAACGACTGCTATCGTTGTTTCTTACTTTCTCTTCAGTACTGAGCGTGTTAATCTACCACAAGATAATTACATAGCTTGTTTGCCTGCTTACGCATTTACTAGTGAGCCACTGTCTTCTCCAAATTCACAGTGATGTCGAGTCAGTCTCAGCTTCGCCCGAGTTTACCTGTGCCTGTGCCTTCTTACCGTACAGTCGGTAAATACAAAACACACGTCGGTCGAATTATGTGTTTGACGTTACGAGTTTTACCTGCCTGAGCTGAAAATAGTTGACCACGAAGCCCGGTGGCAGTGCTTTTCGCGCACAGCAAGTCCGCGCAGTGTTCTACAGGAAAACACTGCCGCGTGCACAAGACCTTAAGTTCGACATACACCACTCCGACTGCGGTGAAGGCTCATGCATGTTTTCGCGACCCTTGTTTTTGTACGTTTATGCGGGCTGTGAATGTCATACAACGTTTCCCATCGTTCGCTAATTCTACACAACCGTGCCCACACAAGTCGGATAAGAGGTCAGTGCAAAAACTACGTCGGCTACGTCGCGCTACCGAAGATCTGGTACCGTCTGCAAATGCTAGGTCCAATCTCATCGTACTGCGCCTTCGTGTGGCATGAAGTGTAGAAGTCGGGCTAACAGAACAACAATCATACCGAGAAAGCTCTGGAGTGGTGGAGGAACTTACCAGCGATGCCAACAATGAGCCACCGAACCACACAGCGTATCTGGACAAATTGATAAGCCAGTGTGGAAAGGAGAGATAAGAGAGTATGCCTACCGTTGGCGCTTGTGCGAAATGACGTCCACTTCCACACCAGAAGACTGCAGTATCTGATCAGAGAAGGGTATGCGCAGCTGCATTCTAAGTACCTTTTGCATGCTTCCACTCGCAACCACGCTAGCTTCAATTCTCCGATCCACCAGCTGCTTCAAGTCACGTTTGAGACGTTGGCCAAAGTGCTGGAACATTGTTGATCCACCAGAAAGAACGATGTTCTATGAGACCAGTAAGATATCTTGAAACCGCGTCGGTAGTGAAACCGTACTCACCTTATACAAGCCACGGCGCACATCAATTGGCGAAGCCTGGATAGTGTCATCCACGATCTCAGGAAGCGGAGTCAGGAAGTCAGAAGAGAATATCTCGGGGTTGAAGAAGATTTCAGGTGCAAGGAAACGCTCGTAGCCCACGTCGACGGAGTATTTCTGCGTAACAATCCAATTAGCAAGAACGATAACAAGATGTAAGGTCCACGCACCCGCCCAGTAACGCTGTGCTCTCCATCGTACCTCTGGAAGTACTGGTACGGGTCTGCATCGTACTTGCGGAACTCCTTGACGATGTCCTGGCAGACGTAGCTGTAGTTCTCCTTCACCTTGCCCGCGACCCGGAGCTGGTCCTCGGGCGGCACGTTCGCCATCTCGCCGCGCTCGCGCATGAGGTTCAGGACGAACTGCGAGATATCGCGCCCGGCGATGGGGATGTGCTTGATCGCACTGCCGATGACATAGCCCTCCGCGCAGGGGATGACGTGCGTGACACCGTCGCCCGAGTCAATGACGGTGCCGGTTAGAGTGCGATCGGTGACCTTGTTGGATGTCCACGAGGCGGCGAGAGCGAGCACGGCTTGCACGGCGATGTAGAGACCCTTGATGTTGAACGACTCGAAGAAGATCTCCGCAGTCTGTTCACGGTTCTCGGGAGGGTTGAGGGGTGGCTCGGTCTGATAGCGTTAGACAAGCAACGGGAGCCACTCTTGTCAGGATATCCTTCCAGCCCAACGCAGAATGAGTAGACCTCACCAGCAAGAAGTAGTGATCCTCCGGCTCCGCGCGCAGGTACTTGAAGATGGTCTGCTCCCAGTACCGCTCCATGTGGTCCCAGTTGTCGATCATCCCATGTCGGATGGGATAGTGCACGCCATATCCTGGAGTCTTCGCGTTGGCAAGGGCCTCGTCTCCGATGAAGAAGTCGAGATCCTCGACACCCCGCTTGGACGCGAGGTTGCCTGGCTTGGCGGGGATGGGCGGTCCACCTCGGGTCGGCTGCGAGGCAGGGCCGCGAGTAGCGATGGCAGTGGGGAAGACGCTATAGAGCACTTTGATGTCAAATCTCGAGCTTCACGCACTATGACGCGTAACGCACTATGACGGGTCCGAGTTTCCAGCGAACCTGTGGGGCAAGGATAACGGTGTGAGCCATGATGCACGTACATGTAAGAGGTCCCATCCACCTACCCTACTTTCGAGTAGCCTGTTCCATTATCACAGATAATAGGTGCGAGCAGTGACATCGTAGATGGATTGGTCTAACAATCCCTGCGACACAATTGGTGGTCTTGACAATGATACCGCCTGCTGCGATACCCCGCTGTTTGGACTTGTTTAGCAGCACCTTTAGATCCTAACATACGTAAACACACTTCTTGCACTCCTTCAGTATCCTCGTCAAAGTTACTGTGCGTGTGAACAAAGCTTGTCTTATTGTCCATGATTCAGACTACCTGATATTTACGTACTGAAATACCCCTTTGAATCCCACGATTAAATATAAGGTGCGTGTGCAGCATAGTCCACATCTCAGCTGCTAGTCTCGGCCCCTTACCGTCCTTTACTATGCAACCGCTTAACACGTATCGCTGCGCTCTTTTGTACCATGGAGCGTCGTAACTTGTATTTAACGCGCGTGGTCATGTTGAAAACGCATATGTTCTTACTTGTGCAGTGTTTGGGGTCTTACCAGTACACGCGATGAATCCTTTATAACCTTGACCACTGGCACCCTCTGTCTACATCCCGTGAAGTTCTGTTATCCAACAACCACATCCTACATAGTACTCTAAATCCGTGTTCTTCTTACCTTGGGTATAAAGTAGAACTTAAGAAAGGAAGAGCTCCGTGAGGAGGCGCATCGTATCTTCCGGACGCGTAACAGAATGCCCAATTGTACGAGGATCAGTAAAGATTTCGTAGTCGTTCCCTCCCTGATGATCTGTTCAATACGATAGAGAAGTATTCGAAGGCGGAAGTACCTGATAGGTCTTGTCGCCAAAGAAGTGGATTTCTTCAAAGCCATCCTTCTCGACGTGACGCAGAGCATACGTCTTGTCCCAGCCCCTCGGAAAGATGTCGAAGGAGATCTGGCCGCCAATGGAGTAAGTCAAGTCAAGGTCTGGGAACTTCTCCTTCAGAGCCTTGACGAATGCAGCTCGGACACCGTGAATCTAACTTAGGTTAGGACAAACGACAGTGACGAGAATCTCTCATACTTTGTCATAGGCCTCAAAATCGTGGCGCTCTTGCACACTGAAGAAGCACTGTTAGCGTCACGACTAGAAAAGGTTGGACAACAACCTACGAGGCATTGCGACCAATAGGGCTCACGTTGATCATGCCATTCCGGAATTCGATGAACGTACCTCTATATAGCCGCCATTCAGCCTATGAAGGACATTGATTGTAGTTTTAAACCCACCGCTTGAGAGGGATGTCGAGGTCAGCAAGGTAGTGCATAATGAAGTTGATAAGCTTCTTGTGATTGTCCTCGCCAATGAACTTGATGTATGACTGGGATTCGAGAGGTTTCCCAAGGCGATATGCAGTAAGACCGTTTTCCGCAAAGGCGAAATCAAAGTCCTCCAATACTTGAATGATGTCAGGGCCGGAAAGGGGTGACAAAGGCTCGAGCGCACGCACTGTTGTTTCCAGAGATCGAGAGTTGCTCGGTGATCTTGACGAGGTCTGATCCCCCAACGAAGCCAATCGCGATTTTTCTCTTGACCTTGCTCAAGAGCTCAAGCATTGCTGGAGATGCTTGCTACCGGTGGGTTTGACTCATCAGCGATACAGATAACAACAGCCTGGAGTCACCTGTCTCGCAGGAGTAAGGGTGCCATCGACATCGAATAAGGCGATCTTCTTCAGTGGTCTGTCCACGAATACGCTGGAAGTCATTATGCAAGGCACCGGATGCTAGTTTGGGGATGGCAAGACACAGAGAAGAGGCACGTTGTCCTATTGGCGAACCATCTGATTAATTGGCTTGTCGGGTTAGAGTGCGTTTGACGTGTTCGGTCATCTCCGGATCCGAAACGAGCCGGAAGCGACAAGACGCGACTTTCGACTCCTGTCGGAGGCGGCCACCGCCCTCGGATTCAGCAACTTGACCCCCACTTACTTAATCTTCTTCAGATCACTCACGGCACAGCGCTATGACTATGTCAATTGCAACGCGTTTATCATACACGCCGCTACTATCAGATTGAGCTAGACTCTCGCTCATTTTCTCCTAGTTGAACGCGAGGCCTATTCCCGCGAATGCGCCGAAATTCAGTTTTTATGGATGATCGAACGAAGGCGACTAAGTAATAGCATTTAAAGACTGGAGCAAGACGCACAATTATAGCGCAATTAGGGTATTATACTCTATTACTCTACGCCCAAGACTGATAAAAAGGAAGGAACCAGACTGAGGGTGCGTCTAGTAGGTCGCACCTGAAGGGTGCAGGAAAGGATCCTTGGTAAAGTCCATAGCCGCGCACCCTCGGGTGATCGTCTGGTTGCACGAGAAGCACCAGTCCCGCGTGTTGCTGATGGTGCGGTACTACGAGACGACAGGTGTATTTTCAGCGTCCGCGGGTAAATAAAGGGAGATAATGGGTGACACTCACGTCGAGGTTCTTGATGAACGTCGTGAGTGGGACACTGGTCTCGCCCCACATTTTGAGCTGCCGGAACTGCTTGTTGATGGTTCCGTTCTTGAACTTGAGGCTCAGCTCGGGCTGGCCGTTCTTGTTGTATAGCTCAAGTGCCAACGCGGACGCGTACTGCGCTGCAGATCGGTGAGCGGGAAGGGATGGTGAGCGTGTGTGTGCATGTGTACTTACGAATACCAGCGACGTCAGGGTCGGCAAGTGTTGCGTTCGTGACGTTAAACAAGCTGATGAATGGCTTGTAGTCTACGACAGTGAGTGCGAGCTTCGTCGGGCTGGCCCCAGAGGTCATGTTGGTCATGGCCCAGATCATCTCGGGGAGCAGAGTTCGGATAGCAACTAAAGGCGAAGCTTAGCAAAAACCGGCGAACGACGACCGCAAGCTTACCCTCTCCGATGGCGTTGATGGGTTGGGCATTAAATATCTCGCGCTGGTGTAAATTCGCAAAGTGTCGGGCTTGTTTAAGGAATGTAGGAGGAAGCGCTTTCCGGTACGCTTTGTTGTTTTGGGACTGCACGTGCATGTGGTCGTAGACCTGGATGATGAGTAAAATTTTAGTCATGACCACATCTTTCCAGTACGTTTGTTGCGTTGCTCACGTTCCACTAGAAAGAGGCGTAAGTATAAGGGAGGAAGGCAAGTCAGTCATGACATACCATATTTGTGAAGTTCGTGCTCATACCACCGACGAAGGGCTTAGCGGCATTGAGGAACGGCGTTGCGTCACGTTCAAGCTGCTTGAAAGCCGCAGACCTGTACGTTCGGTTCAGGTGGGACTGGAAGTACTGAAGTAAACAAGTCAGTGACCAAAGCTTCAGGTATGGTCAAGATGCGCGTCTTACCGGACAGTCGATCCAAGGCGTGAACATCGGACTCTCATCCTGGTTGACAGGTTCGACTATGGGCTCATGAGCATGCGGGTCAGCCACACAGGTCTAGAGAGTACTCTGACCTGGGACAGACTGGGCTGCACCCAGGGACGCGCTGACGATGGCCCCATTGCCGAGCTGATACCGGGCACCCTTCGACGGGGGATAGAGGCCCTGAGCCAGGCTATGCGCCGAGCTCATACCAACATTCCCGCCTCCAGCGTCCGCCTTTACGAGCAGCTGATCAGGGTTGACGATGTTGGGGCTGATGCCGGTGATGTAAGATGGGGAAGAGGGCTCAAGGTAGGTGTTGCGGAGGAAAGTGCCGAGCTCGTGTACTTCAAGCTGGGGTGCAGAGATGGCAATGGTGCAGTCAGCATGCTGTCGGTGCAGGCGAACGGAGAAGGTTGATGGCTTACCGCGCCAAGCTGCGTGAGGGAGGGCTGCTGGGACTGATAGTTCACCGGGTCCTGATAGTACTCCGTCCGGTCGCCATGACGGGCAAGGAGGATGACGCCCATGAGGCCAGCAGTACCAGCAGAGATGCCGTTGGCGATATACATCTTCAAGGTGGCGGAGGGAGTTCTGGCGGAGGAGGAGTAAGGTGAAGGTGTCCGAGTTGAAGCTGTTTGCGGGTTGTTGGGCACTTCTCTTATACTGGAGGGGATCCGGAGTTCCAACTGTCCGTGGACACGATTGATATTGGTCCGAATCGAAAGTCAGTGTAGTCAAAGCTAGCCTGAGCATCGTCATGTAAGCGAATGGCCTCTGTGGGTGAGATTTTCTACTGTGGGCCCTGACGTTGAGCTGAAAAGTAGGAGGGAGGACACTGCAAAATGGTATTCTGGTGGAAGATGTTCGCAACGAGAAGAATGCATATACTGTACCATTACGACCTTAAGTTCACGGTGGCGTGGGAAATTATAAAATTAAATTCCGCCTGTCCACCCCAACAAGTTCAACGGGTAGATGGCCTGGTGGACATTGTTCGTGTTCAGGAACAGAAAAAGTTAATTATCGCACTATTTCAGGTCAAACAATCCTCTCAACCTTATCCCGAAGTGAGAATATCATCACGAGGGATATTAGTTAATAAGAACGTTTATGAGTGTGTTTGTATATTTATTTTATTCTTGGTATGATTTTGTTGTTTGCACGTCTGTCCACCTCTCTAAGTTCGGATGGGTTGGCCGAGGGTGGACTGTCCACCCTAATTAAGTTCAGTTCGAGCCCCGGGTGGACAGGGGACGAACTTAAGGTCGTAATGGTACAGTATAGAAACTTTCACGATTCATCGAAAGAACAGAGGAAGGCTCGGTGTCATCTCCACGATATGCAGATTCTAGCGAGAGACCTTCAGTAGTCCAAGGAGAGCAAGACGTCACTAACATAAAGCCGTTGGAGAGTATATCATGGTACAACCAGAGTGGTGAGTTGCCCCTATCTGCGGCAACTTGCGAGCCGCGACTGATGGGATGCACCAGATGGTCTTCTCGACGAGGTTGACAAGTTGACAATTAGCGTCTTGACATAACTTGACATTTGCTTCCGGCGAACGTCATGTGATAGAGATCGACCATATCGGTAGGGGTGTTTGTTTGCGATGTTATGCTGCAATGGCTTCCTCGCACCTCTTTCGCATCATTTCCCGCTCCCCTCAGACCCTGGTACACTGTCTTGACCTAACAGCCTACAACCCTCGTTGACATCTACGAAATTCAGAACCTAGCAGGGAGTTTCCTGCGTGAAGGTTTCCAGTGGCCATGATTCCCAGGATGGAGGAGGTTGAAGCGCTTAGGAACAGGATATCCATGCTACAGGAGCAGAAGGAGGCATGTCTACGCCAGGCCGAAGCCATCTCCTCCCAGATCCACGCAGGCCAACGACGGCTCGCCATCCTCCACAATGCCACAGCCCCAGTCGCCCGACTACCACACGACCTCCTCGCCCTCGTGTTCAACCTCGTTTGTGCCCCCAACCCTTCCGCAATCCACAAGCAGCCAGAGGTCCTGTTATCCCATGTGTGTGCAGCGTGGCGCCATGCCGCTCTCTCCACCCCTTCACTGTGGACCACGATCCGCTTCCCCGTCACAATACGACGGCGAGACACCCTACAGGCTTACCTGGACCGTGCCAATGGCGCCCTGCTCCATCTCCACCTAGGGCCGTATCCGCATGAGCCGACGCTGCGGACCTTCTACCAGAACATACGAGACATGGTGATGCCACACCTAACGCACACCCGTACGCTCGTGCTGTCGGGTGTGAACGTCGACCATCTGGCCAGCTTATTACTGATCGCGAATAATTACGACATGCCACTGCTCACCTGTCTCTCACTTTCCGTATCGAGCTCTGCCACAAATCATGTCAATTTCATCCCCGTCCTCCCTCGAGGTGCGCCACATCTCGTAGATATCCGCGCGGATACGATCCCGTTTGTTTTTCCAAATCCTCCCCCTGCGTTGCGCACTCTGCAGCTCCGCGCCAATTCCTCACTTCGTCCAGTCCCCCTCTTGAATTTCCATGCTACTTTGAGCGCATGTGCGAACTCGCTCACCACACTCATTGTCGCCGGAACCGTAGCGCCTACCTCAGCTGCTCTGCCAGACAGCGCCGTCAATCTACCATCACTCACCAAGTTGGAAGTGCACGCACCCGCAGCTTTATCGGTCCTCCGATTCCTTCGGACGCCTGCTCTTGAGACTCTCGTTCTCGTCAAGTTCAAGAGTCTGCCTACGGCAACCTCGGCAGCTAGTTCGCAGCCCGGACTATGGTCCCCGACGTTCGCAGCAATGACCCCGACTACTCCCACCTTCCCTTCGTTGCGCACGCCGGCTGTGAGCCCCGGAGCTTTGACAGGGGTGGGGTCAGGTGTGCAGGCTGGGTGGCCAAACCTGCGTACCCTGAGGTGTGTCCGGTGCATATTCGATGCGGCGTCCATGGACGTGTATGCATTGCGTGCGATGGCGGGACTGAAAGAGGTTTCGCTGTCTTACGACCCACATGCCTTAGCTCCGAGACAAGGACATGGCATGATCGGTGCTATGGGAGGAGGTGCATCTCCCAATGCCTACGTCGGCCATTCGGCGCTGCTTCGGCTGCTCTTGAATGCGGACAAGCAGGCGCTGTTCATGGGCTCAACGCCTCTCCTTCCTGACCTTGAGCGCCTTGTGCTCGTTGACACCCGGCATTTGAATTATCCGAGCTCTTCATTCAACGGCCCCGTCGCGGCAGGCATGGACATCGACGACAACGACTTTGATGACGATGAAGACGACGAGGAAGACGAGGACGGTGGCAGGAACGGCGTACACGGCGCCGAAAGCATTCTCAGCCAGGATATCCGGCTGCTCGCCTCGTTCTCCCTGCACCGGATAGCACTGGGGCGGCCCTTATCCCGCGTACGCTTCGAAGGCCCGCGTGCACGCCAGCTCGAACGCAAGTTCGAGCGAGCGGTGTGGCGGGCCGTGGTCGATGGCGAGGTGGGCGCCGGTGCGGAAGGCTTATCCCCGTTTGGACCCGCCGCCGCCTCTGGCGTCTCTGCTGCTGCCAGCGGTGGCACTGGCAGCGAGGACGAGGGGCTCGGCTGGCGGGTGCCCACGGAGGTCGATACCTCCGTGCGCCCGTTTTCCACTCGCGCGAACGTGGATGGGCCTGCAGAAGGTGTCGAGGGACCCGACTGGGCCGATGTTGCAGACGCGTACACTGCGAAGTTCACAGAGTTTACGTTCCGCATGATGCAGCAGCGTAAGCAGCAGCAGCAGGCAAGCGGGCAAGCGCCTGCGGCGGGTTGAGTGGGAGGTGATAGCGGCGAGATGATAGTTCGATGCTTTGCCGATATGAGTGTCTGCGGAATGATTTAGACTTTTGTATGTATGTATGCGTGTTCCGCACTTGCGTTGTTTACCCTGTTTTCGTTGGCCTGCTGCTTATCTTGCTATCATTTATGTCCGTTACGTTACGTGTCATAGACTGAGGATCCGGTTCCGCTGAGAGGAAATTGGGGTTGTGTACCACAATCGTCGCCATTATCGTTTGTATACTACTTATACACCACAGACATTTTCATATTTAACTCTAGGGAATATTGCTGAAAAGAGGCATGAAGATGGTAAACTTTCTGTACAACTATTTCGTGTTTGAAAAAGGTAAACTGTTTTGGCACCGGCATACCCAATTTGGGGTCGGAGTGTGAACGTTTTCGTCCCAAAATGGCAAATGCACTCTCAAAAGCCTTTTCTGTGCTCAAATACGCGGGTTGCTAATGAACTTTTTACCCTTTTCAAACACCCATCCCCGGTGCGAAAATTCATAGACAGGTTTACCACCTTCGTGCCTTTTTTCAGCAATATTCCCTAGAGTTAAATGTGAAAATGTCTGTGGTGATATATCTGGATGTACTCTTTTGTAACTTCGTTTGTGACCTGTACGCAACGTGTATAAAACGTGGTGGTTATTGTCAGGTGGGGCAACGTGAGACATGCTTTGACAAAGCTTGGAAGCCAATCAAGCATCCCATCATCGTCGCACAATTTTCCACATCCAGCCCCTGATTCTCCTCTTTTTTCCTTACCGTACCGCTGTGGCTGTTAATACGGCCCACAGCTTACTGCTCATGGTCACTAGCCCCCAGCACAACGTTTACTTTGGCCATTTGGGAATTGTGTCTGTCATGGATGGTGTCATTATGCCTCATTATGCTCCCGTTGATCGGATACTCCGCCACCCGCGCGCGGGTGTGCCACGGATCGCCATCATGCTCAGGCTCGAGGCGGTCAATCTCTGGTGAACTCGATACTATCGGATTACCAGGCCTCCGCAACACTCCGCAACACCATGCTGCTGGCCTGATGTGTTGGTCACCTGCCGAGTTTACGTGTGGACCCTTTACAACCTTCGACTCGGGTAACCTTGGTGCGTACATACTACCTGGCAGCTCTCGCGAAGTTTGTGGGAGACGAGACGGCGTATCTAAAGGCCGTTTGGGCAGCAAGAGGTACGTCGCCTTGGAAGCCAGCCAGCGGTCGACGTCTCAGCTCTACTCCTGGTTCGATAAGGAGTATATCTGAGGTGGTAAGCTAACTACGGGGTACTACTATCTAAGCGGTGCGACCGCCGGGCTACCAGTAAGTTAGCGGTTTCAACATCGGAGGGTATCGGGACAAGCAAGCGGCTGCGGGTGAGCACCGCCACGAGGAGGCAAATTCAGACCAGGGCTGGCAGATGTCGACCCTAGGCGCAGCGGCCGTTCCGCGTTTGCCGTTTTGGATGTGTTGGTGGAATGAATTTGAATGCATGACGGAGTGACGGGTCTGATCTTGTCGGGACATGCCAGGACATGCCCCGCACACGCGTTCCTATCGGATACAGGCCGCGTCCTGGCACTAGGTTGAACCCTCAGGGCCTTGGCCTGGTCCACGCTCTAATAAGCATGCTGCATCATCGCCTCCCCGTTTTCAGCTTGGCTTTCCTAACCCTTGACTGGCTTCAGGTCATTCCACTACCTCATCTAGCCCCCCCTTCCAGTCATCGTACCATAAACCTCCTACTTTCTGGGACATCCAGGTCTGGTATGTGTTCGTCGTTCCTCGTCTGTCTCGTCGACTAACCAGTTCTGTTAGATGTGTTCCCCCGCCATCCAGTCCCGGTCTCTGTCCGAAGTCGAGACCCAAATCAGCACTCTTCGGCAGACACACGAGACCCTCACTCGTTCTGCCTTCGATGTCCTGGGCTCTCTACGCGACTTGCAAGCCCAGGTTGCTCGTATCCATAACTCCAAGCAACCCGTCTTCCGTCTCCCACCCGACGTCCTCGTACTCATCTTCCAAGAGACATGCAACATCGACCCTCGGTGGACAGGCATGCTCGGCATTCTCCATGAACTTCCCCTCCAGGTGTACCTGTCGCACGTCTGCAGCCTCTGGCGTGAGGTGGCCATAGGCACGACCAGCCTTTGGACTACCATCCTTTTCCCCATGGTCCTCCGGGAAACGCCCCTTATCGAGTACCTCCGGAGAAGCAAAGGCGCTTATCTCAACGTCTTCCTCGGCCCCTGGTCGGCGAAACATCCCCAGCTCCATCGCATCTTTGTCACCCATCTCCTTCCCCGCTTGAGCCAGTTCCGCCAGCTTGTCATCGATACTGAACGACATGAGGACCTTGCCGGGCTCCTCCGAACACTTTCGGACACCCACGCGCCATCATTGAGGCGCCTGCGTATCGTCTCCAGAGGCCAGTACTGTATGGGCCCAGTCTGCGAGCCCATCCCAATATTCAGCAAGGGCGCACCGCAGCTGTCCGATGTCAGGCTGGACGGCATCCCAGTTTATTTACCGGATAGCCAAGCAAAGACACTGCATTTGTGTCCCATCGCGAGTCCCAGAGTTGCATCACCCATAGCGACGCTGCACAGGCTGCTTTTCTCGTTCCCAAATCTCACCTCGCTGCACATCAAAGGGTACGTGAATGCCCTGGACCACTCGTCTGCGCAAATGGGTGTCCACCTGCCCTGTTTGAAGGAGCTACTCGTCCACGGCAGCGCCCTCGTTGGGTGTGGCGACATCTTCTCGCTCATATCCACGCCTAACCTGGAGGTGCTGACGTTCGTCTCCATCCATCGCTACGCCCTTGCCGCTACCCACCAAGCCATTGCTAGAGGCACATCCACATCGTTGTCCAGTTTACGCACTCTGCGGTACGTAAAGTGCGACTTTGGCAACGAATTCGACGTCTCCTTCATGCACATGACCCCCTCCGTCACCGACCTCTTCATCTCTCTCGACGCGCAAGCCGTCCTCCTGCGCACGCTGCTCAACAGCGACAAGCAGGCCCTGCTATCCGAATCCGCTGCCCTCTGGCCCTCGCTGCGGCACGTCACGATCCACACCGGCTCGGCCATCGCCCCTCTTGTGGGCCACGCCCTCGACCTGCGGAGCATGGCCTCGCTATTCTGCGGACTCGTGCTCTACCGCCACCTCATGCGGCGTCCGTTCGAAACGTTCGCGTTCGAAGGCAGCCTTGCAAACACGTTCTACCCCGCCTTCTCGCAGCTCTTCAACGAGGCGTCCCAGACGATGCACGTCGTCAACTTCGCGTTGCCGGCTGGGTACAAGGCCACGCGCGCGGTCGTCGAGCAGGACTGGGCCGCGGAGGCGGACGGGTACGGCGTGGGCTTCAGGCAGCTGCTGGGGCGCTTGCAGATGATCCGGCAGCAGGTCACGCCGCTCATTCCTCCGTACATTCACAACATGCGCAAGACGAGGACAGGCGCGGGGTTTCCGTCGCCCGCATGATTTCGTTTCGCATACCATAATCTCGTCGCATCGTACCTCTACTCCATGCATACTTGTACGCTTACGGTCCTCACGCCCCAGCTCATGATATTTCCCCATTGCATTTTTCACTGGATATTAGCATTATTATTTCTACTAGTACGGTATCACAAACAAAAGATCGTCTCACATACATACTCATCGGGCCTCATACACACATGTCATCAAAGGAAAAGTCGTCATAGTTTAGATCGTAATTTTGCATCTTCGCGAGCTTCCTCGCCAAAAGCCCCGTTGCACGCAAAACGGCGTCGCTCTTTCTCTGAGAAACCCACTTCCCTCAGGATTTCGTCTGTATGCTGACCGGGCTCGAGGATCTCGGGCTTATCGGACTCGTACGACGGCGTAGCGTATGGCGACGGTGTGCGGCTAAGGTTTGGATGTGCGAGCGGTCGCGACGACCGGGCGAGCGATGCCGCCTCCTCGGGCTCGAGCACGGGTAACACGCATGCGTCGCTGCCTAAAAAGCATAATCAACAACCTCATACCAGTCGATGACTCGAGATGGCGGGCGCACCGTGGAACACTTGCTCCCAGAACCGCCTCGGCTTAGACTTGAACCCTTTCTCCATATACTCGCGCAGCCTCGGCCACAGACTCCGGTGCAGCTGCGTCGACGGTGTCGGGCGCCACGCGCCAGCGCCCTCCGCATCCGCGAGCGCGCGGTTGAACTTGTGCACGAACGTCGCGAAGAACTGCGGCTCGAGGCAGCCGACGCTCACCCAGCGGCCGTCCGCGCACGTGTACACGTCGTAGAACGGCGCGCCGCCGTCGAGCAGGTTCGTCCCGCGCTCGCGGCCAAAGTGGGGCGACGCGGTGTCGTTCGCCTGCAGGAGCGGGAAGGTCGAGAGGTAGCGCGTCCCGGAGACCTGTTTTCCGATTTCCATTTCCATTTCCATTCAGTCGAAGGTGAAATGCAGGGTCGGTGCGCCAGTCAGGGACGTGTCGGCTGAGCAATGTGCACATACCATATCGGCGTTGACGACTTGGCCTCGGCCGGTCTTGCTGCGTGACAGGAGCGCGAGGAGGATGCCCATGGCGCACATCATCCCGCCTCCGCCAAAGTCGGCAATTAAGTTTATCGGGAAAGCTGGTTTCTCCTTCGTGCCCGGCAATATCTGGTGGCGATGGGCTGTCAGCGCGGGTATCTCATAATCTATTGAAAGACTCGCAGACAAGACGCCGCTGAGGGCAAGATAGTTGATGTCATGGCCTTCGTCACAGTCAGTGACTAAATCCACCTGACAAAGGCGGAGGTTTACTCACCGGCCATGGATTTATGGGGCCCTGGAGAGGAGATAAGCAATGGGAAATGGGTCTTCGTTACGTGAAGCTAGACATTACCGTCTCGCGGAAACCTGGGCGCAAACGTTCTCAGCACCACGTTCCGCGCTAGGAAGAGACAAAGCAACACACGCACCCCGATATCCGCGCGTAGATGAGCCGATCGTTCAGGCCCCTCTTCCCGTCCTCACGGTCATAAAACACCTCGGGCCCAAGGCCAGTCTTCTCGAGGACGCCCGGCCGAAACGGGTCGATCAGCACGTCGGCGTCGGCGAGGAGCTTTTTGGCGATGGCGAGGCCCGCGGGCGTCTTGGTGTTGAGTGCGATGGATTTTTTGCCCGAGCACAGGTTGTCGGACGAGACGGAGCCTGGGCGGTCGATGCGGACGACGGAGGCGCCGTGGTGGGCGAGGACGAGCCCGGCGAAGGGGCCGGGCGCGAGGCCTGCGAACTGGGCGGTCTGTGAGTCGAGAAGCTGGGCATGGACGCGGATGCTGCGTACCTCGACGACCTTGAGACCAGATAGAGCCATAGCGGATACAGACAGCAGATGTACAGTAGGCGGGTTCGGACCGTCAGGGGGTCCAAGATCGCTCTGAGCGCAGCGAGAGTTGAAGAAACAAGAACGAGTCGCGGGCGCACTGCGCAGCGCACAGGACAATAGATGTTTATATAACCTGTCAGCGTAGCCGAGAACGCGTGTTCATTAATGAGCGCTCCGTCCTGCTTTGTATGTTTCAGCGGGCAAGGTGAGGAGAACAAAGGATTGACATGAATCCATGATCGCGCAGGTTTCGGCCATGCTCTTGTGCATTCCCAGACACGGCTGATCCTGCGTGACGTCGCTCCCTCGGCCCGACATCCATTGCCGATCCCCGAGTGTTTACACATGTTAGGATCCGAGGCTGCAGTCAATCAGCGTCAAAGATTTGCAGCGGAGGTCAGAACACGCTCTCACATGACCAGCGTGTTCTAATATTGCGATCTTAGGTTCACGCGCATACACTGAAGCGTTCCTCCCGGCCCGCCCTGCACTTCTATTTCTCAGCTTTGAGCTCTATTTGATTGAGCATGTCTTGTCAACACGGTCGTCGCACTCCTCTCCAATGGCGGCCCTCTCAGTCTGGCTAGCATTAACCACCCTCTTGAGCTATGCAACAGCAAACGCCAACGTATACGCTGAAAACACCAGCTCAAACCTGCTCAATCTCACTCTGCAGGGACCCCCGTCTCTTCCAGAGTGGGCAACGCCCCCCCTGAACCCGGCGCTCGCGAGCTTCAGCATCGAGCTCGCGTACTTTACCGAATACATGGGCAACCAGTCTGCTCCCAACAACCTGACCCAGAATGTCTTCGACAACCTCAAGCAGCGGACCGGCGTCTCTCCGGAAGTGCGCATCGGCGGCATCACCGCGGACTCTGCGTTCTGGGATCCCAATCTCGGCGAAGCCGTGTATAACTTGCTTGATAGCTCGGGTGCGCTGGTCAATACCACTCTGGGTCCGCAGTTCTGGGATGCCGTCAAGTTGCTCCCGGATGATACCAATATTGTCTTGACTCTTGTGTGTCCCCCGAGTACTTTGATACGCATCTGCTGATCGGCATGTCAGGACTTGGAAAATCTCAATTACACTGGCGCGCTGTCTATGGCTGAGGCGGCGTGGGCTGGTCTGCATGATAGTTCGGTCAACATATCTCGCTTTGAGAGTACGGTTGCATTCGGCGATCATTTGTGTGGGACAGTACTAAACGTCTCTGCAGTCGGCAATGAACCTGATCATTACTCGCTCGACCTTAGCGCACAGACCTACACCTCATACTGGGAGGCACGTTCACCGCCCTCTCACCAGCGAACTCATGCAGACCCATTGACGAATAGCCCTGGAGCGTAAACATATCCAAAGTCCTCGACGTCAACTATCCCGAGTTCCAGGTGGGCGTGACCGTCGAGGACCCGCTCTGGCCATACAACACCTCTGCTGCCGAGTCCCAATTCGACTGCGTCTCCGCGCTCGCTGCGGGTGCGGACGACGGGGATACCGCGAAGACGTGCAGCGAGCACACGTATCAGTATAGTGTCAGCAACATGTCCATCCAATGTCAAGCTCAGCTCATCCGTCCCGTTAGGTCTGCGATACGACGAGGGCAGCCGACGCAACCCTGACCAACCTAGTAAGCATGAACACTCACAGCATCGAGTCCGTTATGGTCAAGTTCTAACTCGGCCATTGGTCCGTTATCACTATTGTGTTCACATCTGCAGGTCAACCACACTCGGCTGGCAATGTGAGGATCCAACACCCTCCGAAACGCGTGTTGCAGCGCGTGCGTTCATCTTACTGCTTGAATCTAACCCGACTCGGACAGGTACCTCGACCTTTGGCAACCCCGTATCCGCGCCGTGCGGGATCAGCTTGGGCCTGACTCGTTTGTTATCGGCAAGTGTTCTTGAGCAATATATGTTATGTGTGTGCTGAGTGCCGTTCATTTGGCGCAGGCGAGTTCAACTCCGTGTCTTGCGGAGGCAAGGATAATGTGACCGACACGTTCGGACAGGCGATGTGGCTCGTGAGCTCACATGTGCATAGATTACGAGATGAATAAACAGCTGATGACGCTGTGTAGCTGGACACGGCCTTGTACGCTGCGTCTATCAATGTCTCTCGGTTAGTTTTTTGCCCATTGAGACTGCCTACGCGCTCTAACTAGGAACAGGATTTACGTCCACCAAGGAACACCAGTCGCACTGGGCACATCGACCGTAGCCCCCTACAATCTCTGGTACGCCACCGATCATTTTCCAGACACTCAGACAGCCGTCTGAACCACAGCCTCTTAGGTTCCCCCTCGCGAACAACTACGGCCCCGCCCAAGTGTACCCCGCGTACTCGGCCTACCTCTTCGTCGCCGACGCCATCGGGACCTCGCGCACGCTCCAGATCGCCAACATCTTCCCCGGGCGCCAGACGAACGGGTCCTCGATCACGACCGCGGGCGGGGACGCGTCCGCGGGGCAGCTCGCCGTGTACGGCTTCTGGGACGAGGCCTCTTCCGCGTCCGCGTCCGCTGGCGGTGGTGCTGAGTACCCGTCGAAGCTCGCGCTGCTTAATATGCAGATATACAACGAGACCGACGCTGCTGCACGGCCGAGCGTCACCGTTGATATCTCGGCGTATCTCCCGAGCGGCGTGCGGGACACGGGGGTGATGGCGAAGCGGCTGGTTGCGCCCGGGGCGGATGTGAAGGCGGCGAATGCGACGATGTGGGCGGGGCAGACGTTTGCGCATGGGTATGCGGAGGGGGTGTATGTGGAGGAGACGGTGTATGGGGGGAGGGTGGAGGTCGAGGCGTCGTCGGCTGTGTTGGTGTATTGGTAGGGCGGATGATGTGTGTTGGGTTGTCGTTTCTGTGTCTTGGTGTAGTGCGCTTGGGTGTCCGCCGGTTCGTGGTGCGATGGTGTGTCGGCAACTCGATGTTCAATAGGGTACTTGTACATGCCATAGGAGTCCGTCCAGATACGGTAATGTCAATATGTTTGACAAATACTTATGTTTTGCTTGTGATACCGGCGATTCAATAAACGAAGCCTTATTAATATTGGTAGGCGGATAAAGTTAGCGAGGCTGGCGCGACCCTGTGTCATACTCGGAGTCGAATGACGCTGCGCTGACAGAGACCATGCACCCACACCTATATACACCCGCGCCGCCTTTCCTTTTCCATTCCCCATCTTAGCTTCGACGCCCATCGTCGAGCTTGTACACTAACGTTATATGCGCTCGCCCATACTGCGCAGACTAACCAGCACAATGTCCTCCACCAGCACCAAAACCAGCACCAGCACCAAATTCCCCATCTCCAACCTCCCCCTGCCCCCGCCCTCCCACCTCCTCACACACAACCTCACCCCCGACCCACTCACCCCCTCCCCCGCGCACTTCCTCTCCTCCGTCCTGCGCACAACCCCAAGCATCCAGCGCCGCGCACGCCTGCTCGCGCCCGACGCCCACTTCTCGTACGTCGCGCCCTGCCCGCTCCCGTTCCCGTTCGAAATCGCCCCGCCCGAGCCGCCGGAGGTCGTCGAGGACAAGGCGGCGTACATCGAGACGTGGCTTGCGCAGCGGGAGGCCGTGCACCCCGTGGCGGGCGCGGGGCAGCGGGGCGCGCTGCGCGTGTACGTTCCCTCCAACAATCAAAAGGACGGGGAGTACCCGAGGGAGCTCGTCGGCCTGTCCGAGCGCTGCGTAAGTGACTGTCTGCCGCACCTCGACGTCGGCAATGCGCTGCGCACGCTCGGCACGCCTGCGCTTGCGCCTGATGTGGACGCGGACGCTGCGACGGCGCCAGGGGACTTAGACGCGAGCGCGCAGGAGCTCGTGGATGTACTCGGCGGGCACGCGGTGCTCATGAACGCCGACCCTCCCCCCGAAGGGCCAGGATCGGAGACCGCGCCGACGCCGTTCGCGCCGTGGTCGCTCCGCTACAGCGGGCACCAGTTCGGGGTGTGGGCCGGGCAGCTGGGCGACGGGCGGGCGATGTCAGTGCGTGAGTGCATCGTTTTCGTGCGTGAGGCGTCCGGAGTGTTTGCTGAGATAGCGCGGTAGACGTCACGCCGCACCCCGCGGACCCGGACGTCACGTACGAGCTGCAGCTCAAGGGCGCGGGGCGCACGCCCTTCTCGCGGAGCGCGGACGGGCTCGCGGTGCTGCGCTCGTCTATCCGCGAGTATCTATGCTCCGAAGGTGCGCTCGACCCACTCGTGACACACCAACGCGTGCGCTCTCTGACACCCGTCCAGCCATGCACGCACTGCACATCCCCACCACCCGCTCCCTCGCCCTCGTCTCCCTCCCCTCGCTCCCCGTACAGCGCGAACGCACCGAGAGCGCATGCATATTCACGCGCGTCGCCCCCTCCTTCCTGCGCATCGGCAACCTCGAGGCGTTCAACCCGCCCGCAGACATGTTCTTCCTCGGCGGCGGGCAGCAGCCCGCGAACATGGAGGGCCTGCGGCGCATGGGCGAGTGGGTCGCGCGGCGCGTGTTGAGGCTTCCCGGCGTCGATTGGGAGGGGGGCGGGCCGTGGGGTAAGGAGCTGGTTATGGAGGTGGCGAGAAGGAACGCGCGGATGGTGGCGGGCTGGCAGGCGTATGGGTTTATGCATGGGGTTATTAATACTGACAAGTAAGTCGTGCGCTGGTGTGGTGTTTGTGGGTGCTGATAGTATCGCTAGTGTGTCTGTCTTGGGGCTGACGATCGACTATGGTGGGCCTCATACGATCGTTATCTCTCAAGATATACTGATAGTCTCCTCAGGTCCGTATGCATTCATGGATGTATTTGATTCGCACCACATATGCAACCACTCGGACGGCGAGGGCCGCTATGCGTACCAGTACCAGCCCAACATGATGTACGTACTCGCGTATCCACTGAGCCAGCTCCTTACCCAGCATTGATAGCATATACGCCTGCCGCGCGCTGCTAACCGCGCTCTCCCCGCTCATCGGCGCCGAACTCGAAACGTCCCGCGCCGTCTCGCAAGGGTGGGCCGACAACGCGTCCAGCGAGCAGATCTCCGCATGGCGCACGGCCGCACTCGACGCCGTCAAGGTCGAGATGGAGACGGCGATCCAGGAGATCACGGGTGCGGAGTACGGGCGGATCCTGCGGGCGCGCCTGGGGCTGCGCAGGCAGGAGGGGAGCGACCAGACGCAGCTGGTGCAGCCGCTGCTGAGCATTATGGAGTCGTGGAAGATGGATTTCCACGCGACGTTTCGTCGATTAGCATATTTCCGGCCGGCGATGGTGCGTGCGCGGGACACTGATGGGAGCGGCGACGCGTTGGAGGGGTTTGTGAAGGAGCTGCTGGGCGGGGTGAGCGAGACGGGGCCGATGTATGACGCGGGGCGGGCGACGGAGGAGTGGCTGGTGTGGTTGGACAAGTACGCTCGGCGGATCGAGAGCGAGCGGGACGAGTGGGCGATTGGAGCGGGCTTGGACTCGGAGGGAGAGGTGGACGCGGCGCGGGAGAAGGCAGCGCGGTCGGCGAACCCGCGGTTCGTGCTGCGGCAGTGGGTGCTCGAGGAGGTGATTAAAAAGGTGGAGGGGGACCACGAGAGCGGGAAGCGGATATTGGGCAAGGTGATGCAGGTGACTACTAGGCGATTTTGTTTAGGCTATGTGCCTGGGATGTGACATGTGCTGATGTTGTTTTTATTATTCTAGATGGCGTGTAATCCGTTCGAGGCATGGGGAGCTGAGCGGGAGAGTGCGCCGACCAACGAACTGGACGCTGAGACTCGAGAGGAGAGAAGGCTGTGTGGTGTTGGGGAGAGGAAGATGCTGGGGTTCCAGTGCAGCTGTTCGAGTTAGAGTGCACGTGTCTCGGAGAAGGCAGCGCCGTTGTGGGTGCCTGTTGATGTATGAATGGATATATGCTGCCGAACGGACTTCCAGCGCTGATTTCGGAGTTTTCTATCTCTCCATCCTCCCATTCCGAGTGTTTCCCAGCGTCTCTTTGCGGGGTGTAGATACCTAGTATGGAAGAGTACGCCCCTATGTGACAGACGGGTAATTGAATGCCCAAGTTCGGAAGCGTCTTCTAGACTTTGCCGCCCGTCAGGCAGCACCCCGATTCTTGGAAAGACTTACCCCAGCATGCTCACGTTAACTGACACGCAGAGGCTAATATATGCTTGGAATGCGGCGATATTCCTTCTTGCCAGTGGCCCACCATGACCACCTCTACCACCACCACCTCCCCCTCCGCCTTGGAATTCACGACCCCCCGATCCGCTGTCGGCATCGGCATGACTTTCCGCCCCCGCCTTAGTGATCCCCAGACGGCCCGCGACGTTGCCTTCTGCGCTCCCTACGTCGCCCCCTTGAAGGAGCAGCGTGCCGTCCAGGGCTCGGCCGGCCGCGGCGACGACACTCAGATCGTCCCCGACCTCTCCGGCAACATCTCCCTCTTGCGCCCCGGGCCTGTTGCCCATGGCGCGTTCGGAGACGTCTATGAGGCTGTGTGGAGCAGGGACTCGAATGCCTCCGAGGTCAAGGTGTGCATTCCATCGTCTACTCTCGGTACTTGGTTCGCTCAATCGACTTCAGGTCGCTGTCAAGACTCTGCGCCCCCCTACGATGGAGGAGGTCCAGGAAAAGGGAAAGGTGACTAAGCACTTGTCGTTTCTCCCCCCCCCCAGAAATTAACGGCTTCCTGTGCGGCTGCAGATGTTCCGGCGCGAGCTGCGCGTCTGGAAGAAACTCGACCACGAGAATATTCTCCCGCTCTATGGACTGGCCACTGGCATCGGCCACGGAGGTTTTCCGGCGATGGTCTGTCCGTGGGCAGAGCAGAAGAACCTGAACGCGTATCTCAAGTCCGCCAAGGGCGCGGCGCTCACTGCCCTCGAGAGGTTCTGCATCGTGAGTGGCTCTGTGTGCTGGCGACTTGGCGGGTCGATGCTGATTATTTGGTAAAGCTCAAGGATATCTCCGCTGGCCTTCAGTATCGTGCGTTCATTTCCGCTGTGCTTCCCGTCGTCAACGCGAGCTGACCGTACTTCTTTAGTTCATTCATGCTCAATCGTCCATGGCGACCTCAACGGCGTGAGTACACACGGCTTAACTTTGTGAAGCACCGGATATTAACCACTGTTGCTATAACGAAAAGCCAAACATTCTCATCGACGCCGACGGCCGTGCCATGCTCGCCGACTTTGGGCTCTCCACTGTCTTCATGGAGTTCGGAAGCCACAACGTATCCTCCGCCAAGTCTGGCGCATTGCGCTGGACCGCGCCGGAGCTCATCCACACCAGCGGTAGTGGCGCGTCGACGCTGCCCACGCCGCAGGCGGACGTATACTCCTTCGGTAGCGTCATGCTCCAGGTGCGCACGCCCTCGCATGTTATTCGCCTTTCTAACAGCGAGGCACACTCTAGGTGCTGACCGGCAACGCGCCGTACCATTACATCATGTCGGAGCAAGCCCTCGCCGGCGAAATCCACCAGGGCATAAAGCCGAAGCGGCCGACAAACGCCGAGGTCTCGGACGCGCAGTGGGACTTTATCGAGCGCTGCTGGGCGACGGAGCGCGGCGGCGCGGACCGGCCTACGATTCAGGAGGTCTGCGAGTTTGTCGCGCGGCAGGCGGACATGCTCAGGGGGCGCACTGTGATCTGCGTTAGTCTTCCGGGGCTCGAGCAGGCGGAGGCTGGGTGCAAGCCGCTGGTGAGGGAGGGGGGCGCCGCGGTCGGAAAAGGTGGGTGGGCGTGTGCTGAGGGACACTGTGCGGCGCTGATGGTGCTCCGGTTAGCGTATCCGAGTCTTGCTGCTGCGAAAGAGGGCACGCTGTCCCCGCAGTTTGTTTCGGTGCGGTCCTTGGAATTGTGTTATGGCACGGCACGCTGACGGATGGTGTTTAGACGGTGCTGGACAGTCTCATGCAGGACCTGTCCGCCAAGTTCCAGAACCTGGTCGATGAAGTGCGGCGCTGGAGCGAAGCGCGAACGACATATGCGAAGGTCAACGACCTGTACGTCTGTATCGCGGAGGACGTCACTTTGATCGGCACAGCACTGCGCATGGTCGGGCGCGAGAGCAGGTTCGTAAATCCCTCCCTTTATCTTCATTCTCCATTTTTATTCTTCGACAATGCTCACGCGCACAACAGCGACCTCACGCCATACACCCAGCGCCTCGGCGCCGTCCTCGAACAGTGTCTGCTCGACGCGGAGCAGGACCGTGTCCGCGCGTACACTGCCCTCGCCGCGCAGCTCGAGTGCATCTTCGCACCCCTCATTACGGTCCTCCGCGCCGCGTTCCCGCCCCCGCTGCAGACCCGCGTTGCGGCGTACGTTGACGTGCTCGACGGGGCCGTCGCCGCGCTTGCGGCTGCGAGCAAAGCCGCATGGCAGCCGTGCACCGTCGTGCCGTTTGCGAAGCCGACGCCGATTCGGACGAGCACGATGCCTGCACCTGTGGCTTCTCGTCCTGGTCTCGGTGGCATGGCGCAGGAAGACGGGGCGGTGTCGGCGTATCCGAGGAGGCAGACGGCTACGGGCACTGGTAATGCTGGTTTGCCCTTGTACACTGAGCCCGGCGCTGGTATCAACGACGGTCCGCTCAGTGCGACGCCGGACTTTGCGAGGCACGCCTGTAGTCCACCGAGGAGCCCGCATCAGCAGCAGCAGCAGCAACAGAACGGGAACCACCGTGGTGACCAGAGCTCGGGCGACTCCCATCTCGCGTATTTGAGGGGCTCGACGCAGAACCGCACCTCCAGCTCCAGCTCCAGCCCGCACGGGCACACGCGCCACCCGTCGTCGTCCTCCGCGAGCCGGTGGTGATCTGTTGACTGCCCTGCCCTGCCACGAAGACAAGGCCGCGGTTACGTATGTATACGACACTCGACGAAGGGAAGGAACATGATATGAACGGTGACTCCACGATATGCGATGCGATGCGACGACCACGAAAGTACGATATGGCATACACGATCCGCCGGACGTTGACGAGCGATGCGCAACGAGCTGTGACGCTGACACTGACACTGACACTGACACTGATACAAATACACTGGACGAACCCTTCGACGTGGTACGTAGCAGCCACTGGCACCACCACAGTCTACCCCATGCATCACATACATACATGACATACATTTGATACCAACCCTCAAAACTTCCTTTGGTTTTTCTCTCTCTTCTTCTTCTTCTTGCATTGTGCATATATCCGAGTCCTAGCGCTTGTTTCGCATCTTTTGTTTTGTTTTGTTTTGTGTTTTGTCGGTCTGTACGGGTTTTTCAATCGTGCTTGTGTTGTAATCTATGGTTTTTGCGCTGCTTCAACATCATGATTGACGCGAGGGATGCTTATTCGGCCGTCGAAGGAAAACTTGGAGTTTGCTTGCACGATGTACAGTACATGCAGGTGCATCATGATGGACGACGGAGAGCAAGCACATGTTCTCGTGCGGATTCGAACCAGAAGTGTCGGTGACTGGTTTCACGCGTTCCCGCCGGGAGTCTACGCCCCCGCAGATCTAGAACGCCAGAATAAACGAAAACAACAGCACCAGTTTTAATGATCAAGCTATAATCTGAACGACTGCAGACTTGAAGATGGCGGATACGATATCCGACTCATCACTAGGTTAGTTAATAGCTTTAATATGCATAAGAAAAGGCAGATGGGATTACGGGTGCAAACAACGTGCGCATGGTGGATCATCGACGCTACATAATACAGATGTGTAACGACAGGGCGGGCGGTAACGAGCGACATGGGGTGGGCGGGGGAGGTGCAATGCATGCCAGTGCCAGTGCGCGTGTGGATGTACTGGTGCTGCAACGTAGCTGCGGGTGCGGCTGTGATTGTAACTCCAGAAACAAGCCAGGCCGATGCCGGATCGAAGGGTTATGGGAGGTATGTATGTGTCGAGCGGACCAAAGACAAGGGCAAAGTAGTCAAGTGACTCTGCGGTCGACGAAAGGGGTGAAGAAGAGGAAGAAGAAGAAAAGACGTTGGAGTGTGAAGGAGGTCGCGGTCGCGGTTTAAAGGGCAAGATGGTAGGCAGGGTTATACGCGTAAGGTATAATAGGCGATAAATATTTCTCTTAAACTATGCAACAGCACATCGCCCTCGACAACGCCAACGGCACACGTATCGAGCTCAGGCTCATCACGATCACGGCCGGGGCACCTGCGTCGGCGGGAGCGGGAACCCAGACACGCTCGCGCCGTCCTCGGAGAGATAGGACAGACCAGAGATGCCGGACTGCATCGACGCGATCCGGAGGCGGTCGCGCACCTCGGACTCGGGGATGTCGAGCGCGGCGAGCAGCGACTGCATCGCGTGGTCGCGCGAGCCGCTCGGGTTGTGCGCGGCCACGACCGTGTCCGACTTTTCCCTCCTCGCCGTCGCTGCGGGCTCGGGCGCGCGTGGTGGTTCTACGTTGATGGACATTGGCTTGGGCGCGGCGTACGTGTCCGAGAAGGGGTTCGCCGTCTGCCGCTCCTGCGCGGCGAAAAACGGGTTGCCGCCGCCACCGCTCTTGATGATGGGCGTTGAGGAGGTGGCAGTCGACATGGACATGGTCGTCGACGCGGTGTCGTCGAAGGGGTTCTGGAGGTGCGGCTCGAGCGACGCCGTCTCGGGGTGTATCACCTCGGCCGACTCCCAATAGTGCGTCGTGCTGCCCACGTCCGACACGGGCGGCGTCGACTTGGCCATCGACACGACGGGCGACAGGTCGATGTGCGACCCGTGCTTGAGCGAGAGGAACGAGTCGCTCCCGACGGTGTTGCTGCGGCCCTCCCACGACATCGCCGCGCCCCCACCCGCGACATTGCGCATGATCGGCGGCGGCGACGGCGTCTTGGACGACGACGCGCCCGCGAGCTCCTGCGCGAGCCCGGGGTGGTACTGCGCAAAGTGGTGCATCGTGCCGACGCTCTCCGCGCCGTGGCCCTCGGACGACTTCTCGCACGACGTCACGCTCGGCGAGCGGTGGAACATCGCACCGAGCTTCGCGACTGAGCCCAGTGACGCGCGCTTCGCGAGCGACGTCGACGGCTGGCGCTCCGAGCGCCGCTGGCCCCGCCCCTGCCCCTGCCCCTGCCCCTGCATGCCCTCCCACTTGTCGTCGTGGTACTCCTCGCTCAGGTTGCCCCACGACGAGCGGCGCTTCTTCGTATTCGGCCGCCCGGGCTTCTTGGCCTGGCGGGAGAGACGGCGGCTGTACCAGACTGCAATGAGGACGAGGAGGATGACGCCGACACCGGCACCAACGCAGGCGGCAATCAAAGTGCCTAAGGAGGCATCGTTGCCGCTGCTACTGCTGGGTGTCGCCGAGGGTGTTGTTGAAGGGGCAGCGATGGCAGAGGGGTCGGGTTGGATGATGGCGCTGGTGGCGACAGGGAGGTCGGGCGTGGACGTGGGTGTTTGAGCAGCGACGGTATTGTCGAGGAGACCAGTGGCGTTGGGGTCGGCTTGGCCGGCGGTGGCGGTACCAATGAGGCCATTGGTAACGGAGACGGAGGGTATGGCGGCTATTGCACGATGGTCGAGATTTCTACGTTGTTGTATGACGGTCATGGTTGGTGATTTGGTGGTTTATGATGATCAAAAGTGGGTTGGTCGAATGCGAAGTATCGGTGATGGGAACAAGAGTGGGGATGGAGAAGGAGCGGACAGCATAGACCAGTTCGCCGTCCAAAGAGACAGGTGTACGTGGACGCTAAGCCAGATGTAAAGAAAAGCGACTGCTGGAGGACCATGGCGACGTAATATTGAGTACCACGTCGAACGATTTGACGAAAAAGAGAAGATGGGCTCACTGTTTCTCAGAAACACGCAAGGCGCCACAAGCTACAGGTTGAAAGCGAAGATGTAGGCCTTGTTAGAGAGCGGGGAGGCTGGAGAGAGCGTGGATACGCTTTTGAGATGGGCGGGAATGGAGGGGGAGGAGGTGAAGGGGGTATATTACTGGGCAACTCAGAACAGCAACTCTAACGACCACACAATGCCCCCGGTCGATGGGAATTCTGATTTATCCGTCGGCAAGCAACATCTCGCCCACACAACCACCGTTCTCAAACTCTGCTTTCCATTCCCTTCATTCAAACAAATAAAAAACAAGGCACCAAGGGACCCTCCGTAGTAGCAGACTGGGGTGCCTTGGTCAGAACAAGGAGATCTCTGTAATGTTTAGCTGTCTCGGGGCGCGGGATGAGTTTGCCGTGGTCCGACTTCCTAATGCGCACCGTCCACTTGTTCTGATGGCCGCCACCAAGCCGCTCACTACCGTCGTTTCATCCTTGCAAGCTGGTCCATGCGGTTACTGGTGAATTTAAGGGTAAGCTCGGTTTGCTCCCATCGCTGTGCCTTGGTCTCGGAACGGAAGCTTTGGCAGCTGGGGATTGGCCCTACCGCAATTGCATTTTTCACGCCCTGAATTGACATTTGAAAGTCATTCCAACCTACAAAAACGTCATTATCTACTCAGGTAAGTCAGTGTAGCTCTTCGAAAACTCGGACCGGCCGAGAATCACTATTGAAAAACGCAGATCCAACACAGGCTATCATCACGATTACTTGCTCGGCCCGTGGCTTTCTCGTTGGCATCAGCTCTTCATCGCAACCACATCGACACGGAGGCTAAACTAAGATCTAGATATCGTCACTTTCACATGTGTACTCCATCATCGTCGGGCGCAGCTCCGCGGATCCTTCTTACAAACATGTGCTCGCAAGAACATCGCAATAATAACGGTTGGTGTATAAATAGTATGCCAAGCATCGCAACCAGCTTGCCATTAATTCGAACCAGGTGAGTAATCCATACCACCATTTTTTTCAGCCGAGGAAACCCTACCTCGAGAAAGCTCATTTGTGATTAGAATAATTGAGACTTTTCTGACGGTGATATACTAGCCTCGCTCGTCAAACCAGAACAACGATTGTTGAAAGTTGGGGAAACACTTTCATTCCTATTTATTCCTACAAAGCCGTTTTGGCTATCTTATATCTTATGGAAACGCGCCGATCCTCGTAATCAAGCGAATTACTTGCTAGCCTGGAGAATCGCCTCCATCTCAGGCTTGACACTCTTCAGGATCTCATCGCCCGCGTGCGCGGCCTTCCATCCAAGCGCACGGCTCCTCTTCGCGGAGCAGCGCGCGTTCGTCCCGAGGACAGAGAACTAGCCGCGTGTTGTCAGTTCCTCAAACGCGACAGCGAATAAATTCGCGTCAACTCACGAAGAAGCCCAACTTCTCGCCTTCCTCCTTCGTGAACAGCGTAGGTCCCGCCTTGTCCGACTTTCCGAGCGCCACCAGCACGTCCGCGACCGCCTTCGAGAGGTCGTACCATTTGTACTCGCCGTTCTCCGCGTAGTAGTACCCTTCGCGCCCGTGCGCACCCTTGCCCGAGAGCGCCGCGTCGTACACGACGATGAACAGGTTCGCAGCTGGCGCAGAAATTCCCTCAGTCAGTTTTTACGCAGCCTGCGAGACTGGGGACTCACTGTCGTCGATGTGCACACACGCCCACTTGGCCAGGCCCTCGTTGACAACGCCCGCTGCACCGCGCGCGAGGCTCGTCCTGATCAAAAACGGAACGACGATCGAGTGGCGGTGAGCGATCCCGGCGTCGAACAGCGGGCCGCTGCCGAGCCCGAAGATCTGCGTCGGCAGGACGATGTACGTCTTGACGTATCCTATTTACATTCCAGTAAGTCACCTCTATCGAAAAGTATGGCTGGGCCTCGACGTACCCTGCTTGCCAGCTGCGGTGACGACGAGATCGACGTCCCTGTGCAGCTGCGTGTCGGGGAGCGCTTCGATCTGCTCGATGTTTGTGTCCTCGTAGACCGTCTCGCTTTCGAAGTGGCCTTCGGCCTTGTCCATCAAAATACCTGTTCCGGACTACATGATTGTTTAGCCCGTCTGCTCTGGCCTGACTATATCCGACACTCACGGTATGGATCAGGATGGGTGCCTTCCCAGTCTGCTCGAACCGCTTCTTCATCCCAGCGAGGACGGCCTTTATAGCGGGAACATTGTCTGAGTCCGCCTAAGAAAGTCACCTCAAATTAGCACCTGCTTTGCCGATCCTTACAAATTCACCCACCATAGAAAACACAACATCAGACTTGGCCGACTGCGCCTCGAGCTTGTCGGGGTCCGCGTTCGACCCAAGGAGCACCTTGACGTTGCCAAACCCGGTGCTCTCGACGAACGCCTCGAGCTTCTTCGCCTTGTCCTCGGAGCGCACGAGCACCGTGAACTCGCTCTGCGATGCCTGAGGGTGCTTGACGAGCTTCTGGAGGACGGAGGCACCAACGTAGCCTGCAGAAAATTATCAGCGACACGATGCACTTTTACAGTCTAACACCGTCGCTCACCAGTGCCGCCGAGAACGAAAACTTGTTTCTTGCCGGACATGATGACTTGTAAGTACAGTAATCGAAGAAGATGTGTTTGAACTTGTTGGAGATGTGTAGAACTGAGAGTGATGATACTGACCTCCACGAAGTTTCTCGCACCAGCCTTTATACCTCAAAGACATAGCGTCTTCGACTCTGAGGGAGGACAAAATGCGAGCGCCTATTCTGCAGCTCGAATTTGGACCAGAACTTGGTAAGGTGCGAACTTCGACTTTCGAACGCGACTTACTGTCATCCCCCGTGAGAATGTACACCACCGCCAGGATGTACAACTGTCTTTTGTGGCCGTTTCTCCCGCAAAACTCTCAAACTAAATTCATGATAATTATGATCCTATGCCATTCCATATCATCCTGCGTTGGATTGGCAAGGGCATGTCTAGAAATGAAGTAACATGGCTCAAAAGACAGAAAATGGGCTCTTTTGAAAAGAATTTGAGCTCGGGTCAGCAACCAGCTGTGAAATAACCTCAGGTTGTGAGCAAAAGAGTAATCATATATTGAGCTAACACCTTCCGCCCCCACTGAAACAAAACTGGGTGCAACCAGAAGGCACAAACTCTCAATATTTTGGACCGATGACAGAGTGTCCTCTCGAGGCTCACTATAATCTTATAGCCGCCGTATCGGCGAATCCGGCTCGGCAATAACACCATGATTTTCCTTTTATGGCTCGGCTACAGCCAATACCCTGCCTAATATGGGCTTATTACCGATATCGGCTCCCACGCAGACTGTACAGTCTGACGGTGGCCAGTCCTTGGTTCTAAAATCCACTGATGTTCGTATAGTAGGGAATCCGTCCACTTTGGCGCTTCGTAGATTTTTTCAGTATTAGTTTGGGTCTTGGGGATGCTTCAAACCTTATTTTACAGGACGGGCCAGCGAGGAAAATATTCCAGGACTTACGGAAATTTGGCTGTCTCTTCTGGCGGGGGATAACAGTACCAATTGAACATTGAGCCCTGCCGCCAAGACTTGACGGAATCTGCCCGAGTGAGACCGCCGGACGCTGTGCCATTCGCGGAAATAAACCAGCTGGATTAGAACGCTGATAGAACATAGAACGAAGGCTCAGAAGCCGGCGGCACTACATCCGGATCCGACTCGGAGTAAGCAGGGGCGCTCGCTATGTGGTGATTGGTAATGCGACCGTAAACATGAAACTATGTACCTGAGCTGACTGAGCATCATACTGTTCGTCTTACTACGTGGGTGGCAATGTCTTCTGCGTTCAAAGAAATATTGAGGAAAACATACAGGAAATATCAGTCATCGCAAAAATTTCAGGAGAGAGAAGCTGGAGCAGAAAACTGTAACAAAACCGTTCCCAGGCGGTCCTTCGGACTTCATCAGTGAAGACATTGCTGCCGAATGTGCCGCACAAGACGGTGTGGCTGACGCCTCTTACATGGGCACCGTACTTCCCGATTTCAGACAGTTCGTCCTGAGTGCTCAATGACCATATGCATTGCAACCCAGAAGATAGTGTAATGTACAAACAAGTGCTATTATACAAAGTGAACCCGCCACCATAATACCCTGATGAATAATATAGAACGAGTGAATCAAGTTGTATCCCGGGTCGTGAGATCAATCACGCCATTATTGAATAGAGGTATGACCACGAAGGCATAATAATGGAATAGATGGAAAGGAGCGAATGGGGCGTGTCGAACGCTCACTCGTAAATGTTGAGCGAGTTGAACTCGAAGTAAGCGTCGCTGAACGTGCTGGGGTTGTTGTTCACGTAATCTGTCATACCGTCCCGTAATAAGCTACTAGTTCCAGAGGGATCACAATGACCGAGACTCACCGACGCAGTCCGAAGGACATCCAGCCGCCGAGTAGTCTTGAGCATTGCCAGCCCAGTCTCCGCCTGGATGTATCGTCATAATAAGCCTTCAGGACCATTACTTCTCGAGTGAGGATGTATACGTACAGAAGGCGAGGTTGATGACAATATTCTGCGAGCCGATGTGGTCCCCAAAGTCACAGGACGAACTCCCGGGGTAATATGCCGAAGGTGTTCCCTATAGTACAAAGACGCTCACTTGAGTCCACATGCTTCATATAAATCCCATCATGGCGACTTACCCAAGCCGAGGGATTGACGCTCTGCCCCGGGCTCGTCACGTCGCTAGGCACGCCGGCCGAGTTGCGCGCCCAAAAGTAAATCGAGATAGCGTCGTCCGTCATCACGATCGCATACCAGCCGCCGCCGTTGTCGTTGAAGGAAGGCCCGAAACTGTTCGTGGCCGTGAACCTGGTGCCGCAGCCCGTGTCGCCGGTGGCATCCGCGTCACAGTCGAGTCCGCCGACAGCGTTGCTGCATAATGAGTACCAGAGGTCAGGCCTCTTATTGGTTGAATGACAATTACAGATAGAAGCTGAACCCACCCAGACATGGTGCGGGTCCCAGGCATAGTGCACCCGCTGCCCGTGTGGAGAGACGCCTGATTGGGACTCTGGTTGTTGACGCCCTCCACAATATCGATCTCGCCCTGAGGACAAATTCTGTGTGTTAGCGCATCGTCCCTTGTAGTGACGGGGTGGAGGAACGTACATTGTTTGGCCAGTCTTGGCCAACCTCCCAAACGGCAGGCCAGGTCCCACATCCCTGTGGCATATGCGCGATGTCGAATCTATCGATACAGACGTCAGATGAGTCCTTATTCGTGCATTATGTGCAAGCATTCGGGTATATTGTACGCACATTGCGACATGGCTCGTGTATGCATTGTTCGACGAGAGTCTGAATGTGTTACGCCCGGGGCCGTTGGGGTCCAAGTAGCTGTACGAGTCGGCGCGAAGCGTGAGCTGATTCCCGTTGACGGTGATCAAGCCGTCATTCCATGCTGTGCTTTCGTCAATATAGTTGCTGAGTGAAATACAAGATCAGAGTTGAACTGAAGGAGAGGAATAGGGTGACAAACGTTCTTCCGTGCGTAGGATCGGCGAAAGTCTGCCACTGGAACGCGTTGAGGAAGTTCTGGCCGGAGAGGGAGGCTGTCCGCGACCATGCGGCGACGTGGAAAACGTACAGAGTGAGGAAGACGAAGACAGTGAACATGATGGTGTTTGTCTGTTTCATTGAGGTGCTCGAGAACCAGAGTGCACTCAGTGAAGGGATGGGGGAGAAGACAAACACGCCGGAGGGGCGAGAACTTCGGGAGGTTGTGTAAGTCCTTTATACCAGAGCGCTTTCAGGAGAGGAACCAAGCCTCGAGCGCGTGCGATGAGCATGCTCTTGATGTTTCCTACTCCAGGCCGAGTGCGGCCTGCCAAACCCAGGGAAGAAGCGCAACAAGGGCGGAGCGACTGTGCGAAGACACTGAGAACGACTTCTGCATCTGCCTCACACCAACGGTGGTGCTCGGAAGCGAACAACGCGTTCGGAGTGCACCAACAAGAGCTCGAGTTAATGACCGTTGAACGTGTTTTCCTTGTGCGGACGACGGGAATGAAAGAGCAGCACGAAATCGAAGGTGTCTTCCGAACTTGCTCAATGAATGTTCTCATGAATGCAGCGTAGATCACCGCCGTCGTCAAGGGATTGGCCTTCCAGCGCGCGGGTTGCGCGTTTAGACTTTTGGGAGTTCCCCACGGCACGGAGGCACGGAGGCGCAGTGTTCTAGGGTGGGCGCATGCCTGTTGCCTTTACTAAATACGAGTTTCGACATCCCTTCAATCGCGAGGCATGGAAGGTAATTGTGGTTCCGTAGGGGGCGTTCCCACATATGCGATATGCGCGGCAAAAGAGCGTAAACCTGGCAGAAAGACATTCTCCCGGTTCAGTTCAGCGTAAGTACCGTTGGGCATAGAGTGTAGCCTACCTCGCTTGCACAGCCTAAGCACGTTGCTGAAGATGAAATGCACGCAATGGATATGCAAAACCGAAGGAAACGCGCTCAGGCCGAACGAAAGACGCCAAGAAGACGAGGCAAGCCTGAGGCCCGGATCAGTGAAAGTCATTTCTAGAGGGCGTCGGAGTTGCAACTTGCGTTTACCTGAGGCAGTCGCACGATTTGGGCGCTTCTTGTTTAGCGTGTGAACAATCCAGTAGGCGCTTACCGACAGGAGTCATTTGCCAGCCTGGCTTGTCCTTTACCCTGGCCATCATTGACTTGGATATCTTCAGGCCTTGTCTTTCATGAAAATCGACTCCGGTTCCAGTAATTGTCTTTATATGAGGTAAACGTCACCTACTTCTCGTTTTCCCGCATAGTAGCTGTGCTTAACATGCATTAAGTGTCCATTCTGTTCTTGAGTCCCAAGCCACTGTATCTAGCTCTGAACGAGCGTTCCATACATTCATTGAAGTACAGATACAAATTTCTCCATTGATCCGTACCAAAAAAAAGTATCTTACGGACTTACCTTCGAATTCGCCTTTGATTTCCCATTCTCCCTCCTTCCACTCGTTAAACTTCATTGAGCGGAATCGCAATCTCACTCATAGTATTCTTCGTCCATGCATGTCCCATAGCAATCCGGAGAACTAGCAGATGCTGTGATAAGACCTATATCTGGACTTATCTATGCTTTCTTAATAAAAAGGAGATTCACGCACACAAGTCGCGATCCAGACATGAGCCATGCCAGGTGCTACTTCGCTGCAGCAAAGTAACAGCACAAAGAAGACGACACTGATAACCGTAAAGGGTAGCGTCCCTTCCACTATCATTGACACGATAGCTGAGTACGTGTTCATGAGATCTTGGCGTTGTGGCATGCTGACACGAAGGTCCCAGTACATGCGAAGGAGGGGGTAGCATATCAACGAGCTGACGCAAACATTGAACAATGCGGTAGAGGCAGCCCATATCATGTCGAAAGTCCCTGCTAAACCTGTCCAAAATGTGCCATTCCCTGCTCCGCTCTCAGCAGTTGCAAGAACGGACGCTGCTACAAGACTCCCGTTAGGTAAACCACAACGCTTAATACCGGTTTCTCACAAATTAGGACTAGGTAAACTGATCCCGGTACAATGATTATTGTTCGCATCTTATGCTTCCAGATGATATAGCAACGCCAGAGCTAGTATTTTCGTTAATTTCATCTGCGTATAAAGGTTGTATAAAGGCGGAATAAAAGTGTGCTCACTAAAAGTCCGTCTCCCATGATATTCGCAACTGTGGCACATGCCGATCCCAAAATAAGTGGCCATGAATTCAGGTTGTCTTTATACCATTGAGCGGGACCTCCCTTCACGTCGCGACGATTGATCCAAAGAAGTTGACCGAAGTGAAAATTGCAGGAGATGTAGATGGTGAGTAAAATGAGTAGAATAGCTCCAAATGAGATGTAAAGGGCGTTCCAGCGGCGCTCGCGTGGTGGTTTTTTGAGTAGGAGGTGAACAGACATAAAGTACATGCATATATCGGCACCTTTATTGCAAAGTATCAGGAATCGGAAGTGCGAAGGTAACAGACAGCTAAAACTCACCATACAAGACTGTCGTAATCGTGTTTGCAGCGTACAGGCTGACTTCTAAAGTCAGCTCATCAGACTGCATGATTAGCAAGCTGTGTTGTCGGATGATGAGGCAAGCTTCGCGTAGGAATCCGAATGACTCTGTGCAATGATCACCTTCCTGCCTTCTCCCGTTTAATACTGTCAACTCTCCACCGCCTTTCATCAACATCCGAGATCGCCGACTCAACCATCGATTGAGCACATTGTCAAGTCATGATAACTTATCACATACCCGTGTGCCGACCCAATGCCGATGCTCGTTGCAGAGTTTGCATAGCATTCGTATCAGCTATAAACAGTGGTGAGGCATCTATAGGCGGCCAAGTTCATAAGCTCATAGATCCAACCTTGAATCGGTATTATTGGGCGCCAAACGATGGATAAGAAGGTCCTGAAAGAGAAGACTGACATCATATTTCGCTTTCTTTATAAGATGAACCTCGAGTGAAACTCGCGATGTTATATTCGGTTAACAATGCAGCCCTCAGTTGGCGCCAATCTGTCAAAAGTTGGAGCCTCCCTATGGCATCGGACCCATAGGGATACATCTGCCGGTTCGGTCGCCTTTATGGTAGACGCCGGAGCTGGAGCTTGAGCGCTTGGGTGACCACTTGGTAAACTGGAATGGAAGCGGAAGAATCTCAGACGTCAACAATCAGCGATACCGAATACTCGTTCCTGTTGTATGTACTGGCCGGACAGATTAGCGTCCTGTAGACCTACCTTCCGGACGTTGTTACAGGTACTAACACGGTTCGGATAAAATTCTAACGTTCCAAGAAAAACGTTTTCAACCTGAGGACGGATCAGCTTCATCGGTGGTTTATGTGTCGCTGAGGCTGTGATGCCTCATGCAGCCGGAATAACTTTGCATCAAGTAGTTTTCAGTTTGTTAGATGGTGCGGCACAGAACAGAGGCGCTCACAGTACAAGGCGAAACGTAGTTCATTTCGGACCTGTCAATATCAGAGGACACAGAGGGACGGAGCACCTATATGGTGCCAATAAGTAACTTGCACCAATAACGATAGTAGCGACTCGATAAGTACCACCAATTAAACTTCGTTATCCGAAGGGCCTCGCAAGAGCCGCTAAGCATGTCATCGAGCCGTCTGTACGTCTGTCTTTTACTCAATAACCATTACCCATATCTTTTGCCTCGAGTCAACCGCTCCTCGGCTGATCAAGCAGTAGAAGTAAAAGTTGAGTAAAAGTCAGGTGGGATCTATCGGATGTCCGTGCGAATCGGGAGCATGGTGCGAACCGCAATTGCCCCTATTTATACCGATTACCTAAACATTTCTCATTGCCATGATCGCGGTTCATTGCACGACACGACGAGCAGCCATGGCGGACGTGATGGAGGTCGACCAGCAACCACAAATTCAAGAACAGCAACCCACTAATGGTCGCCAGGATACACCCCCTCATCCATCGATTCCTCTGAGTGAACCCGAGTCGGATTCCATCGCTCGCATTCGCACAAGAAAGGTTGGTAGTTCCCCTCAAACCAGACTTTAAATCCTAATTTGACTCTACAGCGCAAGCTCGACGACGCTCTCCTCACTCTCGACGATGCTGTGAACACTCGTCAGCACGAAGACCCTTTTTCTGCGACAAGCATCTCCACCGCACCCCCCACCAAGCGGCCCCACATTGCCCACTCCCTCTATGCGACCCTCGCCAAGTACGGTATCCGGTCCAAGCAGCAGACCCACCAACCTCAGTGCGCAACTCCTCCGCTTGTTTCACGCATATACACAACCATACCGACGTGCTAGCTTCTGCTTCCTCTTAGAGCCTCCTCATCCTTCCTTGACATTTCCAAGTCCGCCCCTCACCTCTCCGCTATCCTCTCCCGTGCAGCCTCCCGTGCCGGATTACGCACTTTCCCGGCTCCATCCGCCACTTCATCCGTATCAGCTGCTAGCTTTCGCTCTCCTTCCGCTGCAAACGCGATAAGCAGTGGCCGAGGCCCCTCGTCCGTGTTTGCACCCGCGATCACTGCCGAATACCGACCTTCATCGCTCGACTCGCTTCTTGCACGCCTTGCGACGTTCAAGCTTGCGACATATCCGAGTAAACCGACTCAAATTGATGCTGCGGCTGCCGCTCGTGCTGGATGGGTGAACGCGGGGAAGGATAGGCTGGTGTGTGGTCTTTGTGGGGCTGCATGGGTTGTCGCACCTCGCACGGGTATGAGTCGGGATGCAGGTATGTCTCCTTTCCTGATTATATCCGCTTCCCCTGCACAGCACATAAATGCTCATGGGGTACCAAGGGAATGCATTGGTGGAGAGACAACGTATCGGACTTGTTTCGAACCACAAGGATGGGTGCCCGTGGAAGAAGCGACAAAGTGATCGTGCGTTATTCCTCACCCATTACGCTCCTACGGCATTTAACATTGTGACAGCTTCAGTTTACCGTGTGCCGCTACAGTCGCCAGCTGCAATGGCGCGCACGATCCGCGACATGGCCGTTCGCCTCGCACCACTAGTAAACGACGCCATTGTGAAACACCCTTTGGTTCGTAGCCTATGCACTACACAGGAGTTTCTAATCTCATCCCTGCTGTTTCACCCAGTCGAACTCCCAGCTCAATAGTCTTCGATCGACTCTCGCAACCCTTCCCGCCCCTACCCTTGTTGATGCCTCGGAGAGCCGCAGGTCATCCATGGACATGGAGACTGACCACACCGACAACCCTTCTTCCTCCTTGCCCTCAGATACTGCAATCCTCGTAGCACTCTTTGGCTGGTCTCCAGCCCCGCCGCAAGAACGCGCTCCGGAGCGCCCCCGCCCGTCCTCTCGTGCAGGTTCAGTGAATGTCCTTCCCTCCATCTCAAACCCCGGCACCCCACGCGCGAGCGTTGGCCCCGAGTCACGCGCAAGTTCTGTGGCTCCCATGGCGATGCCAACTACGCCGACGCTGCGCAGGGTTTCCTCGCGGCTCAGCTTTGTGGGAGGTGAAGATGGCGTGCCGGCCACTCCCCCCAGCGGGCGTCTGTCTCAGCTCAGCAGCATATCCAAGGCGAACGCAGAAGGCGGGGACATGATCTACTGCGGGTTGTGTCAGCGCCGCGTCGGGCTCTGGGCATTCGCGAAGCCTTCGGAGTCTCCGAGCACACCAAGAGCATCCGGGGCGAGTGAAGAAAACGCCATGGGGCCACCGCTACAGTCACACGCGCAGGCTCAGCACCGCCAACTGGACCTTGTGAAGGAACATCGCACGTATTGCCCTTACGTCGTCCGCTCGAGCGTCGTTCCTTCTCTTCCTAGCGCCGGTACCTCCGATGCAAGTAAGCCCCTGCCCTCGTCTACGTCAACGACGAGCGAGCCTGGAGGTGCTGTCGAGGGCTGGCGCGCGGTCCTCGCCGTGGTGTTGAGGCATGGACTGGGCGAGCGGCAGCGCATGGCACGTGCGCGGAGAATCTCGGCGAAGTTTACTGCTGGTGTCACGGCCGACGGCGCTGGTGTTGGTACCAATGCTGGTACAGATACGATGAACAGAATGAACGGGCACGCTGAGAATGGGCGCATCGAGGGGGCCACAGGTGAAAATGAGGATGAAGAAGGCCTCGAAGGTGTAGAAGCGATTGTTGAAGGTGTGAAGCAACGTGGGGTAAGTCATCGTTTGAGCTCAAGGGAGAGTGATTCAGGCTGAGATGGCGATTCGCTTACAGGGGAAAGAACTACTGCGGTATGTGAGGAGGCTGCTCGGCTGATCCTGACGGTGTGCTCGCGGTGTCGAGACGGAGCAGGTCAAGAAGATTTCACGATTGCTCGCTTTTATTCAGAACAGAAAGAACATGGACTCTGCGCATATCCTAGACATTAAATTACTAAATTGAAACAACACTCAAATGCATTTTCATAGGACGTTGCAGCAGGGTACACATCTGGTCACTGATTGTGCATATCAATGCAAAGCTGCACCAGCACATATACCCCGCGTACCATGCCTATAACACTAGTGAGGGGGAACCTTTCCTTTGACCGGCGCAAGGGCATCATCATAGTCATCTCCCTGCCTGACGACAGAGTACGACGCTGCGAACGCTTCTAGGTGCGGAAACGCGTGTGCTTCCCTCTATAAGACGGTGCGCGCCCTTAAACGTCGTATTTTAACTGACACATTGACAGCGCCCGACGTCTGTTCCTGCCGCAAACACGCGTCGACGCGCCTTTTGCATTCTCGTGAATAGCGGCATGCCAGCATTGTGTGGTATTATCCACAAGCAGAGGCAGACGAATGCGATGTGCGTGCGGAGCGAGTAGCTCGAGGGCTCTCTCTCGCAAGTTCTTGTTTCGTGGGAAGGTGGTGGCTTGAGCAACGTTTGAGAACTTATTCTGTGAAGAAAGGTCTGATGACGAGACGTGATAGTGAGCCTGGAGATCCCCGAGTGGCACCTTGCAAGGTAGGAGTACACTTTATGGTTTCCTGCTGTCGACCGCTTTCCAGAAAGCAACTCCCAGCTTTGCGATAGCGCTGTGGCCCGTAGGCTGCGCATTGCCCAGGCACGACAGAGTGTACCCACCGGAAGCGCTGAAACGGACATGCTAAATTTAACGCCGAGAAGGTCAGGACCGAGGTGCTTATCTCCCCCCTTTTGATGAACCTTGGTGTTGTGCCTTGTTGCGTCATGAGCGCGCCAGTTCAGGTGATGCCAGCACCGTATGTTTGGGTCAAGAGACGTAACAGCCTAAAGCGAAAGGAAACGGGTATTCTTCAGGGTATCACAACAAGTGTGCTTTCAGGCGAGCGTGCTAGACCTGACTATCCAATATCTATTCCGACTTATCAGCACTGCACACGACTAAACTTGAAATCAGCACTCAACGCACGATGACATGGCTAATTAAAGAGCCGGGCACAGGGTGCGTGTATTGCCAAGGGAAAAACAAGACGGTGCGTGACCCCAGGGCGGCCAGAACAAAACATAAAGAAGCAGCACCCTCCGTGCCCGCTATGAAAAGGCGCACACCGAGTGGTCGAGCCCTAGCCGCCGGATCTCCATCATGTCGGATACGTTCTCTGGCCAGGAACACAAACGTTTTCAATGTCGTTTGTGCATGCGGTGCATGACCGTATGTTCACACCTCCACCGCGCCCAACATGTCCCAGAATACAGGAAAGAAATCAGAGTAATGCATAAAAGGCCGCTCATCTGATGGGCTGGGATCATCAGGCTCAGGTCTACAACTCACAGCTCACCTCCTTCGTCGAAATGTACAAGTTTGCCGTCCTCACCAGCCTCCTTCTCGCCTCTACCGCGCTCGCGGCTCCCAAGTCGCGCATCGCCTCGCGTCTTGCTCGTCGTGCAGCCCAGGGACGCCAGTCGCTCCCCGCCAAGCGTATCTCCAACACGGAGTACAGCGAGAACTGGGCCGGTGCCGTCTATGCTTCCGGTGACGTCAGTCTCAGTGTTGCCTCGACGTACCAGTGCTTCGCTGATAGCGTTTATTGTTTCCAGGGTACCTACACCGCTGTGACGGGTACCTTCACCGTCCCTACACCCACAACCGAGGGCGCCGCTGCTGCCTGGGTCGGTATCGATGGTGACACCTGCGACACCGCGATCCTCCAGACCGGCGTTGACTTCACCTACTCCGACGGCGAGGTCTCCTACGATGGTTAGTTTGTTCCCTTCTAGACCGGTGAACAAGTCAGATTACTGACGCGTTGTTCCTTCACAGCCTGGTACGAATGGTACCCCGACTACGCCTACGACTTCTCCGGCATTACCATCTCCGCCGGCGATGTCATCCGCGCGACCGTCACCGCGACCTCTACCACGTCCGGGACGGCCGTGATCGAGAACACGACGACGGGCCAGACGGTCACGGAGGACCTGACGTCGACCTACGCGCTCTGCGAAGAGAACGCGGAGTGGATCGTCGAGGACTTTGAGGAGAACGGCGCGCTCGTCGAGCTCACCGACTTCGGCACCGTCACGTTCACGGACGCGTACGCGACCACGAGCAGCGGCGAGGTCACGCCCTCGGGCGCGACGGCGATTGATATCGAGCAAAACGGGGAGGTGTACACGTCGGTGACTATTGGGGACGACGTTACTGTCCAGTACACCTAAGGGGTCAATGATATGAACTTGAAACGCTCGAGGCCGACTATTTCGCTTTCTTGGGGCTTTCTTGGGGCTTCCTGCTGGTGAGAGGAATTTGGTACGGGTATACTGTGTTGTTAGAAATTTGAAGCATTGTATGTTTGGGATTGTACCTCACTGTTTATTGGTTTTAAAGCGTGGATGACATCCCGTCAGTAAACCGTGTCGATTATTAGTTCATTTTCGGCCAGCACAGAGCAAAGAAGAGCAAAGCCCAGTCCTGAAGCCCAGTGGTTCTCAGACGTGAACTCATGCCGCCACGCAAGCTGGGGCAACAAGCGGATGTCGAGATACATGATACCAGTCGTTTCGAAAGCATCAGACACGAACAGATAGACTCTTGAATGACGAGGACGTGTTCATTGGGCGAGGACGCTGGTGCACACTGACAAGCGGTACATCCAATGGTACTCAGCACGGCAACACCCGGTACGTTCCCACGAAAGTTCAGTGCCGCACTCGTCGTTCATTGACGCGAACGCGCTCAAGGACTGACGCGTACTGCCGGCTCGAGACTGATCATGACGTGCTCCAACGGCTCGATTGTCGTCAGCACCCTGGACTTCACAACGGGTCGCAGTTGAGACGCTCACTCACGACGCTACTGATGATTGCGCTCGTATGAGCGTGCTGGTATAAGGTACGTAGCTAGGTTTCGTTCCTTGCGTCACACAGACACTTCAGATGACAGTCTGAATTGCGCGTTGATACCGGAAATTTCAGCACGGGGCCCAGGAGGCCGTATATAAGGGATACTTCAAATAAAGGCGGCCGGAATATCCGATACTTCGTAAGTTATCTTATTCTCCTCATCGAGACTGGAGATTAATAAGATCCCGAAACGTCGGGTTTGAAGTTTATAAAGTGTCGTGTCCTCATCAAAGACATAGTATTTCTGCCCTTCCAGACTTGTAAAATGTCAGACAAGAAACAAGTCTTCATCCTCGGCGGAACAGGTGAGCAATGAACGCCCTACTTTCGAATTATACTTGACTGTCACCGACATTCACCCCGTCAGGCTACATACACGGGCAAGGGCTGTATCTAATTCTGAGCTAGAAATAGGATTTCTAGCTACACGCTGATTGATTTCAGCTCAGAGCTACGTTTGTGATTCACAACACAGAGCCCGAATCAAAGTTGTGCATTTCCACGCCAAACTCGTTTGACTCAGAGCCAAAACACCTGTCACCCGTAATTGGCGAGACCTACTGACCCCGAAGCTCTGCCGGTTTTTCCGATTGGCTCCCGATTCCATCCCGAGCGCTCTCGTATGTTATACTGGGGAACAAAAACACTTTTATTCGAGCAGGCAGGCAACATTATGGTTGTATCTAAGCAGCTAACAAGCTCCTGGCACCGGGAGTCGCACGGTGAGACCCAGATTGCTCAGCCGAGGGGGTACTGCTGCCACTGGGTGTGCTCGAAATGGCACGGGGAGTCGGGGCTCTGCTCGGCGCGGGAGTGGTGTATCGGCTGGTGGGGATAGGTTCGATGTTGGAGATAGCAGTGTATGGGCGCCCGTAGAGCTTCCTGTCCTTCTCAAGGAGCTCCCCATAGAACCTGCAAACCTGTTAGCGCGAAGTAAGTTCGTGAATATAACTCGAGCTTACCTCTTCCATGCTTCTCCGCTGGTATCGGCACCGTACTTTTCCATGAGAGCCGCAACACCGAGGTTGGGCCAAATGAGTGCAGTAACTAAAGCAACGTTTATAGAGAACTCACCTTCCGGATGCTGGCAGTCATCGAAGAGGTTGTTGGCGGGCATGTCACGCGCCAGTAATCCTGTGAAGGCGTGAACCTGTGAGTAAAGTGATGGTGCAATGACATCTTCATGCCGTTCGATGTGCTTTACACACCTGTAGTAGCATCTGAAGGGGACTGGCAGGTGGCGAGGCGCGTGGAGACCTTGTGGCTCTCGCAGAGCAGAGACTGGGAGGGGAGAGAGATGAAGAGGCAAACGAAACCTTATGAGAAAAATAAACGAACCTTTGGTGTTTCGTGGCCTGTGCATCGCTGATTTGCTTCTGAGCTGAACGACGTTTCAGCTCTGAGGTGAGCAGACGCGTCAATGAGCGCGACGCTGAACGCGAATCCAATTTGGCGTCAATTGGGCCCGTTTACTTCGGCGTTCATTCATTTGCAACATTTCATAGTCCGACATGTGGCTATTCCACACTCAAATGTCCATTTGCTTTCACGCTAGAATATAGCTCTGGCCGTGTAGGCGGCTCCGTTCTCCAGGCGCCGCTCAAGCACCACTCGGCGGCCGAGGCCGAATTTACGGTTCTTGTGCGCTCCGAGGAGAAGGAGAGGAAGCTGGAAGAGCTTGTGAAGACTGGCGCTCTCGGCAACTTTAGCATAAAGCCAGTCCGTGGATCAAATGCAGACCTCGACGTGCTCGAGGCTCAGGCAGCCAAGGCTGATGTCGTGTTTTCTATGGTAGGATTTATTTACAAGTTGATGACGTAGTAATTAGCTCATTCCGAGGGTTGTAGGCGGACGCGGATAATCTCCCTGCGATTAAGGCTGTACTCGCAGGCATGAAGAGGCGGTACGGGCAGACCGGGAAAGCTCCAATTCTGGTACACACGGTGAGCCTTTGGAAGCAGCCTTCGAAGCCAATACCATTTTGATCATCCGAAAAAAAACAGTCCGGAACGGGTAAGCTTTTTGGTAGCCCTACTTAATGTGACGTTGCTGATGCACCATTCATTCACGTTTACGTTTTCAGCCGTATTAATGGATAATGCAGAGGGGAAGTACGAAGGCACAAAGTACTATGATGATACTGTCCCCGAGCAGTTTGACACACTCGCCGAGACTCAGATCCACAGGAACGTTGATTTACTAGTTGTCGAAGCCGATAAGGAGGGTACGATCCTCTCTGAGATATATTATAATTAACAGGTACTGACTGCGACGGTTTGTGCGGTCAGGATACATAAAGAGTCACATCGTCCTTCCGAGCGGAATTTACGGGATCGCATCTGGTCCGCTGTTTGACGCTGGGATTGGCAACCGCCACACCATCGCGATTCCCCTCCTCATCAAGATTGGCGTGGGTCGAGGGGCAGCCGGCGTGATCAACGAGGGATTGAACAAGTGCCCGTGTGTGCACATAGATGATAGTAGGTTTCACGATTGAACTGTGCCCAGCTATACGGAGTATTGACTGTACCAGTCGCGGACCTGTATGTCACCGTGTACGACGGCGCGCTCTCAGGACGGGCAGGCCATGGTCGTGAAGGGTACTATTTTGGAGAAAACGGGCACTATAGCTGTTATGACCTCTCCAAAGCCGTCGCGGAGGTTCTAGTGGCGCTCGGCAAAAGCAAGAACGCAGAGCCATCCCCGTTCACTAAAGAGGAGTGCGAGCAGATGCCTCTGGTGAGCCAGTTGATTATGCGCCGATGTCCAATCGCTCACTCGAATAATCCCGCCATTCCGGTGCAGCTTCTTCTTCTGGGGGCGAACTCACTGTGTCACGCGAACAGGGCGCGCGCATTGGGCTGGAATCCGAAGTATACAGTCGAGGACTTGTTCAAGAGCGTCAAGCCCGAAGCGGAGGCAATCCTGGCTTGACATTATCTGTTTATCACGGAATAAATCTCATGCCCCATACTGCTCGGTGATGTACGGCTTGTGAGTTTAATGTAGCATAGCACGAAGCCGTTTTAGTTGGCGAATCAATTGAAGAGCGAGCCGTAGTTTTGCGGCGAGTGCTCATTGTCAATGTAAGGGATCAACTTGTCGCCGCAGTTGACCAAACGGCGAGATACGATCGATGTTCTCCCTTGCTTCGCATTGGTCGCATGTGACTCGACAGCATGCTCTATAAGCCTTCCGCTTTTACTTTCTAGTGAACAACTTCTATTGAGTACCGAAAAAAGGAAACCCTGATTTTCGATTTGCAACATAAGAATAAAGGTCAACCTGTGATTGAAGTAATGTTTCTCACATATTGATGGTATGGCAGCAGACGGGAGATCGTAGAAACAATAATACATTTTATATTGAACACATAACGCAACAACATGATAACGTATCAATCTATTACACTCTCGCCGACCGATATACGAATCTAGGACTGCGTGTGGCAGATAAGTGCGAAAGAGCACTGAAAAGAGACGTGAAGTCCCTTCATCGTTGAGACGCGAGCGCACCAAAGAGACACGAAGTCTCAAAAGGAGAGCACACGATGTCCCGACGAGTGGCTGAGGCACGAAGCCTCAGAGGAAAGAGACCAAAGTCTCAAGAAAGGGACCGAAGTCCCCCTCGCGGTGCGAAAAATTTGGGGTAAATGTACCCGATCATAGAGGTGGCGCGTGAAGCACCAAACCCCTTGCTTACTAGCAGAGGCGCGACGTTTGTCGACACCAACTCTGAAGCACTCCCGGGCCTGTGAAAGCGCCGAGGTCGTCGACGTGAAGCCGACGAATGAGCCGAAGCCGCGGTGGTGATGGACCGTTGCGGCTACCGACATCGAGTTTGTGAGGCGGTGGTCGATGGCCGACTGAGATCGCCTCGTCAACAGCGCCGCTCGCGGGCTCTTGTGCTGCTGGTCCTGGGGAGCGAGGCGTCAGATTCGCTGACCAGAAAATGATGGACAATGGGCTTACCAATGCGAAACCAAGGTCACAACTCTAGCTAAACGCACAGCGAATCTATAATGAGCTACGCATGAGGGACTTAGTGAGCAGTACGACGTACCAAGATATTACGGGAGGCGGGACCGACTGAGTAGGGATCGGGTCGCCAGAGATGGTAGTGGTCGCCAAGAGTAGGGTCCGCGTCGGTCGCAGCGCCGGTCAGCCCGCGGCCCAACAAGCCACACTATCCACGGTCTTGGAAACGTGGGCTTCATGCAACCCATCCAGCACTCACGAGCATTGTTCCGAACTCCAGTCAAAGCAAGCGTGGGTATCCCACCACTGCAGAGACCTGCCGACGACACGACGGGTTAAGAGCAAAGCTAAGCCATAGAGAGGGAGCGTCGGAGACGAGAGAGCGGAAGAGAGAAGCTGAGTGAGCTGAGGAAAATTGACGAAGGATGGGCAGCCTTTTATCCTGTTTCGAGACTTTGCTTGCGCTTGTTGATTTCAAGTTGTCTCCGGTGGGTTTCGGGGACTATTTGCTTCTGTTTGTAGCACTCTTCCCATCGAGGGATCGGCAGGTGTATTCGCTTGTCTTCGGTCCGCTTTTGACCAGCCAATGAGAATCGATTCCGACTGCGGGAGATAAACAACCCTGAACATTGCAAAATTTGTCCTGTCATGGACGTAATCGGTTAGCTGGAGGAATTCAATTGCGAACAAAGGACCAACAAAGGACTGCTCGTCGGCGTGCGACCTGCGCATTGCCTGCACCTTCTGGCGCCTTTTTCTGTCAACATTTTGTCGGTCGCCCCGGGCCACATTTCAAATCCTTTCGGAATCACTTGAACAAGGGAGCACCGTGATACCGAAGTCCAGCCTTTCGTTCCTTCGGGGAGAAATCAGAAGACCCCGCCGCAAAGGTGCAATGGACGTACACAAGCCTTGCATGGAGGGATATCCACAACGCGAGGAGCGAGAGGAGTATCACCAACCGAGACTTTTGGCATTCCGATTTGATAACGCCAGGTAAAACAGGGAAGCATCATTGACAGCATGCCTCGAGGCGACTCGCATGACCTCTCTCGGTTAGTATGCTTCCGAGGATGATCTAGCAAATCCCACAAATGCCTGAATCGTCGCCGCCGCACGCTGTGACTCCGAAAAACGAGTAATTTTTAGTTCCACGTGCAGAAAATTCTCGCTCCTTAGCTTGAGGGTCAGTTCTCTGCGCGCGTTTAACGCCATTCGGTGTCGTTCGCATCAGAGGTGTTACTTTAGATCTATGGCGGAAATTCTGCAGCTCGTCGTGGGTTCTAAAATGGTTGTCTGACTTGGGGGTCTGGTGACAATTTCAGTACAATGATATGTGCGCTACATGGCTGACGATAGATTATCGTACTGTACACTTTCAATCATAACATCAACAATTTCAATCGGCCCTTTTAACGCTGCTCTCAAACTCATCGTGATCTTTAGGGGCCTCCTCTAACCGACTGTCCGCCCCCATTGAATCCTGGCCTGGTTGACTAAGACCTTCCGTCATGGGCGGCTGGTTCATCCGCTCCTGGAAATCATCGTCCGCACCTACATACGTTGCACCTTAATCGTAACCGAGTCTTGTACAAAACGCAAGCTAAACCACGCACCCTTGGAGCCCTGCCCCTCTTTCCGCTCTGTATTCTTGCCCGCTGGATCCTCGTGGCTGTACATGGGGCGGTCGGCTCCCTTGGACGACATGGTGCAATATGTTGATTGGTTGGTAGGTGGTAGTGGTTTCGAGTGTTGCGGGTAGGTTATGCGTTCAGATTGTGAGATTTTGAGCTCATATATAGTCTCGGGAGCGATTATACTTCCGCTGGACGGGAAAGCTCCAACGCGTCATGAATGTGTCTCGCCCGACGTCATCCCGATCACTTTAGTATGTAAAAGGGATCCACCCCTGCGGGATCGGCTCCACATAATATTTGCCCAGGCTTGACGTTACAATGACTTTACGGCCAACGCCAGTATCTTTCCCACAGTATTACTGTTTCAGCCCCTTGGTGGTAAGTACTGTTCCATCAAAGCTGCTCCGGGAACTACGGAACACGAGTATTAAGTTTCAAAGTGACCTCAGCCACAACGTCTTCTGCGATTTGCCTGGGAACGACTCGGATGCGGTTACGTCTTCCTTACACCATATTTTGACTGTTTTTTGCGCGATCTTTGTTCCCAACGTCGATCCAGATTCGGACTACCTCCTGCAAAGCTTCTCGGGATGACTGATATACCTCAAGCCCGTATGTGTTTCTCCAGCATGTACCATGAAACGCACAGCCGAGACGTTACTCACGTAGGTAAGAGAAGTAAACAAGACAATAAGTCAGCTCAGGCACATATGAACTTCTCACGGCTTGGCACATACGGCCGCATTACCAATCGCCCGAAGTTCCTAGAACCTCGCCCGCTTGAGTCCGCCGGCAATGATACCGCCGGGTTGGTTCTGAGGCTTGTGCTCGATCGCCATCACCACGCTAGTGTTACAGATGTATTCGCAAATGGTCAGGACTTGGTCAGCCGTCTTCGAAAGTCGAAGTTCACACCTTACCAAGTTCTGGTCCAAATTCGAGCTGCAGAATAGGCGCTCGTATTTTGTCCTCTCTCAGATTCGAAGACGCTATGTCTTGGAGGTATAAAGGCTGGTGCGAGAAAATTCAGGGAGGTCAGTATCATCACTCTCGATTCCACATATCTCCAATAAGTTCATTCGTATCTTCAGTTCCTACTAGACCTTCAATTACTTACAAGTCATCATGTCCGACAAGAAGCAAGTTTTCGTTCTCGGCGGCACAGGTAGGCCTCACTATTTCGACGTTGAAGTGCTTCATGCCGCTGATAATTAACTGCAGGCTACGTCGGCGCCTCCGTCCTCCAGAAGCTCGTCAAGCACTCTCAGGCGTCGCAGAGCAAGTTCACGGTGCTCGTGCGCTCCGAGGACAAGGCGAAGAAGCTCGAGGCGTTCGTCGAGAGCACCGGATTTGGCAACGTCAAGGTGCTCCTTGGGTCGAACGCGGACCACGACAGGCTCGAGGCGCAGTCGGCCAAGTCCGACGTTGTGTTCTCTATGGTAGGCGGAGTTGTTAGAATTGGGTGATTCAGAGGTGCTAAAGCGAGGGAATTCCGCAGGCGGACTCGGACAATGTTCCCGCTATCAAGGCCGTCCTCGCTGGGATGAAGAAGCGCTTCGAGCAGACTGGGAAGGCCCCCATCTTGATCCATACTGTGAGTGACATCCTCGGGTCAGACAATATCGATGAGACGGGCTGAACAACCGCCATAGTCCGAAACAGGTATCTTGATGGACAAAGCCGAAGGCCACTTCGAAAGCCAGACGGTCTACGAGGACACGAATATCGAGCAAATCGAGGCGCTCCCCGACACGCAGCTGCACAGGGACGTCGATCTCGTCGTCACCGCCGCTGGCAAGCAGGGTACGTCAAAGCCCCAGCCTTGTTTTCCGATAGGGGTGACTTACTGGAATGTAAATAGGATATGTCAAGACGTACATCGTGCTGCCGACGCAGATATTCGGACTCGGCAGCGGCCCGCTGTTCGACGCTGGGATCGCTCATCGCCACTCGATCGTGGTTCCGTTCTTGATCAGGACGAGCCTCGCGCGCGGTGCGGCAGGTGTGGTCAACGAGGGCCTAGCCAAGTGGGCGTGCGTGCACATCGACGACAGTGAGTCCGCAATCTCGCAGGTCGTGTCGGTGATTTGACTGGGCTGATTTTGGTGCTAGCTGCGAACCTGTTCATCGTCGTGTACGATGCGGCGCTCTCAGGCGAGGGCGCACACGGGCGCGAGGGGTACTACTATGCGGAGAACGGCGAGTACAAGTGGTACGACCTCTCCAAGGCGGTCGCGGACGCGTTGGTGGCGCTCGTGAAGACGGACAAGGCGGGACCTACGCTGTTCACGAAGGAGGAAGGCGAGAAACTGGGCTTCTTCGTGAGTTGACGCGAATTTATTCGCTGTTGCGTTTGAGAAACTGACAACACACGGCTAGTTCTCTGTCCTCGGGACGAACGCGCGCTGCTCCGCGAAGAGGAGCCGTGCGCTTGGATGGAAGGCCGCGCACGCGGGCGATGAGATTTTGAAGAGTGTCAAGCCTGAGATGGAGGCGATTCTCCAGGCTGGCAACTTGTAGTCCACTCCAGATGTATGAAAGGGAACGTACGTGGTGAATGTGTCATGATCGAGCAACTTTGTAGGAATAAATAAACGCATCTTACCATTCGTATACTACTGGTGTTGCTGGTGATTATCATGATGCGGCGTGCGAGTGGATGCGTACTTTTGCTGACGTTATCGTATGAAGACAAGTGAGTCAGTAGCCACCTTAGCTTTGGCTGATTTGCTGTGCGGATTTGATGGGTGACCCTGAGAATTTGGCTGTATGCGCGCGGCAAGTGTTGGACTTTACAGACGGTCGCATCTAAAACCAGAGTGGATAGGGACGGCGATGACAGGCTGAGGATGCATTATTTTGAGAACAAAGAAAGCGGTGAAAATGAGCCAAGCAGGTCCAAAGATATGTGTGGAATCAATCAGGGGTGGCAGTGTGGGGCAGGGCTTGGGTCTGGTGGACGGCGAATTGTGGACTCCCACCCTGGTCCAGACTCCAAACCTTGCCATTTCCTCTCTCCACCGCTGACACACCCAACGACGACGACAACAACATAGTATCGGCCCACTCTTCATAACCCTCGACAGGAGTAGACACCATGGCGAGGAGCACAGCTCACTACGCCGCCCTCCCGACCCGTCAGCCCGCAGCAGACACAGATCGCGAGCTCGAAGACGCCTTCGGCCCCGAGGAGGACGAGGACGAGGACCTCTCAGACGCAGAGGAGAACACCCCCCTCGCCCTGTACGCCAACCGTGACCACCACCGCCCCTCGCCCTCCCTCTCCCAGCCCCACAGCACCAATAGCACCAGCACCATCACCACCCCCTCAGCACACGCCCGCACAGCATCCGTGCCAGGCACCTACGACTTCGAGCGCGACTACGAATACGACCGGCCCCCACCCGGATCGCCCCCGCGCCCGTCCGCCCACGCCATCCCGAACGACTGGGGCAACTCCAACGGCATCCTCCCCACATCGCCCGTCGCCCCCTTGCCCCCGCGGCAGGGCTTCTTCCGCCGCGCGGTCGGCGCAGTGGGCGCTGTCCTGCCCACGCACTACGCCCGTGTGCCAACAAACGAGCCCGGCGCCGACCCAGGCGGGCCAATGATCGCTTTAGCAGGCGTGCACGGCGGCGGGGCAGAGAACGACGGTGTGTTTGCGAACGTGTCTGCGAAGCCGACGAGGCCGAGCACGGTGCGGGTCGTGGGCGAGGACGGGAACATACATATGGTCCCCGAGGAGACGCAGAGCACCGCGCCGCCTGTACGTTCTCTCCCTTTACTCCTGCTTTATCCTCAGAATCTGACGATAGTGATACCACTACCCATTATCACCGCCTCCCGCCACATCTTCGCACGACATACGATCCAAATCCTCCAACCAGTCCTACGCAGCCGCACAAGCTGACGCCGCCCCTCCCTACTGGGAAACGACCGTCCACGCACCCGCAGGGCTCGACGGCGACGGCGGCCTCGTAATCGAAGACCTGCCCTCGGGCACACTCTTCGCGTTCGGCGCGAACCTCTTCACATCTTTCTTCTTCCAGTTCGTCGGCTTCATCCTCACGTACCTCCTGCACACCTCGCACGCCGCCAAGTACGGCTCGCGCGCCGGGCTCGGGCTCACGCTCATCCAGTACGGCTTCTATTCGCGCGGGAACAACGGGTACGCTGGCGGGGAGGACGGGGTGGCGTATAATGATGAGACGTCGTTGCTGGGGGGGAGGAGGGGGCGGGGAGGGTGGGGACGCGTGGCCGGCGGATGCGCCGTTGATGTCGACGAGTCCGACGCCTACAGCGGACATCCCGAGTCCCGGCTCTGAACCGCTCGGCGGGCTCACGTCGCGCGAGTGGGCGTCGTTCCTCCTCATGACACTCGGTAAGCCCTATATCTCGCATCCCTTTTATCCCATTAACCCCCGCTCCCTCCTTAGGCTGGTTCCTCCTCCTCTCCTCCCTCATCGGCTTCTGGCGCATCAAACACTGGGAACGCGCGCTCCGCCAGGCGCATGCACGCGGCCCGCCCACGTCCGAGGAGGTCGCGCACGACGCGCAGATCCGGCGCAATCTCGCGGAAGTGTTTGGGCTCAACTCCGGCTCGCCCGAGGACGAGGTCGACGGCGAGCCTGTGCCGCCGACGGCGCATCGCAGGTCGGGGTCGCGCAGGAGCGGGAGACGGAGTAGGAGTGGTGGTGGCAGCGGCGCCGTGGGTGTTGCTGCGGCCGAGGGTGCGGGTGGTGCAGGTGATACAGGAGGAAGCCCGGGCGTGATGCGGCATTTGACGACGCGCGAGGCGGCGGAGGCGGCTGATGCACGGCTCGCCGAGGATTTGCGTGCCGCTGGTCTTCTTTAATCGTCACAGACCAGTTGCGCCGTGCTGGTCCTTGATGCGTTCTGTACTTGTAGATATATTATTGTGTGCTGCTCTGACTGGGTTATGTTCTTTGGAAGCTATTCTCAATGGACTTTGCAACTATTCGAGGATGTGTATAAACCCTCGACATTATCCTTACATGCTTGCATACACTCCTGGACAAGTCTCATTCTTCATGGTGTAGCTGTGACATCGCGCGACACTCTTAGTATCTCGTAACCATAACACAATTGATGTATAACGTGGAAGACAGCCCCAAGCCTGGCCCATCTATGCAAATGGCTGAGCAAACAAAGGAGAGGAAATAGATCCATAAATTTTCTTACAACGGCAACGACATCTTCGAGATCGTTGCTGTTGATCAAGTTGGCTTCTACGATGCTTAAACTCCCGGGGGATTGGAGCATTTGCATGAAAAAATGTACAGTCAGTACTAACGGTAACTATCTCCACCCTCACTCAGATAAACATTGGAGAACATATATTGACCATGTGTTGCATGTACGTCGTCAGTGATCGCGCTTGGGTTTATAGTGACTATAGTGTTCTAGTAATGTACATGTCCATTCCTGATATATTACATACGAGTCACAGACATCCACGCTGGTTATAAGCTAATAGCCAAAGCGCTTAAGCATTGTTGTTCTTAGTGTTGCCCATGCCGACAGCATCCTTGGCCTTGTCGAGCATCGAACCCTGCCACAGGAAATTTGAAGGTAAACAACCGAAACCTAAAATGATAGAAAGCAGTAATAGCAAACGTACGGAGTTCTCGTTGGAGTTGCCGCTGAGCGCGTCCGTCGCCTGCTGGGCGTACGATTTCTCGCTCTCGGGCTGGGCGGTCGAGGCGGCAGAGTCGCCGGTGCTCTTGATCTTGTCTCCGAGCTGCTCGGTGGTGGACTTCTGGGAGTCGGGCTGCGTGAAAGTGTCAGTCAAACGAGACACAATAGCAGGGTGAAGCTGCAGCATACCTTGAGGGCAGATCCAGCCTTGTCGGTGGCAGATTGGCGTCCGAAGTCAGTCATTGTGGTAGAGGAAGTTGGGTTGGGTGGTTGAGTTGGTGTTGTGGAGTGGGTTGGTTGATTCTGAAGTCGAAGGGCAAAACAGGGCCTGGTTTTATACTGCTCGAGCTGGTGCGGGGTACAGGGGCCTTTGTCTCAATTCGGACGAGGGGTCCTCGAGAAAGGGTCGATGACGGTGAAATGACGACGTTTCTGTCCGGATCTGGCCAAATCACGAGCATTTCGTTCCCGTCTCGGAACCAGTAGCAGATCCTGCTCCAAGCAAATTAAATGGACACGAAGGCCGTTGGAATGTTAATAATATTTGTGCGCCATGCGTCAAGAAGCATGCTTAAGGAACGGAGGGAAGTTCCTAGTGCGGTTCTTCGATGTATATTATGAGCTGTGTCGGCAAGACGTGTGCAATATGTGGCTTGATGCATGATGCCTTATAATTACAGCTTCTACTCTTGGATATGCCATCCACTCACAAGAGATACGTGAAGGGCCTTCGTCTGCTCAGGTCTCGGAATGCAAGTCTCGAGATGAGCTATCTCAGCGGGACTTGTTCGCAAAAGAATGCAAGTCAGGAATTGGAAGATGGAGAAGACCAGGATTCCGATTCCATTATCTTGGAATGCTGTTTAGGCATGCATGCTCTTTTCCGCAGCGATTTACTTATCGAAGCTCATCAACGCCCAGACCGAAATCCGCCCGTCCCTGCCCCCCGCGACGACCCAACGCGTCCGCTCCTCGTGCTCCGCGCGCGTCATCCCCTCGTCCTCACTGTCAATGTCGTCATCTAACGCCGGGCCCAGACCGAGCCCAAGACCACGACCCCTCCGATCGCTCCCCGTCGCGAAGAAGGCGAGTGCCTGTGCGCTCTGCTTGTGGTATCCGAGGCTCCCCAGTGGTTTCAGAGACTTGGTGGAGTACAGCCGGATCCTTTGGGTGGGGTCAGACATGCAATGACGCGATATGATGAGGAGTGAAAGGAAACGCACTTGCCGTCCCACCCTCCGACGGCACACACCCGTCCGTCATCCCGGATTGCAATTGACGCGTTGCCGGGGTGCTTTGTCCGGTGCACCGTCGCCGTCTCTGCGTCTTTCTCTTTCTCCTTGCCCTTTTGGCCTTTGGAGTCTGGTGCTACGATGGTGTACCGCCCGATGAGATGGTCCGCGGACACGGAGAGGGCGAACGTGCCGTCGCGCGAGACGGCCATGCTCATCACTAGACAGCGGAGAATCGCGTCGTGTTATCAGGCTATGGCATCTTTGCATGGATAGAAGACGAACCAGATTCGACGTGTACCTTGTTTCGCCAGACCACCTCCCATCCACGCCCCTGGACGGTCTGCCTTCCATCCTCCTCTGCCTCAGCTTCGGCCTGAGCAGTGCGTCGCCGAAGGACCAGACCTCCGTCTTCGTAGCCACAAAGGAGATGCAACGGCGCAGAGGATGTCGATATCTCAGCTTCCTCAGGTGGTGCCTGCGATCGAGGGCGGAAGAGGTGCATAGACATGATGATGCCTGCAGCATTGGTATTGCGTCGGCGAGCGTAGCGAGTGATGGAACGCGACAACGCACCTGTTTTGTCTGCTGATCGTCCGTCCGTCGAGATCTCTGCGACATCGTCGTCTGGTGCACCTATAGCTGCGTGAAGTCTGACGCATGAGGGGAGCGTCCATATGTCCGCCTGATACGACGATAGATCGTTTCACCCATGGGCATGAGTTGAGTCACATCTGGAGAGAATAATCAAGGCTTACAAGTGATGAATCAACGAGATTGGGAACGGCAAGCAAGCATGGATCCGCCTTCTGAGTGTCCCCGTTCGGACCCGCTGCCGCCTGTTCGTCCGTACGAGAAAAAGGGAGCACAGAGAACCGACAGTAATTCAGCGCATTGACATCCAGCTCCAGAATACGCGGCGGCGGCGGCGCACCCTCGCGCTCATCGTACGTCGTGACCGCCGCCCCGCCGACGCGCACCGCTTCCGACTCTTCGACGCGCTGCCACACGTACAGCTTATTGTCGCGTCCATGGCTATCTGAGAATATCAGGATACGAACATCCACATCCAAGCTCAGCAGAGACGCAGAACGTACGTGATCAGCCCGCCCCCAACCTCCTGCACACCCAGAACGCCATCCGTGTGCGCCTGCCACGCTGCGATGACGCGCAGCGAGCGCGTGGACGTGACGACGACGCGCCCGGACGCGTCGGCCGAGATGATGCGCGCGTTGTCGTGCGAGACGTCGAGGGCGGTGAGTGCGTGTCGGTGCGTGCGGAGGATGTGTGCGGGCGAGGGGGACGGTGGTTTGGACGGGTTGCCCCTGTCTGTGGTGGGTGACATCGCGGCGGCACGCAAGTGGTCAATATAAAGTTTGTTCGCGTTTGCGGTACTATTATAGCCGAGAGCTTTCGAGGTCGCACTCCTCGTCGTAGCCATGTGCATAGTCTCCCCCAGCCAGACCACAAAAAAGGCGGTAGTTCCTTGAACTATATTAAAGCAACTAGTTTGTCTTCTTTTGTAAGCATGAGCTTCACTGTGAACTGAGTCAATATTGCCTCGCTTATTAGTATATTAAAAGAAAACAAACATGAGAAAGTTATAAAACCGAATGTGAATTCCAAGGTGAACTCTGTGAATCACAGCACTTTATCAAGCTAGTTGTCTTCAAGATATACCACCTCAGAACCTGCCAAGTCACTCTGATTCACGCTGAACGAAGTCGTGGCAAGTGCACGACAAATGCTTCCGCAAGATCATTTGCCTGTGGTTTGTTTTAACTTGTTATCGCGCGTTGTCAGACTTTCTGACTCAACTGACAGGATACTGACCGATCGCTCGGAACTTTACTCCGTCAGGCAACATGCACAATAAATTTGACTTTGCTGCAAAGTAGCGCGCTTGAAGGCTTTCTGTTCAACGTGAACAATGAAGTCGGCGCCGTGGAAGAACGGGCTCGCCCTCCTCGCGCCTGCGCTCGCGTCTGTGTCCTCGGCTCTCTTGCAGGCGCCTTTTGCTTCCCCGGGTCAAGGGTTGCCTGTTGGCGACCAGTCCAGCTGGTTCACCGATGCGGACAAGTGGAGGTTCGACGAGCGGCCGTCCCCGAACGCCACCAGCAACTATATCTTCGACACCCTCGCCTCCGCCCTGCAACACTGGCCCAACACTCGCTACAGAAACGGTACGCTGCCATGGTCCATTATAAGCCCGTGCTCACTCTTTTCACGCAGGGCACGCCGTCATCCCCGCCTACGTGCCCACCGGCACCCTCCTCTACCACGGCTCCTTCACCGGCGCAGTCCCCACCACGCCCGAATGGACCACGCCCGACCCCGAGCACGCCTACATGTTCTGCCGCGGCGGCAGCGACGTCGGCTGCTGGCAGCTCACCCTCGCGGCCGCGCGCCCGCTCCGCGTGCTGTACTTTGACGGGAGCAGCGCGGCGAAGATGGAGTTTGGCTCGATGCACACGCAGGACATTGTCGCGTGGCGGAAGCTGCACCCGGAGCGGATGATGGACGAGTACGGGCGCATAAACGACCTATGCAAGTGGGGAGAGCAGTATGGGCTTGATGGCTTTGTCAGGTGAGTGGGCGGTGGGTTTCAGGGCGCGTTCAGAGGCTCATTCTTTCCGTGCAATGATAGAATGGAACCAGATTTGTGAGTGCCCATCCTCTGTAAAAACCGTTGTGGTGCTGACATCGACGACTCTATTAGCGAGGTCATGCTTTGCAATTTCACCTCTGGTGTTGAGGTCGTGTCCTGGCTCAATCTCTTCCCCGCAGCCACGACCCCCATTCCGCCTCCTCCACAACCAGACGACCTCCAGGGTAGCCCACCGAGCTCTCGGATGGCTATGCTGGCGTCTCTCGCAGCGCCCTCTCAGCTCGACCCTCCCACCGCCAAGTCCATGTTAAGCCCGCTCTACTCCCTCGCATTCGAGTCGACCCAAGCAGGCTCATGGCGCAACCGCTACCCGGGCGACCTGCGATTCATCCTGCACACCCACCGCCTCCTCACATTCTACGACACCTCCCTCGCGCCATCCCTCGTCCCCGCACGCGCGGGGCTGGACCGATGGGACCACGCGCTCTTCAACCTATCTGACGCGGACATAACCGCGTTCACGCAGCGGCTCGACGAGGAACTGCGCGCGTCGCAGCATGAGTACGAGGAGAGGGGCACGGACGTCGCACCCAGCGGCGTACAGTGGCAAACGCTCGCCCGGACCCTGATCGATCGGCACGCGGAGCGGCTCGAGCTCGCACGCGGGCTGCTCGAGCGGGGCGCGGATGCACACGCGTACGGGAACGTGCTCCGACAGGCGCGCAGGGCGCACGTGCAGCTCCGCACGATGATCATGCCGTACGTGCTGTACACCGCCGTGCCTCCCGCCGCCAGCGACAGCTCATCCGGCTCGCCAGCTCCGCCACACGCGTGGGCTGCGCCCATCTTCCGCGAATGCGCCACGGCACACACCGCCGCGCTCTTCCGCCCGACCATGCACGCGCGCCTCACGCGCAGCGAGCAGACGCTGCTGCGCGCCGTGCGCGAGACGTCGCGCGAGATATGCCGCGTCGTCGTCGGAGTGTGGGCGGACGGCGTGGAACTCGGCATCGGCGAGCGCCAGGTCCGCGATCCGATCATGAACTTCCCGAACCCGCCCGACCCGGAGCAGGACGTGCCTCCGCCCGACGTGCGCATGAGCGAGAGCGAACTGCGCGATATGGTCGGGCGGTGGCACGCCGAGATCAATGGTTTGATGGCGTGGTTGGATTGGAGCGAATGGGTGCGGTGTGAGCCTGCGTGCGGATTCGAGGTGAGCCTTGTTTCCTTTCTTGTTTGGAGATGCACAGCGCTGACGACTTGCGGAACGCAACTGCAGGAACTGTGTTACCTCCCCACGTGGCCATGGGACATGATCAGGATTCCCGGTGCACCGCACAAGCCCATGCCAAAGGACGAGGAGGGCAGGCCGCAGTGGATGCGGCCTCAGCCGAGGTGTATTCGGAGGGTCGAGCCTTACGATCTATTGGAGTAGACGCGCCGTCGTCTTCGAATCCGCCCAGATATACGCACATATCTCTTTCTTTTGCTGTTTTAACGTAACTAACCCAATAATGTACATATCGTCTGCTGCGCACGATGGCACCGCGGCTACAAGGTGTTGTGCCGCCAATCTCACCTTGCAGTATTTTCCAGAGAATAAAACGCGGGACCACAAGCGCAGCAGTATCAGGGTGACGTATGTGAGCGATTCAAAGTCGAACTTTGCTATCCCTTGTTTCATCTCTGTTGAATCCCCGTTTTCTCATTGAATCTTGGATTCGTAAATGCAAACCCAAAGGCGGGAAACCGTCAAATCCTAAAAGTAAGACGATAGAACAAGTCACCGCAAAGGAATTACCGGAAGAGTGAGAGAGATGGCGACAGAGACTGTCTTGAAGAGTATCAGCATTGGCTTTGGAGATTCGCGGGGCACTGATCACCGTTCTGCGTGGTAATGGTTTGACACGGTCGCGCGAACAGGTCCTCACTGCCCTAATCATTCTGTGTCCAGTAGGCGCGTTGGGATTGTAGAGTTGCTGATTCGGCGGATTTAGACGGAGACAAAACCAAAGACGATCACGATGCTATTTAATGTATCCAAGAGTCAAAGGTTGTTGTCGAGATGAATATGTTCGGGTGCTGACTCATTCTCCGACCTCTCGACGATTTATCATCAACATATCGGCGCTTCTCTTGCTTTTAACAGAGATTCTCTTTGTCAGACGACGCTGACAAAAGCCTAGAGGGTTCGCTTGCACGACGTATAAAACCTCGATGCGTCAAGCCCCCTCTTTTCCTCAGACTCATTCGAGTCATCGCGTCCTCTTCACCTATTACATTCACCCACCTCCACCCGGTATCTCTAGATCCATATCATGTCCCACGTCGGCACATTCTACGGCTTCGAAAAGCAGCGCCAGGCCATAACCGTGCGCGCCGTCGCGGCGATCACGGGCCAGTCGCTCATCACGCCCCCGGTCATAAACGGCGAGACGAACAGGACGCCCGAGTTCCTCGCGCGCTTCCCGTTCGGCAAGATCCCCGCGTTCGAGGGCGCGGATGGGTTCTTGCTCACCGAGGGCGCGAGCATCGCTCGGTATCGTGAGTGTTCAAGGATGTGTGAGGGTTTTGCAGAAACGCTGACGCGCTCACCCATGTTCGGCTGCCTTGAAAAGTGGCAGCAAGGAAACCCGAGAGCGGGCTCCTCGGCAGGGACATTAAAGAAGACGCGCTGATCGACCATTGGGTGCACTTTGCGGAGACGAACCTCTACACGAACCTCGAGCCCATCTTTTACTTCTCCGCCGACGTCTCTCCGGGGTACACGCCTGAGGTGAGCTCAACTTCTACTAGTCCTGTTTCAACAAGAAGAGTCTAATCGTGGCCAATCAGCAAACGGAATGGCTGTACAACCGCGCCATCTTCGCTCTCAGCCACATCGAGTCGCACTTGGGCGAAGAGGGCGGCCGCCAATACCTCGTCGCGGAGCGACTGACTCTCGCAGACATCGTCCTGGCTGGGACCATCTACTTTGCGACGCGGGTCGTCCTTGGCAAGAAGGAGCGCGAGGCGCTGCCGAGGACGATGGCGTACTTTGAGAGGATCAAGGCAGACAAGCGCGTGGGCGGAGAGATCACGGAGCCAGAGTATTTGGAGGTCAGTTGGAAAGGAAAGTCGGTGGCAAAGTGAAACTATTAAGGTTTCAAGCGGTTGAATGGGAGGTTATTTCCGTCACAGAAAGACTTGGAAGAGCTGTAGTAAAATTCAGATATGGTGTTTATGCCCCGGTTGCCTTCCAGACGATGATATGGATGTTTACAAGGGCCAGTGCTTAAAGGAATGCATCGAGTTTGAGTAGACCTTGTAATTGGGTTGGCTTCCATTGGTTGGGAATCCTCTGAACGACTAAGGCCTCTCGTAAGGCTCGACTCGATCGATATTGCCGGGACATGCATGCGCGCCTCATGCGGAGCGAGCAATCGAGATATGCTGCGTCGTTGTGGTCATGTAGGCGGACGGCGGCGAGTGCCACATCTCCGCCCCCATCATGAACTTCCCCAACCCGTCCAACCCGGAACAGGACATGCCTCCTTCCGGCATGCGAATGAGCGAGGGGAGCTGCGCAATATGGTTGAGCGCTGGTACACTGAGATCAAGGGCTTGTTGGTGTGGCTGGATTGGAGCGAGTGGGTGTGGCGTGAGCCTGCGTACGGGTATAAAGTGAGACTTGCCAGACGTTGATCGCCATTCTGCATAGTAATGCTTTGACACAGTCGCGCAAATAGGTTCAAGCCGTCCTAGCCATTCTGTATCCAGTAGATGTGTTAGTATTCAAGAAAAACTGGTTCGGAGGGTTTAGACAAAGACAAATCCAGTCTGGCGTCCATCGCCGAGTCGCCGACCCTACTACTTGATATCAACAGATTTTTCTTTGTCAGACGACGCTCGGGCTGACAAAACGCTCGAGGATTCATTCGTCAGACGACGCTGACAAAAGGCTTGAGAGTCCACTTGCACAACATATAAAACCTCAATGTGTTCGGCCATCTCTTCTCCAGACTCATTGAAGCCATCGCGGTCCTCCTCGCCTATTACATTCCACGCTCACAGCACCATCTCCACTAGATCACATATCATGTCCCACGTTGGCACATTCTATGGCTTTGAGAAGCAGCGCCAGGCCATAACCGTGCGCGCCGTGGCGGCGTTCACGGGCCAGTCGCTCATCACACCCCCCGTCATATACGGCGAGACAAACAAGACGCCCGAGTACCTCGCGCTCTTTCCATTCGGCAAGGTCCCCGCGTTCAAGGGCGCGGACGGATTTTTGCTCACCGAAGGAGCAACCATTGCTCGGTATCGTAAGTGGGCCAGAGTTTCGAGGACGTTTGGGGGCTTTGTCGCTGACGCGCTTAACTTTGTTTGCCTGTCTTAAAAAGTGGCAGCGAGGAATCCAGAGAGCGGGTTGCTGGGAAATGATATCAAGGAGAGCGCGCTGATCGACCACTGGGTGCACTTTGCGGAGACGAACCTCCACACGAACCTGGAGCCCATTTTTTTCTGGTCCGTTGGCATTGCGCCGGGGTACACGCCTGAGGTGAGCTGAACCTCTCCTGTTCGAGCAAGATGAAACTCATTTCAGCCCATTAGCAAACAGATTGGCTATACGACCGTGCCATCTTCGGGCTCGGCCACGTCGAGTCGTACCTGGGTGAAGAGGGCGGGCGCGAGTACCTCGTTGCGGGGCGACTGACGCTTGCGGACCTTGTCATGGCTGCAACCATCTACTTCGCGACGCGGGTCGTCCTTGGCAAGAAGGAGCGCGACGCGCTGCCAAGGACGATGGCGTACTTTGAGAGGATCAAGGCAGACGAGCGCGTGGGCGGAGAGATCACGGAACCCGAATATTTGGAGGTCAGGTGGGAGGGAAAGCCAGTGACGAATTAAAACTAGTAAGTTGCTGGATGAGAAGCTTTAGTAATCATAGAATATTTGAACGAAGCTATAGTAAGTTTCAGATACGTTCCTTGTTCTGCGTTTGCCTTGCATAAGTAGCCTGCGAAAGACTAAACTTCAGCAAGCGTAGTTGGGCAACTGAGAGGCGCATCCTGATTGTTCCGAGAAAACAATCACGAGGGAAAAGCATAAGAAGAGCAAGGATCTCAGTAACTTGATAAAAGCCTGAGGGTAGCGAATGCCGCTGTCTTAGCGTTGTCGACGATATTTTCGTTTGACCTGAGGTTTGGGAGTTACGGATGGTGCTACGCAGAAGAGTTGCCCATAGCTCCCTGGATCAGAGGCTGCTCCCAGCATGCTGCTCCACCGACTTCAGAGAAATAGTGTTTGTCCGGGACCTTGCTGGATGCTTGAGCTTGAAGCTTGAAGTCCAGACGTTTTCGGAGATGGATAAGGCTTGCTATTAAGTCTCCGCTCCGGCACCAGCCGGCCCCTGTCTTCTCCACCGCGCAACTGATATCAACATTTGGTATAACCAGCAAAAATCGACCGCCCTCTTCAAGCCCTCTTCCTCTAAACGGTTCCAGGGTATTAATGACGAGATAGCTCGAACACGACCCACAAGGTTTCGCTCGAGTCATCGGACGGATACAGCCATTGTGTATCTTCGTATTCAGGCGTCAAGTGGCCTGCGTACGACTTGCGGCCCTTTCAAGACCACTGCGCCTACTGCTCTAGGTCAGCATGTTTCTTATCATAGGATGCTTGGCTGTCCTGCGCAGCCGTCAATCCACTCAGCGCTGAAGCCAGCGGTGAGAATAGGTTCTTTAGGTTCCGAAAGTGGGTCAACTCAAGTCATCTCCGTTGCGCAGGCCGCAGCCGCTCGCTGAGAAAGCAGGACTCTGACACGCAAGGGCTCCCAGGGCTTCAACGATTCATAAAGATACCAGCGACACGCTTCGTTGATATCAGGAACAGGGTCCAATGTAGGACTATGTAGACCCTAGCAGGCCTACGTAGATTTACATTGGACCCTCATTTTCCCTAATGCTTTTGCGCCTCTTCGACCTTTGAGAGTACTCTCTAACCTATCATCTATAGCCTGTTCCAATACCCACGTATCACCGCCACCCATCACGCAGCAAAGAGCAATTTGCCCCGACGACGACTAAATTAGACATACATGCGTCTCACCGCAGGGACGTTGCTACTTCTCTGCTTCCTGCGTAATACCTATGACATTTCGGAGCCTCAAGGCCCCTCTCAACATCCTCCGCAGGGAAACAAACCCATGGCTCCTCGTGTCTCCAACAACATAAAACCACACACCCCTGTCATGCTCGGAGTCCCTAACACTCTTCTTCACCATGTCGATCATGTCAATCATACCCGAACAACACCCCGATATATCAGTCGAATTACTAAGGGACGTCGTCTCCAACCTGCGCGCGCTGGACGTCGCCGCCATCTCACTCGGCGTCTGGCTCCTCCTCAAAGCCGCACGCGTCGCCCGCCGCCGCGTCGTCGCCACCAAGCTCCACGGGCCACCGCGCACAAATCTCCTGCTCGGCGAGGGCTACAAGATTAACGAGAGCAACGACCCTGGCTCGCTCTACGAGGCCTGGGAAAAGGAGTATGGAAGCGTCTACTCCCTTCCGTCGACGATCGGGATGTCCAAGATCGTGCTGTGCGACAGCAAGGCCGTTCAGCACTTTTACAAGTTCGAGACGTCCCGGTACGAACGGCCGGAAGTGGGGAAGTTCTTGGTGCACGCGTTGGCGAGTCCACCTCAGCCGTTTGCCCGTGATGCTGTTATTTGACGTTCACGGTGATTTTGATTGTAGGTTGGGAAAAGTGTTGTCACAGAAGTGAAGGAACCTCACAATAGGTATGTGGTATGGACATTGAGCAACGTGACATTCCTCAGCGCATCAACAGGCAACGTAAAGCAATGACTCCAGCGTTCAGCAACGCTGCTATCCGTAATGTCACAAGCACATTCTACGATTCTGCTTACAAGGTGAGTAAAAGTCCTTCTGCAAGTTTCTGATCTGACGAGGGCATGGTGCCATCAGGTTGTGGACGCCTGGTCCTCCATCCTCGAGTCTTCGCGTGAAAATGTCATTGAGGTTCAGGGCTGGATGAGCCGTGTCTCGTACGCCTTTCATACGCCGTCTTTCATCAGTGATCACAAATCTGACTATTTGTAAGGCTCGACTCAATCGGCATCGCAGGCTTCTCTCACAATTTCGGAACACTGGAAGGCAAACACTCCGACGTAGCCGCGGTGTTTGACAAGTTCTCATCGAACTCGCCCTCGATCATATTCAAGCTGGGGCTGACGCTCGGGCTCCTCTTCCCAAGCCTCATGAAGCTGCCCAGTAGCCGGATGCAGCTTACTCGAGAGCTGAATGAGGCCTTGGGTGGTGCGGCAAATAACTTCATGGATCGCATGCGCAATGAGAAATTGGGGCTCACACCAGGCCAGGAGGACAAATCAGTTATCGGATTGCTCGGTGAGCGTAATCTCCACGATATTGCAGTCGAGGTACTGACAATCCTCTCAGTCAAGTCTCAGTCGCCTGGCGCAGAGCTGTACATGTCGGAGGAGGAAGTGCTTTCACAGATTAAGCTACTTCTGGTTGCTGGCTACGAGACCACTTCTGGTACGTCTATGTTTGCCTGGCTGCAGTGGTGTTCTGACTCGCTCTCGTACATGTCTAGTCAGCTTGTCCGTGAGTAAAGCCGAGGTATCCGTGTCAGAGATGTGCTCACTTTTTATAGTGGGCGCTAGCTGAGCTGTCGCTGCACAAGCATTCCCAGGACCGCCTTAGGGAAGAACTTTCCCAGTTCACCACCAGAGATCCGACATACGAGCAGCTTACTCACGGACTGCCGTATCTCGACGCGGTTGTCCTGGAAACTCTCCGCCTCCACGGACCTGTCCCGGCAACTGCGCGCATAGTGCGTTTAAGCTGCTAATATGCAACATCCCTCTCTCTAACGTCTCTCCTCTCCTATCGATGAACAGGCTACGGAAGACGACGCCATCCCGCTCAGCGAACCCATCAAGGACCGGTCAGGCAAGTACGTAGACCACATCGTCGTCCCCAAGGACACCCAGGTCACTGTCTCGATCGCATACATGAACCGGTCCGAGAAGTACTGGGGCCCCGACGCGAAGCTGTTCAACCCAGAGCGGTGGCTCAACCCCGGCGGGCTGGAGACGCGCGCGAGGGAGATCCAGGGACATAAGCACCTGCTGACGTTCATCGACGGCCCGCGGACGTGTCTCGGCAAGGCGTTCGCGCTCGCGGAATTCAAGGCGGTGCTGTCGACGCTGGTGAGGAACTTCGAGTTTGATATGCGGGATGCGAAGGCGCAGATTGAGATCGCGAGGGGGCTGTTGCCGCGTCCTAGGGTTGTTGGGGAGGGTAAGGTGGATTTGCCTCTGCGCGTCACTCGGTTGTGATAAGGTGTAGTGTAGCGAAGATCATGGTGATAGTGGTTCTCTATTTTGGATGGACTCGATCGGTTTCTCATTATGCGTGTTATCCGTATTTATTGGCTCATAATAGTTTACACTCATCATGCATAAAGCCAAACTACGACATGCGGGGTGCACGGCATACTCCGAACCAACCGCCTTCTAGCTCAGAGTTCTGGCAATGCCTGTCGCCTCCAACCCCAGCAACTATCGGCCGATCTCATGGACACAAGCACTTTTGGGAACAATGTCATGTTATCAGATATGCACCGAGAGAGTGGTGCTCTGATCTGTGCCTTGAGATAAGGCTGCGGCGCAGTCGTGGTGAGCGGTGGCCGTGCCTTTTGGGTTGTGCAAGGCTGCTAAACATAGCGAAAGTGCGTCCTGTCGCTGCCACCATCACAATCATAAATCATGCACGTCCAGCGTTCCCCACCTTTCTTTGCTCTCCCTGCTAGTCCACTATGCGGGCGGCTAACCCGTTTTCTGCGTGCAGATTCGCTCTGGCGACTGTAGCGCTCGTCTCTGCATGTCAAGCAGCCCAGATACCATTCATCTCGACACCAGAGACCTCCCACACCAGCCATCCTTCGTTCATCGAGTCGGACGAATGGCGCTTTGACCACTCACCGTCGCCGAACGAGACCGCCAATTTCATATTCGACACCGTCGCTTCAGCGCTCCAGCACTGGCCTCATACCCGCTATCGCAATGGTCAGTCCCACCATCTTCTCCCACCCGTTCACCCCAGTATCCAATGACGGTCCTTTCATTTAGGTCACGCCCTCATCCCTGGCTACATCCCCGTCGGCACCCTCCTTTACCACGGCGCCTCAGGCAACAAGATCCCTGACCACCCGGAGTGGATTGCAACCGACCCGGAGCACTCATACGCGTTCTGCCGCGGCCAGGACGACGCGGGGTGCTGGCACCTTACTCTCGCCGCCGTCCGCCCGCTCAAGGTGCTATATTTCGACGGGAGTAGCGCCGCCAAGATGGACGACGGGCCGATGCACACCCAGGACATCGTCGCGTGGGGCGGGGTGCGCCCGGATAGGTCGTTCGATGAGAGGAACAGGATCAAGGACCTGTGCGAGTGGGGAGATAAGTATGGGGTGGATGGGTATGTGAGGTGAGTACATTGCTATGTTATGGTGTCTTTTGATTGGAGAAGCTGACATCTGCTCCCTGTATTCAGGATGGAGATGGATTTGTATGTATACCCAACTCTCTTCGGAATAACCACCCTTAGACTACCTTTTCAGCGAAATCATGCTCTGTAACTTCACCAACGGCGTCGAGATTGTCTCCTGGTCCAATCTGCGTGCCAACGGCCGGGGCGGCCCGGGGCGTGGTGGTCCCGGTGGTGGTCCCGGTGGCGGTCCCGGTGGTGGTCCCGGTGATGGCCCCGACAAAGGCCCTCCTCCGAATCGGAACTTCGACAAAGACGACGACCCCGCGAGCCCTCCCTCTCCCGGCCAGCCCATCAAAGTACCCAACTCGGGCGGGCCCAACGTCATGCTCGCCGGCTCGTGGCACAACCGCTACCCGGGCGACACGCGCATCGCGCTGCACACGCACCGCCTCATCACGTTCTACGACACCGCGCTCGTGCCCTCCCTCGCCCCCATGCGCGCTGCCGCGGAGACGCGGTTCGAGCACTCGCTCACGGGTGTTGACGATGCGGATGTGCGTGCGGTCATGGGCCGCCTCGAGGAGTACTATGCGAGCCAGGTCGGGGTGGAGGCAGATGTGGACAGGCCGGCGAGCGGTATGGACTGGCAGACGCTCGCGAAGGTGATTGTGGATCGGCATGCGGACAGGCTCGAGCTCGCGCGGTACTTGTTCAACGAGAGCTTGCATGCACTTACCCCCGCAAATGCTTCCGCTCAGGCTTCCTCATCCAAAGCGCTCGCGCTCGCGCAGCGGGCGCTCACTGAGATCCACGGAGTCATCTTCCCGTACGCTCTCCACTCCGCACGGATGCCCGGGGACACCACAGAGGAAGGAGACGAAGGAGAGGACAAGAACGGGCCGCACGCATGGGCCGTCCCGGTCTGGCAAGAATGCACGGACGCACACACGCGCTCGATATCGCGCCGCCCTGAGCGCCTCATGCAGAACGAGCACACGCTGCTGCGCGCCGTGCGCGAGACGAAGCGCGAGATCTGTCGTGTTGCTGTTGGGATCTGGGCCGATGCCGAGGAACGCACGTTTGGCGCTTCCGACGAGGGCGAAGATCAAGGCGAAAGCAAGATTGACGAAGACGCGCTGCGCGCTGCTGTGACACACTGGCTAGACGCCGTCGTTGGCCTGATGGACTGGCTCGACTGGAGCGTCTGGGTGCGGTGCCGGCCCGCGTGCGGATACGAGGTGCGTCTATCAACGTCTTCTCACATATCACATAAACTGATTTTAAAATTAAAAATAAATATCTGCAGGAGTATTGCTACCTCCCAACTTGGCCATTCATGCGCGGTGGTGCCCGCAATGGCGACCCAAACGACGGCAAGCGCTTCACGCCAGCCCCTCAGGGGCTTCTGAGTAACATCAGCATGCCCGAAGAGAAGCACGAATGCCCCAAGGGCGGTCCCTTGCGCAGCGGCGGGCCTCGAGGTGGACGCGGTGGACGCGGTGGGGGGATGCGCTGGCCCCCGCCCGGCGGAGATCGTGATACCGAGCAAGAAGGTGGAGACGACCCCGCCCCTGGGCCTGAGCCTCCAAGGCGCGGCGGACCTCGTCTGCCGGACGATGACAGCTACAAGAGGCCGCAGCCTGTGTGTATGCGGCGCGTTGAAGAGTATTAGGCTTCAGGTCTGATTCTGGCTCGATTCCGGCTCGATTCTGATTGTGTTTGGGCTTTTTCGTTGGGCTTGATTAGTTGGAGACAGAGATTTGGTATATGTCCATTGCTTGCTTGATCGCCGCTGTATTCAAAAAAAATGTCGGAAAAACCAAAACAGCCATCTTAACGGTGGCGGCATTTAGCGTCTCAACGCGACTATATGGGGGGGTTACATTGTCAAGATGCCTTTTAAATGTCGTCAAGACGGCGCCAAGACGGGAATGCGGCGGTAGCGACGCGATGTGATTGGCTTTTCATCGTCGATGACCCGTTTATATGAGCTTCAGAACGGCATCTCAATTGTACGAACCCCCCCCCGGGTTAACCACTGGGGGCATTAGTCGATGTTTCCAGGGAAAACATGTCAAAAACATTTAAAATGTTTTGCTCAAAATTCCATATTTGGAAGGTGACCTTCCCAATTAGGAAGGTTGCCCTCAAAACATTTCAAATGTTTTCCACAAAAACATGGGCAATTGCCCCCAGTGTAAGATGGGGTTGCCATCAAAATGCGTTGCAATGCATTTGGACGCAATTTTGTTTTTTCCGACATATTCTTTTCTCTCGTTCCGGAGAGTGCAGTATGCTGCCGCATGCATGAGGGTGTCGCTCGGAAACGCCTGTTTATTATCTCGTAGGATCGAAAGAGAACCAAGGCACCTTGCAAGGCACAGTACTTTTGTGTTGTTGAGGGCATCACGGAATTGTGTTAAGATGATTTAAGAAGATGAAAACAGGAGACCTAGTACTATAGGGCGCGTCAATTCTTGTTTCTACTTCCTACTTCTTACTTTCTACTTGGACCTCGGCTACTGAGAGCTACCGAGTCAATAGAACAGACCCTGACGCGTGACGTGTGAACGCTAATGCTATTTTGAGGCGGCGGCTGCACAGCCACCAAAGAGATCGCACCTCCAAGCCTGGCATCTCCACCCTTGTTTCAACCTCTCATCCTGTTAACATCCTAGCGTCACTGGTTAAGATGTATATTGTGGGTTACCCTCACGGTATACACCTTAACCAGTACAGTATCTACACTAGTACTTGATGAAACACAACAGTAGGAGTGGCTACACCCCATAGCACCAACCAAAAGTTGGCACTCGCGTTCACACGGTTAGGGTCATTTTCTTGGCTCGGTAGCCGAGGTCCAAGTAGAAAGTAGGAAGTAGGAAGTAGAAACAAGAGTTGACGCGCCCTTATAGCATTACGACCTTATGTCGCAAATTTAGTATACCGATTGCAGGCTGGTTGCAAGGCACCAAAATCGGCAATGGCCGCAATCGGACAGTCCACTCTCAGCCAACCTGTCCGAACTTAGACAGGTGGACAGGCCTGCAAACAACAAAATTGTACAGAAAATAAGATAACTATATAAACAGCACTCATAAATGTCCTCATTGGATTGATACCCCTTGTGATAATATCTTCACTACAGGATAAAGATGAGAGGACCGTTTGACCTGAGGTGGACAGGTGGTATTTAATTTAATAATTTCCCACCCACCACGAACTTAAGGCGCTACAGCAGTCATAATATATAAACAAGGCCGGCCAATGTTAACGAAACCCCGTCTAGAGCTTTGGACAGGTCATGCATATGGGGTGTACCGTATTTTAAATATTCCTGGATCGTCCGCGAGAACGTATCGCGCGCTCTTCGCGGGACCGTCGGGAGGCAGACTCCTATGATATTTATATCATAGGAGTCTGCTCCGGGCCCATATGGGCGTATCCGGGCGGGTCGGTGAATTGGAGCACATTTTGATGTCCTTCTTTGATCGACCTACCCGCCCGGATACGCCCATATGGCTGGACGATTCACCGATTTTTTCATGTCATAATTTGATGGCTATCTGGGCCCATCTGGGCGTATATGGGCGGATCGGTGCACTCAATTCCGACCCAGTTCCGACGATATGAGCTCAAAGTGTTAAATAGACTACCATAGTAGATTATGACAATGGAGTTGATGGATATTATGAATACCAAACCCAACTTGGATTTTCATTATCAACTACGGTAAATAATTGGTAAATACAGTTATACATGCGATTATAATCTACTATCTCAAGTCTCAAGGGGATGCATGTGGGATATAGGAGGCTGGTGTGTACGAGCAGTGAACACGACAAATGTTCACAGGGAAAGAAAGCGACACGGTACATTTGTGAAAGTGGATTGATGAAGAAAGTTTAGACCAAAATACGAGAGCGGGCTCACCCTCTGTGCTTCAACTGCGCCGAGCTGTCTAAACAACTGGATTGATCACTCTACAGCGCCGGAAGTGGAAGTGTTGTGTACCCGCGCCTGGAGTGTTGTAGCTGCAGAGGAGGCCAAGAAGAGTGTCGTCGGATTGAGAGACTACGGAAGTGGTGGTAGTGAGAAGGGAAGGAGATGGTGCAGGTACACTGGCAGGAAGGGCGACGCCCTCCTATCAGATGGATTACTATAGTATGCGCAGAGCCGAATATGCTACGGTCTCTAAAGCACGGCTGCGATGGCGTGAAACCATACAAGGATTCCGACGCCAATCCGACGCCGTAATAAGTAAAATCTAAGATGTACCCTTGAAAGATTTTCGAACCTTTGAAACCAGTTTGGATCACTGGAATTTAGCTTACCTGATTCAGCTTTTTAACACACACATATGCGCTCGGCAATTCACGAAGCAGCATCAATACTTGAATCTAGCGCTATGAGGAACATGCCATTAATAGTATCGGGCAGTTCGGGGGTTTGTTTAGCTTCCTGACTTCCCAAACGCGTTGAATTCCTGTTTACTCTACTCGCGCCATGGCCACGTGAAGTGATTTTCACCGATGCGCCCGTATTTTCTTTGATGCGAAATCTGCTCGTCTCTTATCTGTGCTCCAATAAACCGACCCGCCCGGATACGCCCGTATGGGCCCTGAGCAGGTTTCCACTGGGTATATGATACTCCGCGGCCTGACTCGGCTTATTTAGCGCTCCTGCCTTCACGAGTCAAGCCGCGGAGTCTGGACGGGACGAAGATAGTGCGATGATCCAGATTCAGACCCAGGCACGATCCCTCGGAAATGCTCATCGCAGGACCGTCGGGACGGGGATAGTAGCGACGTCGACGCTGCAGATCCAAATGCAGATCCAGGCTCGGATGCACGGACGAGCGCTTAACATTAACGGTGCCCGGTCTTCTATTTGGAACCCATCCCCCTTCGCCCCTATGTTGCACTTGCGTCATTGCCCTATCTAACTATTTACTAATATAACAACATTCACGCTTTCTCACTGTTGTGGATGACGAACAGCAGATAACTTCCAGCCGTTATCACAAACGTCGGTATCTTCAAGCAACATGGCCAAAGACTATGAGCCAGCTAACACAACCCCAAATCGGTCACGCTTCCCGGATAACATGGAGGATTTCAAGTCGTAAGGCCCAAGACATCTAATAGGACGCGCGAACATCCTCGGGTTCGGAGGAGCTATGGGACACAATCCCAGCGTAGCCGTGTTTTCCGGGTACCATTGAGGATTCGTCGCCAGACCGGGGCATCTTACAGGGCGAACGTTCCCCTTCAAGAAACTGTCCAACCTACTTCAGAGGAGCTATGAGGCAACTCATCAGATCGGTACGCGTCAAGCTAAGGTAGGCTGCACTCAAGTACTCAGGTATATCAAGGACCCAGAAACCTATTTGGGGCAGGTTTCTGGGGACATTGATTTTGGCCCCCTTCTTCCTCTGGCGCTCATCAGATCAAAGGCTCAGCGCTCAGCGCCAGGGATCAGCGCTTGCACTACCTGTTTGCTGTATGTCCGCTCTTGCCGATTTCTGCATGTCCGCTCTGTAAATGTGTATAAAGTGGTATGACCACCATCCATGTTCGTCAGGTCACCGCCCTCTTCACCGTGTCATGCCACCCCCCTCACGCCGGGTCTGTCTCCTCACATAGCCTGAGATCATGTCAGCCACTTATTGTTTGATATCTATAGTCAAAGTGCCACCGCTGCACTAAATGCAACCAATGCTTCACTAGCGTTAGAGATGCTCGCATTCACATCAACGGTATACAGTGCGTGTCTTTTGCTGAAACCATATATAACGAAGCAGTTCATCTCTGTTCTAGCCTAAAGAATAAAACGCTCAGGTGTCTCATTTGTTCCGCGGAAGGCCCTGATCCAAGTGGCATGAGACGCCATTGCCAGCATGCCCATAACATCCTCAAGCCGAGATCCAAGGTACACTATGAGAGGTTCAACGGTGAGCTTTCCCAAGGCTTTCCCTCTCTAAGTACTTGTGTCAGATTTTGACTCGTGATATTTTCTTCTAGAGAGCATCGAATGGAAGGAACACCACGAAAAGCTTCAAGCCGGCGACCTTGCAGCTAACGCGTCTGTTCCTGCCCCGGCACACGAAAATACACCCCAATTTCCGTCGACATCCACGAACGCTTGGTTTACCGATGCTGCTCCTCACTGGATCCCAAACGATGAGGCCGTGACGACCGGTTCGAGCGTTAGCCCTGACCATGGTAGCCCCATATCAATGTCTGGTAAACCCTTCGTCTCCTCATCGACAGACTTGCTGTAATGAATGGTGGACATAAGTTGACTTCTTTGTTATCTCAGGACAAACCAATCCGGCAGGATGGAGTTGGTTACTCCAAGCTTCTTCTACCCAGTCTTCTTCAGATTCTATCGATGCATATCCTTCCGATGACTGGTCCCTGGAGTTGGACGACTCATGGTGGAATATGTGGCGATGAATATATAGTTAAATTGCTTTTGCAGAAATGTTCTTATTGTTGAAGTGTATCCCTCTAGCCTCGTGTCAATCCGTCACGTTATGTTCTTAGATTTACTTGACTTTGGTTTCAACTTCATGTGATCAGTTCATTCATACTCATACACGCGCTTGTCTCGCCCGTAACCTCAGCCGTTTCCTTCTACACGACTGAGATATGTTGCACATATTTTGTGTTATTTTCGCATGTTATACTTATGCACCTTCGTCTTGTTTGTTATCAGGTACACATTGTAGTACCAGCCATTTCCCTCTCCACGATGCAGCTGAGTTTCGTTCGTTATCGTTCCTAAGACTCATAGCCTATATCATCCGTCGAGTCGTAGGCAGCGTACTATATTGCTGATTTTCTTTTAGTATTTCTCAGGATCCTGAAGAGCGCAAAACTTCATTTCGAGGAAATTACTCAGGCACTAGTAGCCTAACTCGCTCATGTAAAAGGGAGTCAGCCCGGTTGATGATAGCTACAACAGCCTTGTAGGAATAAATGTACCCTCGGAGGACGCACTGTCACTCACAATAGTTTCCGCAGAGCACAAAAATCCATGTTCCCAACCGGACAAGCAAAGCGAGGACGAATTAAAGTCGTCCGGGAATTCCACAAAATGTGGGGTACCGCTGAATCTACGAAGAACGCCAGGGCCGCAAGACCTCCCGCATCAGCACCAGCCGTACACGGCAGCAGCACAATACTTCGCAAGCAAAAGACGCTGGTATCGAAGAAGCACTAGTTATTATACTTAGTGCCCAGAAGGGTATATCCACAGAGCTACGATAAGTACACGTGAATACACAATAAATATCTGAATACCCGGCTGAACGCCGACGCAAAGCCTAATAAGAATAAAATAGCATAAGTATACGAAGAGAGGGTGCGCGTGCGGTGGTGGCGATGGGTGGTGGAGGTGGTGGAGGGACCCGGTAGTACACAACAGTGGGGATGTGCAGCGCAGGATGGGGAAAGCGTAGCGGGGATGCGGACGTGCTTGAGAGCAGGGGAAGAGGGGGAGGGGTGGAGGGAAAGAGAACCAGTGCAACAGGGCGACGGACACAGCAACGGAGCACTATAATGCGCCGAATCGGATGTCAAGCATGCGCAACGGCAGGAAGGGGAGGGGCAACAAGGAAAGAGCGCCCTAAGGGTACAGCAACCCGCCGGACAACCAAGAGCCTACACTGCTGCTGTCACCCGTAGCGTCGCATGCCCCGGGTCCTCCGCGCGCCTGAGCGCCTCGAACGCCGCCTCGCTCGCGCTCTCCACGCGCTCGGGACGCTCCGCACGCAGCCCCTTCGCGGACCTAAGGAACACCCACTCAGGCACGAAGCCGTACCGCGCTTCTTGCGGCTGGGGCCCCGGCGGCGCGTTCGAAACGGCGTTTGGATCCGAGTCGGGCATGGGGAAGATGGCGTTGAGCAGCGAGCGCCGGACACCGCCGCCACCGCCGCTGCGGGCGACAAGGAACCAGCCGTCCGCGAACGTCTGCAGCACAGCGAGCCGCTCGCCCTGTGAGACGGACAGCTCTTCGGGGCGCCCGGACGCGGGCGTGAAGCTCTGCTGCGCGATGTACGGCGCGCGGGAGGCGCGAGAGGATCGGGAGGCGCGTTTGCTGGACGCGCGTCTGCCAGTGCTGGGAGCGAGAGAGGCGTGTTTGCCGGAGGTGACGCTCGCGCGGGAGCTCTGTGTGAACCCGAACGCGGACGACGGGTCGAAGTCGACGGGTGTGGGCGGGGCGGAGGAGTAGATGGACGGCGCTGAGAACATCGACGTCGGCGTGGGCGGCTCGGGCTCGGCGATCTCGTAGTCGCCAAAGTTGACGGGAGCCTGCCGTTGCTGCATCTCGAACACGGCAGATTGGTGCGTGTAGGCCGATGCCGGCGACGCAGGCTCGACGACACGGGGGCGGCTGGTCGGCACTCCCTGCACGGGCGACCCACTGTGCCGCATGACGAGATCTGGACGAATGGCAGCCTTTGGCAGGGGCGAGATTGGCTCGCTTCGGGCGGGGGTATTGTAGCTGGCAAACGGAGGTGGACTGGAACATAAGATCAGTTGAATAAGGATTCAATACGTAAATGAGGGCGTCTACAGACCTCGGCTGGGTAATGCGACGCTGCTGCCCCTGATACACCAGCACCTCCACCTCCACCCGTCCCCGTGCGCTCCCATACCCCGAGCCAAACCTTCCAGCAGACTTTCGCTGCTCTGGAGCCTCCGTCTCCTTCTTCAATTCCCGCTTCATCTCTATCTCCATCTCACGCTCTCTCTCCTGCTCCTCCTGCTCCTTTGCAGCATTGCGCTCATATACCTGGCTATCATGCTCGCCCTGCTTTGCCTTGATAATATTCGTCGCATTGAACAAGACCGAGCTGCGCACCATGAGCGCCTGCTTCTTCTTCTTGCGGCGGCGGCGACAACAACAGTACACCGCGATAAGCACGAACAACAGCAGAGCGCCCGCGGCGGCAATGACGACGATGTAGAGCGACTCGTGCGGGGTCGTGCCGCTGAAAGTCGGGAACGAGAACCGGCGGGCGAGCGTCGTGTGAGAGTCGTTGGGGTGGGATTGGGCGAACTGGGGTTCAGAGACGGGGCTCATTGCTAGATGATAATTTAGGTGGGCACGTCGTCATAAAAGAGTACACAGAGATGGAGAAATGAGTGTGGTGGTTCAAACGAATGACTGGGGTGAGCTTGGGCTGCTCAGAGCGGGAGGAGGAGAGGGAGGAAGGGGAAGTGACGGGTCGGGTGAGAGTTGTTGACGTCGCTTGGAATCTTACCATGGCATGGTGCAGGTGGACTGCTGGCGGGAACGCGAGAGCCATCACCGTGTGGAGCGACAAACTAGCGACAAATTGCCATCCTATCAACATCATACGTTCGCGTTGGCAGGCAACCGGCACCGAGACCGTATCCGCGGTCGTGTAAATTGCGCTACATATCCATTCTTACACTACTTTTCCTCTTATCGGTCTGAACTAATGCTGCAGGTTCAGAATCGCGTCCACCTCTGGCTTCACGCTTTTCAACATGTCCTCGGTCCCGTACTTGGGCGCCCAGCCCAGAGCCCGGCCTCTTTTCGAGTAACACTGCGAGTTCGTCCCATAATACCACAGCTAGCGGCACGTACGAAAACGATCAGTCGACCAGTTGACTAGCCCGCCAAGCCAAGCTTAAAACATATGAAACTCACAATTGGAAGCTTCTCCCTCTCCTCCTTTGTGAACGGCGTCGGCTCCGGCTTATCACTCCTGCCCACCTCCGCGAGAGCTTGCGAGACCGCCTTGGAGAGGTCATACCAGCTGTAGTGCCCGTTCTCGCCAAAGTAGAAGCCCTCGCGTCCGTGGCCGATGTCTTGTCCCGCGAGAATGGCATCATACACCTTGCCATACAGGTCCGCGACTTGATAAAAGAAAAGCAAGACCGTTCAGCCAAAATGGAGATGCATCCTCAAAAACGGGTAAAGGGCTCACTGTCATCGATGTGCACACAGGGCCACCTAGCCACACCTTCGCCGACAACGCCGCCCTGCTTGCGACTGATGCCAGTCTTGATCAAGAACGGGATCTGCTGCGAGTGCGGATTCGCGATGCCCTTGTCGAATAGCGGGCCTGTAGCGATTCCGAAGATCGTGGACGGGAGGATGATGTAGCTCTTGATGTAGCCTGTTCGCGGAACGTCAGTTGAAACTCGATCCTCGAAGCTCTCTCGTACGTACCCTCTTTGTCGGCTGCGACGACCAGGAGGTCGACATTGCGATGCGGCTGGTCGTCAGCGAGTGACTCGATCTGGTTCGCATCGGTGTCATCGTAGAACGTCTTGCTTTCGTACGCTCCCTCCGCTCTGTCGACGAGGACACCTGTTCCGGACTGGATCATAACGCAAAGGTTAGTCGGAACCGTTGGTAAAACCATCTCATATGCCTACCGTATGGATATATATAGGAACCTTGCCCGTCTCCTCCTTACGTTTCTTTAGTCCAGCAAGGATAGCCTTGGCGGACCCAACATCATCTGCATCCGCCTACATATCCCGTGCATGTTTAGATTAGATCGGGATCGCCATTTCTGGAGACAAACATACAGTATGAACGACGATATCCGACTTGGCCGCCTGCGCCTCGATCTTGTCCACGTCCTCGAGCGAGCCGCGCAGGACTTTGATGTTGTCGTAGCCCGCTTGCTCGAACTTGGTCGCCTTCTCCTCAGAGCGGACGAGCACCGTGAACTCGGAGTTGGCACTCGAGGGGTGGTTTAGGAGTCTTTGCAGCACGGAGCCACCGATGTAGCCTGTCACGTCGCTCGCGCTTAGTTCATCCCACTCTATCAGGAGGCGATCATGGCGAGGTACAGACCTGTTGCACCGGTAACGAAAACTTGTGTCTTTCCTGACATTATCGCGGTCGTGTTAGTGCAATCTTAGTAGAAGCGAGATGGTTTTCGGTAGGAATGAGAGGACGTGTGACGCCATGAGCGAGGCTGAATATATAGCCTGAGTACACATTCCATCCGATTCTAAAGCCGTCTTGCCGTCGCCATAGTTGGGAGGTGCAGCATGCACGCTCTGCATACATCCAGCTTTGTCATGGCGTCATCGTCGCAACAGCTGGATAGCTTACTAATAAGCTTATAAATCACAGTAGTTAGTAAATGCATCAGCAGCTAGACGCCGTGGGAACTCTGCGGAAAATCCCGTAACCAGAGACCATCCTAGGAAATAACAAACTTTGCAGCTCGAGCTTGAACACGGACTTCATGATCAACATGTCTCACCGCCAGGGGAAGGACAAGACTTCGTCCGCCGTGGATCTGATGCTTTCCACATCTGCGCTACGAAATACAGTACTGTTGCGTCCACTCGCGCCCACAGGTCACATGCTGCTCGACTCGGTGTTCATGCCGCAGTACCCAAGATAGCACCCAACGCATGAACGACGTCAGTGTTGCAGTCATATTGATGCATACATGCGACGAGGTACAGCTCATGATCAACTAACTCCTCTGCTCCTGCTGCCAAAACCTAGCAAGTGCACGCTAGAGCGTCTTCAGGCTTTGTATCGATGCACAGTCCCAAACTACTTGCTACTCTCGAGAATCGCCTCGATCTCCGGCTTCACGCTCCACAGGAAGTCATCAGGTGTGTACGTCGGCTTCCACCCCAGCGCCCTCCCCCTCTTCGCATAACAACGCGAGTTACTCCCAAAGAACCAGAGCTGTCGAAGCACAAACCATCAGTCTTGGGTTCATATCATCTCCGCAGAGACTCACGAATCGTATCTTCTCCCTCTCTTCCTGCGTGAACAACGTCGGCTCCGCTTTATTGCTCTTCCCGAGCGCCACGAACGCCTCCGCGACGGCCTTGGAGAGCTCGTACCAGCTGTACTCGCCATTCCCCGCGAAGTAGTACCCCTCGCGGCCGTGGCCCGCCGTGCCCGCGAGCGCAGCGTCATAAACGGCCGTGTAAAGATTCGCGGCTTAACCTTCTTTCAGCAGCGATTTTGGGTAGGAAACGATGCTCAAAAGACTTACTGTCCTCGATATGAACACACTGCCACCTCGCCAAACCCTCGTTCACCACGCCCGCCTCGCCGCGCGCTAGACTTGTTCTAATCAAAAACGGAAGCGCGACCGAGTGCCGGTTCGCGATCCCCTCGTCGAACAGGGCGCCACTCGCGAGCCCGAATATCTGCGTTGGGAGGATGATGTACGTCTTGACGTACCCTTGCCTGTCGGCCTCGACGACTGCGAGGTCGACGCTACGATGGATCGCGGTGTCTGGAAGGGACTCGATCTGCGTGACGTCGGTGTCGTCGTAGAATGTCGTGCTCGCGAAGCGGCCTTCTGCTCTGTCGGTCAGCGTGCCTGCAAGCGTATGGTTGTCAGCATCATTGCCTTTGAACGCAAGAGAGGTGAGCAGCGTTGCGGACCTGTACCGGACTAAAGTTGTGCGCAGTGAGATGTCTATTCATCTCACTAAACATACTCAGGTCAGCTCACCGTATGTATCAGGATGGGTGCAGTGCTCGTCTGCTCATGCCTCTTCTTCAGCCCCGCGAGGATAGCCTTGATAGCCGTGATGTTATCCGCATCCGCCTGTTTCACCGCGCACGACGTGTCATCACTTGCTCCGATCCTTAGACTGCCTAACAGTACACACCATCGAAAATACAACATCTGACTTGGCCGACTGCACCTCAAGCGTATCGAGGTCGCTGTTCGAGCCGCGAAGTACCTTGATGTCACCAAGGTTGCCCGTCGCGACGAGCTTCTCGAGCTTCTGCGCCTTTTCTTCGGAGCGCACGAGCACAGTGAAAGTGCTTTCAGATGCTAAAGGGTGCTCAAGCAGTTTCTGGAGCACGGACGCGCCAATGTAGCCTGGATGAAACCTATGCTGTGAGTACCGCGAGATATGCAAATCGTGTATGTTGACAAGTGAATGTGCGCACCTGTCCCACCGATGATGAAAACCTGTTTTCGGCCTGGCATATTTCGCGCGCGACGGATGGAGTGAGCTCGGATACAGGTGCGTGCGTTATTAAAAATGCTCTGTACTCTGGGTCAGCATTTATACCCATTCAACCAGCGCTTTCGGACCTTAGTAAGAACAGTAATTGGGCGCCTATCTTAAGCAGTAGTGTGAAACTCGACTGAATGTTGGTAAGCATTATGTTTCATCATCCTCGGGCACCGTACGACATTGGCTTATCAACATGCAAGTAACCGAGCAAGACCGATAGGCGCTGTTAATTGCGTACAAAACTCAGAATTAGCACGATTCTGATCAAAGTTAGCCGGTAGCTAATTTTGACTTCCCCTGTAATTGGTAAGTATTCTGGTCGGATGTATTCGCTGCGCTGGCAAGTTACCCTCCAAATTTACATGGTAAAATTTCGGTCCGGAATCAATCGCCGTTCACTCACAGGAACTCACAGCGCTTTCACATCTTGGCTGCCTTTGTCGTCAAAGCATCTAATCAGGCCAAGTGGACTCAAGTGTCACCTCGTGGATGCATGTCGAGCGCATCCATTCATTTGGATTCATATACGAGCACTTTTCCATGAGGTAATAATACATTGCTCATAACGGATCAATGCATGACGTCAAGCAAGAAGTACCTCTGCCTCCGGCTTGACGCTCTTGAACAAGTCTTCGACCGTATACTTAGGCTGCCACCCCAGAGCGCGTCCCCTCTTTGATTGACTACGTGAATTTGTCCCAGATATCCAGAGCTACGACGTAAAGTCGTTAGTCGTTAGTCCCTCAAGCACTCGCTACGTGCTGATCGTACTCACGAAGTTTGACTGCTCCGCTTCTTCCTTCGTGAACGGTGATGGCTCCGCCTTGTCGACCTTGCCCAGCTCAAACAGCGCTTCCCCGATCGCTTTGGATAGGTCGTACCACTTGTGTTCTCCGTTCCCGGCGAAGTAGAAACCCTCGCGACCGTGGCCTGCTCTCCCTAAGAGCGCGTTGTCATACACTATCATGTACAGATCGGACGCTAATATCATCACAGGATGCTCTGTCAGACAATTCCGTACCTCTGAATATTCAGCCGAAGACTTACTGTCGTTGATGTGCACACTCTCCCACTTGGAGAGTCCCTCGCCGACAACACCTACCTGCCCTCGACCTACCGCCGACCTGATGAGGAATGGGACAGTAATTGAATGACGGTTGCCAATTCCGCCATCAAACAGCGGCCCTTGTGCGACTCCATAAATGACGGACGGGAGGATGATGTAGGTCCTTGCATAACCTACTCGTATATTCAATCAGAGCTGTACATACCCCGACGGTTGACACGCCCACCTTGCTTGTCAGCCTCAACAACTAACAAATCAACGTTTCGATGAATTTGAGTTTCCGGTATGGAGTTCATCTGCTCGACATCTGTGTCGTCATAGAACGTTTGGCCTTCGAATTTTCCGTCTGCTTTATCAACCAAAAGACCTAGATGGTAGCTGTAAGCGCCACGTCCCTCATCGTGGCTTGATTTAGCACGGAAGCTCACCCGTTCCGGACTGCAGGATCACAAGGTAGTCAGGGACGTCAAACTTCAAAGAAATTGCCAGTCTAACTTACAGTGTGGATTAAGATAGGGGCTACTCCGAGCTGCTCGTAACGCTTCTTCAGTCCCGTCAGGATAGCCTTGATGGCATCGACATCGTCCGCATCTGCCTTTAATACTGCGCTTTAACCCATCATGCGCTTTTTTTTTCCTTTGATAACAAATGCTCACCATCGAAAAGACAACATCAGACTTAGATGCTTGCGCTTCAAGCTTGTCGTGTTCGCCGTTGGACCCACGGAGCACCTTGATGTCTCCGAGACTAGTCGTCCTAACGAGCTGCTCGAGTTTCTGAGCCTTGTCCTCCGAGCGGACGAGCACTGTCAACTCGCTTTCGGAAGCTAAAGGGTGCCTGAGGAGTTTCTGTAGAACAGAGGCGCCGATATAGCCTGACATTGTATGTCAACAATGAATGTATCAGCATCAGTAGTCGACGATACAAAACCACGCACCTGTTCCTCCGGTAACAAAAACCTGTTTCTTGCCTGGCATTCTTTGCCAAAGGACTTGAGGGTGAACTACTAATATCGAGCACCACCGCACTCATCACGCACTCATTTATACATACTAAATCCCGACGCCTCGAAATCAGTGTCTTAGTAACTTCGAGATGAAGTTTAATTATTTCATTATTTTTTCACCAGAATCGCTTACCAAGGGCTGTTCGAGACCGACATTGCCGGGTATTTTGCGCACATAACCTGACCTCGGGAGTGGTCATACAACAATCCTTAATTACTTGGCCGTGCGTCGTATGAGCCTAAGGTACGCTCGTGAGTTAATTATTCCCCTTTCGTGCACTTAACTTCAATCAGGGGACATTCTGTGGGTAGAAAACTCCATGAAAGGGAGCAAGATACAGATTGCGCGTATGTTATACCACATGACGACTCCGAACATGTTAGTTGCTGACGCTGACTATTTCCACCTCGGGCTTTACACTCTTATAGATTATCAACAGTATATTTGGGTGTCCAGCCCAATGCATGCCCTCGAATAGCATGACACAGCACGTTTGTCCCGAAATTTCTGAGCTAAAGCACGGCAAGATCAGTACTTGCAGTACATTGATCAATGATAGAAGGAACAGATGCTCACTCACCAAAGGCATTTCCTCGCACTCCGCTGCAGCCCATGGAGTAGGCTCTGCGTTCTTACCTTTTTCCAGCGCCACCAGCACCTTCGCGATCACCCTTGGAGAGACCATACCAGCTATAATGTCCGTTCTCCACAGAATAGTACCCTCCGTGACCATGACCAGCTTGACCTGAGAGTACGTCATCGTACAGGGTGATAAAAAGGTTGATAACCAGTGAGTAAGTGTAAAACTTACTGTCGTCAACGTGCAGAGTACCTTCCTCGTTGAACATATCGGGCGTTCTAACAGGCGTTATGGTCGAGCGGGGATTGCCAATCCCAACACCATACAGCGAACCACCTGCAGCTCCGTATATTGAACTTGGAATTACGATGTAGCTCTTGAGCTGTCCTGCATATAAAAACCAGTAGCGTTGAGCTGAGGCCGAAATTGATTACTTGACTTGATTAAGTACTGCACCTCGACGACCAATAAATCAAACATTCCTGTGGATTTGCGTTTCTGCGAGCGATTCGAAATCCTCCAGAACAGTGTCGTCATAGTACTTAGTTCCTTCATACTCCCCTCCGATTTATTTATCAACACAGCTGGGAGTGACTCACCTGGATGTTCACCAACTCTGCGGAATTCTAATGTCCGGACTTCGCAATAGGGGCTAATTTCGTCATCAGCCCAATGCTCAAAAGCAGTATTTGGTCTTGCTGAAACTTTTACCGAGTAGCTCGTGGCTGGCGCAAACAACCTGCAATCTTGCATGGCGTGGACATGAGCGTGGATTGATTGATTACATGGAATGCATTTTACATATTTTATGATATCTACATAACGTCTTTACGAGCAGTATGGCACTACACGAATATTTTCTTGAAGTACCGCTTCACCCCATCCGCATCCCTAACAGTCGCGCCGATAACACCATCAGGGCGAATCACTACGACCCGGGATTCGCTCTGCTCTACCTGATATTCGCTGTGTGCGTGGCCCTCCTTGTCCAAGACAAGGGCACTCGTCTGTAGTCCGCCGAAATCAGCGGAGATGCCAGCAGGGAGAACGACGGCCGATCGGACGACGTCCGTATCAAAGATGGCGAGTCCATCCAACAGGGGCCGCGCAGCGTCCATGCTAGGTGCAAACACGAGCACAGTGTGCGCCGTAGGTATGAACATCTCCATCAGCCGCGTCTTTCCCTCGCCTGTGGGGCCAAGCACCTCCACGCCAGGCGCGTCAGGCGCGCGGTCGCCAGCGACGACGTTGCCGTCCCGGATTGTGCCGTATGTGTCGATCGGCTCGATGCCCGTCTTGATCTCCTCGAGCACGATGTCGCTCGTGCGGTAGTTGACGTAGAGCATGTATACGTGCGGGCCGCGCTCCCATGCTTTGGCAGAGACAGCGGTTGTCCGTTGGCGTTCCATGAGCTTCGTAGTCATGTTGAGCATGTCTGCGATGACGGGGAGGCGTTCACCAGTGTAGGTCTCGAGCAGTGAGGGAGGAGCAAGGGACTTGTAGACGAGAGCAAGTTTCCACGAGAGGTTGAACTATAGGGTCAGGATGTCAATGGACATCCTCAGTGTAATGGGTAATAGAAGGGGGAGAACGTACAGTGTCTTGAATGCTAGAGTTGAGTCCCTGGCCACCAGCTGGGGTATGAATGCTGTAGGTTTGGTTGGTCACATGCGGAAGCAAAGGTAGAAAAGGTTGTTTACTGGGCGGCATCTCCAGCGACGAAGCATCGGCCTTTGTTGAATGTGTCCGCCATGCGAACGTTGGCCCTGCATTACTTAATGTTTAGCATAAGGTCAAAACTTAAAAACAAACGAACCTCCACTCTGAAGCCCAAAGCACTTCCTTGATTTTAGTATCAGTGAGAGTGTGCTTTCGAACGTGAGCCTGCAGCGCATCTTTGTCGCTGGCAAGGGCAGCAAGGTCGATGCCCTCGCCAGAGATCATGGCTTGGAATGCATCTTCAGCAACATCTGGGGTCGGTCGGAATAAAACGCTGAAGACACATGAGTTTGATTGGCCCATATCATGTTCCGACCGAAGACGAGGACTCGCCCCTCATTAAAACTCCCAAACATTTGTATGTACTGAAACACGCGCATATGTCAGCGAACATAGCATGCATGAGTAAGCATAAGAGGCTTACCTCCGAGCTCAGCATCGAGCACTCTACCTTCACATCTGCGATGATTATGCGGATACTGTCGTACGTCTCACCAACGAACGTAAGTCCGAGCTGCTTGCGCACGGCGCCCTTCGCTCCATCTGCGCCAATCAGATAGGCAGCCTCGATGGTGTCCTCGACCTCCTTGTCACCATCACGCCTGACGACGTGCGCAACCACACGATCCTCGTGCTGCTCAATGGTGCAGAGCTCAGTCCCGAGCTCAGTGTGGACGCCATATTCTTCGATGTGCTTGCGAATCAGTCGCTCTAGTGTCTGCTGCCCGAGCATTTTGGCGGCGCCCTGCAAGTCACTCAGGGATTAACACGGGATGCAAGTCAAGCCGGTGAATAGGTGACATACGTGTGGGGTACCTGGCGTCTTGGTCATGTTCGGGAGCATTGAGAAGGTCGATTTGACTTTGGTGGTGCCCGGCTCGAAGTTACGGATCAGAGACACCGGGTACGCCTGCTTCGCGATCTCTGGGACACCGAGATAATCAAAGATTTCGGTTGTGCGGGGCTACATGCCATGGATTGTAAGAATAAGCGCTAGTTTACGGGACATGGAAGGAACGTACCATGATGCCTGACCCACGCTGACCAAGTCGCGGGTGGGGATCCTTCTCAATGATCCGCACAGGGATGCCATTGCGAAGCAAGGATAAGGCAGAGATAATGCCCGTAGGTCCTGCGCCAACCTAACGTACAGCTCTTTGTTAGAGTGGCCAAGATCAGTGAAAAGACGCGACCTACAATGAGAACTGGAAGGGTCTGAAGGCTAGGAGCCATTTCGATGAAGAGAACGTGATCTGTGGCTGTTGTTGTAGCATCATCGCCTGTTGAGCTCCGTACATTTATACTCTCCTGCGACTCCCTTTTGTCGTTGCCAGAGACCCAACTTGTTCGCCCGTGAGGTGTGGAACGTATACGTAGACGCAGACATGACTCCGACGTCAGGAAGATGACGTGAAGAACAGACGCGCAGGATGGACGGCATCGACCGTCGTCACAGGCTTACAGCTTAATTGCAGCATCGTCACAGCAGATCCTTGCATATAGCTGTGGGTCCGACGCGGCACCTGTGTATTGAAAGAGACATCAATGGGTATCTTTAGGATTTTTCTCTCCGAACGCGGCGCCATCACAGACGCGTCGCACCGCGTTGAACTCGGCATCTCGGCGCGCTTAAAGACATTCGTGTCGCCAACGCGGCCAGACGGCGATCAAGACATCGACAGCCTGTCTCGCCCGCCAGCGTCCAACGCAAGATTGACGACTTAAAGCGTGAGCTTATTTGACAGCCGGCACCCTCACGATACTTCAGCTTCATTGGATTGCCACAGGGGCTACTCCAAGCCACTTCCTTAGCTCTGGATTGACCGCCGTGCACCTTTTTCTTCCCCTTTGGTGCAGCCAACTTCAACCATACCACAAGGCATAAACATAAAATTCCTAATGTGTCAACTGTGTGTGTTACACCTGATAATGATACGGCGTAGTTTAGCTGCTGACGCCGAGCAGTATTTCTGCCTCGGGCTTTACGCTCTTGTACAAATCATCGACGGTGTATTTGGGTTTCCAGCCCAACGCACGCCCTCGATTAGCATGACATAACGCATTTGTCCCCAGAGCACGGAGCTGTGCCGCGTTAAGGTGCCATCAGTAAACATTGGTACATTGACGGATTGATGATGGCAGAGGTAAGTATCCACTAACCAGAGGCATTTCCTCGCACTCTGCTGTAGTGAACGGTGTAGGCTCTGTGCTCTTGCTTTTGCCCAGCGCTACCATTGCCTCCGCTGTTGCCTTGGAAAGGCCATACCACGTATAATGTCCGTTCTCCGCAAAGTAGTACCCTTCACGACCGTGGCCGGCTCGTCCCGAGATCACACCATCGTACACGGTGATAAACAGGTCGGCGGCTGGTAAGACAGTTTGATAAGCTTAGCTCATAATCATTGCGCGGAGTCGGATCACAACACTCACTATCATCAACGTGCACTGCTGGCCACTTGGATAACCCCTCGCCGAGCACGCCGACCTCCCCGCGGCTCACACCATTCCTGACGAGGAGGGGAACAGCAATTGAATGGAGATTGCCGACTCCGGCGTCGTACAACGGGCCAGTCGCGAAGCCATATATCAAACTTGGAATGATGATATAACTCCTGAGATATCCTGCGCTCAAAAATCTAGCGTTCGCACGTGTATAAAAGAATGGGCACTATACCTTGGCTGTCGGCTTCGATTACCAACAGATCGACATCCCTGTGAATTTGCGTATCCGCGAGCGTGTCGAAGTGCTCAGGAATAGTGTCATCATAGTACTTCGTCCCTTCGAAGTTTCCTTCTGCTTTATCCATTATAACACCTAGAAAATCATTGTGAGTTCCTCACGCCCCAGCACCAAAAATGAAATCGGAGAAATGAGAATAATCACCAGTGCCGGACTAAGGTTATTATCAAATCATCAACATACTGCTGTTTTTGGAGATCATCTCCAAAGGCTCACCGTGTGTATCAAGATCGGAGTCACCCCAGTCTGCTCATACCGCTTCTTCAAGCCAGCGAGCACGGCCTTGATCGCCGGAACGTCGTCCGAGGAAGCCTGCGCCTCTTACTCAGATTCATAACCCTGGCGCGAATAGCACAGATCACCCACAATAGAAAACACAACATCAGCTTTAGCAGCCTGCGCCTCGAGCACATCGACGTCCGCGTTCGATCCCCGAACGAGCTTGATGCTGACGTTGCCCAGCCCACCAGACTTGACGAGCTCTGCTAGCTTCCTTTCCTTGTCCTCGGAGCGTACGAGCACCGTGTACTCGGACTCAGCCGCCGTGCGATGCTTGACCAGTCTCTGGATAACAGAGGCGCCGACGTAGCCTAACACCAGTCGTACGCGCGACAATAGTCATTGACTATCAGCTGCTCTCATGAAATTGGCGTGAACCGCTCACCTGTACCGCCGATAACGAACACTTGTTTCTTACCTGACATCGTTTGCAAATACTAGCTGAGGGTGGCTTGAGTTGACATTGAGTAGAAGGGCCCTTTACACTTTATACCTGTAAAACCCGGCGTTTCGGAGTTTAGCTGGTACTTAGTCTCAATGAGTAAAGTGAGAAACATTACAAATTACCGAATATCCCGGTCACAGCCTCGCAAAGGATGAGTTCACCCCTCTAACCGATCCTCAGGCCAACCTGACAAAAACGACGTCTATTATCTAGTACACGTATGTCAAGTATGGTAGAGGTTCGGGTAAGAGGAGTAAACTAAGGTAGTTCGTCGCGTCGGTTACACCAACGCTAGCCGAATTCCCACGTTACAAGCCTACGCTTCTGCAAATTGCGTGCCAGTCTTCTCGTCGACAAAAGGTCCAGTCTTTTCCTATGTGCTGCTGATGTACAATGTTTTATTGATCTTGTAACGCGAGCCAACATGCGTAGTGTGTACAGCAAATCCTGAAAAGAGCACAAAGAAACCGACCGATGGCCGAGCGAGATACCGATACAATGTTCAATCGCCGCCCATACCAACAGGACACACGTCTAAGAGAGACAAGCCCATCTAATCCACAGCCCAGAAATAAGGATAACAGAAAACCTAGCTTCCTGACATCAACCCACCTCATGCAAGCGCATGAATCTCCTTCGCGGTGATACCCCCCTGTTTCCCCTTGATCTCCGTTCCAGGGCCCTCGTCCTTGCGCAGATGCAGCTGCTCGAGCCCGAGCCCAGAACCAGCCCCGGCCCCGTTCGGCTCGGAGCTGCCACTGCCATTGTCAATACGGATCCGGCCCATTTCCTTGATGAACGACGAGCCCCAGAACGCGGCCGAGTACTTGTTGACGTACTTGAACAGCTTGCGGTGGTTCTCCGCGCGCGTGTCCGTCGGCAACGTCACCGCCTCGTGGATCGCGTCCGCGACCTGCTGCGAGTCCCACGGGTTGACGACGATCGAGCCATTGAGCGACTGCGCGGCGCCGGCGAACTCGGAGAGGATCATGACGCCCTGCCGGGCCTGCTGGCACGCGATATACTCGTATGACACCTGGGTGCGTTAGAGACGCGTCGTAAATCAGTGATGTGCGTTTGAGATGAAGTGAGAGAAGACGCACCAAGTTCATACCGTCACGCGTACTCGACACGAGACAGACATCGCTGACCGCATACAGAGCACACAGCTCATCGAACGCCAAGCTCTTGTGCATGAAGTGGATCGGCATAAACTCGACCGTGCCGAATCTTCCGTTGATCCGACCGACAAGTTCATTCACCGTCGAGCGCAGATTCTGGTACTCCTCGACATCCTGGCGCGATGGCACCGCGAGCTGAACGAGCACGACCTTGCCGATCCACTCGGGATGTTGCGTGAGGAAGAGCTCGAGCGCATGCAGCTTCTGCGGCACGCCCTTGATGTAGTCGAGCCGGTCAACGCCAACAATGACCTTCACACCACTGAACCGTTGCTCCAGCTGGGCAATACGCTGCTTCACCGAGTCCTTCTTCAGGTTCTAAGGGGGAAAAGACGCGTCAGTTGACAGGTGAGGCGACGTTTGGGATAGTGTCTCACATCGATGAAGGAGGCGGGCTCAATACCGATGGGGAATGTACCGACGTGGGCGAGACGACCCTCGAACTCGACACCGTTGGGCATCGTAGGCAAGCCCAGAATGCGGGTGCAGGAGGAAAGGAAATGCCGGGCGTAGTCATACGTGTGGAACCCAATGAGGTCGCAGAACAAGATACCGAGCAAGATCTCGCGCCGCACAGGGAGAATCCTAGCGCACACCCATCCCCGTCAACTACTGATCCATAGACAAATGAACAGGGGCTACTCACCGGTAGATCTCGCTACTCGGGAAAGGCGTATGGAGGAAAAACCCAATCTTCACGCCCGGTATCGGCTCCCGGTCCCAGATGCCCATATCCTCCAAACCCTCCGTGATCTTGTTGAGCTCCCTGCGTATCCATTCCCCACCCTGGTTCCCATCCACAAGCCCGCGAAGGAGCATCGGCAGCAGCATCAAATGGTAGTCCTGCACCCAGACCATCGAGCCGGTGGTCGTTTGCGACAAGACCGCCTCGGCGAACTGCATGTTCGCCTGGCGATACGCGCGCCAGTTCTCCTCGTCGAAGCTCATCTCGCCGGGGTGGTAGTGGAAGAGGGGCCACAAGATCGAGTTGCTGAAACCGTTGTAGTGCCGGTCGGCGACGTCGTCGTCGAGGTATACGGCCTGGCAGGAGTACTCCTCCATGAGGCGCTTGTCGACGTACGGCCGGTCCTTGGGCGGGATGAAGAAACCAGGCCAGCCGATCCAGGTGAAGTTGAGCGACTTCTTGAAGCCAGATAGGGCGGACACAAGACCGCCCGAGGACATTTTGAAGTGGTACTCGCCCGAGGCATCCTTGGTCATGGTGATGGGTAGTCGGTTGGAGACGACGATGAGGTGTTTGCCCTCCATAGCCAGGTCGGCGACGTTGGAGTCGGAGTCGCAGGAGGGGAAAAGGTGGTGCTGGGGCTGTGAGGATGTGGAAGCCATGTCTGTGCCGGGAGCTTGATATACACTATGGGTACAGCCAGAAACTACAAGGAAGGTCCCAGATTAGCACTATGGCAGATTATCGGATCTGCGAAGGCTCGGGGTACCGCGACGGATAGCGAGTAAGCTGGCAAACGTGGTGTCCGAAGCCTCCCTATGTAATGAATGCTCTCGTACCTACTTTAGGCTCAGCTCCTAGCTTGAAGCCGCAAAAGGGACGTGGCGGTAGTGGGTTAACCAGATGAAATGGATTGTATCAGGTTGCATTTTTATCTGATGCTATGATCCACTCCAAGTCTTGCAAGGAAACCTGCTAAGCGGTGACAACATTTCTGGGTCATATGCAGCTAGCGCTGGCTGGGCGCGGCCATGCTATTGGTTGCGGAGACGTTCCACGGATTTCTCCCAGGTAACCAGGCCCGGTCTGTGTTCCGAGCCCACCCGCTACACTTCCCTCCGAGTAATATTAATACTGAGAATAGTCAGGAGCACCACCCATCGATAAACACATTCAGTCGGATACAGTAGCTCGGAACATCCTAGTCCAGAGGGGCCGAGAACTTTCTCCCCAGAAACCCCACTACAACTGGCGGAATCGGAGCGGCGCACATTACGCACAGATTATTTCCTTCAATCTCAACATCACGTCTCACACGGCGCAGGCACTCATGTTTACTATCCTCGTTGCAACACAACGTCTGTCGACAGCGATGCATTTGGCAAATATACGATACAGATCATGGGGAAAGCGCTTAGTCGAACAGACCGAAGCCCTAAACAGTGTTTGTCAGTACCTATGGAGGTGAGTAAACAACTAGCACGTACCATGTCATCGTCAGACTCCTCCTTTTCTTCCTCCTTCTCCTCCTTCGCGGCCTCAGCGGCGGGAGCATCGGCAGCGGCAGCAGGGGCAGCAACGGCGGCGAACGCCTCGGGGTTCTCCAAGTACTCCTTAGCCTAAGAAGAAAATATATCAGCAACAAGCCCAAAAACAAAGTCAGGTCAGAATGCATCAGCGTCTGATTTTTATACATCCGTGAGACGTCAGTATTTTCAGTGTGTGATTGTGTTTGTACATCACTTGCATCTGACCACCTCTCCATAAAATCGAGAAAGCTCACCTTCTGAGCACCCTCAAACATGTAGTCGGTGGTGAGAGCAATGGCAATGAGGTTCTTGTACGAGTTGACGAGCGTATGCGTAACGGAGACGATGGTCGGATAGTTGATCGCGAGTGAGATAGCGGCGATTGTCTTGATGCCCGACAGGAAGCGACCGAGGAGCTCATCCTCTTCGATATCAAGGACTTCGGGCGAGAAGGAGTTGCCGTTGTCGAAGATCTGGACGACCGTCATACCGTAGGTGAACGGCGAGATGTTCAACATGTTGAGCAGGGTCGCCTCGGATGAACCGACACGGGTACCAGCAACGACGACCTGGACGTCGGAAACGATTTCAATCGTACCACGGGCGATCTTCGTGGGGATACCGAGGGCCTGGAAGAAAGAGGTCTTGCCGGGCTCCATGCCGGTGTTGCCAGCCGGGACGAAGACGTCCTTGGGGGCGAAGGCGCCAGCACGGGCAGGGGCAGCGACCTTGTTGGCGGTGATGATGTCACGGACATCCTTGAGCTCCTTGCTGGTGAACACGAAGCCGACGTTTCCGCGGACGTGGGGAAGGAGACGCTCGAACTGGGGGAGCTCAGCGAGGACGGAGCGGAGGGCACGGCGAACCATGGTGTTCTTGCCCATGAGGACGACACCTTTGCCACGGAGGGCAACTCGAATCTGGTGCATCTGGTTGGAACCGACGTTGTCGACATTGACGATGAAGATGGAGGCTGCATTGCGAGGTTATGGTCGACTGGAGGTGTATACCGGATGAGAAGACCCACGGTACTGAGTGATGAGCTCCTTGAGCTTCACGAAGTAGATCTGCTTTTGCGCACGAGTAGCACCCATTGTTGCAAGTGTGTTTTTGAGTTGAAGTCTGTTTCGTCATTCGGTCAATCTTCCCTCCACCTCTAGGTGACCACACTCAGACTCACTACTTTGATACAGTGATTACTAGAGCCTCCCGATTGACCTCTGTTTTTCCGGTGAGGACGCGTCTGGCAACGTCTGAAAAGTTACACACCTCTGGTGCCAATGGATTTTTCAAGGCAGCTAGAAAGTTCGTAGATTTCGTTAGACGATATACGCCAGTCCATACACCAAACCTTGTCCCGTCGGTATTGTCGGCATCTTCCGCATACTAGTACAGCTGTAGGGACAAGGTTCACCTGTACCAACGACCAATCACAGACCGCTCGTTCCGGAGTGAGCCGGAGGTATCCGGCAAGAACCGAAGAGACGCGGGAGCAGTATCATTACGCCAGAGAAAGACGGCGCCTTGTTCAAACCCTTCCGCCATTTGCACGCCGTCGTCGCGGTAGACATTCACGGCACAGTCCATGCAATGGAATGTGGCGATGGTTGTTACCAGCCCTTCACACCCTAGGCATCCGCCGTCACCATGCAAAGTACGCGTCACTGTTTTCCCTCGACCGCCTCATAAGCTCACCCTTGCCGTCCTTGCAGACTCACTCACGCATTTAACGCACGCGTTCCATGGGCAATTACCTCCTTCGCGGCGGTGTACGGCCTATCCGCTTCTCTAGCATCCAATGCCGGTTCTTCAAGGGCCGCTAGTTTCGCCCAGCTCCCGCGTACCTCAAGCGCCCCGTCTTCCGTCAGAACCGCCGCAAGAAGCCCCTCATTCATAACTATACGCGAGCGCGAAGGCAGGCCCGAGCAAACGGAGACGGCTGCCTGGACTTCACAGCTTTCCACTGACTCCAAGGCTCTCGATGCTCTGCAAACATTTCTCTCCCCCGACAACCTCACCACTTCCAACCCACGCAAACACACGGCCAATACCCTCAAGTCTCTGTATATATCAGTCAAGGCCAGGGAACAGCTTCAGAGACTCGGCGCCGATTCTCTCAGTCAGCTTATATGCGCCTTTGGTATTCTGTCAGCACGTTCCGACAAAACACCTCCCTTCTCAACACCGCATATATCCAACCTCATCGGCCATGTCGCGCCAGCAGGATACAGCAATTTCGTGTATCATCTCGCCCAGGATAAGAAACACCAGGGAATGCCAATCTCAGAGAGTGACAGATACTGGGTTATGCGTACCAAGGTGTCCAGCCTGGAGGCTGCTTTGAAGTGCAATGGTGCGCACATTTATCTCCCACTAACTCACGCAAACTCATACCCTTTTAGCATGCTCAATCAAGCTTCAAGGTGGCCGCTGGCACCCTCGCTACTGCCACCATATTGCACACCGTCACGATATCCACGATGAGATTACCCGCGTTATATGCAACTACCTACAGAACGCTCGCCCTCCGCGATCCCTGGTACCTGTCTTGCAATGTATCGCTAGTAGGCTCATCTCTGTGGGCGCCGGAAGTCAATGTCTTTGCATCATCAATGCCATCCTTCGCTGCGATACTACGCTCTTGGACCACGCTTTCATTACCCATTGCCTCCGCCAATTTCTGCGCTCGAGGCAGTTCCGAGCAGCTGCGAAACTCTTGGACGCTGTGTGCAGTGCCTTCCCTCAGCATCAGCGTAAATGGAAGTTGTATATCACAATGGGGGCGTACCGCCGTGGAGCCTCTAGGGTTGCCCGGTCGACTTTCAGGCGCGCCGAGATTACTCACGGATTTGAACGCTCGGCCGCCAAAGTTGCTCATTCGGTGGATTTTCGCTCTCCTGCTATACCTGTTCTTACCTTGAAGCTGTCTGGCCTCGCCAAGCAAGAGGGGAACAGCTTGTCCAGCCGCGAGTTGCACACCACCCTTCACTTTCTGTTGTCGGCGGGCCGATCATCGGCTGCCAAATCTCTTGTGCTCCGCCACGCACCCAAGCTCGACCAACACACTAAGGCTTCCTTGTGTAACAGCTACCTCTCTTGGACGCTCGCGCGGGGCCGCCCCCGCAACTCCCGCCTCATGCGCAAAGTCCTCCGTCTCCTCGACGTTTTTGTCCAGCGATGTGGTTTTGCGCCCGACCGCGTGACAGTTAACCTCCTCCTCAAGGCAATGATACAGTGGCGTGGCCTCCTCGACGCCCACAAGCTCCGCGCTCTCTTCGATCATATGGTGCGCAGCGGGTATCCCTCGGGTCGAGACGATGGCATCCCGCCCTTTGGCACACCTGCCGCGGGCGGACAGTTTGGGTTCAACATGCCGCGCCTACCGAAGGGGATCTCCTTCGCGAAGCATGTGCGGCCGATGTACAAGCAGTTCGTGAAGGCGTTTTATCTCAGAGGAGACGTGGATGCGGCGAAGACGGTGGTTGGGATTCTGAAGGTCGAGGAACAGGTATCTGAGGTGGAAAGGATGCGGAGGACGAAGGCAAGACGAGCCGGACAGGCCGCGAAGGAAGCCAAAGTGTAGACGAATAAGAGCTGGGACTTACGCGACCGATCTTCAAGTGGGATGCATGCGGTCTTTTCCCACTGAACGCTACCTCCTGGGCAGGTCGGGCGATATAGAGCTATTTTACAGCAGTTAATGTTGAGCTAGACGGGGTAATCCAATGAAACTGAAGTATCGAGTCGCCCAAATAGGTACTTGAACGCGCACAAGGGTGCCAACCAAGTGCCAACTGCCAAAGAAGCTTAGACTCGTAACACAGCCTCACTTATGCGGCCTAATAAGGCAACGAGCCACAGGCTCTCGCGTCAGAGAGACTGGGATAAAATGTCGACTCGCTGGCAGGCGACCGACGGAGTTTGAATTTTGGCTCGGCCCGAGAGAGATCACCGTCCGAATAGGGAAAATCAGCCCCTGTAGATTAGATACGACGCGTCTGAACGCGCTCCCCGCCTCATTAACGCGTCGAGCCCATGTATTTATGTACTTATCCCTTACTCCGCTCCCTTCAATTATGAGCAACCATTTCATTGTCGATATACCCGGGGCACTGTCCAATAACGCGCGCGAGTCGCTCAAGAAACTCCCTCGGTCATTCCTCGACAACCTTACATTCGAGCAGGTCGAGACGGTCTTTGCAATGACAACATGGTTCGACGCTCGATTCTCAGGCGAGCGAACGCTACGACACTTCCAAATCGAAGCTGCTATTCGAAACATAGCCGGAGAGCACGTTATTGTCCGCGCAGGAACAGGCTATGGCAAGACATTAGCCATGATACTTTCACTAGTCTTTGCACGCGTTCGAAAAATCGCCATTACAGTTTCTCCACTCAAACTTCTTCAACAAAACCATGTGAGCTCTATTCTTACTATAAACGCTCACCTAACGACCGCAAAGGTCGAGGAATTTAATAGCTATGGGATCCGTACCATCCAAATCAACGAGGATACACCCGATGACAAGAAACTTTGGAACGTGCGTATATTCCGCGCATATATCTACTAATCTTTACTCTATTTTATACAGGACATCGCTCGAGGTGTATACCAGAATATACTGGTTGCACCCGAGCAGTTCTTTCGGTTTAAAGGGCACATACCCCGCCTCGCCTCGCTCATCATGCGAGTTCATTCGTTCAGCAAAAACATCGGTAATCTCCTCCTCGACGAGGTTCATTGTATTCATACGACTGGGTTCGCTCGCAAGGGCGAGAAGGCTCCCTTTCGTCCTGCATACGGCCGGCTTAACGAAGTCAGGGCTGTTATTCCATCGCTCACCCCAGTCATGGCGCTGTCAGCAACACTCCCTCCTCCAACCCTCTACACGGTGCTGGACAGTCTGCGTATCAATCCAGACTTGATTAGCAAGATCTTCCTTTCGACGAACCGTCCCAACCATTTCTACGCTGTTCACCCGATGCATAACGGTCCCAAGAACCTCAAGAACCTTGATTTCCTCATTCCTGTCTCGTCCGCCCGCACTCCCTTACCAAAGACTTTAGTCTTTGTCGATACACGCGACAGATCTCAGGATATTGCTCACTACTTACGCCATAGATTCCCCACCGAGCTGCAGACAAAACGAATTGTATCGCACCTTCACCCCGGCATGTCAGAAGACTATAGCAAGGGCGTTTTTGAGGATTTCAAAAATACAGACACTGTCGCAACGGTTATCGCCACCAGCTGCGCTTCAAACGTGAGTCCTTTCGCATTAATATTACTATTATACTGAGATGAGTACAGGGAGTTGACGTCGCTTCTATATCACGTCTAATATGCTATGGTACGCCACAAACACTCATCGACATGTGGCAGATGTTCGGGCGTGCAGGACGTCTCCCAAACCTGCAGAGTATGGCGCTCGTGATCGCCGAGCCGTGGGCTTTCACCACTGAAGAATCCGAGAAGCCATCCAATGCTGAAAAGCGAACGGACATGGATGTACGCAGGTACATATCACTCAACACTTGCAGACGCGCTTTCAAGGCGCAACAGGATGGCGATGATTCAGACGAAGGTACGTTGTACATATCCTATTGAAATATGATTCCTCATAGCTAACTAGTATGCTACTATAGCACTCAATACGAGATACGGCCTGTGTTGCGATAAATGCAACCCAGACTTCGACGTCAATCGGTTCTTTCCCCGCCCACTCTACAATCCTGCCATTCCACTCGAAACACCTAGCCAGAACGCGACACAACCCACCACGAACCCACCGAAGAAAATTCCTCGTTTGAAGGCTAATCGGGACGCTATCACAGCGCGCCTCGAGAAGTGGCGGTCCGAAACAATTCGCACATCGGTGTACGCTGGCCTCTGGCCACGAAACCACTTACTGCACGACAAGAAGATCAAACGAATTATCAAGTCACCTCTAGGATCACTCCCCTCCCTCGCAAGCGTCGTCGCGCTGCTCACAGAAAGCGACGAATGGGCCGAGCACTTTGGTGGCGGAGTTTTCGCTATCATAGAGGAGCTCGACGCCAAGGAAATTGAGAAGCGTCCGCCTGTCAAACAAGAAGCTGACACCGACGAGATTTTCACGCAGAGAAAATACGCACACAAGGTCAAGAACAATCCGTGGATCGCCGCAGACACTTCCAAATTCAAGACAGAGCCCGATGACTCATTTCCTGAGTCATTGAGCTCTTTACTCGTTGACGCTGAGGGCTCTCAGACCAGAAAGCGTTCGCTTGACACACCACCACAGCCGACAGAATTTCAGTTTGTCTTCTCTAACTACCATCCCGATGCACAGCCAATGGCTGGCCCATCCCAGCCCAAAAGACGTCGCAAGAATGCGTCTGAAGTTGCTCGAACTGACTCTGCACAGCCCTCCCAGTCCAATCAACCAACTCGACTTAAGAAACCGATTCCAAAACCACGGCAGAAAAAGGTCAATAATTAGTCAGTACTTGTAATGTACAGTACTAGCGCGAATAAACTACATGTTTAACATCTGTGTACCGAGTGAAAAGCTGATGTCAGTGTTCGACTGGCGCTGTAGCATTGTGAATATATCTGCTGAGTCGTTACTGTCCTCGTCCTCGCCTGCTAAAATCATCTGCGCAAGAGCAAGACGCTCATCGTCGACAGAGCTTGTTGTGTCTTCTTCATATGACACAGGTGGAAGGCCCGGCTCCAAGCTCGAGTGGTTAATCGTGGTGAGCCACGCTTTTCCATGGCGCTCGACTCCACCATTCATTAATCTGCTCGCACCTTCCTCTTGGACGTCGAGTGTTTCGTCCTTGACGGTCCTCCCGGGTACGTATTCTGCAAGACGAAGGTCATAAGCCTTGTCCATGAGTCGCCTGACGTGTGACGAAGTGTCCGGCACTGTGTGGTTCATTCCACCCCAGCTGGCGCCGTACCACTTCGCGATCTTGAGTTTGATCGGTCTATAAATTGGTAAGTTAATCGCGTAGACCAAGAGCTGATCCCAGGAGGCGTGTATTCCTTTAGACGAGTAGTAGAACTAATAAAACATAAGATAGTCAGTAGATGCGGTATGACACAAATTGAGACGAACCTTGAGCGCATTAATAATGTGCTCTATGTTGAGGTCAGTCCCCATGAAGTGTCCGGGTCGATTAATCGACGGTATAAGCATGCTCTTTCGCATGAGATCGCTGTAATAAAATAGTTAGAACATCATACAGAGAGAAATAAAAGAAACATACGCGAATTCGGGCGTCCAGATCTTCTTGAGATGCTGTATGAGGTGTAGACACTCTGAAACATAATTGCTGCGCCCACCGCCAGCAAAACACTCAGTAAATGTACCTAGAAAGAGTTCGATCCGTCCGAAGTCGCCCGATGAGATCGCCTGGCCGAGCTCGAAGAAATACATGAGGTCTCTGTTCATAAAGACAATATTACGAAGCTGTCCGTCCGCAGCGTCTCCCTCAGCAAGGTTTCCAGGGCAGAAGAACTGCGTATGAATTTTCTGAGCCATCTCGAGCAGAGTCGACGCGCTGGGCTTGTCTTTTGCGAGCTGCTGGAGTGATTTACCGGTGACAATCTCCCAGTAGACTAGCACATTAGCCTGTAGCACCGTATTAAACAGCTGGACCATCGTCTGATAGTCCGGCTTCTCCCCGTGAAGTCTCTTGAGTCCGAGGATTGAGATCGTCCATGCGAAGCTACCAGGAGTGTCGACAGAGTGTTTGTGGACGTCCATATTTTGCCAGCCTAGGTTGAGTTGCTTGTGAAAAAGACCCATGGCGAGCTGCGGGTTTTCGATGCGATCAAGCGATGAGACGTCGTCGAGTCGCATGTGAAGGGCTCCTCTGAGGTTCGCATTCGTAGCGTGATCGTTTACAGAGGGTATGGGCTTGTCCTCGAGTTGCTCCTTCGAAAGTGCGAGCTGATCGATGCAAGTGGCTCGTAGAAATTCGATGACGCCGTCTTTTGTCATCTCGTCGACTTTTGTGGTCGACAGCGGGTACTCGTCGACCTTCATATTGAGCGGGAGTGGGCAATATTGCTTCGGCTGAAGCTCGCTAGGGTCACCCAGATATTCGTATGCGTCGCCCGAGGATCGCCTGAGTATTTTGATCAGATTAAGGGCGCAGTGTCGCTGGATATCCGCGGCCTGAGATATTGTTGGTCGGACGTCTTTTTCGTAAGTAATGAGCTCGCCGCGATTGCGCCGTTCGATTATTTCAGACAGGGAGTGACGAACGTTGGCCGTGCCATCGTTCGATCTGCGATATAGAAGGCCTTGAGTTCCCTTGAGGAACTTGTCGGGCCCGAGTTCGCGCTGCGTCCCGTGTGGACTATATATAATCTGGACGTTATCGAGTGAGAGGTAGAAGTCTTCGAGAGCGGCTGCCTGTGCACGCTCGAGCTGGGCTTCTGAGAGCGCGACATTCATGGCCTTGAGCGAGGACCATGAAGGACACAGACCGACTTTAGCCATGATTTCGACAGCGCGTTTCGGAATGTTGACGCTAAGTAGAAACAGCCCGAATATACTTTGAAACAGCATGTTCTTCTGGGATCGAAGGTGAGCCATCTGGCAGATCAGAGTAACGACTGCCTTCATACGACGTTAGATACATAGATAAGAGGATAGAAACCAATGAACTTACCACAGTAGATTCTCTAGTGATCTTGTCCGTTCGTTTTTGCCGCCTCTGTACGAGAGACGAGACCAGGTCAAACGCGACCGGCATGAGTACCTGAATGCGGTCGCATAGCTCAGCATCGAGATCGAAGCTGTCGGCAAAGTCAGGAGTTATGTCTTTGGTCGATCTGAGGAAGAGCTCTGCAGATGCTCGTTCCATTTCCTTGTCGACTACACTGAGTATATGCGTGCAAGAACCCTCGGCGAGATAAGCGTTTAGTTTGGCCTGCCATCCATCGAGGTTCCCGAGGACGTTCCACAGGTGATCCAGAGCTCTTCCCTGAAAAAACCCAGAGCGATAGTTGCCGAGATAGCCATTAGGATCTGCTGTAATGATCTTGATGAGCAAGTCTGCGGCCGACAGAGAGGCCTTCTTGACGAGAATATCCATAGCAATAGAGATCTTGCTCTCTTCATTCGCAAAAGACGGGTGCGCGTAGACGAGGTCGATCGGTTCGACCCCAGCCTCCGAGACGGCACGCAGTAGCTCATTCTTTCTTTGTTCCAAGCTGAGAGTTCCTAGCCAGTTGAGGTCCCAGTTAAGCGGCCGAAGCGTCGCCTGAGTGTAGGGGAGACCATAGCCCCAGTACGTCGCCATTAGATTGCTTCACGCGTGAGGAGAGGGTGTAAAAATGCGATTATATTCAACTATCTACGACGCGTCGGTGGACGCGTCGAATACCCCTGTCCTAAGATTAGATTACGGGCGTCGATCGCGTCGGCACCACGATGCCGGCTTCGCGAAGTCCTTACAAATCCGTTCCCATCCGCCAACTTTCACACTCCGTCGGTCGCCTGCCAGGGCCTCGACGTTTTGTCCCAGTCTTCGCTGCGCGAGAGCCCGAGGCTCGTTACCCGATTAGGGTGCGTCAGCGAAGACTGGTTACGAGTCTAAAAGAAGCTCATGCCTCAAGCCGTCAAGCTTGCGTCGGACGCTGGCGGGCGAGACGGTCCGCTGATTCGTTGATCGCCGTCTGGCCACGTTGGCGACACGAATATCGCGACGCGCGCCGAGATGCCGGGCCGACGCGCAGTGCGACGCGTCCGTGATGGCTTTATGCGGTGCTCGGAGAGAAAAAGAAGAGCACCCATGTATGTCTCTTTCAATACACAGGTGCGGCATCGGACCCGCAGCTACATGCAAGGATCTGCTGCGACGATGCTGCGATCAAATTGTGAATGACGGCGGTCGATGCCGTCCATCCTGCGTGTCTGTTCTTTACGTCATCTTCCTGACATCGTGCATGTCTGCGTCTACGTCCCACACCTCACGGCAGAACAAGCGGGGTCGCTGGTAACGACGAAAGAGAGCCGCAGGAGAGTATAAGTGTACGGAGCTCAGCAGGCGACGATGCTACAACAACAATCACAGATCGCTTTCTCTTCATCGAAATGGCTCCTCAGACTCTTCCAGTTCTCATCGTACGTCGCGTCTTCTTTGATCTTGACCATCCTAACAAAGAACTGTACGTTAGGTTGGCGCAGGCCCCACGGGCGTTATCTCTGCCTTATCCTTGCTTCGCAATGGCATCCCTGTGCGGATCATTGAGAAGGATCCCCACCCGCGACTTGGTCAGCGTGGGTCAGGCATCATGGTGCGTTCCTTCCATGTCCCGTAAACTAGCGCTTATTCTTACAATCCATGGCATGTAGCCCCGCACACTCGAAATCTTTGATTATCTCGGTGTCCCAGAGATCGCGAAGCAGGCGTACCCAGTGTCTCTGATCCGTAACTTCGAGCCGGGCACTACCAAAGTCAAATCGACCTTCTCCATGCTCCCAAACATACCAAAGACGCCAGGCATCCCATACGTATGTCCCCCATTCACACACTTTCCTTGCATCTGGCACTAATTCCTGACTAATTTGCAGGACGTCGGAAAGATGCTTGGGCAGCAGACGCTAGAACGTCTGATTCGCAAGCACATCGAAGAGTATGGTGTCCACATTGAGCTCGGGACGGAGCTTCGCACCATCGAGCAGCACGAGGACCGTGTGGTTGCGCACGTCATCAGGCGTGATGGTGACAAGGAGGTCGAGGACACCATCGAGGCGGCCTACCTGATTGGCGCAGATGGAGCGAAGGGAGCCGTGCGCAAGCAGCTCGGACTTACGTTCCTCGGCGAGACCTACGACAATATCCGCCTACTAATCGCAGATGTGAAGGTTGAGTGCTCCTTGCTGAGCCCGGAGGTAGGCCTTTCATACATATCTGTCCATGCTATGTTCACTGACATATTCGCGTGTTTCAGTACATGCAAATGTTTGGAACTTTCAATGAGGGGTGAGCCCTCCTATTCGTTCGGAGCACGTCATGGGGCAATCAAACTTACGTGCCTTCAGGGTTGCATTCCGACCGACCCCAGATGTTGCTGAAGACGCGTTTCAAGCCATGATCTCTGGCGAGGGCATCGATTTTGCTGCCCTTGCCAACGACAAAGATGCACTGGAGGCTCATGTCCTCAAGTACGCTCCCGCCGATACTAAGATTAAAGAAGTGCTTTGGGCTTCAGAATGGAGGTTCGTTCGTTTTTGCATGTCTGCGCAAGTTTCAATGTTTTGCTAAACGTTTTAATGCAGGGCCAACGTTCGCATGGCGGACACGTTCAACAAAGGTCGATGCTTCGTAGCTGGAGATGCCGCGCAGTAAATAACCTTTGCAACATTTGCTTGCGTATGTGACTAACCATAATTGCAGCGTTCACACTCCAGCTGGTGGCCAGGGACTAAACTCTAGCATTCAAGACGCTGTACGTTTCTTCCCTCCCATTACCCGTTACGCTGAGGACGTTCATTGACATCCTGACCCCATAGTTCAACCTCTCGTGGAAGATTGCCCTCGTCTACAAGTCCCTTGCTCCTCCCTCCCTGCTCGAGACCTACACCGGTGAACGCCTACCCGTCATCGCAGACATGCTCAACATGACTACGAAACTCATGGAGCGCCAGCGGACAATCGCCGTCCCGGCTAAGGCATGGGAGCGCGGCCCGCATGTGTACATGCTCTACGTCAACTACCGCACGAGCGACATCGTGCTCGAGGAGATCAAGACGGGCATCGAGCCGATCGACACATACGGCACAATCCGGGACGGTAACGTCGTCGCTGGCGACCGCGCGCCTGACGCCCCGGGTGTAGAGGTGCTCGGCCCCACAGGCGAGGGCAAGACGCGGCTGATGGAGGTGTTCACGCCTACGGCACACACCGTGCTCGTGTTTTCACCTAGTGTGGACGCTGCGCGGCCCCTGTTGGATGGACTCGCCATCTTTGATACGAACGTCGTCCGGTCGGCCGTCATTCTTCCGTCTGGCATCTCCGCCGCTTCCGGCGGACTACGGACGAGCACCATTATCGCCGACAAGGACGGCCACGCTTACAATGAGTATCAAGTGGAGAAGGGCGAATCACGGGTTGTGGTGATTCGCCCTGATGGTGTTATCGGCGCGACTGTTGGGGATGCGGATGGGGTGAAGCGGTACTTCAAGAAGATATTCGTGTAGTGCCACACTACTCATATAGTTGAGGTTATGCAGAGATCGTAAGATATGGAAAATGTTATACATGCGGTCAACCAATCCGTGCTCATGCCCACGTCGTTCAGGATTTCAAGCTGTTTGCGTCAACGACGATTTACTCACTCAACAGAAGTTCTAGTAAGTAGTATTCTTAAGCGGAAACATCGGGTTGATGACGAAATTAGCCCCTATTGCCAAGTCCGGACAATAGAAGTCCGCAAAGTCGGTGAACATCCAGCTTATCAAGCAACACGCATATGGCTCTTCGAGCTACTGCTATAAAGGCAGGACATCTCGTAAAGAAGCCCTCGTACTGAACCCCAGAGCACTTCTACATGTCGGGAAGAACACAAATCTTCTTCACTGGCGCGACTGGTATGTTTTCCGAATCTTGAACTTTGAGTGTACTCTCCATATGAACGATGTGATGAACAGGCTACGTTGGGGGAGCCATCCTCCAGAAGCTCGCTACACATCCAACAGCCGCCAACTCCGAATTCACCTTGCTCGTACGCTCGCCTGAGAAGGCACGCCTGTTGGAAGATTGGGGCAAGACTACGCCGGCCGGGGGTGTCAAGATCCTCCTAGGGTCCCTCACGGACTATGACAAAGTTACCGCACAGGTCGCTAAATCCGACGTTGTGTTCTCTATGGTAAAATCCGACTCTCTTTCCATATGCTAGCTGTGACACCATTGAAGGCAGATTCGTACAATGACGATCCGTGCAAGGCTATCCTTGCGGGCTTGAAAGAGCGCTTCCAGAATTCTGGGAAGGTCCCTATTTTGATCCACACAGTACGCGTCATGTTGTCCTATTCTAAATACCAATAACGTATGACTATCCTCTACGGGCATGCAGTCAGGGACAGGAACCTTGAAGGACGACGCGCAAGGAAAGTTCGAAGGTGAAACGATCTACGACGATATCACGCCAGACCAGATTGAGTCGCTTCCGGACGGCGTGTTCCACCGTAACGTCGACCTTCTCGTTCTAGCCGCCGACCGTGAAGGTGAGTTAATTATCTGTTTCTGGATACGCGAGTCATGACGGGGTGCTGGTTCATCCTTAACCTGAAGGGTATGCAAAGACTTACATCGTCTTCCCTCCCACTATATACGGCCTGCCCGTGGGGCCTCTATTTGACAAGAACATTTCAAACCGCCACTCTCACCAAATCCCGTTTCTCATCCGAGCAGGTGTGGCCCGCAAGCAAGGTGGCGTCGTTAACGACGGTCTGAACAAGTGGCCATGTGTACACTACGATGACTGTATGCGCCACTAACTTTTTTGTGTGTATCTCCCATACTAATGACTTTTCGATGCCCAAGGTGCCGAGTTTTACATTACGCTGTACACGGCAATCCTCGAAGATAAAGCCGACCACGGCCGCGGTGGCAACTACTTCATCGAGAACGGCGAATACAGAGCTTACGATCTCGCCAAGGCCATCACGGAGGAGCTGGCAGAGGTCGGTCAGAGCGACAAGTCAACACCAGTGCCATTCACGGCCGAGGAGTACGAGAAGACACCTATGGTTTGTGCTTCTCCTCATCGAATGGCGCTCAGGAAAGTGCTGACGAGGTACCTTCATATTTTAGCTCTCGTATTTCGGGACGAACTCACGATGCAAGGCGAGCAAGGCACGCGCACTGGGATGGAAACCCAAGCATCCTGCCGAAGACATCTTTGCGAGCATCAGACCCGAGGTCCGGGCACTACTCAACATCCAGCCTTGATGTCCCAGGTTAAATGTGATGTACTTGCATTAATTAGATACTGCTGATTCAGACAATTGAGTCGGTACAATGAGCTCACGTGTCTCAAATGCTTCCGTTGATGAGTAGTTCTGAGATGGACGGCTCGCGCGATGAATATCATGACCCAAACCAATAAATTAACTTCGTAAAGTCCGGATGTACAGAGATTGCATCTTGAATACATAATCGCATTAACCATTTGAATGAAACCAGAGGTTGATCCTCGCAGCACGTGGAAGGTTCCATGGCTTTTAAGCCACAAGCTAAGGGACAACAAAGTCAGCCGCATGTCATGGCGCATAGAACAGCACGACTCACCAGAGCAAGATGGCCACCCACAACAGGACGAGCCTGGAACTGATAGGTGATGCCCGAGCCGGCGGGCGAGACCAGGTTGAGGTCGTGCGCGGTGCCAGCGCCGGTATCATACAGATCACTGAACGGGAAGATGTTCCCGGCCGCGCCGCTCGTGATGTACGCGAACTGCCCGTCGATGATCGAGTTGCGCACGTCGGTGTCCGAGACGAACGCGGCGGTCCACAGCTCCCAGTCGGTCTTCGACCACGGCTCGCGTGAGTCGAGCGCGAGGCCGTATTGCCCGACCTGCGTCTTGTACCACGCCGTCTCCTTGTCGATGACGTCCTGGGGGAAGACGTTCGTCTTGATGAGCTTGTCGGCCCACAGGTTGTAGGCGGAGAGCCACGACGAGGAGTTGCCGTAGTTGAAGTTGAGGTGCTGGCCGCCGGCGTCGGTAGCGGTTTGGACAATGAAGGTGCTGAAGTTTCCGGCGGTGTCCTGCGTGGAATTGGTTAGCTAGTGGACATGCTTAGTAATGATGAAGGTGGCGTACGCTATACTACTGCTGCTTGTCGGTATTGCCAATGAGACCTTCCATAACCGACATCGCCTTGATACCGACGGCAGCCTTGATGGCGAGGTTGGTCTGATTTTAGTATCCGCCCACCGGGAAAGGTTCGAAGTCATCAGTCGATAGCTGGCCACCGGGGGTGAGGGCGTTGCCAACGAGGTAGTCGGTCCAAGTCTCAAGCGCGGATATCTATTGTCGCGATGAGCCAGCATCAGCATCTAAACCCATGCAAAGACATGAGGAACTGAACATACGTAAGGCTTGATCAGCGAGGTATCATTCGTTGCCTGGGTGTAGCTCAGGATCATGATGAGCATGTTACCAGATTCTTCGACAGGCTGGTTCTCAACACCAGTTGAGTTGTCGGTGTAACCGGTGGCAAGCACCAACCGACTAGAACAAACACGAGGAATCAGCTAACAGAGCCTTCAACTCATATCGAAGGATAGCTAACGCTCTGCGTCGAGAAGTAAGCAGCGCCATACTGGGTGTGGTCGTTGAACTCGGTGTACAGGATCGGGGCCGAAGGGCCGACTTGGTGGGTCCAGACATCGCCAGTAGTGGTCGAAGTCCAGTTCACAAGCTGGGTGGTGTCACCGACGGCCCACTCGGCGGTGATGTCGGAGTAGATGGATACGTTGTGGGAGCCACCGTCGTTTGCAGCAGCCGAAATGGCCATGTATGAGAAAGGTGTGCCGAGTTTGACGAGATCGGTGGGCTGTGTGCACCGAGCATCAGAAATTTGTGTGTATGCTATGACTGGCATCAATCTCACCTCAACGGGACTGAGGAAGTTGATCGTCAGGTCAACGGGACCAGCGCTCAACACGAAAGTGGATTGCGTGGAGGTGTACTGTGAGATGCATGTTAGTGACGAGGTGGCCCGTGAGCCGATGTGAAACACGTACGCTCATGCTCTTCTGCGTTGCATTCGCGGGGCTGAGGTTGGGAACAGCCGGAGCACCCATCCAGTTGTAGGCGGTGCCATCTACAGAGACATAGCCAGTCCAACCAAGGAACTAGAACTGTTGTGAGCCATCGTTGGTCGGACACGCGGCAAGGATGTACACATACCGAGCCAGTCCAGAACGTAGGCCAGGTTCCAGTCAGGGACGTACCCGCGCCTTGGGGAAGCCATGCCGACAAGTAGGGTGAGCGAACAGCAAGAGGAACGGCGGGAGGGAGAGCAGGATCGCTGGTCCAGGCGGGTTGGCCAGCAACGCTGGTGGCTAGAAACGCCAGAGAGGCGAAGGGGAGAAGGCGGGAAAGACCCATTGTCCTGTGTTTTGGTGAAGATGACGGCTGTGAGCTCCAGGGCTTTTATACGAAACCATGTCCTGGAGAGGTCCTGGTGTATCACACTGCCATGTCGTCAGCAAACGGAGGTAGGACAGGTATGACGAGGTCGAACTGTAGACATGTCTTGCGCTGAGCGATGGATATAAGGAAAAAATAAGGCGGCATACGGGTTGTCGTAGCAAGAATGGGAAAGAGTGTAACATCACTAAATCGGGGGGGAAATTTCGGGGCATAAACGAGATTATCAGTGTTATAATATTACCGTTGATAGAATCCTGTATGACCGTAAATGGCGAGGATTCAACATTGGTTAAGTGTCAGCTCACAATATGAGAACGGATTATGGTAGAATATCATATCATCGGGATCTTACCATCAAGTACCATATGATTGCGAGCTTACCGTGGACCAAAATTCAAGGTAAAATCACTCGCGATATGTGGGAGCATAACAAGCCGGATCTCATTTCGAAGGCAACATGATCATTCGATTATAAGAAACTGCCCATAAACCGGTTAGCCACTAACTGAAGCACGTTGAGCAGTAGAAAACCGACCTTTACAATGCATCAAAGCCAGCCTCGTCAGCAAGCGCTTCATCCTCACCCAAGAAACCTCCATCATTCGCCTGCCCTGCAGTATTGATCATCAGTAAAGTACGGCGGGATAGCAGGGCAAGTGGGTGTTGCGAGATGGACTTGATTTGGGCGAGGGAAAATGACGGCTCGCAAGGCCTTGTGAGACAAACAGTTAGCTTGGTGTGGATCGTAAAAACGCGGCCAGCTTGCAAGGGAATCAATATGCTACTACTGTACTTTTACGACCCGAAGTTCAGTCCCCCTGTCCCCCCCCTCCTTGAACTGAACCTAAGGTGGGTGGACAGTCCCCCCTGTATCGCACCCGTTGAACTTAGTATGAGGGACACGCGGTAAAAATAGAAATACCTTGTATATTAGCTAGAAATTGTAATAAATAAGTAACAGCTACTCTACTGACCTAAGAAACTAGTATACCGCTTGGTAGACACAACAACACTTACCTCAGCCCGTTTCCTTTGTATTGGGGACGTTAATGTCATTGTGGATGGTGTCGCCCCTGATGTTGAACTTCATGTCCCCCCTCAGACCAACCCTCTGAACTTAGGAGGGGGGACAACCGGTTATGGTAATATCCCCGACGCGCGACTTTCTCACGCCACCGTGAACTTCGGGTCGTAAAAGTACAGTATAGACACTAGGCTTCTTGGCTGCTGTGGTACTTTAAGCACTGAGATTTTTGATCGTCGCTCTCCTCAAAGTAGGTTAAATAAGCTTCTTTTGGGGTGAGTGATAATATTGACGAGCCGGACTTGTGGCAGATGGAATCTCTCGATGACGTGCAGAAAGAAGCTTGCCCGAATTCCTTTGACCCAGTGCAGGAGGTGGTCCGTGCACACGCCATTTTGCGAGGGTCAAGAGGCTTCTTAAGCTAAGGGATTCTGTACCGTCTCCCTGCTGCCCTTGCTTCCCTATCACCATTACCATGCCTCAGTACTAAGTGTTCGACGTGACCACGGTGAGCCCCTCTACCCTAAACTTTCAATTGCAGCAGCTGACACCTGTCAAGCTTCAAGCTTCAAGGATGGCAACACTGTAACAAGCAAGGCAATGCTGACTGCCAACAGTGCCCGGTCTGTGGCGCATCCTCGTCGTTGTCTGCATGTGCAGACAAGTCCAACTCGTCCCACACAAATGCGCATGACCATGTGCATGGTGCGTCTCCTATAATGCATTCTACAATCAATACTATTCTCATCTAATGCTATCAGGCCGTTCGCAGCACTTGCATGGGTAGTTTTTATCGGGTCAGTTCATGGTATGTACTTGCCTCTACTAGCACATATCTTTGTTGCTTTGTGTACATGCCTTTTCTATGCTCTCGTATTGGACCCCGGTCATTTGTATTACTGTTTGATATTGCTGTAGTAGTATTTGACTGTTATATCAGACAATCAAACATGCTGTTCCATACTTCATAAAAATTGTGTGGGCCTCCAACTTCTTATAATATCTGTGAATACCTGTATGTTGTTATCATGTGGCCTCTGCTGATGGTAAGATGGCGCTTAGATTATGATAGATGTGAGTACCCATATGTTATTATCATGCCGTCTCTGCTAATGATAACACGTCCCTTTGAGTAGATAATAGATTCTTCGCTATGATCATATCCCCGCGATCTTTCCTGTATGCTAAAAACGGACTTTACATGCTACTAATGTCGGAGTCTCACTATTTACCCGGTGTATGTTTGTCATGATCTGTGATGTCGATCAAGGTCATTTGCTTATCATTCATCCCCTCATTTAGTGATGAAAGTGCAATTCCATTTGGATGAGCGTTGAGACTGATGATCGAGTCCTCGACGTGCACCCAGCGTGGGGTTGACAGGGGCTGACAGGACTCGACAGCCTCCGTCAAGTCACGCGCGCACAGGCTCAACGAGTTTCTACCTCCGAATAGCCTTTTTCATCAACACACTCGAGTCTTGTGCCCTGTTCTTCCCATCCACACAGCTTCCTGGTCCATCTCCGTGTGCCATCTGCGCAAACAGCATTGCACCTTATTGCGAGAACTGTTATCTGTCAACCTCTATCATCCAACAAGTCCGTACAGAGCTGGCACTTTTAGTCAAGATTCTCGTTCAGGGGCCCCAGGGCAGCAGAACACTCACCTCGGTGCCTACCCAGTCCTTGTCCTCCGAGCTCAGTTCCTTTCAGGCTCGTACACATTGTCATAACGTCATGACTGGCATATTCTGTCTTCGACCTCCTGGATGATCTTCGAGGAGTTTTAACATCGCGGACAGTGAACCATCGATCCATTTCACTCCGTCGCAAAGCTGTCGAAACTTGCACAGGTCTCTACCACATCCGCACTTCCCCTAGGGATTTCACGATTATCTCCACAGCGAAGCCTCAACCTCCCTTCTAGAGCTCCGTAAGGCAACACACGACATCGCCGCTGCCAGTGAGGCGATCTCAGAGACGTGTCGCATTGCTCGTGGCCCTGTCTGTCTATGTGGTATCCGGCTTCGTGTCAGGAACACTCGTATCTCCGTAATGCTGATCATCTCCGAGTCTATCCTGGTCTATCTTCGGTATCTAGTAGTCTCTTGCACACACAAATATTCCCTTTAGTAGCTGTTCGATGGAGTTCCTGGTTGGGCGACATCGCAATCAGCCGCTGGAACGGAGAACACCCGTCTTCAGCAGGCTGAGGCCGAGCTGGCAAGCGAGGCACAGATGGTGGTCGAAGGCGAGGACGAAGCATCCGGTGCTGCCGAAGTTGCACCTGAGGGAGCTGACGATGCCATGGATGAAGACGACGAAGAATCTTCTTCTGAATCTGAGGCTGGCACCCAAAATGAAGCAGGCGTGTCGAACGCAGGCGCATCGGCAGATGTAGCACCGCTGATCTACTTCTTGAACCCCGACTCTCCCGAAACGCGGGTTACACTCAGTGGCCTATCCAACCTCGGTGCACTCCGCCTACTTACTGATCTCATCGCCCGTCCCGCCCCTACACGTCCCACCGACGCGAGGGCGCTCCCGTCCCATCGCCTGCGCTCGAGAGACGGCTGGCAAGAGACATACGTGGGCAAGACGCTGTGGATCTACGATGCGCGCTCGAACAACGACGGATGTGCTCGCCTCGTGAGTGGCAAGCCCGACCTCTGGGTAACAGCGACGTGCGTAGTTTTCTCTCGCAAGGATGTGACCTTTGCCGATTCATTTAATCAATCTGTCGATACAGAGGAGATAGCTGGCGCGCACGCGTATCGCACATGTGCGAACTGCAGGCGGGGCTTACGGGAGGAGGCATGACGATCGACTTTGGTGGGCTCGATCGTTGGGACTATGCCGAGCGCATGCGGAACTTGGGCGAGGCCGAAACGGAATAAGATGCCTCGATCTGAGGTCGTCGCTTGTGATTTGGACTGGCTTCCACCATTTACCAGGTGCCTCTTGGAGACTACCGAGTGATTCCTGCCGCGGAAATTGCGGGGTTTATTTGCCCAGACATGATGTACGTGTATCAATCACTACAATCGCCCTCATGTACACTTCCGGACGCGACCTCGAATATAACGACGATGCTAAAGTTGCGCAAATTTACTCCCCTGGTGCTTGAAAGTCGATCCGAGTCAGGGCGCTCACGACTCACTCGTTTCAAACTGGTTAGTCCGAGTCTATGTCTTACCTTCCACTCAGACGAGGGCGGTCCTGATTGAGATGAGGAGCGTTGTAAACGAGAGCAAGGGCGATGGGGTATAAAAACCCGTCGCAGCAGAGGAACAGTCCCCCAGCTCTCCCTCGTTATCCTCTGCCTTACTCCCGAGCTTCTCCGCTCCGCTCTTCCAATCAAACCTAACCCAATCCCCATGTTGTCCTCCCAACTGCTCGTCGCGCTGATCGGCGCCAGCCTCGTCTCCGGCGTACCGTCCCCGGAGCAGCGCCGCGACTCGGACCCGGATCACGCACTTGGCGGCGAGTCGAACGCCAACGGTACTACGACAATGACGTACCCGCCCGCACCGTCTCCCACCGCTGCCCCGGGCTCTCCGCCGCCGCCTGCGATGCCGTCAGGGGGTGTGGGCGTGAACCCGAACGGGCCGCCGCCCGAGTATCGCCCGTGGAGCGACTACGACTTTCAGTCTCTGGTGCGTCGTCGCATCCTTATTAATGCTTTGTGTTAGTCGGTCAATATTTGGTGATCCTGACGCGTTTGTGTGTACGATAGAATCTGGGGCTGAACCAGGAGTGGATTGAGCTCGATTTGTTCCACTACGGCCTGGCCAAGTTCTCGAAGCAGGAGTTCTATGATGCCGGACTCAACGACGACTACCAGTTCCTGATCGAGTGGATGGCGGACCAGGAGGTCGGGCATGCGACCTCGTTCCCAATGACAACATGAACGCCATGTCCACGTTCCACGGCTTCTCTCACCAACAAGAAAGCCTTTGCTGAGTATACTACACCAACCACAGCTCCTCATGGCCGAACAGCTGCGCTTCCTGGGTTCCCTGCCTGGCCACAAGGGCTGGGTCACCGCCATTGCCACTTCTTCCGAAAACCCGGACATGATCCTCACCGCGTCCCGCGGTATGTCCCCCTTGAACTTTTCCTGCTGTGACCCCAGAAATCTAAGTGCGTTGAATCGCTAGACAAGACGATCATCGTCTGGCAGCTCACCCGCGATGAGGACACGTACGGATACCCCAAGCGCATTCTCCACGGCCACAACCACTTCGTCTCGGACATCGTCATCTCGTCCGACGGCCAGTTCGCCCTCTCATCATCCTGGGACCACACTCTCCGCCTCTGGGACCTCAACACCGGCCAGACGACACGTCGCTTCGTTGGCCACACCTCGGACGTTCTCTCTGTCAGCTTCAGTGCTGACAACCGTCAGATCGTCTCTGGCTCGCGCGACAAGACCATCAAGCTTTGGAACACCCTTGGCGAGTGTAAATTCGACATCAAGGATGAGGGCCACACCTAGTGGTGCGTTTTTTGGATCCTTCCACTCTGTATGTGCATTGATCTTCGCTTGCAGGGTCTCGTGCGTCCGCTTCTCCCCCAACGTCATGAACCCTGTTATCGTTTCCTGTGGCTGGGACAAGGTCGTCAAGGTAAGCATCAGCGTTTCCCATGACTTGAAGGGCAACCCCCCGCTTCATATGATGCTACATAAATATATTTGCTACTTCAGAGGGCTACGACCCGATGAGACCAATTTTCCACCAAGATCTCTGATGATCTCACCAAACTCCACTCGCCTTGAAATGTAGTCGCTGATTCACTCCAATTCAGGTCTGGGAACTCTCCAAGTTCAAGCTGAAGACTAACCACTACGGCCACACCGGCTACATTAACACCATCTCCCCGTGTCTCCCGATGGCTCGCTTGCTGCTTCCGGTGGCAAGGATGGCATCACCATGCTCTGGGACCTCAACGAGGGCAAGCACCTCTACTCTCTTGAAGCCGGTGACATTGTCAATCCCTCGTCTTCTCCCCCAACCGCTATTGGCTGTGCGCAGCGACCGCAAGCTGCGTCAAGATCTTCGACCTTGAGAGCAAGTAAGTACCATCGGTGTGCGATGAGTATTATACAGGCTTATACATATCCTTTGCAGGTCGATCGTCGACGAGCTCAAGCCCAGTTTCACCGATGTCGGCTCGAACTCGAAAGAGCCCGAGTGTGTCTCGATCGCTTGGTCAGCAGATGGCCAGACGCTGTTCGGTGGTTTCACCGACAACCTCGTCCGCGTCTGGACCGTCACGTCCTAGAATCCCCGCGGGGAACTGTATTAGTGGCGGATGTATGCTTTACTTCTGTAGTCACAGGTATTTCTTTGCATCTCTTAGCATCAAGCAAACTCTGCTACGTGATTTTCGTGAACCATAGGCACTAAATGAGGTACGTTTGTAAGGCTCTCTTTGATCCATTGTGACCATAAACATCCAAGAAGGTGCATTTGAGGAGCTGGGGCGGCACGTCAATACTTTTGATTGCGAAGCCATCTTCATTGAATCGTGAATGATACGCAGAATGCAGCTAAGTCGCTGAGCGTTCTTGAACACAGTCTAATGGGGAGCTTTCGTAGTTATCAACGTCCCAGGTTTGTGATATTGAGCCAAACAAAAGCCTCTCGGTTGAAGGTGGTTCATAACATGCGTGCCAAATATGTTATCCACCATGTGTCGATTGTGTAAGTTTAAGGCTCGCAATGGGAGAATGAGAAGATAATTCTGTAATTATAGATAACTAATAACTACAGGTGTCCGTCGCTGGGGTATCGTGATACATAAATGAGGGCGAGATTAAGATGCAATATTAGTCTATAGTGGAAGTACGAGATAACCCCTGGGAAGTTCTACCAAGAGATTTTCAGCCAGACTGGTAGATGGCAGGACCAGCAACGACGTTGTAGTTGATATTCGAGAGGTTGAACGGCGTGACGTAGGGGTCGTTGTCCGTGATCGCGATGAACCTGCTCTTCAGTATTAGCGACATGGCTCAAAACAGAATTCATCGAGGGGGGTGCTCACATAGTATCGTTCCAGATGTATGCCGTGTTGTCGCCGAACACGTTGCCGTCGGGCTGCTTCGTGAACGCGCTGGTACCGTTGATGCTGTACAAGGGCGTGTACGTCGCGTTGATCTGATCAACCCATAGCGCGAACTAGAACAATGGAAACAAGTTAGTGAACGAAATTCAGATTATAACTCGGGACAAGATATGTAGAATTTACCTTCGGAGGACCAGCGGACGTCGTGGTAACGTAACTTCCATTAGGACCGACCGTCTTGCCTGGAATTTCCCACGTGAGGCTGATCTCATCGCCGGGGTGCGATAGCTGCGTCACGTTGGTCGACACAGCGGCTTTGCTATCGGGCCTCGTGGCGTTTGGGTTGTTCTGGTGTGCAAGAAATCAGGCAATGTTGGCAGCGGAAGGGGACGACTCTTCTGAGAGAGACGACGTACATTGATGGTCAACGCCGGGAAGTTCTGCCACTCGATGTGGGGGTTCTCCTTCGGACAAGACTTGATGTACGGAGCGAGAAGCGTCCACTGCCAGGCTTGCGGAATGCCGGGGACGAACCAGAGCTGCAACGCAACGAGACGCATTGTCAACACGCAAATCCCATATATATGCATGACGAAGAGTGCTCACCGCCATCGGGAAGAGGCCCTCGAACTGGCGGAAGACCATCTGCTGGCGCGCCTCGGTCGTGATCGCGTTGATGATCAGCTCGACCGGCGCGCGGTTGTTGAGGTGCGGCAGGAAGCCATACGTGCCCGACTCGCCGAAGCGCGTCAGCTTTTGGCAGAAGTCGATGAACTCGCGGACCGTCTCGAACGGGTACTGGTATTCGCATTGCTTTGCGCCGTGGGCTAGGTGCGTGGTATGAGTCAGCGGATTATTCATATGCTGAGAGCGCCAGATAAGAGCGAGGACAGAGGAGACAACTCACGGTAAAGCATGTTCGTGAACATCTGTCGTGGATTCGTTGAGCATTAGGGGCCAGATATGATCGTGTGGGGAAGCTGAGCGTTCGCAGATGCAATGATCTGTTCTTTGAAAATGCGTTGGCACTAAGCACGATCTGGTGACATAGTCTCAAGGTTACGAGAACGGCGGAATGTCAGACTTAAACTTGAAGCTGAGAAACTTAAAGCGAAAATAATAATTGCGAGTGGGTGCGAGGGTATAGGGGCTCTGGCTGTTTTGGGCCTGCACCGCCACAGCCGCCAGCCGCCTTTCCCAATTCCCGGATTTTCTGCTGGAACGCCAGCCAGCACGGTACACCCTGGGTTTCAGACTCAAGAATCATCAAGAAACTTCTTTGGCCTCGTGATTCCGCGATTATGGTGAACCTTCACCGACCAACGGCTGGGTCTCAACGACCTTACCACCGTTCCAGATCATCAGTGCAGCTCGAAGCACTCATGAGGCGGTGAGTAATTGACATGCATGTGATTACATCGTCACCAACACCTGATATATTCAAGAGGCGACACCGATCCCTAATTTGCAGCTGGGTATTGCGTTCAATAAGACGTAAGTCATGTTCTCGTGTGTGTTCGCTGCGATGTCTCGGCGCCAGAACCAAACGATTTAAAGAAAGGACTAGGTGCGGAAACTTCTCGAAGATCTCATGCTTATTCTTTTAGTAAAATAGGGCGATCAAGTAATAAATTCTGATAATTACGGTGCACACTCCTCTCAATTTAAGGCCGAGACATGAAGTGACGGAGGCCAGACTTGTATTCCACGTGAAATGTCGAGCCCGTTCATCCGGCTCTTGCACCTCTACTCAGTATCATGATGCGACCACGTCGGTCAGGGTCGACCTAGGTTGACCTTCGAGCACAATACCGCTCCCATAGTGTCACATTAAACGCTTCGTGGACCAATATCCTCCTGACGTTATCTTCGTAAGCCCATTGGATCTTTTTCCAATGACACGCATATACCCCGCGGCGATGAGAAAGGCCAAAGGTTAAGGCCTTAAGGGACTAACGGCATGTCTTACAAAATGTCTCGCTGGCGTTGTAAAGCACATGGAGAACAACTTCTATAGCAGCGCGTGTAATGGGTTTGAACAGTATTTCGATAATGGCCACCATCAAAGAACAGCAGATGCTACGAATGCCACTGTACTCAGCGATACAGTCCCGATGGTCGCATATCTGTCAAATCTGTTTGGAAACAATTTTCTCTGAGTTATCCCCGGCGGCTTCTACTTGCTCACATCTCGAACACTGTGACTAAGGACGACGTTCCGAGCTGTTGCTGGCCGTGTCTCGGCCTCTTTCCGTCAACGTTCGTCGAAGTTTGCTTCGAATCTCGATCGCGCGACAAAGATTAGCTCATGCGACATCAAAACTCAATCTGTATCAGGATACACTCTGATACACTCTTCAATGCATCATGATGGTAGTGTCACACTGTATAGAGTATCACTTGTCAAACTTTACAGATGTCTTTGTAAAGCCGAATGTTGAATATACGGCCCAACTAACCTAACGGGCATGATCTTTGGCTAAGCCCGCGGGCGCTGGATGACGCGTATTGGACGCTGAATGGTACGGAGATATCAATAGTAAAAATGCGCAGAGGATGTACCCTAGATTGCAATAAGCCGGGGAGGATGGCCGGGGGTGCGAGTCCAAGTCATCCGGGGTATATCGGTAGCGGTGTTTAGGCAGGCATTAATGGCATTCTGTGTGCCGGGTCAGCAGACCACACCCGTACCGACGGTGCTTACGGTCAGCGCAAGAACGCTGCAGGAACGGTCTGGAACGGTCGAGGAAGCTAAAACACGATGGCAGCTTCGGTCCCGTAGATCTGAGGCGGTCAACCTGATCTATGAAATACAAAATATAGTGATCGCCGTCTGACCTCAGTCCCTGGTCCGAGTCGAATTATTGAGTAGCGCCGCGCGCCAGTGCACGGCAAAGCCCGTTAGCATTTTGCTTTGCCCATGATGATATCATTTGCCGCTAATCATACTGACTACGACTAAATCTACTTCAAGCACTCTACACTTGACTTGCCATCGACAGTTACCAGATGAAGTTCAGGGACTATGACACATTGATTGCCTTACAGTGTCTTTCTGGAGACATTGTATGCGGGGTACAGACGTTCGGGACACATTTCAACTCGCAAAGGCCAACTGACACGAGGCAAGAATTGAGACGGAGAGGGTCAGTTTGATTGCAGTGTGCACGATGTAAACGCTCACGTCAGAGAACATGGAAAAAGTGATATTCAACTTTGCGGCACTGGAGAACCCATGCGGCAAGCATTTATGAGTATCGATATATAGGGAGAGCCTAGCATTGTCGATTGAAGTATCTTACAATTCAATGTCATGCTGCTCGCACAATATACGGAGATCCCAATATCTGATAACACAAAGAACGAGGTGGCTGCATGATCATTGAACATGGAATATATGATATCAATGGGATTTATCATAGGATCATCATCATCCGGCAATACTAGAGGATGGCGGGACATGGACTGAAACTACAAACGGGCATGGTCTTCCAGAGTCAGCATCCGACCGACAGTGGGACCAATCTTGATCCAACAGGTCCCAACACGATATCAGCGGTAATCCCATATGTGTATGATATCACAAATCGCAGTCACACACGAGTATTGAACAAGAAACTCACAGCTTGGAGATTCAGAGATGGCGGAGGACTGAGTGAACACCTCAGAGAGCAAACTTCATGACTGAGACTTGGACTGAGCTGAGATAGAGTCCACGAAGCATGTTGCACAAACACCATTGACAAGTGAAATGTGGTTACAGTATGGGGTTTCAAAGGCGTGCGGGAGGCGAGGTAATAAGGGGCGGAGGAGCACTGAGGGTCAAACCTCAGTGCGAGGGAACCGTGAAGCTTTGACATTTGAAGCACTGCAGAGCGCTGAGACAAGCTGAGATCTGAGACGCGTTATGCGAGAGAACAAGAGCAATGTGGGGAAACTATCTCACGATCACATGATACATTCAATTTTTCAATCTACCCGAGGAAACAGTTCCTTAGCGACCCCCTCTTACCCTTTAGCTTAGACGCTAACGGGAATAACTTTGTTTGCTCGGATCGGCAACTCGCGTGTCGAAAAGTGTCGACGTCGCTTAGTAATATCTCCGGCAAATCGATGAACCAGCATCTTGCCAACACGTACTTACCAACCTACCACTACAGTATATGCCAATCTGCATATCAGAGCAATCGTGGAGCGTCGAAGCTCTCCCCCCACATACTCTAGGGGTCGATGGCGAGCCGGGAGAATGTCAGTCGAGCGAAAAAGTACACGCGGTCCCACTCAACTTGAAGGCTTCAGGTTTCAAACAGAATATTGCTGACTTGCTCACGAGAGTCATCAGCTCACCTTGCAGGAACGCGTTAACGGCTCAGAGGAAGCACTGCGTAATGTTACGTTGTATCAACCAAATTGGTCTCAAGCTCTACCTCTCTCCAGTGTGGTGTCTATCCTACTGCCTGAGAACTTTCTCACTGACGGCACCTGGATTCGTGTTATTATTCAACTTCATCGTGACATCAACCTCTTTAGACGAGATTCAGAAGCCCGGGATACCTAGTGAGCTTATCCTTGTACTCTGTACTAACTGCACTGAAGGTACTGGCTCGTGACCAAAGCCGAAGTTTCTCAGAAAGAGGTGCCTGGACAATGGACCTTGTGACTCGACGACTTCTCTTCTTTGGGAGAGCCCGTTTTAGACTGGCCTAGCGGCGCCATGATCCCTCCGCCTCTTTCTCTGGTATATTATCTCCGCTGCTTTAGAGTATCATGTCTGTCAAGACTCAAGTCTTCGTTACTGGTGCTACAGGTAAGTTGCCGTGGGCTATACCGGTATATCTGGCTGTTGTGTGACGTCTCTCATCATACCAAACGTCAAACATCTCTAGGATACATAGGCGGCTCCGTTCTCCAAAAGGTGCTGGCTCATCCTTCCGCCGCGACCTCTGAGTTCACATTGCTCGTCCGTTCGCCCGAGAAAGCTCGCCTGCTGGAGGGGTACATCCAAGCCGTCGGAGTTGATGTACGCGTGCTACTTGGCTCGCATTCAGACAGCGACAAGCTCGAAGCCCAGGCTGCACAGTCAGATGTCATCTTTGCTATGGTACGTCTTCACTCGCCTGGAAATAGATGATTAGACCCACAAGACACAACAAAGGCCAACGCGGACGATGTTGGAGCATGTAAAGCTATTCTGGCTGGCATGAAGAAACGACATGCAGAGACGGGGAACCCGCCGGTATTGATCCATACGGTCTGATCTACATCCTTGTGACAAAAATACTGAACGCTAAGACGCTGTCTGCAGTCAGGAACAGGTAAACGAAAACAGCCACTTGTCCCACTCAGAACGGAGCTGAAAGCTCTCATGAAAAGGTGTTCTCACAGATAAAGCGGAGGGTCGATATGAAGGCAACACCATCTACGACGACACAAACCCAGATCAGATCGAAACGCTCGCCGACACCCAGCCTCACCGAAACGTCGATCTCTTGGTCGTAGCTGCCGACAAGGAAGGCGAGTCTCAGTTTCAGTCCCCTCAAGCTTGCACTTGTTAACATCGCACTACGATGTGCGCAGGATATGCAAAAACATACATAATCCTTCCTTCCACGATATACGGTCTCGCCACTGGCCCTCTTGTTGACCATAAGATCTCGAACGACCACTCGGTCCAGGTGCCAGCGCTTATCAAGGCCGGCGTAGTTCGCAAGCAAGGCGGCGTGGTCAATGAGGGCCTCAACAGGTGGCCGTGCGTGCACATCAACGACTGTAAGCACTCTCCCTTCAGTCTCGCCATCGTCTTAGGATACCAATAACTAAGTGTGCGTCACTTAGGTGTGGACCTGTACCTGACTGTCCTCGACGCCATCCTCGCTGGTAAACCGGTAGGCCACGGGCGCGAAGGTCTCTACTTCGGCGAGAACGGCGAGTACCAGGCATACGCCCTCGCCAAGACCGTCGCACAGGTGTTGGCGGAGGTTGGGAAGGGACAATCTCGCGAACCGATACCATTCACCGCCGAAGAGTACGAGAAGGCGCCTTCTGTACGTGACTTGCTTCCTTTGCTTAAGAATGGGTTCTGATGCTATTCTATTATTGTAGCTAAAGAAATTTGGCACAAACTCACGTTGTCACGCGAAGAGAGCTCGGAGTCTGGGATGGGGGCCCATTTACACGTATGACGATCTGATCAAGAGCATCAAGCCGGAGGTGGAAGCACTTCTCACCAAGCCGATTGAGCAGTGGCCGAGCTACTAGACTTTGAACGCATTGGCTTTCTTGGCTTGTCCAGTGCATGAATTCAAGCTCAAAAGCATTCATTCAAGTTGCATAATACACATTGATCGACTTTGAGATAATACAGCAACCATGGGCGCCTTAGATAGGGGTATATAGCACCGGTGAGGGTCTTTGACCATCCAGGTTGATACAAGTCTATAGACGGGCGTTCTTCTGCATCTGGTGGATGGCCTGGCGAATGCCGAGGTCGGAGAGGACGACGGTCTTCGGCACCTCCAAGTAGCGAGTCGAAGGGAACTGTGCGGTAGTACTGCAGTTTCCGGATCGCTGTTAGTATACACGACCCTCAACCCCAGAATCTCAACAATCATACCAATCTTTTTGCTTCGCAGGAACTCATCATGGTTTCGGCTGTCGCTACTATACGACCGCGTTCACCCGTGATTTTCCTGGAGCACTCAACCAGCTTATACTTTCTTGATCATGCGAGCGAGGCAGGCTTCGTCGCGAAAACACCGGGCTAAAAGAAGGCGCCAGCTGTCCACTCTCGAAGCTCATCACAAGGAACACTGACATGCGTTCGGCCTGCGTCAGCTATTTATTCATTCAATTAAAGCAAGCGTTGGCAAAGGGTCAGCAGGAAGGAATGGTCCGTGCGTCCTCGAAAGCATGTGCTACGACAGGACGTGCTATAGACCATTCATTATCACGTTTAGGCGGCTTTTTTCTCCAGCTTTCCCCGAGCGTCAAGTTCAAGAACCTCAGTCTATTCTTGTACTCTGGGAACACTTCGCTGTTGACCTGCTATGCGTACCACACGAGCGTCGAGCTCTTCAAAACCAAGCCCACGAAGAATGGATTTGTCTCCGTTCCGAATGCGTTTGCAATGAGGCTCGCAACCGTCAAGTCGAGCATCGACATCTGTTCGCCATGTAGATATGTTTGCGAACCTAACCTTGCCTCTAACACTTCAACAACTTGCTCAGCTTGATCCCCTCCCTTTCCTCCTGCGAGCGACTCCCCACGCCGAGTGACCACCACATGATATCCCCGATCCTCTGCCTGAAGAAGGGAGGAGCAACCATACGCACCGATCACGGCGTATCTCCGAACATCTTGACCTTGAAAGTTTCATAGATTCCGTCGACCAGTCAGCGCTCGCGGACGATTGCAGGGTATATGAGCTCCTCCATCCAAGCCTGCCACGCCCTTGAATTTCTACATTGAGCTGGGGTGACGTGGGCGTCAGGGTTGGCGATGCCGTCCTTGTTGATGAGATACTGGACGATGAAAGTAGGATCGGAAACCCGCTCTTGCTTATCACCAACGGTAATGTTGGCGAAGGGGGCCTTACCCTTTGGTGCATTCCCTGGTTTGAGAACCGCTTGGTGCCTGTATGATACGGAAGCGTTGAAACCGATACTCATAATATTTAAACAAAACGGCATATTAGGAACGTGGCTTATGTTCATGAACAGAGATCTGCGCGCCAAGAAGGCAAGTTACGGATGTTTTGAGGCAATACTTTGACAGCGGACTCTATGGTTTCTCTCTACCACCTTGAACTCGTTTGAACCTCCTTAAAAGCCCATCACCAAAGGCTACAGCCATCTAGATCTCGCTAATAACCTGATAATACTCTTTTGAAGCGGAATACGACCATGACCACTAATAAATGGTTCTTCTGCGCAGGCGCTCCAACGGATGTGCAGCCTCTACGTACGTAAGGATGGCCTTCGTAGAACATGCCTAAGCATCGTGGGCTGAAGTTTAGCGAACGACCTCTGAGCAGAACAAAGAGGGTACTAGTAACATCTTAGTCAGCGCCAGGACTCCCCCTTTGCAGCCGCGGCTACCCTCACGGTTCTCCGACTCGCGCAGCTCTTCCCTTATACGCTCCTCCTTTTTTGGAGTTGTTCAGGAGATCCCTCTTGGCTATCAACCATGACCGACATATACGACCACCTGATCTCCCAGACAAGATCGAACATTCAGATTCTGATTTCGCACAACAAGATCTCCGAGGTGGATGGCAACCACATACTTTCCAAGCTCCCATCGTCCCGAGGTGTCGACGACCTTGTGAACAGCGCGGGAAGGCTTGCGATCACTCAACGAAACGGAGCCCTCTCACCAAGTCGCGTTCAAGAAGCTAGAGCAAGCTGGGATTGGCCAGGCGATGTATGTTTGTTATCACGCTTGCTTCGTGCCTTCGTCCTAACTTCGCACTACAGGGCCCAGGAGACCTCTCGTTCAGAAAAGGAGACATCATCGAGATAGTGTCCGAGACAAACGCAGAGTGGTGGACTGGCCGCCTGCACGGCAAACAAGGCACCATTCCCGCGAACCACGTTGAAAAGCTCTCCGGGACACCGACATCGCGCGCTCCTCCTCCGCCTCCAGCGGCGCGAGACCGGGACACGTACTATGAGCCCAAGTACAGCTCTCCAGGTCCTCCGGCTCCTTACTCCCCAGGGCCTCCTATGGGATATCACCAGCCCCCTCCGGGTCCTCCTATGCTCTACGGGCCCCCTCCAGGTCCACCGATGAACTACCAAGGGCCTCCCCCTGGTCCGCCGATGTATCAGCCGCCTGCGGCTGGGCCACCCCCGAACGGAGCGTACAACCCTTACATGCCGCCAGCGTCCGCCCCTCCTGCACCGCAAGAGCCGCAGAAGCAGGGTCGGTTTGGTAATCTGGGCAATACAGTAAGTGCTTTACTTGATCGCCGATGTTCCGTCTCTGACTTCGGACACTCGAAGCTTGCTCAATCGGCGGCAGGAGGGCTGGGTTTTGGTGCAGGTGAGTTTCTAAATTGATGAAGCTCTCAGCAATTTGCTAAGCGAACCATTCCTTAGGCTCCGCTATTGGAGGTGACATTGTGCACTCGATCTTCTAGGCATCACATATCATTCTATCTCTAACCTGGATTATCAACTGTTTGCTCTGGTTGCTGGAACTGTATATGTCGGATTGCTTTCATCCGTTGTAATTTTGAATGTATGCGTCGAATCGATCCCATTTCCACTTCACAATCTCATCATATCTACCATCCAGTGACGCATAGAACTACCATCTAGCCCAAGCGCTTTGCATTTCTTGCACACTTCCCCTCGGGATAATCCCCATTCATTGACGATGAATTACAAACATTGAGGCACGCTGACAGTGACACATAATTGCGCCCGGAAAACAAGTCACAACGTCAGTGTAGATCCGTCTAACTTCAGAGCGAAATGAACCGTGTTGCTATGCGCAGCACTGCCTGGTGTATCTTTAAGTCATAGGGCAGTAGGTAACCGCCTCAATCATAGAGAACGAATACCATTGATTGCTGGCCCTTGCAGTAGGAATTTTTCGGAAACATACCAAGAAGCAGCAAACGGAGAACAAGAGGATCCAGGTGTATCCGAGCTACACCCTCGAGTTGTGCGGAATCAAAAACATGCTCGTGTGGGCGTCCAAACACTCATTATCAACGTACGCGCAGAAATTCTCAGCTTGCAGCTGGAAGGTAGTCAGAGGGTCGGGGCCAAAGGAAGATTACATTGCCAACTCGATCTACACCTCCGCAAATCGCTCCACGTACCGCAATGTGTCCACGTCAACATTCATCGTGCGCTGCGCCGTCGGCCGCTCATAGTTACTGCCGCCCGCGGCTCATTACTGTCGCCCATGGGGCGCAGCCGCAAGAACTAGTAGTCCGACTCAGCGGGGGAGGAGCAAGTCAACGCCCGGAGAATGGTGGGGGATGCAAGAGGTCGGATGCGTCAGCCACTGAAGGCCCCCTGTACCTACTGCGGAGGTATGGCTGTCCTGGTCCCTCTTCGACGAGCGGTCCGTTTCGACACAAATCTTCCCCAAGATGCGCATGTGGCGGAAACAACAATCACCTCCACCGAGGCAGGAATCGAAGCGCGAATACGGGCTAGCAGCTGGTCACGAAACGCGGCGGGTAATAACACGGAGGATGAGTCGTTACGAGCTACCAGAAAGTGAATGAGAAATCATAGCCTTTGGGATATACTTTATTCCTAGCCTAGGGGACAAACGGCATGAGGGGCTCGGAGCAACTGCACGAACTCGGCTATCCCAGGAAAAAGCCCAAAATTGAGTCAGTAGCCATTTACTTACGCTAGTCTTACGCTAGCAATACTGCGGTACATGATCCTTCCTCGTTGTGCCTATGATGTCCTGATTATCGCGCATTGGCCGTCGGCTTTTAGCTAGTAGGGGGAATGGCGACGACCGCCTTAACTTGATGGATGCGTTTAAGGCACTGGTGTTTTGCTGTACTGATGCTTCCGAATCTAAACAGCGATACATGGTGTTGTCACATCAGAGTGACCGGTGAGGACCGAGCTTGTTTTTTAGAACGTCCGAGAATGTGGGCCTAAAAGAAGTAAAAAAAGGTTCGGAGAGGAAAGGGATTTCCGGGGTTGCGGACTGTCAATTGCGGATAAGCGTTTTGCCTCCACACCTTTGTTCCAGAAAATGCTCCCATTGACAACTTCGGGCCCGACACTCTAGGCACGCTCCCGGATCCCGAGCAAACCGAGCAGCCGATCTTGTGGATGAGGGCGCGCTGGTGTAGGGAAAGCTTATCGATTTGCCTTCTAGTCTGAATCCAATCGTTCGGAGTGACGTTGGAGAGGAAGTCCAGATCTAAAAAAACGCTTGGGAGATCTGGAGGAACGAGGCGGAATGGACGGAATGGACGGATTGGGAAATTGCGACGTGACGCCTGACAAATGCCGAGAATCGGCGTGACAGGAGCAATGTGACTAGCTGACCGGAAGAGGGGCGTAACAATATGTTAGCTTACAGATAGTCACGCTATTATTGCTAATGCGCTGCCGTCCGGACGAATGAGACTTATCCACTGGGCCCGAGTGCTCACTCAGGCTCTTCACACCTCCTCCGCATCCTCCTCCACATCCAACGCTCGCCTTTTTCCTCTAATACACCCCTCGAACGACCTTAGACATATTCCAAGACAACCTACGAGCACCGTTCACCCTCATCCTCCCCATCAGCTTGAGCTATATCCGCCGCGAGATAGTCGGGTTTTCTCCCTTTGGGCACAAGATCTTTGGCCTTGCGACCATGTCTGACTCCGAGTCCACCCTCTCGCCAGAGCCAACACGCCGCACTGTCAAGATCATATTCTTTTCCGACTACGTACGTCTCCCCTTACACACTTTCTGCCCATAACTCACCTATCAATTCACCCTTCTTCGGTTATATACAGATATGTGCATTTTGTTATATCGGCAACAAGGTCCTTCAAGACGCCATCAGGGCCTGCTCTGACCTCCCACTACAATTTGACATCGAATTTCGTCCGTTCGCTCTTCTGTGCTCGTTGCCATGCGGCACTTCGATTAAGCGCACCGAGTTTCTCGAGAAGAAGTTCGGTAAGGAGGACGTCCTGATGAAGATGCAGTATGTCGAGACCATAGCCGAGCAAGTCGGACTCAAGATGTACGTGCCCCGCAATATTACTAATGAGCGTTTTCTCATTGGTCCAAATATAGCGCTCGTGATGGCATCGTCTGCAAACCTGTAAACGCCCACCGACTTGCCGCCAGAGCCTACGTGCTCGGCGGTCAAGAACTGCAGAGCAAATTCGTTCAGAAAGTATTCGATACTGTCTTCAGAGATGCGAAGGATATCAGTAACAGGGAAGTCCTCGTCGACATGGCCCTCGAAGCCGGCCTGATGGAAACCAAAGAGGAGGTAAGCTGTGTCCTGATTTGTTTCAAAACTCTTCACCAACCAGTTCACTCTTCGCAGGTGAAGAAATTCCTCGACTCAACAGACCATATTGGATGCGTGAAGAAGATGATGGAGGCTGCGCGGTCGAGTGGAGTTGTCGGGGTTCCTTTCCTCATCATAGATGGTAAATGGGCACTGAATGGTGTTCAACCCACCGAGTGCTACGTCAAGGTGAGTTACGTCCCACGCGAGGGCAAACATACATTTCTGACTTTGACCGTTGGTACCATAATTCACACGCCACCCAGCTCTTCCGCAAGCTCGCAGAACACCATGAAAACGGAACCGCACTCTCTCCCTGCCCTAACGCCAGCCCATGCCCCAACTCTATCTAGAAGGTACCGCAAGCCCTCGCCTCATAATTCGCACCTACCTCTCTGCATGTGTGTTCTTGCTTTCCCTTCCGTTGCCCAACGTTGATGCTATCTCACCTCACTAACAGCAGCCCTCTTCTCCTCAATACATCCGGATCGTCTGCCTCATCTCTTTCTTCGCTGGTGTTCTCTCTCAATTCCTCGTTTCTGAGAATATGGTGCTATCGCATGTATTATTGCTCGAATGGCGCACAGAAAGCGAATTCGGAGGACATTGTCTCTCTTTTCCCCTCTATATATCAGCCTCTTGCCCCATTCGTCTGTACCTTGCTTTCAGCTATCTATATATCCTTTGTCCACCTCCTTTCTCCAACGCACCCTGGCCCAGCTCTGCCCAACTGCATGCATCCGGGCGGGTGCCGTAAACCAAGGCAAGGCGGCCGGTGGCTGACGCTGGCTTGGGCCCCCTGAAGCCCGAGAACTATCAGAAGCGGCGTCCCAGCGTCACACCGGTCGCGAGGTACGTGTGACGCCTCCTAGCGCGAATGGGCACTTTGACTGTCTTGATCTTTGCTCGCTGGTTAGAATGAACTCACACAGGTGTCCGCGAGCTTCGGGGTCGAGCGCTCTGGTCGCCCGTTCGCACTGGACTAGTCCGCGACCAGCGCGAGAACGATACTTGTTCTGAACTCTGCGAGATCGCACTCTCGAGTGCCACCGCCACTCAAATCAGTGGCTGAGTGCTCTGTTCTGGGGACTGCTATCAACGGTTTCTTTCTTGGCCTGCCGGTGCGCTCCCGGCCTAGATATAATCCACCGATCGTGATACACGGTGGGCGGTACCTACTACGGTTTCAAGGTGTTGTTGGCCGCAATTGACTTGCCCATGGCAGTCCCGTCTTGTCGCGATCGACACACGCCATCTTGCTAGTGTCTTCCGTTTTATCCCTATTTCTCATCGGTCGACACCAGTCGACACCCTGCAGGTCCTCGGCGTGCCTAACTGACTGGATCACTTCTCTTGCAAGAAAGCGAAGCCGATAATTATGTGAGAGCTGATGGCGACATCAAGCAGATAACGCACACGGTAGGCATCAAAAAGGTCTTACTACATACTAGGATATGGTACAGCATCTAGTCCTTACTATCTATATCGTAGGGTATGCCAATCGTAGCGTCCAAAAGCTGTCATGGTCGTAACAAATTAAGATTAGAGGAAACGATTAGTGCGATAGCGTGATATCGTGTCGTGTATCAGGGCGAGCGTCTTCCGCTCTTCTTTTCATATCCTCATCTTTCATCCCCGTATCCTTGAGTAACCAGCGCTGTTACTGCGTGTCACAGCGAGCGGTGGACCCGATGGGGCTACGTGCTGACCGTGACCACCCGTCATCGCGCCCTCTGATGGGGCAACGTTCTCGGTCGCATTAAATGGGCGCATCGTATTGTTCCCAGGGCCATACACGGGCACCTCGCCGACGCGACCTTCTCCTGCTCTTCCAGATGTAGAGATGGGAGGCTGCCGGCCGTTCTGTTGGGATGGTATATCAGGGTTGAGTTCTCCATAAACCACATGGGCGGGGCTCACTGCCTCCTCGACATCCATTGACTTTTTCAGCTGGCCCTTCTCGACGCCCTTCGCCATGCGGAGGTCGTAGTAGAACGTCAGAAGGTAGAAGGTGTATCCGAAAGCTATTATCCACTCGATGACACCTGTGGAGATTAAGCGCGTGAGCAAACAGCTCTAGGTTTATCAGCTGAGAGGGCGCACCTCCAACGTCTGGGACGTAGTACAGAGTAAAGGCAAACGCAACAGCCAGTAGGATCAGGGTGCCCGCGATAATGGACTTTGCCCAGTACGCCCGCCGAAGCTTGCGGACCTCCACAAAGTCCTTGCTGATCCATCTGTACTCCAAAACGGTGAAGATGGCGCTTAAACCAACTCCAATGATGAAGATAAGCAGGAAGAGGCGATGCAGAGTCGGGTAGCGGTCCGTGTCGAAACCAGATAGGAGGATGAGCCCCGCCCCGCCGATGAACGAGCCCAATATGGCCATAAACGACAAGTACCGCTCGCGCTTTCGCATGACAGGCAGAAGGCGGCCAGAATGACGTAGGTAGCGCTCGAGGCAGAGGCTGATGAAGAAGCCGACACCAGTGATGCAGCATGCGACGACGAAGAGGGGCTTGAGGAACGAGGCACCGACGTCAGATATGTAGGTGACCTTGCCGTTTTGCGACGGGTACTTTGGGCGCCCCGAGGCGAGCCAGGTGATGAGCATTGCCCAGAGGGTGGCGAACCAGATAAACGCCGTGAAAACGGGGACCCAGACATATGCCCAGTGGTTGCGGTGGTCTTCGACGCGAAACATGGTTTGGGGCACGCGGGCAACAGGTTCGGGAGCGTCGAGTGGATGTGAGTGTAGACTTGAGGCCCTGCGCGATGCGTTTGACCATGGTTTTGAGTGTCAGTCCACGGTGGCTCATAGTGGCCATCATCTCCAAAACATAGACTAGACAACGTCATCGAGTGACGTCACAAGCACAGCGGCGATTTTGCCGATCGGCGGCTAGGTGGCGGTGCCCTTTTGCTTTGGACAGCTTTGGACAGCGTGACCAACTAGATCAACGTTTCAAGCTCAAGCTCAAGCTTCAAGCTTCAAGCTTCAAGCTCCAACCATGGATTATAGTCGTACGCTCCTACAGATCTAGAGCGAGAACGGTCTAACAATACGACGTCAAATTTCGATCTAGTTCCATGTCTTCATTGGGGGACATCCGACCCGTCTCAGTCGATGAGATTCATCGAAGACAGCCTTGAAGACAGCCGTCGAAAGGTCTTCTGAATCGGTTGGCCCACTTCGACGGACCTACGGTCCGATTTGAAGAGGAAGAGTCGGACGGGTCAGACTTTTGGAGGCAGTGCGCATACGATACAATGGGCTATTGTCCAGGGAGAGCGATGTGGTGGGACATATGCAGTGACGGTGAATTCAAGGAGGGCTGTAGAACACGTCCCGAACAGGCAGCCAAAGGCAACTGGCATCGTTCAGCCAATCAGGTGAGGCCTATTTCTCGGTGGCAAACGTCGATCCCTTCTGTCAAACCATTGTCGCAGATTTCGTCGTTGTACGCGGGTGATTAGCTGCACTCACTCTGCGACGCTTAACTCAAATACGCCTCGCTGACCTATGTCTTTCCACCGTCGATCTATTCATCCCTACCTGCTCTCGTGCAATTATGTGGATGCAATGCCAGCCATAACTTGGGCATTCACACTGGGCACTGACGCACTCTCACTGAGTCTGTCTCAATGCACTGGCGATGAGGTCATGGGCAACTATAATCTCGATGCAAGTCAGAAGACAAGCTCTCCATTCCCCTGCCTCTGCTGAGGCTATGTACCAGTGTTACTAATGTTATCCTAGAGACACAGCTGTCTTTACCCATCCGGGCCCGGACGGGTGAGTCCTTGTTGCTGACCAGCTGCTGACTCCGCAGCTATTCCGGTGTGTTTCGCTCGCATCCTCGTCTGCAACGTCCTTATGGTTTAATTAGTGCCATAAACCATGAAAATAATCCGTTCTTGGCAAGTGGCATGAATCGTATAGACCAGCCGGCCATCAATACATCGTCGAGGCTCCATACACATGACAAAGGACCGAGCTCAACACCGAAAGGTGTCTGATGTGTCCTTGTGTACCTCGTGTTCACCCGGATGCATCCCCCGAAAACTTGCCCCTTGGTCCCTTGGATGACTGACCTGCTGACGTTTTCGTTCCTGGCTAGACGTTCCGGGTTTCACTGGCGTCTTCAGTGTTGCTGACTTTGGTCAGATATGACGGTACCAGTTCGTATCGATCCCTTATTTCTAACAACTAGTCCCTAATCCTTGGGTCGGCTTTCTCATCGTGATGAATCATGTTTGTCATCGATCGTGCTATGGACTCGGCGATCGGTAAGCCGAGACTAAAACTCGACTAAATGCCGATTCCGCTGCCGTTGAAGCAGTAAGCCAGGTCTTCATCCCCGAGGCCGATTACGATTGCTGACAGACACAACCTCATACATGACCGAGCAGGTGTGCCGCACAGTAGCCCTGCAGCCCGATGCCAAGTTTTGTGGCGAACCATTGAGCATGATGCCCCCGGCTAGCGTTCAAACCCAAGTGTGCTCGGTCTTCGAATGCATCGAGTAAGGCATGATTTCTCCTGCGATGGTAACACACTTCGTTCACTGTATTCGTCCGTCTTGGGTATGGCGAGTGGTAACGTGCGCGATTGGAACATATCTATGGGTATGCCTGCGCGTCTTGCAGGTACTATTGACTGTGAAACAATGTCAAGGGAAATGTTCACCTATCGCCTCGTGAATATACTTCTGCAGGTCCTCTAGCGACAATCTCACTGACATCGCCTACCAACAATTGAGTCGATGGCATAAACAAGATTCTCTCATATTGGCCTCTCCAGCTAATTTCGGGACCGACTCGGCGCGGTTGAAGCTACTTAGCTACGAGTGATGACAGATGTTGCCTTGCATCCCACCGACAAGACGCACCTAACCTGACATCATCTTCCGTTTCGTCCCCGCCGTCAATTCCTGCGGTGCCGGTGAGTAATCGATCGTTACATTATCCTCCGATTTCCGTCTTCGTCAGTGGAACTAATCAAATGCCAATGGCTCATACCCCAATAGCATTGACTCTGCAGTTGCATTGCGTGCAGCTTCGCCGCTACTCATATCTAGTTTATTTCTTCTCGCTCCGCGACTTGCAGACACAAGCATGGGCTTTCGACCCATTTGTTCCATGCCTTAGGTTCCGACGGATAATGAGAGAATCATCTTCCCTGCGGTTTGACACACTGTGTCTGAGGCTGCCTCCCCTCATTGACAATGGCGAGAGTCTCAGCACCGACGGAATGCAGCTTTGGCCGACGGAATTCAGCTTTAACCGACGGAATGCAGCTTTGCAGCTGTTGTCCAGACCCGTGGTGAGTAATCAATCCTTATGTTTCCTCATATTTTCTCGCTCACCTCCCGATATCCTCATGTTGATTCATACGCGGAAGTAGATGGCCCGACGGGCTATCGTTACTACCTCTACTCCGACTCGTCGAAGTCGAGGCTAATTCCCATCCTCACTTGATCAAAGCTTGACTCTCGCAAACCTCAAACACTCCCCACATATACAGCTAACTCCATCTACGACTTTCATTCTGAATGTCGGACGCGAAGTGACAACTCCAGTCGCTTGACATTACATGTATAACGCGGGCTGGTTTCTGGCTAATTTTCGTTCACCTGAAAGTGAGTGCCTCACATGAGTATTCCGTTGCCGTTCCACGGTTTACTGCGCACAATGTACCAGCGTGCATATTCCCAACTAATGATGCAACATCTTTGCTTCGTGGACAGCTCTCAGTTTCTGCCACCAGACTACAGCGTTATAGTCAGTGCTGATCTTAAAGGTCTTACCGTGGTCCCTGATCGAAGCGACTCTGATACGGTCCACTGGAATATCACCTTTTTCTTAGTATTCTTCAACCGACGCCCCAATCATGTCCCTGTCATACTCAGGATGAACATGCGGCATGGAGATGTAAACCTCCGTTCGTCAGTAGCAGCAACACCTCTTCTTAAATGTAAGGTGTTGGAGTTATCTCGTCTCCGCCTCAGTACCAACGAATTCTGAGATATCCTTCAGATGTTGTGCCTCATGCAAAATGCACAGTGTACGAGACGCAAACTAATGGAGTCTGACCGGCAATATCGAAGTGTTGGAGTCTTTGAGGTATGAATATACAGACATCTTGTCGCCGGGCTACCCCAGATCTACTCGAGGAACGATTTTATTTTCTGCCCTGAAGACTATCGTTCGAAAATACAATTATCAGAGTAGAACGAGACCTATACGCAAGACAAGTATCGCCTCAATGTCTACCCCAAATCACGCGTTTGACAAACTTCGAATAACGTGTCGCGGTAACAACTTGCCTAGCTTTCTCCATCGCCCCTCTGACCCAGTAGACGAGTCGGCATCGCAAACGCACGCCAGAAGATTGCCCAGCTCTTTCGTTCATTTTTGCTTACGCAGTGCCGATGTCCCGGTGATTCCATACTCGCCACTACTAGAGCCAGCTATCATGCATCGTGATGCTGACCATCTCTTTCTCCATCACGAGGCCACCATCACGTAAGGCTGCCCTCTACTAAGACGACATGCCACATTGCTTCTTTGCAAGACCGAAAACTGAACAAAGCCCTCGGGCCACGCAGGTCGGTGGGATTGGAATCGTATTCAAATGTGCGAGGTCCGTTCATCGGAGAGCGATGACATCGTCCGAGATCGACTAAGTTATTAGGCGCGCTTGCACACCTACTTATAGCCTCTAGCTTGTCATCCTGTTTTCGGCCAAACCCATGTGCTGTAACTCACTGTCAGATCTGGATCCATTAGAGCCACTAGCTAAGTTAGCTATGTACAATGATACCTGTGCGGGTATAAGTAAACGAAAGCAAGAAGACGAGCTAAAAATTTAAAAATAAAAGAGCGAGTTCCAGCCGCGATATTAGATAAACCTGTGTCCGAAACCGAATCCCACAACATTTTACCTCCCCCACCTCCATCCGCCCACTGCAGCCCACCCTGCACCACGAGGAACCCGCCCACCACGCCCTATTGCTCCTTTCCAGGAGCAGGAGCATGGCTTCTGGGGCTGGGCATCCCGTCAAACGGAGACTTCCCCTGACTCTCCTTGTCCGTTTTATGCTTCATCGCCAGCTCCTTCATCCTCGCCTTATCGCCCTCGATGAACTTGAGCACTTGCTCATCCAGCTTCCTCGACGACTCGTCCGCCCGCTGCTCGCGCTGCCATTTCTTCACGTTCTCCTCCGCGGCCGCCCCTGGCCCCACCGCCGGGCCCGCTGACGGCCCGACCCCCGCGCTCGGCCCATATCCGCCCACTGGCGCGTACGATCCCCGACTCGGACCGGCGCCCGTCCCTCGCTGGTCAGCGACGGCAGCGTTGATCGCAGCGGACGCGGACGCAGACGCCCCGGGCGAGAGCAGCCGCTCGTCGCCCTCCGATAAGCGGTCGCGCGAGAGCATGGCGAGCTGGAGCGGCGCGAGCGAGCTCGGCGACAGCTTCGTCTTGGACGAGAAGAACTTGCCCTTGTTCGGCGTGTTGCCCACTGGCGTCCGGCGCTCCGCCGGGATGTTGGGTTTAGAGTGTGACGACGAGGAGTAGAACCTCGATCGGCCGCCGCCACCGCCGCTATGGTAACCACCCAAACTTGAGCCTCCCATGGAGACATCTGGGGAGGAGTTGTAGAACACGCCTAGGTAGGGCTGGCTGGGCGCTATAAACGAGGTGGAGAAGGAGGGCATGGCAGACGGGCCGGTCTCTGTGTCGCTCTCGGACTCGTCGTCGTCAAGGGCGTTGTTCTCGATGTGGTCGAAGAAGTCGGCGGGCGAGGCGGGTGGAGGGGCAACGTGGACGCCAGAGTGGTGGCTGACAGCGCTCATGTCGAGGAAGGATGGTTTACGCACGCTGGACGCCTCTTCCAGAAACTCTAGCCCCTGAATATCATCCGCCCGAATGGTACCATGACGATTTCGATGATGACCTGAGGTGGACGAGCTTCTCGAAGTGATTGAAGACGAGCGCGATTTGGTGGAAGGAGAGTGGAGGTATGGGGACGGTTGCGGTGGAGGGTGGAGGTTAGCGGGTGTGCGACGCGACGAGGATCGAGGTGGACGGGTAACTCGCGAGGACGATGAGGCTCTTGACTGACTCCTGGCTGCCTCGCCGAATTGGTCCGTCATGGACGCCTCCGAGGGGGCGGTGTAAAACACCTCCGAGACCCTGTCCTGGAAGGCGGATGCCGTGGGTGACGGTGTGCGGGTATCCTCGGGCGTCAATGCCCTATCGTGGGTCGCCATCGTTGCTGCTGAAGTGCGCCGTGTTGGATCCACCTCAAAGGATGCGAGTCTACTTCGGAAGCTTTTGGTGGTTGAGGATGACGCGGTGCTCGCGCGACTTTCCCGGGAGTAGCGCGAAGAAGGTCCTGGTGCGGGAGAAAGGGAGAGGGCGGGCGGCAGTGGCGGCGGTGAAGGGGTAAGCGCCCCGGGTCCGCGGAAGGCGTCGGCCGGCTCCGTAAGAAGGGGCGACGACGCGGACTTGCGGAGGGCCCCCGATCGCGAAGTTTCTGACTTCTGCGAGGAATGCAGATCGCTATGTGACATTGAATGTAGTGACTTCGGATGCTTGTTTGGCCGCGGGGACAGAGGTGTATGCGGGACAGGGGTTTCTGACCGTAGATAAGGTATCTCGGCTTTCACGGGCGCTTGCAAAGTCAACCGGGGCCTATTCGCTTGCCCACTCGAAGGCGGGCTCCCCGGACTTGAACTTGGTAAACCCTGGGATTCCAGAGAGTCCAGCCGTGGAGGCGGAGAGAGGATCCTTTTATCGAGTTTCAGCGCCTGGGGCACGCGGTGTTCCTTTGGCACTGATGACGATGATGATCTGGGAGCTGGTGATGGTACCGGCGATCCGGAAACCGATGCAGATGCCACGGATGAGCTGGACGCGACAGAGTTGCTAAGCGAATAGCCCACAGCTGCAGAAAGTATGTCTTTCCTCCAGGCGTGCTCTTTGGAATCGACCGACGATTGGCCGGGGCTCAAAGGAGGGGGCAAATGGTCGGCGAGCACCGCAGCTCCCAGGGAATCCGCCACTCCAAGACCGTGGTGCTCAGATGCCTGGATTGCAAAGGGGTAATCCGAAGTAGGAAGGGGCATGTCCACAGCATCAGTGGGATCGATGATTCCGGTGAATGCTTCCTGTCGGCCACCCAAATATCCCGCTTCGAATTCTTTGACACGAGGGGCGAAGCTTTGTGCTTTCAGTTCCCTTTCCGCCTTCTTCGACGCGCCGGGCAGATCCTCCATCCTTTCTCGCACCACAACCACTCTCGAAACTCGATTCTGGCATCCCAAGGCGGCAGAGTTGGTCTGCGGTCTGAGGTTTTCGGGAGGAAAGTAGCTGCTACGCGGCGACTGGTCCATTGGATCGACCAAGGTACGCTCGGTACGCTCTGCAGGCGGTGTCGGTGGTGCGGCACGACTCTTTCCGGGACGTAAAAAGTCTAGAAAGGAAGGCACTGGAGACTTTTTGGTAGAGGTGATAGGAGTAGAAATATCGTAAGAGAATGGCTTAGTGTGCATAGGTGGCAAGAAATAGTTGTTCTTGACCATGAGACGGAGTCGATAAGAAACATCATCCGCATTGAAGTCGTGTAGCCTTGACTGATGCAATTGACCGAGGCTGACATTGAGCGCATGGTTTGGTCGGACAGGGGAAAGAGGGGAAAGGGGAGAAGGTGGAGCGGTGGTCGTCATGTCCGTATCCGTAGGAGTGCTGGCAGGGTAGATGGACGACTCGGTAGACCCTTGCGTCAAGATCGAGTCTCGGGTGTTGCTGACCTTTCTTTCTATTTCCACTGACCGGATAGCGATTGAGGGTACGTCGGTTTCGAGGCGTAGTGCTGGAGTTTTGCCTTTGTCCTGGTAACCGCTCTGCTGAGTGAACAAAAGCAAGGAACGCGGTTCTCTACTCACCATATCCAAGGGGACCGCGTCGTGGCTTCGTCCTCGCCTGTGACCCAGCGACGCGTTCGCGTTCGCGTATTCTGCGATGCTACTATCCACAAATGCCATTCTGTCCGCTCCTGGAGGGGTTGCAGCAGTGGATGGGCGGGGTGGCCGTCGACGGCTCTGACTAAGCTGACTTGTTGGATAATGTGACCCTGGCTGGCCGTCTGGAGCCGTTTGTGGACGCGGTCCGTCGAGGTGTGGTGGGGGTCGCGTCCGCGTTTGCGACGGTGACCTGGTGTCTCGCGCGTGCGGACCAGACGGTGAGCTGGGTGACTGAATGAAGATCCTTCGCTGCCTCGAGGAGGGACCGGACCTGTGTCCGTCCATTATGTGGAGCGGGGATCCTTGACGGACTGCAGCCAGGGTCTGCCAAGGTCCGCCACTGGGGCAGAAGCGTTTTTTTGGACGTCAAACCTGTCAAGCCGTTCAGGCCCAGGTCTGGATCAAGGAACCAATTAAGGAAGGAATTCATTGCACACGTGGGAACCGACACGGTGCCAATTCACCGGCATCACGTGAGGAGCGGGAACCGAATAGTCGGCAAAGGATCGCCCGACTCGGCGCTACCCTCCGGAGCGCGTCTTTCGGCTTTGCACAGACACGCGACACGCGAGCGCTTGTACACCAGACCTTCACAACACCATGTCGTCTCTCAGCCCGTTCCTTCAATGTGAGTCCCTCTCGGACTTGAACAAGCTAGCACCTGCTTACCTGTTCTCTAGATCTTCCCCAAGCGGAGGGCTTGCTGCCTAAATGGCAGCTCCTCGTCGCCACCATGGCCCTCTTCAACACGGTCCAAAACTTTGCTACACTGAAGCTCACACGTCGACTCTATGGCCGTGTGTCCCCTCAGTCCAGTTCGTCACGTTTGCTTTATACTGCGAGCGAGTCGCTAAGCAGGAGCTCCAGTCACAGGCCTCCAGGCGAGGACCTTCGCAGTATGGACCCTCACTTCTGCCGTGGTGAGAGGATACGCGGCGTATAACATTAACAACAAGAGGTATGGCGCCATCCGAAGCGATGGTAGCAATCGCTCATATCATTTGCAGCATCTATGACATGGCCTTGTTCACATACCTCATTGCATTCGGTCACTTCACATCCGAGATCTTCGTCTACCGAACGGCCAAGGTCATGTCCCCCGTGTTCAGCACGCTCGTCGTCTCCAGTGAGTCGCTCCCACTTCACATGCCTCCGCGTTCGCACCTTGCTCACCGGCCCGCCACGAAGCCTTGTCCCTCGTATGGATGATCACCCAGTACGACTTCTACGTCAAAGCGTAAGCGTGAAAGCGCCCGAAGTGCGTGCTAGGAAGCGCCGATGGATGTGTGACGTATTATTTTTGGATAACTTCTAATGACCACTATTTGTAGTACTGAATAGCCTTTTGAAAAAGGTCAAATACATGAACTCAAACTCGCACTGCACCAGTCTGCACTATACACCCGTGACGTGTCGTGAGTGTTGTCCCATTGAGAGCGTTTGAATGCAATGTGCCGCTGGCGCGTCCACCATCACCCCATTGGTTCTTGTGATCGTTTGAGCCGCGGTGGTGGCGTACCACCCACTCCCGCGGATCCATCTTCATGTCCACACTTTCGTGTCTAACCTGGGTACCCTTTGGCAACACCGCGTCAGAGCTTTATGCTCTCGCGAGAACGGAAGATGCGGGCGGAACCATCCTACCACCTAGTGAGAAGCCTGTCGCAGATCTTTGCAAACGTTTGACAGTAAACGACATCCGGGCGGTTCAAAAATAAACCTGTCAGTCCAATAGCGGTTGGCAGGTGCGAGAAGGTAATGAGAAGGTGTTTTCACGCCTAGTCCAATATGATGGTACAATTTTTGCTCATGGCTCTGAGTTGCTGGCACGTTCGTTCAGACGTTAACCCATTGTACGGCAGCATACGGCCGTACGGCCGTTTATTGGGGCTAACATCATGTTACCAAACTCTATGCTTGTTACGGACAAGTCGAGAATGGAAATTCGGGTAATCACCGTCCTCGGCACACGTCAATCGAGTCGTAATACATTAGAACGCGGAGTAAGTACCGTCGTTCCGATGCTTCATTGATCTTTGGGGTGCCGTTGACATGCCAAAAAGGTACGCTTCCTTACACTCCCCAGAGAAACGTGATCCATCGTGAATGGTCGAGAAACAAATGGCACCACAGGCGTGTACTCACGCGCAATACGAGAGTGGTTCATGGTGAAACGAGCAGAGGAAAAATTTCCAAGGCAGGCATGTCTCCACCTTCGGATACCTCGGATGCTCACACACGTTTTTCATCGCAATGAAACATCTCAGGGAGCATCATGTGTCGTTGGTACTGGTTCTAGAGCACGCAAGCGAGCGACATGCACCCAAATTGATGTTGTATGGCGGATCGTCAAATCACCTCATATAACGGGCAACCCATAAATCAGGTGACGTGTGGTACGTGGATCAAGCCGGCTGCAAAACTGACCCTGTTCGGTCGGCAGAGCCCTGCGGAGCCAAACTGAAATGCTGACCTCTTTTGCGCAGGTCTGAGGGGCCACTCCGGCCTCCAGAGTTGTTGATTAGAGTTGGAGAATTGGAATAAGCCAAGCGGTGGCGCGGGCGTCTGTTTCAGCGGAAAGGCAAGACGAGGCAAACAAGGTGCTATTTTGCGAATGATCAGTGGGAGAAGAAGTCGAACCTAATTTCCCCGCGTTGAAATTATGAAGTCAGACGCAGGTAAGGCACATGGCAGAGCTTTTAGGGATCCGTTCCGTGCGCGTATATAAACGGTCCCCATCCCCGATACCCACCTTCGACCGACAAGGACCGTCTCACTCTTCTCTTCGCTATTAAACATCAACTTCTCTGCTCTTGGTATCCTTGCTTTGGTCTTTTGTCTTCCCCTTGCTCACCAATGACCACTGCTGTCCTCCAATACCCCCCAGAACTCTTATTCATCATCTGCGCACATGTCTATGCCGCCGGCCTTCCCACCGCCAAACCGTCTCTCGACCCGTTAAACATCATACAAAACGCCGGAGCGCCCACAGGCCTCCCCTCATCTTGGCCCGCAGATAACTGGACCGAGCCTCTCGTCCGCCGCACCCTCGCCAATCTCTGCCTCGTCAACCACTCATGGTACGAAGCCGCCAAGCCCTGGCTCTGGCAGAAGATCGAAGTGCGCCTCCCGGGAAGCTGGCTCGCCCTCGTGGACGAGATTGCCGGCGGTGACGAGGAGGACGAGTCCTCAGACGAAAAAGTCGCACTGGACGTGCAGCAGTCGATCAACGCAGCCACCAGGGCCGCCATCGCCTCGAGCTCCGTCATGGGCGGCTGCGACGAGGCGGCGGCCCAGAAGCTCCGCGAGTCCATCCTCGAGACGCTCAACGGGCCCGACGGCTCCATTCCGCCCGAGCTGCTGACTCCACCTGTGTCGCGGGATCCCAGCCCGCGCCGACCCCGCACCAAGTCCAAGAGCCCCGCACGGTGGAAGATCATGCGGTCCATAAGCGACGCTGTCCAGAACGTTATGGAGCGCTCCGAGTATGGACTTTACGGTACGCTGCGTGTTTGCTTAGCTTCGGCTCTTAGGTCCGAGACTAACGGCCATTTTCGGTTTAGTCCCCCGCATTGACGATCCCCGCCCCGGTCGGTTCGTGCAGCACCTGGACTTTAATCATTTCCGGACTATAGGCATGAGGCGATCCGTCGAGGAAGGCGTCAACAAGCGCTTCGTGACCGGAAACCGGGTCGAAGCCGTGCTTAAGGTTGGTGTTCCGTGATCCAATCCATGATGTCAGGCATGATGCTGACCACGCGTCTTAGGAAATGCCAAGCCTGATATCGTTTGGCGCCACCGAGTACATGGACGGCTCCTTGACCTTGCCTGTGCTGAAGGAGCTTTTCCTTCGAGGCGCCACTTCGCGTGGTCGGGGTCGTCCGTCTCGCGGGCGCATCATGTTTGACCCCAACGATCCCGAGGAAGAAGATTGGGAGCGGAGGAGAGAGTGCAAGCAGCTCGACGCTATCGACTTGACCGGTTGCGTTAGCGCCGTCTTTGTCGGCGCTCTCACCGAGTTCGTGACTACGTACCTCCTACCGCAAGACGGCGATTCGAGTGGCAATGAGGATGAAGGTCGCCGCGAGGGACGGCGGTCACGCGCCGTGCGTTTCACTCCAGATGAGCCGCTTACATTCCCCGGCCTGCAGCGTCTAGGCCTCCGTGGCGTAAAGTCCATCAGTCCACACATCCTGACGCCGTTTGTTCTGGCATTCCCTTCGCTTACGCACTTGGACCTGTCCGCTACTCGAGTCACTCCCGAGCTCCTGACTGCCCTCGGTGATACGTCTACTCGCCTCAAGTCTCTGGCGCTTGCTCGCTGCATTCGTCTTACTGGCGAGAGCATCCGGTCCTTCCTCATTGAGTCGCCGGTGGTTGCTCAGATCGAAGAGCTTACTCTTTACGGCGATCGGACCTTCCCGTCACCTCTTACTGAGGATGACCTGCACGAGATCTTTAACCATGCGCCGTGCTTCACCAGTGGCACGCTCACGTATCTCGATCTGTCAAGCTCGCCTTTGACGAAGGAGCTCCTCTCAGTCTGCCGGCCCCAACCCGCTCTCCGTTCTCTTGGCCTTTCATACATTCCCGACCTTGAGCTCCACACCGTCGCCGAGTTCCTGAAAGAAAAGGCCCCAAACGTGGAGGTGGTCACGCTGGTGTCCACCACCCCAGAACTCGAATGGGGCCGCGCGGGCGCGGGCATGGGCGCACCCCGGAGCTCTGCACGCCAGGCGTCTCTCGCGCTGCACGCACAGTTCATCCGCCCGCTCTGCACGCCCCCGTTCACGTTCAGCCTCTCGACCTCGCCTACGGAGAGCAAGCCGCCGCCCACGCGGCTGCGCGTCATCGAGCTGTCCATCCCTGCCCTTTCGGGCCTCGGAGCTGGCGCCGGATCTTGGCGCATCGTGCGCAGCAAGGGAGGTCGAGGCTGGTACGTGGACACCGCGAGTGCGTGGGTCGGAGGTGTCCTCCGCAGGGATCTCCCCGCGGATCATCCTCACAGGGAGGGGATGGAGCGCCTCGCGGCTGCCAACGGGAACGTCAGCAGTGGGACTGGGTGGCACGCACGTAAAATGGAGGTGAGTTCGCCGAGTGTGGCTAATCACTTTTTCTGAGATCTGAACGCTAATGGGTTTCATGCGATCTAGGTGCTGCATGGACACGGTATGTTGGGACGTGAGGATGGGCTGTACGGTGCCGTGTCTTTCGCATACCAGGGATGAGCGGACCACGTTCATCAAGTTCACATTTTGGGTTTATGTTCCGGGACTCCATGCGCATCTAAACAATCCTCACAAACGCAATTTACAATTATCTTGTACAAGCACTATACCGTATTCGTCCTGGGATACCAACTAATCACCCTCAAATTCTGATCTCAATACCTATTAGATCCTATTTGCAACATGCTTTTTATTTCTGTACTTCTATATGCAGTGTACATATTGCTTCGAATTCGGCATCTTGGCTTCTGCTTTGTTCTGTTGTTCTAGAATTTCTGTTGTCTCAGAGTGGGAGCCTAGAAACGCTTTTGTTTCAAAGTCCAGACAAAAGCCCGTGTGATCCTTTAGCTCAACTGAAGTGTACATTTTTACCAGAGCATTGTGCGCCTGCGAGTCTCCCTACACTGCACATCTAGAACTTCCAGTTGTGGTAGAACAAAACATTTAATGTGAAGACAAAGGCACCTGTTGGCTTTTGGTAAACCCAAGGACGGGTGTACTAGTGTTTCCAAACGACCACTCGCACTGCGGGCATGTGATGGACACAACTATTTAATGTGACGGTTAGTGGCGGCAAAATGCCATAATAGTTGGCAGCGCACCACACATATATGGCTACTCTAGTATTATCAATCCTGAAACACATCTGAGGAGTGTCAAACCTTTAACCTGGACCTCGCCTTTTGTCGCGCTTGCCCCTCGCGCTGTAGCTCGCGACGCCACGCTGCCACGCTGCCCCGCCTTCACGACAAGTTGCTGTATGTGTGCGCCGCGCCACAAGTGCGAATGACAATGCGGGCCGAGCGCTCATGTTAAGATTGTCAACCGAGGACCTCGATCACACGCGGGCGCGACCCTTAAAGCAATGCCTAAAACAGGAAAGCTGTGTGCCCAAAATAGGAATTCTAATGGTGTTTTTCCCCACTCAGGAACTCGCGAAGGCGCCGAGGCTAAATATTGTTGGGCGCTTAGTTCTGCTTCTCCAGCGGCTACTTACAGCAACTGTCAGCTACAGGATGCGGGTACAGACGGTTATCAGGACGAGTTCACCGTCGCTTAGCGTGTCCATCTGTCCGACTATTATTTGATTGGTACTGAAATGAAGGTTTGTGTTGCCGCACTGCGCACGGGGTAGCTGGCAGGCTAAAAGGCAGTGCCTGCTCCCTAGTGGACTTTCTAATGGAACATTCTGCTCGGAATCTACTATCGGACCATTTACGGACCTGGCCGGCATCGTGATGTGCCACCGCAGAGGTGCACCAGTACGCTGCGGCAACCCTCCCCAAACGTCGTGCTGTAGAGTGAACAAGCAGAGCTGTCCAAGCGCTGTTCAGGACTCGTCGAGGGTTAAGTTAGGGCGATCGTTACCGTTTTAGGAAGAAACGAGCGCTCGGGAAGGGATCTCGGTAATTTGCTGTTTTGACGTATGTAGTGCCCCGCGACGGTAACAGCGTTTTTGTCTTGGCGGTTAGCCTCATTCAGCCCGCCACCTGCCTTTGATTTAAGACCCCAACTATCGTCCATTCGTTTCACCTTCTCGCCTCACTGGCTTCGTTTTCGCTGCCCCATATCACATTGTCCTGCCCCTACCTGCCTAATGGCACCATCAGAAGATACAAGTTCGCTTCGCGGCGACACGACTGTGGCTGGGACTTCTGAAGCTCTCCCCGACAGCAGTAAACCAGACCAGCCCACTTTCGTTGAGCCAAACACTCCCAGCGTTCGTCGAAGAACTACAGATCAAGGCAAACGCGACTCGAGGCGTCTCTCGTCACTCCAGCGAGCTATGACCAACATCATGGTGCCCGAAAAGCCGATAGGAAAGTCGCCGACTGCTTGGAGGAGTATTAGGGCAATTATCATGGCCTCTCGTGCGTCCTTTTGTTCTTCTGAAACTCAACAGTAACTCAACTCGACTCTTTGGCTGTCCAGCAATCAATTTCTTGCTTGTTTGCATTCCTGTTTCTGTAAGCCCATTACCCTGTCCGCACCAGGCGATGACCCTCACAGTTACTAGTGGGCACTCCACTTTGCCACGCCCAATAACGACACCATCATCTTCGTTTGTACGTTCCAAAGTTTAGTCCAAGATGCTGTGGTATCTTATCCCTGGATTAGTTTCGTTCCTAGCCATTGTTCCGCTGGCCAAGGTAGGCAATATAGGGCTCGCCTTGTTGCTCGGTATTCTCACGGCTGTGTATCTTTATTAGCTCCTTGCATTTGCCACCGATGAACTTTCTATACGAGTGGGTCAGACGCTGGCCGGTCTTATGAACGCCACTTTGGTGAGCTTTTCCGCGTGCTATGAAGTCATGGTCACATCTAATCAGCTCGCTGTAGGGTAACGCGTGAGTGTATCCGGTCCATATTTTTAGCTCACCGAAGCTAATTATTGTGAAGCGTCGAGTTGATTGTCGCGGTACGTTCCTCTGCGAATGACGAGCGAACGAAAAAGTACTTATATGCGTTCTAGATTATTGCATTGACCAAGTGTGAACTCTCGATTGTTCAGTCGTCACGTAAGACCACATCAACTTCATTGCGTGTATTTGCTTAATGTCGTTATAGTTGTCGGCTCTATCCTCAGTAATTTACGTCAGTAACTTTAGTTGGTGCAAGAAGTACATTGCTAATATCTTCATTCAGTTCTCGTTCTCGGTATGTGCTTCTTTGCCGGCGGCTTCCGGTACTCAGAGCAGGGTTTCGGCACTAGTGCGTATTGCTCCCCGCCATCGAAACATAATATTAAACCTGTTTCTAGGTGCCGTCCAGCTCAACTCGTCGCTGTTGGTCATCAGTGTCATTGCTGTGCTGCTACCAGGAGCCTTCCATTTAGCCCTCCAGAATTTACCTTCTACCGTTGCGAACGAAACACAATACCAGGAGGGCACTATTGACAGCGACATTCTCAAGACTTCACGCGGAGTACGTTGAAGATTTTTCTTAGCCCTTTGCCGTCGCTCATATTTTGCTCAGGTTGCCATCATCCTGCTCTTCAGTTTGTCAACTATTTTCAACCAGCGAGCGTCTTGCTAACACGTTATTTCTAGTATACGCTTCTTACCTTGTCTTCCAGCTGTTCTCGCATAAGGAGCTCTACAATGACGACAATACCAGCGAGATTCAGGCGTCGAAGAAATACCAGCCCGGTCAATTTGAATCTATGAAGATGAAGAACATTCATAGAAGACTCCGCGGCAAGAAGAGCTCACCGTCCCACAGCATAACCGGCGGAGAGCATGTATCTTCTCCTACAGAGGAAGGAAATCCAATGGGGGATCAACAGGAGGCAGCAGCAGCAGCAGAGCAAGACGCGGGCTCAGCCAACGATTCTGAGTCGGTTGAGCCGGAGATGAATATCACGGTTTCTATTGGCCTGCTTGTGGTCGTCACGGTGGTATGTATTGTTCACAACAGAAACGTTACTGAACATGTATCTCACGTGTTCGATTCCCTTCATCAGTTCGTAGCTGTCACTGCTGAATTCCTCGTTGATTCAATCAATGGTCTTACCGAGTCTGGCGCCATCGGCAAGGAGTTTGTTGGTGTAATCCTGCTTCCCATCGTCGGCAACGCGGCGGAGCACGTCACTGCCGTCAGCGTTTCGGTCAAGGATAAGCTTATGTTAAGCTTGGGTGTCGCCGTTGGCTCCAGTATTGTTCGTCCTGATTACTCTCCATGTGATTTGCGCTGAACTCTCAATGATTTTAGCAAATTGCCCTCTTCGTTATTCCGTGCGTATCGATGTGTCGATTATTCGTGACCGAGTAGCCTAACAAAGGTCTCTTACAGATTCACCGTAACTTTGGCTTGGATTCTCGGCAAGCCCTTGACTCTCTTGTTCGACCCTTTGGAGTCGATCGTCTTGTTCTTGGCTGGTACGTCGCATAGTCCTGAACTTGCCTAATAATATTAATCGCCTATCAGTCCTCACCGTAAACTACACCGTTGCGGACGGCAAATCCAATTGGCTGGAGGGTATGATCCTCATGTGTCTCTACATCATCCTCGCTGTTACGTTCTGGTTCTACCCAGGTAACTTTCATCCGGTCTCATTACGTGTATTAAGTATCTAATCCCTTTCGTTTAGGCGCACCATCGATCTTCCAGTCGATGTGTTAAATCTCATCCATCTAGGTACATTGCCCCTACCTCCTTAGCTATCCTTAATATGGGCGGTCCTCTCATGCACGATTCTATTTATTATCATTATCACGCACGTTCTTTAACCAACTATACATATACCCGTCCTACGCAACTCGCGCATTTATACCTCCTCATTGTGGTGCTCACTGATCTTCTCGCATAGCTTGAATTCGCATACTATCTACGCAGGACGATGTTCTTGCTACCCCAAAAGGTCTGCCTCTCCGAACGCTCATTAATCGTTAGGCGTTCCAGGAAGAACAGTCCCCTCGTAGTAGTGAACAGTATCTCAGACAAACAATATGGGTCTCGGGTCTCCGCTTCTCAGGGTATTTGCTCTAGCCTATAGACTTTCCAGGACGAATGCACATATCATTACAGTTTTTCCCGTATTCCTGGCGAAAAATACATAATGACACTCGACTGTAGCCAGATGAATGGAAAATGCGTGCGCGATGCCACGCACACGCATCAGAGTTTGGCCTTGCCACTTTCATCAACCAGGGTGACCGCAGCAGCAGCGAGGACCGTAGTCCCTCGTTCCTTAACTTTGGTGGCTAGAGAGAGAAAACGACGTCAGACAACGAGGCCATGACACCGCCATGAGCTAATCAGGGCTGTACTGACTGAAGATGACCTTCTTGCCCTCTTTCCACATCTCCGTGATGAGCGTCTCGCCGGGGTATACCGAGCCAGCGAACCTTTAGCAGTAAGTGATTAGGGCGATTGCTGTATATAAGGCTATGAATAGATTGTATACGTACCGGACCTTGATGTCCTTGTATTCACCAAACGTCTTCAGGACGTGCCGCCCGGCGAAACCCATGAAGCACAGGCCTATGAGGCAGCTAGTCTCAGCAAAGGAGTGGGCGGTCCATTCATCACAGACTTCTCACCATGTAGAATGGGTTTATCGAAACCGCCCATGGCTGCGAAGTCGGGGTTTATCTGTGCGGGCCGATGACGGAATACCGTCAGCAACTGCTGTGCACTGCTACATAAAGCTGCGAGCGGCAGGAAGCACGTACGTGCAGTGGGTTGTAGTCCCCGCTTAGCCTGAGAGGACAGGGTGTAAGCGTGCGCAGCCAGGGGTAGACAGACGCATGGACGGGGTATTAGGCTGTGTTTCTGGACGTACCTGTACAGAGCGGCCTGCGACTCCGAGGTCTGTTCCTCGACGACAGCATCCGGGGCGCGGTTGGGCGGCTTGTTCGCAGCAGTCGCAGGGCCTCTATCTAGAAACATGACGTGTAGGAAGCCGCACTGAGCCCCCCAAGTTTCTGGAAAGATGGGTGCCCGGTCAGGACTCACCGTTGCCTTTCTTCTTTCCGCCGAAACCACCAGCGCCGCGGAGGACGACGGTGACCTGGTTCTCGAAGATGAGCTTCCCAGAAGCTTTGTCCTTGGTGTTCACGAGGAGCGTCACGGACGCGGCCTTGCCCTTATCGAGCACCTCGAGCAATCTATGGGCGTCTTCAGTTCATACCCGAGGAGCAACGCGAGGGCTCGAAACGCACCTCGTCTCGTTTACGAGAGTCCCCTCTGTGGGAATAGGTGCTTTGATGGACAAATACTGCTCTCCGTGGAGCAACTTCGCCTGATCACCCGTCAGCTTATCCGTCTGCGTGTACTCGGGAAGCACGAAACGCACCGGGTGGTAATTCGGCGCCCAGTCCATGGACACACCCGCGCTCGCCATGAACTGAGGGATGACACCAAACGTAGGCAGCGCAGAGAAGTTGTCATCGCCCTCATATGTCCACTGGAGATCCTTGCTTGTCGCGCCGACGCCAAGGTTGTAGAGCGTGACGTCGCGCTCGGTGTACGTGAAGTCTGAATCTTCAGGGGCGTTCTTCTTGGCATCTTTGACGAGCTGGGAGTCCTCTGAGTCTTCGAAGATCTTGGGGAGGGACATGTTGGTGGTGGATAGGTGCTACTGCTGGCTGTACAAGAAAAGAGCGGGAAAGCGGGGTAAAGTGTGCATGACGGATGTATCCTCGGTGCGTAATCACATGGGAGAATGGGACAATGCCGACTCTCACCTGCACGCTCCCCGGCTGATCTTAGCATGCATGATATTGGACTTGCAACCGAGCCAGCTTCGGTAAATACGTACCGGTAATTTCATAGTGGTTTGAAAGTCACGGCATGAAGTCAATATACAGTAGATAGCCAATTTTATTGATGGTAATAGATAATGCCATAAGAAATTACAAGTGCTAGTTCGTCATGATGCTCATAGAAACACGCGTCCAGACTACGGTCGACCAGAAATTCAAAGCTTCGACTTGATAGCGTTGCCCACCCCCTTTACAGTCTCGACGGCGCTGTCAAGCAATGAGCCCGTGTTTTCAAAGTTGGCGACAATCTGCTCGAGGGACTCCGAAGGGGTCGTCGGGTGGGTAGCCTTGCCGTCATCTGTAAATTTATTCATTAGAATATGTCATAAATTTATCTTGAACTCGAAGTCACTCACCGAAGTTAGTGATCACATCCCACTTGGCAATAACGTCTTCAGGCGTGAGTGCGCGGTTAGAGGGGAAGCCGTAGCCGTAAGCACGCTGCCAACGCGTCTGAGCTGCCCAGCCGCCGGAGATCTCGAACAGTTGACCAGAGGTCTCGGTGTTGTCTTCACTGGTGAGATATCCGACAACAGGAGCAACGAAGTCCGGCTTGTAGGCATCTACCATGTCCTGGGTCCTAGATGATTGTTTTAGCCAGTCATTCGTTTCGAAGTGAGATATTCGTACCAGATAGTCATGGTCATCGCGGTACCAGCTGAGGGTGCGATCACGTTGGCAAGGATGTTGTATTTGCGGCCCTCAAAGCCGAGAGTCTTTGTCAAGCCCATGATGGCAGCCTTCGCCGTCGAGTACTGTACGAGAATTTAGCTGGGAAGGAAAAATAAATAACAAGCTTTGGAAAAACTTACGTTCACTTGACCGAAATTCCCGTCTTGAATAGTTGATAGGAATAATTAGTAAAATGAGAAAATTCGATCTCGAGCATACTCACAGATGCCAACACCAGAGCACGTGGTAACAATGCGACCATACTTCTGCTTGCGGAACACGGGCCAGACAGCCTTGGCGCATTTGTAAGTGCCACGGAGGTGGACAGCGATAACGTCGTCCCACTCCTTCTCCGACATCGACGTGAACGAGCGGTCCCGGAGAATACCAGCGTTGGCGATGAGAACATGGACGGTACCGAAGGCATCGCAGGCGGCCTTGACGATCTTCTCGCCCTCCTCGGCTGAGCAGACAACGGCAATGGCCTTGCCTCCGGCAGCCTTGACCTCGTCGACGACGGCATTGGCACCCTTGTCGCTGACGTCGTTAACCACGACATTGGCACCGAGCTTGCCGTACATGATCGCGTACGCGCGGCCGAGGCCAGCACCAGCACCCGTAATAATTACGGTCTTGCCGTCGAAGCGGACGGCAGGGCTCGATTGGGGGTTGCTGGGCAGGGTGGCGGCAATTTCGAGAGTCGGCTCCACGTCGGAGACAGCTTCAGGACTGTGAAAGCGGACGCTTAATTAGCAAATCATGTATACTCATGGGGTTTACTTACTGCCTGGGTTCAGAGAAGTCAACGACTTCAGACCATTTTTCCTTTACCTAGCCAACGAATAAATATTAAGATCACACATTGAAAGTAAAACAAATACTTACAGCAGAAGGAGTGAAGCTAGGATCGGTCTTCCAAATTCTACCCTTGGAGCGCTCCCAGCGAATCTCAGCCACGAAACCCGCGCCGACCTCAAAGACGCGACCAGACGGGTTGGGTCCCTCGGGGTGGCAGACGGCGGCAACGAAGGGGGCGACGAACTCGGGCTTCATCTTCTCAAGCATTTCTGGGGGCATGATGGTGGCGGTCATGGGGGACGCAGCGACCGGTGCGATGACCACCGAGCTGATGTTGTACTTGATACCCTCGCGCGCGAGCGACTTGGTGAACGAGACGAGGCCCATCTTGGCCGCGCTGTAGTTGGCCTGACCGAAATTGCCTAGAGAAGTTATGTCGAAATTAATAAAACGTTATTGTAGGTATGAATTATGTACATACCGTAGAGACCCGCTGCACTAGCAGTGTTGATGATCCGCCCGAACTTCTGCTTGCGGAAGATGGGCCAGGCAGCCTTCGTGCACGAGAACGCGCCCTTGAGGTGCACAGCGACAACCGCGTCCCAGTCCTGATCCGTCATGGCGACGAAGCTGAGCAAACATACTCGTCCATAAACCTGGCTCGCCAATGCTTAGAACACACAATGCACACACCTCTTATCCCGGAGGATGCCAGCGTTGTTAATGAGGATGTGCACAGTGCCAAAGGCACTGACGGCGCTCTGAATGACCTTCTCGCCCTCCGTCACGGAGGACGTGTTAACAATAGCGTTGCCTCCACCTGCACGTCACGACATCTTAGTTTACCCTCGGATACAGAGAGCAACGCATGCTGCTCACCCTGCTTGATCTCATCAACAATCTTCTGAGCAGCGTCCTTGTTGAAGTCGTTGACGACAACGTTTGCGCCCCGCGAGGCAAACAGCAACGAGTAACTGGATTAACGAAACCCCATGAGGTCGGAGCCAGTTCAGATAGAGGGCTATGACATCAGGGAGGTGAACAAACGCTTTGCCGAGTCCGCCACCTGCACCGGTGACGACGACGGTCTTGTCCTTGAACGAGAGTGTCATGGTTGATACAAACAGCAAAGGTGAAGGGGGATGGGAGATGGTACAAGGGAGGTGTGAAGAGCGTCGCCCCGCGCCGGCGATGTCATTATTTCATGCATTATCATTTCGCACGTGAAATCCCCCCGCTCCTCCACCCGCTGCGAAGACGGCATAGCAAAGCAACCGGCGCGTGTCATTCCCAAACCCCGCATCCTCCCGCAAGGTGATGACAATCAACACCCCCAAGCAACCACAAGGGAACGGTTAATGATCACGCTTCGAACGCCGAATTTCACACTCGAATGCGCGAGGAACAGTACTAAGAGAGAAAGGTCATTGATTCATAATTTACCAGCTGGCGCGTTCCGAACACGCAGACGCAGCCGTAGACGTAGCTACTATATACACGTAATGAATCAATGCGATGAGATAGAGTCAGAACATGCGAGTGCATAATCGTGGAGGAGGCATTGACTTAAACGAGAGACAGAGGAGAGGAGAGCTGGCGTGAGGGCGTGGCGAGGAGAAAGAAAGGCAAAGGGGAAAAGGAAGGAATGGGCACAGTCGAGTAAAGAAAATACCAGATAAAACCAGCGGGGAATGGCACCGTTTTTGGATGTGACAGGAAGTTAGGAATAAACAGAGAAATAAGAGATCCAAAGCGAGAAAAAAATATCGACGAGATAGTACTCGAGATCGATGCCAATGACATACAGATCATTGTGGGTGCTGGTGGTAAATGTCGAGATATAAAACTGGGTAGATGAGATGATGATGGGGCATAGATGATAGAATTCTGAGATTAAGGCGAGAAACGAGAGAGATGTAGACTGAGGATACTCGAGGGAATTGTAGAGATGCATGGAGTGATAGCAATGAAAAGCGAGATGGAGACATAGTGCGAGGCTCTGGAATGTGGTAGTCAAACAGTGGGATTGCAGAGGAATGCGTGGTAATGTGATGACGAGAACTGTATGCCAAGAAACAATGATGAAAAGTCGACGTCCACTGACAAGATATACCGCCGATAGATGAAACCGTGAACGTCACGGTAATCACTTCCTGAGCTTCGTGTCATCGGAAGGACCGGTTTGGTGCGTGCGAGCCCAATCGATAGCATAGATGGACGCTTTGAGGAACTTCTTATGGGCATATTTTTGGCAGACATGTTGTTCCTTGAAGCTTTCCTCGAGTAGCTTCTCGCAGATCCACTGATGACCTTGCTCTAGGTGCTCCGCGACGAAGCCGGAGTGGTAAACAAATGCGTCATTCTGAAAGAAAACATGTTAGCCACGTGATGCGGGGTGCGGCGGACACGAGGTAAACCATAAATAATATAAAAGGGGTACTCACCCATTTGCCTCCCAGCATCTTCCTCGCACTGTACATCGACACTGCAGCTATAAGGCTGGGCTTGCAACGCAAGAATCGATGATCCAACAGAGTCACTTCGGCCAAGAACTTGCCGAGCGTGCGGGTATGGAGATCATAGTCGTCGGCCTTGCTGATCCGGCGCATCCAGCTGTACGGTGAACAGTACTGGGAAATCTTGAAATCCAAGGTCTGGAGGACAATCCGCTCGCCCTTAAGGATCTCTTCTCTCTTGAAGCCATTTTCGGTCATGAACACAAACTCGTCAACAGAGGGTGCCAGGATTTCTTCGTACTTGGCGGCGATGAACATGGCAGTGACGCCAACGAGCTGGAGCTTGACGAGGGAAACCACTCGACGAGTAAGGAAGCGGTCAACGATGTTGATGGCGATCCACAGGGTCTCCGGAAGCATGTGCCAACGTAAGTGAACCTGCAAGAGCCAGTCGACGAGGGTCTGACGCATCGACCAGTTAATCTCGTTCTGGCCGTCCATGTAGTCAGGGTTCGGCATTATGTCCTCCTGATGAAGAACATGAGCAACGACGCCCCCGTTATACTTGGAAACCTCGACTAACCTCAAGGTTCTCCATGTACTCAAAGATTTCCTCCGCGTACTCCGAGACCATGGTCGTGTCGAAGAAATCGACCTCCTCCTGGAAGTGGGCCTTGATCTTCTCGATTTCACGGGTGTGTCGGACGACCCGCTCGGTGTCGACGTCGGGCCACATCCGCGGGGACTTCTCCAACGAAGCCTCGAGCGCCTCGTCGATGGCTTCAACCTCTTCGGCCTCGACCAGTTCCTCGACTTCAGCTTCTTGATCGCTGCTTGTCTCGGCCTCGACCGGAGGATCGGAGGCTGCCTCTTCCTCAACGACCATGGAGTCCTCATCTTCCAATTCTTCTAGTTCTTCCCGCACGGGCTCGGCGGGAGGGACTACTACTGCTACAGCGGGTTCCTGGCGCGAAATTCGTTTAAAGACGGACGGCTTCTGAACGCGACCGACCGACTGGCGGGCGCGTTGGGCGAGGCCGGATGTTTCAGTTCTGCTGGTACCAAGGGGGACGCGCTGGGCGCCGCTAGTAGCGGTAGTGGTGGAAGATTTGCTGCGCTTGAGGCCAGCGTCTGTGTCCTTGAGCCCGTCCTTGCCGGTGGATTTGGCGCTCTGCGGGGATACGAATATCAACCATCGGTACCTTTAGTGCCTATCGGCGGTACAGGGCGGCGGTGCATACCTTGCGATTAACAGCGGTCGTTGTGACCTCACCGAGAGCTGGACGCTGGGGTTCATTCTTGAGGCCTCGGAGGACCATCGATGCACGAGTGGCACCGGAACCCGAGAGCTGTCGAGAGTGCTTGCTGGTGGCGTTCTCGTCGCCGTTCACTTTAGGTCGTTGGATGCCGGTGAGACGACTGCGTGTCTGGAGCTGTAGTAGCGTTAGGGATGAGAACAGAATATGAGATGGTTGGATAACGTACTCGAACATTGTTGCTAGCCATACCACTGAAGAGAGAGCTACACGACGATGAGAGAAGGGTGGCGTTGAGACAGTGACGAGACTGAAGGAGAAATTAAGGCGTGTAGAAGGAGAAGGTGGCTACAAAAGGAAGAGACGGTGAATGTCGAGAAGGAAATGGGCGATGGCCTGCAAGTGCTTTATGTGCAGGGAGGAGAGTTGAGGGAAGACACAAGCTGTGGTCGGCCTCTGAACTGCAGAAAAGGCAGCGTCGCGTAGAACGCGAACCAACCACGTGATAGGAAAAAACACTCCAAAACAGACACGTCGCGTACAGGGGCCCGCGACGCGACGTACCTTGCCGTAAAGTTCGAAACATGACGCCCATATTCGTATACAACTATAACGTAACATGACGTCCCATCATTCCCACGTCAAGCCCCCACAAGTCCACCGGCCCCCCCGCATGCCACATTCAAGAAAACTCCTTGCTCAACGCCTCCCTGCCCACTTCTCCGATCCTCTGAAAGCACTCGCTCGTTGGAGAGCGCTGCTGGCCCGGAGACTACGGAGGATGATGCGGATGATTCACAAGCGATGCCGTCACGTTGGAGTGGTGCAGATTGGAATGTCTGATCCAACTACTACGTCATAGCGCCAGTTCGGTTACGGAACATCATGGTCTGCAACTGAATCGTAACCGCGTTCGGTGAACAGAGGTCAATGCATTGACAGGAGTTCCAGACCTACAATACTAATATGTACTTACCTGCCATGATGCATGATGTCTCACCGACACCTCCAAGACGCCTCGCGCTAGTCGGCCCACCCCGACGGCTGGCGGGCCATCCCAGTTTCATCGGTCCGAGCCTGACGTCCGCATGGTGCCCCATCGTCTCTGCCTCCCGGCCTCTCTCCAATCGGCCTGAGAATCAACGCTATCTGAGGCTCGAGTGTCGATATCATTCTTCGGCATACCGAGACCTGCCCGCTTGCTCGTCGAGGGAAGCTCGAGGGGTTCAATCAGCCCTCCTCCGCTGTCATCCGATCCTGACGCTGCCGGCATGCCCAGAGATGAGCCAGGGGCCCATCCCTGTTTCGTGAGAAGTCGGTGCCCGATGTTATTGTCAGAAAGCGGCGCAGCTGATGGTGAACTCGTCTGCATCTTCTCAGGGATAGGTGGTGTATTGGACTTCTTCTCTCTTTGATGTGGGGGAACAGACATAAGTTGAGAAAAGTTTCTGGGGTCAGACACTCCAGGCGCATCTGTCACGGAACCAGGGTGGAGCGCGCGTCGGCGAGCTGAGCGATCGATGTACGATGGTGATATTGTCGAAGAGGGCGATGCGGTGGACACCTTATGTCGCGTCAGCAAGCTTTGTTTCAGCATGCTAAGGGCTTTGCGAGGATCTTTGGATGGGGCCTCAGGCGGATCGAGTTCAGCGACATCTCTCGAGCGCTTCAGAGCACTCGCTTCACCACCCTTGTGGAAGAGGGGTATGTCTCCGCCACTTCTCGAGGCACAACTCTCGCATGGGATATGATCCGGGTGTATATGGCAAACAAAGCGGGTGCTTCCGATCGACAGGATATTGAGGTGTCGGATAGGACGAGGAACACTGGCGACGCGGGGAGGAGAGAGGCGTACTCTATCGTCACTCTCGACACTTTGCGAGAGAAAGGTACCGTGCTTGGAGCCCATGTCCACGACTGCCCACTCCTGTCTAGTTGCGTCCCAGTAAGCCGTGGCATGAAGTTTGGATACTTCCATCTCTTTCAATCGCACTCTCGGCGTCTCTGAGCCAGCAGGGGGGATGTCACGTCCGAATTGCACCTCCTCGTACTCATCTATCACTGCAAGCACTTTAGTCTTGGAAAGAATGTCGCTCCGCAATACGAGTAGCCGTAGAGACGGCCAAAATGGTGTTTTCTGTAGTGATTTCTCGAACTCCTCCGGGGTCGCAGAGTCACTGGTATCTCCAGGCCATTCATACGAGGGGTCGTAATCACGAGCATATTCACCAGAAGACGGAATCTCTCCTTCTTCCATTATACAATTAAACCTAAAGCTTGTTCGTTAGCTAGACTATGGAAGAAGTTGGTGAAAACACACGCACTGCAATTTTCCAGCTGGAGTAAGGACGGAACTAGCAGGACCCACTTGCTGTGGGATTACGTCAACACCCCTTTTTCGGCTAATCCCATCGTCTCCGCAAAGAACGCGCCTCACCCCCTGCACGCGTAACTTCGTTCTTGCCTTCACGCGTCGATTTATCAAATACCCTCCAGGAGCCTCAGGTTGCCCAGAACCCGAATTCGAGAGCCGTCTCCACAGAATTTTCTTAGTTGAAAAACGAACGGTAGTCCCGCGACTTTCTACGCATACACCTATGGAGCCTTTCACCGAGGTGCGCAAGTCAGTGCCCTTTTCTTCCGTCAAAGATATCGACGTCAACTTTCCAGGAACACTCTAAACTCCTTTTGAGCAAGGAGTGGCTTGTAAAAGTCGATTCTTCGACATCGACGCCTTATCTCTTCGTGCGGCTCCTTTACTTCTTCATACTGCGACGCACAGCTCACTTTCTCAAGCCGTTTGTTACTGGTGACCAATAGAAATTCTACTACTCAACGGTAGACCTCGTGTGCTATGTCCTGTTCACAGATACCAAGTCTACATGGGCCGAAGGTCAGCTTGCGATAGTGATCACTTATCCGTCGAATGAGAATAAACCGAGCTTTCTCCCTCAGTACTCACCGGCAATCAGTTCGCCCGAAGGTGGCGCGCCTGCAACACCTCTCGCGCCCCACCAGTCTATGAAGATGAAGACGAAGAGGAGTCTTGGCGTGCACATCACTTGGAGATCCTATCGAAAGCCCATACGATCGGCGGCATGGATGAGTTCTCCTTTGATGTGGTAAAGTCCAAAGAGGCTGTACGTACCACCATGTGGACCATATTCCCGAGCTGCGGTCTGACAAGACCCTTAGGATCTAGCCTTCGAGCTTGAATGCTCCAACTTCAAGTGGAGATGGGAGACTGTCTTCACTGGCTACAAGTCGTCGGCGGACCTCTTGTCCAAACACCTGATTATGCCTCTCATCAGCGTCAACCATCTCGCCTTCTCATCTTTGGAGCCTCTTTCTGAAGCGTCAGCAAGCGATGTGGAGAAGGTTCGCACTTCCCAGCCAATTACCCCATAATCGTGTCCCTAACACCCTTGTTAAGGCCGTAGACAAGGTCGGCCGTACGGCACGCCGCTCTGTCGACACCCACATCAAGAATACTCTTTCCAAGCCCCGCATCGCGACTGCTCTTCGGCGCATGACCGCCATGTTCAACTTCGTGCCGGATCTTCGTAGGTCTCCTTTTAGATGTGAATGACGTTGCTTATGCTCATCATCGTATAAGCCGGCGTTAGCACCGTAGCCGACACACCGGATCTCACCGTCGAACTTGTCAAGCCGCGCACGAAGGCGTCGACCTTTAATATCAAGCCGCCTACAAGCCCCATGCAGATGCGTTCTCCAAGCTCTGCTGCTCACAAGGTGCCTCGCAGCGAACATGTGATGTTTGTCGTCCGCTCACCTTTCTGAAGGGAGATCTGGAACATCCAAAGATGGACGTCGACTCTTTCGTTGACGAGACGCCAACCACTGCACCTGAGCAGCCCGAGGCAGCCGGTTCGGCAACCGAGTCCGAAGATGACGCACCTCTGCCCCCGCAGGCGAAAACCAGTCACGAGAAACCTACCAGCCCGACCAAGCCGCCAAACAGCCGTGCGTTATCTTCCACCCCCGCCGAATCGTCCCGCCCTTCCCGGCAGGTGTCCGCGCCTCGCTCGCCGTCTCCTGCTCCAAAATCGAAGGGCAAAACCAAAGCCACCGATTCCTCCACGGAATCTGACGAGAGCTCGAAAGTGCCACCCAAGAAGACTCTCAAGAAGAAGAAGGTGGTTACTAGCGATGATGACGACGATAGCGACAACGTCGCGGCACCAAAGAAGCCCTCCGGTGGTGCACCCGTGCGACGAGGCGCCCGTCAGCCCATCAAGCGGGGTGGTAAACGCTTTTAGCTCCCTTTCTCGCTTTGCTTCAATCGGCGGCATCAAGCGTGAAGGCCGCCGAGAAGCACAGCGGTCAGGTGTCCCGCGCTCGAGCTGTTATGATCTGCAGAAGCCCGGTCAACTGACGCATCACAGGTTCTGCACACAATTGTCGAACGCGGTATCAGGGCAGCGTACATGCCACGAAGACCCGCACGTTGTTGTTCTATTTCCCGGAACCGGGTTCGCACCAGCACGCTACGCTCCGATCATCGATCCGGGATCGGCTTTTTGTTATCAGACGCTTGCTTTCGCCTCGATTGTAATATCTAATATATATCAATGACCTCGACCGCTCATTTCAGACATTCAGGAATCAGGATACGCATGGTTTCATTAATGGATGTAAAATGAGCAGTAATACGGTGAAATTCAATGCATCCAACATGATACACAATGACAATGATGATGGCGGTGACGGAATGCTGAGTGGTGGATGAGGCGTGTGTGTGTTTTACTGTCGGTGGCGTCCGAGCTTTCGGAATTCGGCAGCGCGCAGCTCTTCCTCGTAGATCTGGCACGCCTCGCACTTGGTCTGAAAGAGATTCTGCACCCTGCGGTGATCTGCGTACTCCTGTAGTGGGACGCACATGCGCGAAAGAAGGTTCGTTAACCCTCGGGCGTTCGGGAAAACTGATAGACGCAGAGTCGGGACATTGCAGGGCCGACGACGTACCGTGTTGCAGCCACAGTTCCGGGCCGTCTTGTGCATGTGGGCTGAGCTCAGTTTACATTGTGGTTGTTTGCAGTCGTAGGTTATACCAGTCTGATACACGCGAACGTAGTGCTAACGATACCGTAGTTGTGAGAGTCAACTCGCATGACAGGAATAATGGGATGACGTACCCCGCAGCCCCTGTACTGGTCGCCGAAGCTGCGAAAACCCGAGTGCGGGGTGGTATTAGCGAAGCTACGAGGCCTCCCCGAGTTTGGTTGCACTGACCACTCCATGCTACACATCGTTGCTATAAGTAGTGACAAAGGTAAGAGGAAACGGCGATCGGATCGAGAAGTGGGTGGAGAGCACCACTTGGTTCAAGGTGAGGGGCCCACCCATCTACGATGCGGGTACACCTTTATACCACTGACAGGTCCACGAATTCGGCATTACCGCGAATCCTGCACGAAGCTCAATCGTGTGACATGTTGACGATATGGCATACTGTACAGTAATGGCAGAAAGTGACCATCGGAGCCATGCTGGCCGGGGCGCCGGACATATGGGCGTCTCCCCAGCGGCGTGAAAAGTACGTATGGCGTGTATGTATGCTTGTTGTGCCAGCGACCCTCGTGTTTGTCGGACGTCCACCCAAACCTGGACCTGAATGAGAAGCGCCACGCTACGGACGAGGGACACAGGCCCCGATAAGGCAACGGTGCGATGGGGCTTCAATACGACCTAACAAATGTACACAACACTTGGTGCTTCCCGCTTCTCTGCCCTGCGCTGGGATGAGGGCGAACGATACCTCGCCAGCCGGCCGCGCGTGCGAGCTGCCCCTTGCGCTCCAGCGATGTGAATGTATGTGAATTGGCGAACATCCGGAAACAATGACATACTGTACGTCCAGCAAACGTTATCATCAGGACCAGAATGTCATACATCCATCCCGTCTCAGGCGGATAGAGTGTCGGAAGCATTTCGGCCTCGCGGCGGAGCAATTTCATCTGAGCATGAGCATGACTAGAATGACGTCGTGTCGCTATCAAACACGCATCCGGGGAGGTACTCAGTGAGCTCACGTCTATACACGGACATTGCTCACGTTATGTGAAACAATCTTGCGTTTAATGATCAGTGCATGATAATTTGGAATCTCTCACATTGGATGTGTCCGTAATCCACTAGCAGTCGCGGCCACGACTCAAGCCTGGCAATCGCCTTCGTGACAAGGCCGCACACGGATGGCGTCGGTGTGATCAAAGGCACGTATATCAGCTGGTCTGCCTTGATACTTCATTCAATAGATCGAGTGGATCGGCGGAACTTCGCTCACTATCGCTGCAGGCCACATCTGCGCGTTGGTCGTGGAAAGCATCATGCCGAGTTCACCCCCGCGGTCCTGAGGCCTGAATAGTGGTCGGCTTGTTCACTGTCCGACAGAAATCGGAATTGAGGGTAACTGCGATCTTATGTTGCAGCCCCAACTAGGTGCCAGCTCGTCAGCTGAGCACGTCAGCGAGGGGTTCTCATGCACACGACGGTGCATATGAACCGGAAGCAAAGCATGGTCAGGCGCCATGAGAGCCTTCATCATGCGTCAATACGTAAATGAACATAATAACGGCTTTTGAACAGGTCAAGGAAACAGAATGGACATCTAAGCGAAGGCGCCTATCTAGCAAGCAAGCAGTACGAGAGAGTATGAGATAAGGGAAAACGGCATTCCACTCAGCGATAGGACTCGATCAGGAGTCCGCGGCAAGCGCGATCGTGTCATCTTATCAGGTATGCTTTCAGCACAAGACGGGAATAAAGCAAACTCAAACCTCTGAAACAGAACAAAGTACAAGGTTATGTAAAAGGACTAGTGCACAAAAGGCTGTGGGTTAGTCAACCCGACAGTGCCGTTCTGGTGGGTGGTTATCGTCGGTGCCTGGAACCCCGCTTCCGACTGAATTACCCCGCTCTTCCAGAAATACGGATTTTAGTTCCGCTACAACGGAAGCACATCGGCTTGATAAGGGGAGCCAGAGGTGCGGAGCGACGGCAGATCTAAATCAGATGGCGTACGTTCCTGAGAAGTAAGACTGTATCCTGTGACGAAGGATTCGCATGAGTAAAGAGGGATTCTGATGCCACGCCCGAGGCGTCCTTGTCTAAAGAGATCACTTCTGCAAGGCCGAACAAGCCGGATAGTATCAAGTCAAGGATGAGAGCGTGGACCTAACCAAGTATGTGAACTGTTGAAAGGTTAAACCTTCACCATTCACCTCCGGATAACACGAGCCGTTGTTTTCGATGCAAAAGCTACAACAGTGAGTGCGTAGATCCTGGTAAACCGTTGTAAGTGCTCCACTCGGTCTGACCCAAGTCAAAGGACAGGTACAAGTACGATGTCGTGTCGCAAACACCTGATGACGCCACCCTGCATCATGTATCATGCATTATGACCCGTGCATCGGGGTTTGCTGCGTGTGTGGGTAGAAGAACAAACGTGGAGTCAGTCGGTTCACTATCAGTGATTTCAAGAACTAGTGAAGAAGGTTTGACCATGACAGACCACCATAACTCAAGTGCCGTTGGTCCCACCTCTATGCATATGGCCGACCTCCGACGACCCTAGGTTGGACTCTCGCATGTCTTAATGTAGACTCATGTTCTACCATTGGGAGGGTAAGTATAGCGCAACGACACATCTCAGGCCATGGTATGAAAGTACTTTACTGCCCTGGTATTTGGACCCCTGATGACTGGTGCGGTATTGACGAAAGATAACTCAAAAGAAAGAAGCTTGCTATAGATCTGCGACAGTACGCTCTGGTTCGTCAATCTCTCAAGAAGCTAGCGCAGACCCATGATTAGATAAATGCCTCACCGCTAAACTTACATGGGATTTGGAGAACCCAACGTCTCTAGCGGTGTGACTGAACCTTCGGAAACGCCAAGACTCGACGTTCTTAAAAAGTGAACGAAGCAGCCGTGTTCTTGAGAGGAAGCCAGCTGTCCTCCGTGAATCTTGTGTGTACAAGAGATAGTTGACATAAGATTCAGAGCTCAGGCTGTCATTCGGCCCAAGCCGTCGGAGCGTCTATAGGTGAGCACCCCGTCGATGCACCCCCGTAGTATGTGAAGCAGAGGTGGAGACAGGACAACCCATGAGCATGTGGGAAAATCTTGAAAACATTCTGCTTAAGCAGAGGACTCTATGTCATTCATAAGTACATGCAACAATAAGCACCGCTGCGAGCATAAAGATATAATATCGTCACTTGCGCATACCCACGCCACCAGCCACCGATGCACTGCCCTTCGCTTTCTTCCAGCCTATCCAGTTTACCAGCACGTTCTTCGCGAAAATCTCGCCAAAGCCGAGCATGACGCCGTTTAGGAAGGGAAGGAAGAGGTTGATGGCGATGGAGGACATGATGATGTACCCGCGCGTCTTCTTCGAGACAGCGGTATCGAGGATGGAAGGTATTGTCGAGGGAGGCTCCTTGGGCTCACCCCGCTCGCCTTCGGCTATTGAAGGGGCCTGTGGCCGCTGTTGTGGGGAGCCTGGCGCGGTTGATTGAGGATACGAGAGGGACGGGTAGGACGAGGTCATGGGGTCGGATAGGGTATCCCACTTCTGTGAGGGCGAGCTAGGGACCTTGACATGGCCACCATGTGGTGGCAACGAGTGTTGTGGTTCGCCGAACACGAGGTCGCGCGCGTCGGAGGGAGACGCTTCGGGGACGCTTGCGGACGAGCCAGACGCATCTATCACGTTGACTGATGGTACGGACGCAGTTGCGGAGTCTGACGCCTTGCTGGAACCGGCCACAGCACCTAAGTTGTGCGAAACGCTGGCCAGATGGCGCGCCGCGTTGGGCGTGTATGCTTCGGAGACGGATAGCGTGGGGCGGTGCGAGGCATCAACGATGCTGGATGTGATATGGGTGCCGAGGTGCTCCCAGGACTCGAGCTCGGCCTCCCCCCGCGCACGACGCTCAGCACGCTCCTTGGCGCGTTGCTCCTCATAACGCCGCCGGTTATTCTCCGCCTTCTCCCGGGCAGCAGCATTCTCCTTCTTCCATTCCGCGAGCTGGTGCTCATAAGACTCCTTCCATGCGTCTAGCTCTGAAGCAGATATATCTGAGGGAGGAGTTGGATCTGGCGGCGGAGCTTCAGCAGGTAGGCCGGGTGCTCCGAGAGATGCAGGTGAAGAAGCAGCAGGAGAGCGAGGTATAGAAGTTGGCTCGAACGCCGAGTTGAGTGCTGACTGAAGGAGCCATTGTCATTTGATCGGTCAAGAGGGAGGATAACGACACTCACCTGAAGAAGAGCCTCCTCTGAGGTGTGCAGTGGGCTGTTGTTACTCATCGTCGGTGCTAGAGTTGCGTACCTTGGCTTACTGGGCAAAAACGGCGGGCGGCATCAATTGCGCGCGTGGCTGGTGCGGGATTCCCACGCCTTTACCTCCAAGTCAAGTGCAATTATTTGCAGTTTCATGTTTTCCTGTAAAATGTAACTCATGCTAGCTTAACTTGCTCCACAGAAATCACCCTTTTTTCCGCAACAATTCTCACAAAAATTCTCCACCTTGAGGGATACGACTGAATTGACTCACGCCTTCAATGGAGTATGTCAACGTAAACGCTGACCTAGTACCATTGCCTGAAAGCCCCTATTCCGTGGGCTCTCGATGGTGTGCGGGCCGGGCTTCTTCGATCCTCATCTTTTCCATCAAGGGATGCTTGACGAAGAAATGACCTTCCATCGCCTAAAATCCCATTCAAAACGTAGGGGCTAAGCGTCAACGCGAACGTCACTCCGTCGTCATTTCCTACGTAGCCTTCTCGCATTATAACGCTGCCAGATCCCCTGACTCTGAGGCAGATATAAGCATCAGAATAACGGATGTCGTCTCTAGACTGCTCTGATTTTTTACTGCTCTAAATCTATCACACTCACAGAATAATGGTACGTATATTTCGCTTTGTTTTCCGGTAGGTGATAGTTGACCTTCTGCGTCGTGGTTTAGGTCGAATATAAGGTTGGTTGTCCTCGTGGAGAATGCATACAGTCGACTAACATCTTGTTTACAGAAAGGCGATCACGTCGAATACCGCCCCATCGCTAAGGGATCGGACAACGTCTCTCACTCGACTGGAGAGATTACAAACGTAACTGAGGAAGGAGGGGTAAGCCACCTGTCGAACCGCTGCTTAATATCTAGAGCTGATACGTCTTCAGCAAACCAAGTACACTATCAGGAACGACAACACCGGCAAAGAAACTACTTACCAGGTATTTGCGGTCCACATCTCACACTCGTGGAAGCGTGTAGTTGATGTTGTTTTCTCAAGCCGCCGAACATCGTCGGCAGGACTTAACTTGTCTCACCTTGGACGTTGTAGGGTCGTAGTTCTGAGTCATCTCACATGAAGGAACATGTCATCTCACATGAAGGAACATGTAGTAAGGTAGTTTGTAAAAATAGTTATCCTGCATTCATTCAGTTGTGAACAACATCAGTCTCTTGCGATAGTCAACATGTAAGAATTAGCCGTCGCAACTGTAAACGTTTTATAAAGTCGAAAACTGAAGTACTGAAGTATTATCTTCAGCGCCACCTCTTCTTTGATGTCTGAAAGTTGAACATTGTTCTCAGCTGCGCGTAGCAACTAGTCATCTTTCACGTAACATTGGAGCGTTTGGTGAGAAACATACTTTGTTTCCTGAGAAGTATAGTTTCATTATGATCAAATCGTTACAATCAGTGCGAATAAATTTACGCGTTGACAAATGCAGGTATGTATCAGAGAGTTCAATGCAGGATAAATATGTTTTGTCAAGCCACATACAACACTCGTGCATGCCCTCGACCTTGATCAAAAGACCTACAACCGAGCGTTCTTGGGCATCTGCCTGATAGCTTGCCTCACACCAAGGTCACCCAGGACGTCCTCAGCACCTCCGAGGATAGCGTCGAACGTCACCGTGCGGTGGTACTGCCGGGCGCAGACAAATCAGCATGAGGTAGCAAAAAGAGGGAAAGGCGAAGGGCACGTACGTGCTCGATGAACTGGCCCATGCCGGTCTTGGTGATACCACGACCACCAAAGACCTGGACGGCATCCTCCGCAGTGTCCTGCGCACACTTGGTCGTGTACATCTTCAACAGACCAATCGGCCTAATAAACGCAGCGACGAGAGTCAGCATTCACAGGCCCCTAACGCACACAGGCGTGGGAAGGAATCTCACCCAGCGAGCTTCTGCGACTGCTGCTTGTACGACATGTTGCACATCTGCATAGTGACGTTCTCGAGCCAGGCCTGTGTGCTCTCCGCGCGGGCGATCATGCGCGCCATCTTGTTCCGGATGACAGCCTGCGAAGAGAGCGGCTTGCCGAACGCCTTGCGCTGGTTGATCCACTTCAGGCACTCCTCAACGATACCGCGTTGACTACGGGCACCGGAGCAGCACATGACCCAGCGCTCGTGGTTGAAGTTGCTGAATCATGTGTAAGAATTACTGCCGCTTCTATAGATGACGGGAACGGTAGCACGCACGAAAGAATGACAAAGATTCCTCCGCCTTCGGGCCCGAGCGTGTTGCCGACAGGCACCTTGACGTTGTCGAAGGTGATGTACGCTGTTCCAGCAGACGGAGAGTACGAGGTCTTGATAGACTTTGTCTCGACCCCTTCTGACCGCTCAACGAGGATCACAGTGAAACCGTTGTCGGTCTTGCAACCAACGGTGAAGCTGTGAAAACGTCAGCATCCGCTTCTCTTCAATGACTTCGTGGACTCACTAGTCCGAGAACACTCCGTTGGTAATCCACTTCTTCGTTCCGTTGATGATCCAATGCTTTTCGTCCTCAGTCTTGGTCGCGGTCGTCTGGAGACCAGCGACATCGGAACCCGCGAAGGCCTCAGAGATAGCGAGCGAGATGAACTTCGTGCCAGAGAGGACCTCAGGGACGATGCGTGCCTTCAGCTCGTCGGAGCCAAAGTTCATGACGGGAGGCAGACCGATAACGGCACCACTCTGAAGACCTATTGACAAACGGTTAAGCGAGGGACATCCTAGAAGCTGGTCCACTAACCATCACCGTAACCACGGGCGCCAATCCGGGCAATCTCCTGGATGATGACGAGCTAGAAGAGTCATTTAGAATATGATGATAGCTGACGTCTTTCATAGTATTCACCTCATGGAAGTAGTCAAACTGTGGACGATGTGAGCTTAGTAGAACATGATTCGGAGAAAGGAGAGCTTACCTCCTCAGGGGCAACAACACCGCCCATCAGAGTAAGGCCCTTGAGGTGCTTTCCAGGCCCCATGCGCATAGCATGAATGTTCAGGTCACTACAATATGATGGCGCGTCAGTCTTCAAATCCACCATGTGTACCAAGGAATACGTACGACATGGCCTTGATGACATGTGCGCTCGGGCGCTTGCCGTCCTCCTCGTGAGGCTGCGGCGGATTCAGCACCCCAGCACGCCTCGCAACCACTGTTACTCACAAGAGCATCCGGATATATGACCTCATCCACAAACTTGCGCATCGCCCTCTGGAGGCGCTTATGGCTCTGAACGGGAGCAGCTTGAGAACACGCCCACGACTGAGCAGCCCGCATTAACCACGCACCTCCTTGAAGTACGGGCTGTAGAAACCCTCCGCGAGCCACGTCGGCTCGGCGTATGGAACGTCGCTCGCCTTCCCGACCTCGCGTCCGTAGATAACGCTCTCCTCGCCGTCGACGGTGCCAATCTGGAGGCGCGCGTACTGGGGGCGCTTGAGGATCTCATGCCGGTGGAGGCCGTAGAACGCCTCGGTAGCATCCTGACCAGCTGCAGAACCAGTTTGAATTGGCTTGTGAGTTCATGTGTGAGTGACCGGATCCGGGCCCGCGACGTACCGATGTCCTCTGTGCGGAACACGGAAGCACCGCCTGGGTGGAGGTCCATGAAACGCGAAATGTCGTACACCTTCGCATCGACAACTATCCACTACAACTCAAGTTAGACTAAGGCTTGTCCCTGAGGACATTGTTCTCTTACGAGGTCGCCTGGGGTGTTGTGCTAATACGGAACGACCGTCAGCTCTCCAAACGAGTACCTTTGGTGTGTAGGCACGAACCTTGGCAACCTCGTCACGAGTGAACTTCTTCATCTCCTTGGTGGCCATTGTACAAATGAAAACACTAGCAGATACAGCGGAGGATGGAGGAAAAGTGTCGCAGGAAGATGAAGAGAGGAAAGGTAGTGTGCCCCGGATTCGGACGTTGTCTGGCGTTACATACGCTTCATATCTGTCAATCACATGCTTCTGATCTCCACACGTGAATTCGTCCGCCTGTTCCAATCTTCTACTGTCGCGTCGCGGTGGGATTGCCCGGCCACGAATCAAAACTAATCTTCAGGTATGTAGCACCTGGTAGCACGGAACTTGAAATACCGGTATGCCCAGTGGCGATTGGGCGACGCATATACACAAGTCAAGGCTAACACGTTAGAAGACCGGATCACCGGCGCTTGACCAACCGGCGATTGTTGATTGGAAAGGACAACGATGACGGCGCAGTGATGATAATTATAACATGTCCATCCACCAGTCAAATGTACTTCAAGCTCTTGTGGTTAGTGTATAAACAACAGATAGTAAGGTCAGAGCGTTGTGAGCTCAACTTAACGAGTGTATCCCACCAACAGATCTACATGAAAAACGACGATGAGGTATACTGACTATCCCTTCGCGGTCTTGGAGGAACTAGCACGCAGACCCTCGATCCTGACGCCTCTGCCCTCCCTAATCTCCGTAGCCTCCCACTCCAAGTCGTCCAGATACTGATCAACAGCCCTCGCCTCAAGACTCGACTCGCCGCCTCCCTGACTGCTCAACATCAACTCCTTCAACTTTGCCTCGAACGCGGCCTCAGCATCCGGATCGTCCGCAAGAGCAGCATACGCCTTAGCGACCCGCCAGTCTGTCTCTTTCGTGAGCGTCTGCAGGCGTTTTGACGCGCGCTCGAGGGCTCGCCTTCTCTCGTACTCCTCCGACGGTTGTCCGGGCGGGGTCTGCGGCTGAGACGACGAGGCGGCGGACGGCGGAAGCGTGAGCACGGTGCGGGTGTGAAGGAGATGTGGGGTCGTGCTTAGAGTGCTTGGTGGTAAGTTGTTCAGTTTACAGAGTGCTCGTGCCTGATTTAACGGCATAACGTCAGCTCTTCGATGGAACCCAAGAGGAAATAGACGCTATCGCACGTTCAGTCCGAAGCGGAGAGCTATGCCCTGCAGTGTGTCCTGGGGCCTGATATGATACTTCTGGGGAGTTGGCGAAGGAGAAAAGGTCGTGCCGACTTCCACCGTCTCTGAACTGGCATTGTCCCAGTCATGCACCGATGGTTCTGCGCTTTGCCTAGTGGCAGGTGGATCGTTACGATGGTCTGAACCGCCAGAGGAGGTCAGTCCAGGAGTTTCGCCATGAGCAAACTCTTCGTATGCTGGGGGTGGTGTCCGCCGACCAGGGTTCACTGCGGCTCCGTTCAATTGAGAGCCTGCGATGTCTTCATCGTCCTCGTCGTCTCCGATAGAAAAAACGTCCTCATCATCCACCCCTCCGTTGATGTTCATTCTCCTGTCTCCATTCGTAGCATTTGAAACATGTCCTAGCTTTGCGGGATACGTCTGAGAACTTGAATGACCGACGACAGCGACACCTCCAAGGCACGATAAACATGGGTTGTATCTTGCCAAGCGAGGATTTGACTTGAGACAGGAGGGGCATATGGGCCGGTTACAGCACTGAGTAGTGAAGACATCCTGGCTTTGCTTGGGCAACAAGGAGGCGGAGCATGCGAGACAGAGAGAGATCTGAGATGACATAGTAGGAGTATGAGGATGTATAGATACAGAGATTAGCTAATGATACAGCAGCGAGGGAGCAAGCCAGAGGTGCTCGATTGTGTCCATGGCGTTGTGCAATATTGCTCACGGCAGTGCCCCACATCGCTTGTCAACGCGTCACCTTCGGGCCGAACTTCCTTTCCCTCATAACCCGACCTGCTCAGCAACTTTCAAAACTACAAGACTTCAAATATGTCAATATCGTACATTACATTGTTATATGTCAGAACCCAACACTTCTCTTTTTCTACGCAGCCCACTCTTTAGGCTTCCTCAGCACAACCATCGCCTCCGCCTCAGGCGTCCCCTCCTCCTCGCCCAGCTCGCTCATATACTCCCAGCTCGCCGTCTCCGGCAAGCTCATCAGCACGTTCTCAATCCGCACGCCGGGCGTCGCAAGCCCGAACTTGGTCCCACGGTCGATGACGAGGTTGAACTCGACGTACCGCCCGCGGCGTATAAGCTGCCACCTGCGCTGGCGCTCGCCGTGCGGCATGTCGACCCGCCGCCTCAGGATCGGGATGTACGACGGGAGGAACGCGTCGCCGAGGGACTGCACCATCTTGAACTGCTCCTCGGCCGTGTAAGACCTGCGCTGCACCTCCGCCAGTCCGCCGCACAAGGCCGCGTTCAGCTCGTCGTTGAGGTCGTCGAACCGGATGCCTCCGATCCCTCGGTGCTCGTCCCGGTGCTTGATGTAGAAGTATCCGTCGCACGACTTTTTGAGGACGGGGTACATCTTGTCGTCGTATGTGTCGCACATGTCCTTGAGGGTTTGGTGGAAGTGTATGCAGTCTTCTTCGAAGAGATACGACGGCGTCAGGTCCGTGATGCCTCCGAACCACCAGCCGATGACACTGTTCGTGTCTTCGGGCTCGGTGACCTCGAAGTAACGGTAATTCATGTGGACGGTTGGCGCGTTTGGGTTCCTCGGGTGGACGATGAGGCTGATGCCACCTGCGAAGAACGGGCGGCTGGCATTGCTGTCGGGGTCGTAGGCCAGTGAAGAGTGTTCTTTGCAGAGCTGCTTAAGTGCTGCCGCAGAGAGCGTTCCCTCGATCATCGAGATGTTGACACCCGCCTTCTCGATGACGCTTTCTGGCTCCGCGAACGTGCACGATATCCCTCCCCCGCCTTCCTTCCTCTCCCACTGATCCCGTTTAAAACGCTTTCCTGAACCCTCGATAGTTTCCAGCTCGGCCACGATCGCGTTCTGAAGGCCCTTGATATATTCGGTGACGCGCTGGCGCATAGGAAGCTGGGTCGAGGAACCGGGCGCCTCGGACTGATCGGCCATTGTTCCTGTGTCGTCCTGGAGCTTGAAGAGCTTCGCACACTTGCAAGCTTGTTTGCAACAGAGGTGATGGCTTGATCAACCTTTATATCGTGAGCACTCTTGGTAGATGTAGCTGATATTATAGAAGCAGCTGTTTGTCCACATGCGCCCTGCTCATGCATCATGCATCATCGTGATCTCACGACTCGGACCGAACTTTTGTGATGGTCTACTAGGGTCTACCTAACGGCTTGCATGCACGAGGACCATCGCAGTTTCAGCTTCCCTCTTTCCATGCTTGACATTAATCTTTGAGCCTACACTGGAACTAGGTCTGGGAGCTACCGGCGCTGAAGCTCGCTGTGTTGTCTGCTTTGCCAGCTTTAGAGCCTGATGCACCCAGGCTAGGCACCCACCAACCCCCACCAATCCAGGCTCAGTTAAGGCACGGCGATCAAGATTTCGGTGCCTTTTGTTTCTGATGAACCGGCGGAATGGGTGACAGAGGTTGACAAAAGGTCACATTTACAACCGGCGATCAGCGGCGTTGTAGCTGGTGGTGTACTCTCCACTGACTCCCTCCCATGGTCAGGTAAGTCAGCCCCTAGAAATGAAATACACTTAGTCTGAACCCTCATATACAGTGCACAAAGTTCAGCTTTGATCTGGGCTAAAACGCCGTCTAGATGCACGTTAGCAGACTGCGACGCAGCCCTGGGCAGAGTCCATACCGCAGTCTTATCACCATTCGATACGATCCTTGCCTGATGGTATGTATAAGGGTCAAGTATCTGGCAAAGAAATATGCATGCATGTGGCTGGGTAGGTCATTCTCATGCAAGCTGCATGCAAGCGCCGAAAATCAGCTGCGGTTTTGATGTCTCCCCTACTTGAGCGCTGGACTCAAGGACCCAAGGTCGGCTCTTTCTATCGACCGCGGCTTGCAATGATCAGGCACATTGAATAGGGGTCTCTGGGTCTCTTACACACCCAATCAGAGGTTTGCTCCGCCGATCGTTGATGTGTGGAAGACACGGTTGACAGGCGGACCTGTACCATCTCCTCATGCATGCCGTACTCTGCTGAATAGGCTTGTGCTTGTCCTACGTAATGGTTATAAAGAGGCTGTCGACTCCAGATGCACGAGCCAGGGGAGGCACACTGTTCCTCCCAGACTCCTCGACTTCCAGTTTTCGTCCTTTGTAACAACAACCTCGGGTGCTGCTGCTTGTAGGGCATTCAAGCCATGTCAGCCTCTAACGCAACTGCTCCGGCGCCCGCGATACCCATAGCCCCTCCGGGCACGAACTTCCTGGCGGTGATCGCGCCTTCGCTGCGCAGCCTCGTCATCGGCCATACGTTCCTTTCCATCTTCGTGCCGCTCATTCTCTCCCTCTTCTACTTCTCGACGTCGCACCTGCGCCGGCGCGCGGTGTTCTGGCTCAATGTCCTCGCCATCGTCTTGGCCTTTGCCGCTGGTATCATGATCGACGCCCTGGCGGTTCGGTTTCCCCTCTGCTTCTGAATGGGCAGGCGAATGCTGACACTGTCGTGGTAGATACATTCCATCCTCTCGCCGCAGAGCCCATGGGGAGCTGCGATGAACATCGCTATCGGGATCCTTGGAGCGTGGCAGTCGATCCTTGTTGATTTCATCCTCATGATCCGTATCGTCTCCGTGTACCCGTTGCACCGCGTCGGCACAACGAAATTCGGCTTCATACTAGCTTTGCCTGTCGCTCTCAAGCTGGAGCGAATCATCAACATGATCGTCTTCATCAAGGTTTTGGCGGATGCCATGAAGGGACCCAACGGCAACGAGGTCATTGAGCTCACTTGGGGCAGCACGCCGTACTTGAAGATCGAGTGGTTCTCGCAGATCGTTGACAACGCGTACGTCGTTCCTGCTCAATTGGTCATAGCGTTCGCTGAACGCGTCTACAACAGATACGCCTCAGCGTGCTTCCTCCTCGCGCTCCAAGCCCACAGGCACCAGCGCAGCACAGCCGTCACCTCGACCAAATCCAACGTCTCCTCCCTCACCGCAAAGCTCCGGACCATCTTCTGGATCGCGATCAGCAACTTCGTCATCCCGACGCTCCTCTCCATCGCGCAGATCATCGTCGTCTACAGGGCCGTCGACATCCTCGCGATCAACGACATCGTCCTCGTCAACACCTGCGTCGCCGTCATCGGCGTCGTCTTCGCCACCGTCTGGGCGGGCGCGCTCCAGCGCCGCGAGTCCTCCTCCGCCATCGGCGCGACCGCGGTCGGAGACGTCGAGCACTCGGCGACGTTCTCCGGCGAGCCCGGGCCGGGGCCGATGCGGTTCGCGCCGCGCGATACGACGACGACGACGTTCTCGATGCGGTCGCGCTCGAAGGGCGGAATCGAAGACCCTGTTGTCGTCGTTACGGACACCCTGTCGTCAGGCGGAGACAAGATCGGTGAGTGGGGGGCAACGCGTTGCGGCGTGCGTGCAATAATCACGAGGGCTGACATCTACGTTCGTTCAGGCCAGAACACCATCTCCTCAGTCCCAGAGTATCGCGACTATGCAAAGTACATGGGGCAGCTGCATTCCACTTGACGTCGTTGTACTATAACTACGAGCAGGGTCACAGAATCAGTGTTCATCTCTAAACGAGTGACTGGGAGCTTCATTCGCAATCTCGATGGTCCGTTGGTCATGGATATGGCGGAGATAAATAAACTAAAGCTTAAACCGTCCGAATTCTGTAAGGTAAGTATCGACTATGAAAAAAGAGGGCGTATCGGTAAAATTCGTGGAGGTAATGTGGGGGTGAATAGGCATACAATGTGAAACCAAGCTAGAGACACGAATCCAAAGTTAACGAGAGACGGGGGTGATCCTAAATGTAGATAGATAAAAAGCAGAAAGAGAAAGTAATCGTCACGTTGCGGCGAGAGCAACAGTTTATTGTTGCGCGAGTTTGCCTAGAAGAATTAGCAAGTAAAATTAACACGAGGCCTACATTGAGTTGAAGCGGGACGGAAACTTACCCGAAAATCCTGCGCTCTGAGGACCCATTTCACCCGGCGTTGGGGGCAGCACCCGAGGTCTACTACCTGTAGACTGACTAGGGCCCGCACCAGACTCAACACTCGGCCCCTGAGCAGACCACTCGGGATTATACGCAGGCGGCAGCCGCGTCGTCCCGGATCGCTGCAGCCCACTAGGATTATACGGCCCAAAATCCTCCTCTTGCGTCGGCTCGTGCTGCGAGTATTCCGTCCGCGGGACACCATGGGAGCTTGAACGCTGCTGCGAGTAGTCCGATTGCGGGCCGCTGCCCTGCTGCTGCTGCTGCTCGCTGCTGTAGTCCGACTGCGCGTTGCGATAGTGGGAGGGGTCGGACGCGGACACGTTCGACGTGGTGTGTCCGTGCCCGGTCCCATTCCCGCCAGGACCGAACCCGCGCCTGCTCTTGCCGCTGCTGCCCGCGTTGCCGTACATCGCGCCCACGCCCGCTGCGCCTGCGGACGTCACGGATCCGGGGCTGGCTGGACCGTATGCGGAGCGCGCTGGCTCTGAACGGGAGGGAGAGAAGTCGGTCGTTGTGTTCGCGGTCTGCGAGTAGCCCATAAAGGGCTGCACTGGCTCGGACATCAGGTTCGCTGCACTCTTTTCATTGACCCCGGTCTTGCGTCTCTTCCAGAAGCAAAAGCCCAAGGCGGCGAGGATGGCCGCCACGACGAATCCGCCTACTGCACCTCCTACAGCAGGGCCGATGGACGAATGGTGCGACGGGAAACCGTTGCCAGAGGAGCTGCCAGTTTGAGTTTGCGTTGCACCTGGTTTGCTGGATGAGGTGGGTGAAGGGCATCCCTGGGAGGTGTAGAGAGAAGCATTGTTCGATGCAGCAGAAACGGCCGACGTCGCCGTTTCTTCAGTGTAAACGCTGATTGCTTACGTCAATACAGATCTTCTGGAACAAATCGCTGCTACGCGATAGTGGAGGGAGAAAATCAAAGACTCACTAATACCATGAACCGTCTCCCCAGAACAGCTGATATAAGAAGTTTTGTAGGCCGATTTTCTTGTTGCAAGTAGCGGCTTGAATGTTTGTAGGCAGGCTCTGATTGAAGTTCGGGCCGCACTGATGTCCGGAGGGGGAGAGATAGAGCTGGTATGCGCCCTTGCCGGCGTCGATGCCAACCGTTGAGGCAGCATTGTCTTGTTGGCAACTATCAGGAAGTAGACGGTAAGGTTCAGGCAGGAGGGAGAGATCATTGACGAGACTCACTTCATGCAAAGCATACTGAGGGTCCATGCTACAGAATTGCAGCAGCAGTCGGCTATAAATACAGTCAGACATCTATCGACGAGTAGATCGAAGGAGACGGACTCACCAACCTGATCGTCGCAGGTATCACCGGGGGTAACTGTCCGGAACGTTGGGACCTGATCTAGTCGGGGTTAGGAACAAGAGCTCGAAGCAACAATAGAGCCAAAGTCAAAACTTACAGCCTGGGTTACATATTGACCGAAGGCGGTAATATGTCATGCCTAGAGCATAAGAGTGGCAACTGCGTAAACATTGCGCGACGTCAAGCACCAAGACAAACACGTACACGGGCTCTCGCCGACGGCGTCATGGTACCACTTGGTCGAAGCACTCGCACACGTAACGTTGCCCTGTGCGTATACAACATCCAAGGCGCCTAGGGCAAGGGCGGAGGCGAGGAGTAGGCGAGTTGGCCGTGTCATAGTCGTCCGGGGGAGGTGTCGGGGAGGGAGGAGCAAAAGGGAGACCCAATGGGAGCTCCAGCGGCGTACAATAGCCAACGCCAAGTAAACATGGCTCAGGTGTTCTCCAAAAGGCAGTGCTGTCGTCCCGTAAGGAAATTACGAGCAGCTCCTCCGCTCGATCACAGGTATCGAGGCTGTCAATTGACTCATGAAATTGGTACCTTGGCCCGCAGCGACCGGTCTCCCTGCCGATGGCCCTTCTCAAGTCTTTGTTTGTTACCTTTTGTTACGGTACATTAGATCAATCCTTGATGGCCTGGGCCGAATACCAGGTGAATGACATACCGGAAGATAAAATTTCGGTGACAAGTGTAAGCTTCCGTGTCTAGTCGGGACTCGGAACCTGTCAGATTTGACTAAGACCTTAGACGCCTCCTATGTAATAGTACCTGGCAGTGTTGTAGCATGGATTGCTCTGCCCGTTTGCTGTGCCATAACGAGTCCAGACAGTCCGTGGTCGAGATCGATGGACCTTGGCTTGGTTAGTGATCGACCGTGATACACTAGTGATTAGCTTGAGAAGCATCGACGTAATCGTAGTGCCTGGATATTCTTGGCCGAGGCATGGGTGCCTTATGTCCGCAATCATGTTCTTCAGGGTCGAGGAAACTACACCTCGATACACTTCCACTAAGAAGGTCTATACCTCCGCACAACACGGCGTTGCACAAACGGTTTATGTTAGATCGGTACAAGTCGTGTCATATGCATACGTAGAGAATTAGGTATTTTGAAGCTACATATTAGCCTCACAGCCTGGCGTTCTTTGGCATCTGCCTAATGGCCTGGCGAACCCCGAGGTCACCGAGAACATCCTCAGCTAAACATAGCACCATCAGTCTCGTAGACGGAGGAAAGCGAGATGAAGCCAACTTACTTCCACCAAGGATTGTGTCAAAGGTTACTGTCCGGTGGAACTATAACAACGCCATCAGCCCTGAGGGATCACTTCGTGGCGACGATGGCTTACATGTTCGATGGCGTGGCCCATGCCAGTTTGCGTGATACCGCGTCCGCCGAAAACCTGAACGGCATCTTCGGCAATGTCTTGCGAGCACTGTGTCGCATACATCTTGGCAAGGGCGATAGGACTTTTGGAACACGGTTAATCAGTGGATCTGATGGCATGAGAGTCACTTACCCAGCAAGCTTTGCAGCTTGTTCCTTATACGACTATTTCCGTGAGGATTAGTACAGATTTAGGACGCTGTGAAATCTTTCCACTGACCATGTGGCACATCTGCATGGTGATGTTTTCTAGCCAGTTGTGGGTACTCTCCACTCGCGCGACCATCCTCGCAATCTTGCTACGAACGACCGCTTGCGATGACAGAGGCTTGCCGAAGGCCTTGCGCTGGTTGACCCATCTAAACACGTTGTTTCAGCAACGATTTCGTCGACAAAACATTGTGACCATATACTTCAGGCAATCCTCCAGAATGATCCGCTGGCAACGCGCTGCGAGAACGGTGATCATCCATCGCTCATGGTTGAAGTTGCTAGCATCCGGCATCAGGAAATGTAGAAAATGATGATGCTTGCAGCCACATACGAGAGCATAACGTAGATGCCATCGCCTTCCTTCCCAATAGTGTTCTCTACTGGAACCTTCACGTCCTCAAAGGTGACCAATGCAGTTCCAGCGGTCGGCGAGTAGCTCGTCTTGATGGGCTTCGTCTCGACACCATCCTGGCGCTCGACGAGAATGACCGTGTGACCTTTCTATAACATCACTATAAGCCACGTCCACAGAACTGGAAACGTAGCCTTACCTCTGTCTTGCAGCCAACGGTGAAGCTAAACAATGGCTCCGTTCAGCATCCTCGCTGACCCCGAAGTTTTTGTTAGAGACGTACTAATCCGCCCACATGCCATTCGTAATCCACTTCTTGTGGCCATTGACGATCCAATGCTTGCCATCCTCCGTCTTCTTCGCGGTAGTCTGGATGCCGGCGACGTCGCTCCCTGCGAATGCTTCCGAGATGGCGAGCGCGATGAACTTGCCGTTTTGAAGGACGTCGGGCACAACTTTCGCCTGTACTGTCGGGGAAGCGAAGTTAAGGACGGGCGAGAGGCCAATAACGCATCCGCTTTGAAACCCTGCAACAGTACATCTTGTCAGGACAAACCCCCATGGCTCATCGCAAGGAAAAAAGAGCTGACCGTCGCTGTAGCCACGCTGACCGGGAAGCGCAATTTCTTGGAGAACGATGAACTACCAAACCTTTCAGCCCAGTGACAACATCAGGGACGTTCATGTGCATAGCGTACCTCGTGGAAACAGTCGAACTAGGAGACGTGAAGAATCAGATCGTCATACACTGCAAACATACAAGACGTGCAGAAACATACCTCTTCTGGCGTAACAGCCCCGTTTGCAAGAGTGAGTCCCTTCAAGTGCTTTCCTGGGCCCATACGCATAGCAAGGATACCAAAATCACTGTGCGATATTTTAGTATACTCTCACATGTAACGTCCAAGACACTCACTTGGCAGCCTTGATGACGTCCTGGCTTGGCCGCTTTCCATCTCCTTCCCGTGCCTATTCCGAATATTAACGTACGTCACAACGAAAGCCGTCCAGGAGATACACACGAAAGCATCCGGCATGATAACCTCATCCACGAACTTGCGCAGTTCTCGCTGCAGCCGCCTGTGGCTCTAGACGCGCCGTATAGTATCCCAATCAGCCACGAACCGCCGCTCATAATTAACATCGCTGCACACCTCCTTGTAGTACGGGCTGTGAAACCCCTTGCCGAGCCACGACGGCTCACCATACGGCACCTCGCTGTTCGTGCCGACTTCGCGGGAGAAGATGATGCTCTCCTCGCCCTCGATCTTGCCTATCTGCAGACGCGCGTACTGGGGCCGCTTGAGGACCTCGTGCCGGTGGAGACCGTAGAACGCCTCGGTGGCGTCCTGGCCAGCTGAAACGCGAGCCCGGGTCGGTTGGTTTGAGAGTTCTTCGCATGGGCTAGGAGGGAGGGCATACCTATTTCCTCGACCCTGAACACGGATGCGCCACCGGGGTGGAGGTCCTTGAACCGGGAGACGTCGTACACTTTGGCATCCACGATGATCCACTGGGGAGAGTTGCTCTACGTTCAGCACATTGCGGGCCGAAACAGACATGTCGCGACTCACAAGGTCATCTGGGGTATTGTGCTGGGGAGGGTACCGCATATCGTCAGCTTTCCCAACACATCTGAGCGTGCCAAGTCTCTGCGAACCTTCGCAACTTCCTCCCTGCTAATTATCTTGAGCGTCTTCGTGGCCATTGCTGCGCGTTGGATGGTGAAAGAGGCAGGAGGAAATGTTCCAGCTTCAGCACTCGGTATGGATTCCGGGTCATGACCGTGAGTGACCGTGGTGTGTGAATGGGTGTGAATCACATGTCGCACCGTCACTTAGGGGTTCCATTTACAGTCGTTGAACGGGTCAACCAGCCACGACTATCAGTACCCCGTAGATCTGGCGTCTGCCTGATCGTTTCGTACTACGAATAAAACTACAAATGAATCCATCGTTCCATTCACTTAAGTATGGATTACAACAAGATATCCTACGACGACGGTTGGCGTGAATAAACAGTTCGTGCTTAGACTTCGTCTTGAAATATCCAAGATAGCTATCCACATCTGACTCCAGCGCCAGCGTAGTGAACCCGTGCGAGCGCGACGTAGACGTTAGAGACTGTCACCGATTGGCGTCAATGGAGTCTGCTCGGTACCCGATAATCTCTCCCTTGCCTGTGCAAGATGTGAATGAGCACTTCAGCGAGACTGTCCAAAACAAGGCCACGCACCGACATCAAGAGATCTGCCTCTACCTCTGGTAGCACCTCGCGAACATTATCGGACATGGGTACGATCTCCCAGCGCGTTGGCGGGTTCTCTATGAATAAACATATGTCCGCAGGCAGGTGGTCAAAATGTTCGGTGTTGAAACTTTCGCGGACTGAATGCTCCTCTGTAAATTACGTTGGATAACTCGTTCCATGGTACTGGAAGAGGACAAGACCCACCTTGGGCCATGCTCTCAAGCTGTTTCGCCAACCCTTCCACAATTCTACCAACTGCCTCGACATACCGCCGCCGTCTCGCCGTCTCTTCCAATAGTTTATTGAAAGAGATTTGGTATTGGACGTAGTTAGCATGTAACTGGTCGATAACTCCAAGTCTCTCGGACAGAGCTGATAGATGTTCTTGGGTTTCATCCTATAAAAATTCGCGTTCAATTCTCAAAACCCCTCATAAATGGGGTAGATCTACCTCAATTTCCTCCTGCCGTCCAAGCATTTCAGCCATAATATCTCCCAGCTCATCTAGATCGTCTAGTATCTTCTTGTATTCGTCCAGCCGAACTTGCGAGGAGCTCTTCGCATCAACTAGTTGAGTACTTTTGCACGATGAATAAGGATAAAAGGGAGAATATATTGATGCGCTTACTATAAGTCATGCACCGAAGCGATATCCTCCTCTATTTCCTGTATGATTTTCGGAAGTTCCTCAGCATCTCGGTTCATATCTAGCGCCAGACATGTAAGGAGGTAATCTCGATATACACAGAGAATATTTCAAACCTTGTATATCCTCTTCGGAGAAATCTTCTCCAGCCTCACTTTCATGCAGGGCCTCTGTCATCTTGTCGTAGTGCTCGGCGAGGCCTTCTAGATGTCGCGCCATGTTCATGGACCGCTCCTCCTGGGCATTAAGTACGCCCTCCACAGATGGCAGGGCCGCTTTCTCCGTATCAGGAAGCGCCTTGCGTATACTTTCGACCGCGTTAGCCAGGGTTTCTGGATAGTCATACGTGGACGTCAGAACATCCTGAGCGTAATGCATAATTGAGAGGCGCGTGATCCAGCAATTAGGATGAACATACGTCGAGCCTGTTTCTCCCGAGGTCCAACTCGTCGAGCACCTCCTCTATGGCCTTGTCGTCTGCAAAATCGCGCAGCGTTTTCCATCTGGATCTGTCGACCCTCTTGCTGCGGCTCTTGCCATTGGTCATTTCGAGGTCTCGGATGGTTGCGGATGGGCTGTGTTGTGGTTGAGGTGAAGGCTGAGGAGAGGGAGATCGCGAGGATGGTTGCGACCCAAACAAAGAGGAATCGGAGGAAGCTTGATGGAAGTCTGGTGGGACGACTTGACTGCCGAGAGAGTCCAGGATGTCGTCAAGAGCGGAAGTTCGCCTCGATCTTATAGTGTCCCATTCCTACGGGGGTTGAGAAGAGAAAGTGGGACCAGGAAAAGGTTGACGTACACGAACTTGCTTGTCCAGCTGAGCGCGTTTAAGCTCGATGCTCTTGGCTACACTAGCTGCAAGCTGTTGCGTGGTGTCCGTTAGGGACTCGTGATCGACAGACCAAGGAGAGCATTCTCACCTTGAGCTGTTCAATAACTGCGTCGGAAAGCCATTTGACTTTGGCATCCAGAGCGAGAACGTCCACAGCACACTGTGCGGACGCGTTGGACGTCTCTCGTGCGCGTGAGCATAGAGCTTCACCATGCTGTAATGCTTTCTTGGATTGAAGGACCAGCGATACGAGGGGTGGCTGATCAAGACGAGGGGTATTGGGTGCGGGAGGGGAAGCCATAGCGCCTCGTCGCGTCGGTCGCTGTGGAACGCGGTGAACGTCGGTGAACAGCCTGGCCGAGGTAGGTTTAATTATTCCGCTCGCCACGTGCCCCGAGCAGCCTGTCCAAGGTTAGGACGTTAGCCGACGGCGATAGCCCCGCGAATTATTCCTGCGCCACCACTTGTCCATTCACCCTATACGTAGCAGCACCCCTCGGTTTCCAACCACGAGGGTCTGCTCGTACAGATCCTCCACCAAGGATGACACTCTTTATCCCTCTCGACGACAGCAATTCGCCGTCGAACTCGCCATCCTTTGTCGTCCGTCCTGATGATCCCTCGGCACAGCTACAGAAAGTCGTCAAGGCAATCATGAAGGCTAGGCGGATGGTGGTTGTATGCGGTGCGCAATGCTGAAGTTTTACCTAGGACAAGAAGCTTACGTTGGGAAACGTTCTACAGGCGCTGGCATTTCTGTGCAAGCCGGAATTCCTGACTTTAGATCCTCAGATGGTCTGTTTCACACATTGAAGCGGGACAATCCAAAGGAAGGTCTGACTTCAGGCCGTGACCTATTCGATGCCTCGGTGTTCAACGTGGGTAGTAGCACTTTGACGCACATACTTTCAGGCGGTATCGACGCTGCCGTCATACTGACCCCTGAACCCAGTCTGAAAACACCACAAGTATGTTCTGTCAAATGATCGCCAGACTATTCGAGATGTCCCAGGCGGCGTCCCCCACGGCCTTCCACGATGCACTTCGCTCCTTGAACGAGCGTGGGAACCTTCTCCGAGTCTACACGCAGAACATCGACGCTCTGGAGCAGAAATCAGGACTTTCCTTCGGTGTCCCTGACTTTGAAGACCGCCGTTATGGACCAAGGCAAAAGTCAGCTTCCAATGCCATTGCGTCTTCGTCCAATACTGCCGCTGGACCCCCGTCTTCAGGCAGTTCAACCCCGTTCTCCAGTAAATCCCCCTCTAGCTCCCGACAATCCTCTCCCTCTGCCGAAACCCCTCGGTGCATTCCCCTGCACGGGACCCTATCCACCCTCCACTGTCTAACTTGTACGCACGTGTTCCCCATTGAGGACCACCTCACTTCGCTGGCTCAGGGCTCTCCTCCGTGGTGCCCCGAGTGCACCCAGATGGAGGAAACGCGGCAACTCGTCGGCAAGCGACCACGGCGGGTCGGGAAACTACGCCCAAGCGTCGTGCTGTACAACGAGGATCACAAGGATGCCGAAGGTGTCGGAGAGATCGTTCGTCGCGACCTTGTCGGGGCGCCCAAAGGCAAAGGGCGGAGTGGAGCGGATCTGGTTTTGGTAGTGGGTACGAGTTTGAAGGTGCCCGGCACGAAGCGGATAGTCAGAGAGTTTTCGAAGGCGGTTCGGACAAGGGCTACGGGAAGCGCTAAAGCCCCTTCGTCAGAGTCTTCACCTTTATCTTCTCAGTCGAGTTCTCGTTCACAGCCATCATCAAGTAAAGGTGACAGTCGAGAGGACGAGCCTCCTATACGATCGATATATCTGAACTTGGACTTTCCTGTGCCGACTCGGGAATGGGACGGCGTATTTGACGCGTGGGTACAAGGTGATGCTCAGACTTTCGCGCGCATGCTTCTTGAGGAGGTATCCAAAGAAGCTATAGCCAAGGAGCAAGCCGCTGAGCGCAAGCGGAGGCGAGAGGAGGACGCAGCTATGGCCCAAGATCTGCCTCCCACACCCTGCTCGATGAAGAAGAAACGGAAAGTTGACGTTGCTGCAATCAACGCGGATTTGTACGGCCGCCAGAAATCGCCTTCGCCTGGCAATATGGCCTGGAATGGAGAATCTGCCTCGAGTCGTACTTCGCAAGCAGCGAAGAGATCCTCGACGAAGTCTGCCGATTCAGAAGCCGCGCCATTGGTACTACGTCTCCCCCCTCTGAAGCAAGTGACAAAGACGCCCAAATCACAGCGGCATTGTGTCCCCCTCACACCTCCGGTCACGCCCTTGCGCGACGAAAAGCACCGTTCTCAGGTATCTCCCATCTGACGGAACTTTTTGCGCGGACATCGATATTTTATGTCGTCCCGAGAATTTTTACTTGGTGCAAGACCGCCGTGGCAGCTTTACTCATACATGGACTAGCGCACCAGCATACGCATGTTGTTCACCCTTATCATGACTTTGTTGGCCTCTCGGTGAGGACTTGTATCCTTATTGTGTAAGTATTCACCCTTTGTATCACTCGTCTACCTACCTACATTATGCTCTGCCTATATGGCTCGTTAATTTTCATCTACACACTATTATCCACACCACTTGCGAGGTTACGTCGAGTATTCGCTCGTTTAGCTCGCGGTTCCCTGGGCCGGGCCGGTGGAGGGACCCCGAGTAACCGAGTAGCGAGCAATTCGACGAAGGTCCCAATAGTCAATAATAGTGACAATTCACGATGACCAACCCATCTCAACGAATTCACATCAGGCCACCATAATACCACAACGAGCAGCCAGAGGCCGCCTATGATTGGGTAGATGCGGAGCCGTCTGCAGCGAGGGCCGAGATCGACTCCCGTGTGGGTTGTGGCACCATCTTCGGCAGACCTCATTTGTGGGACGTGTGGAAGTATATAAACTCAAGCTTTACACGCGCCAAGCCCCGAGATTGTACCTCGAGGTGTCTATCGAACGAGCGGCTTGTACGACCGCTTCAGTGCGAGACCTAGTTTAAGCTCCACCGACGAAGCCGGAGACAGTTCGGATAAAGACCGGGTCGTCTTCCTCTTTTTCCTCGCGCGTTCCCCGCTTTCTGGTCCCTCTAGATCCAGAGTAGCGATTGCCCAGACATGTCTTCCGCAGAGAAAGACGCCGCCACGCGCAGTTCTTCCGACTCCGATAACGCTGAGAAGGGCGAAGTTGTGGTCGAGAAGCCTCAGGCAGCCCAGCAAGCTTTGCATCTCCAGTTAGACACAGGAGACGAGTATGTCAGGTTTCGCAGGAAATGGTGGCAGCTTTGGTGAGTCTTCTTCTTTCAGGGCCTGAATGTTCAAAAAACAAGCCCATGACGTGTGACAGGCTTCCGAAAGACCCACCTCCGCCCCCGCCTCCGACTCTCGAGGATGCCAAGGTGAAGATTCCGTCAATTACCCCTATCCGTATGTACTCACCTCCCGTAGATGACTCCGCTCGCAAGTGCGAACATATTCTCGATACTGAGCTACTGGTGGATAACGGACATGATGGTGCGTGGTAGCATATACCTAGGCCCTATATCAGATTATAGCTGAATGCATATTCGCCCCCCACAGATTCTTGGCTATCAGCGCACGCTGCAAGCCTCCGACCTGTACAAAATGGATCCGTCTCGAGAGTCTGGACTCCTCTCTGAAAAGCTCGAGGCCTCGTGGAGCCGTCGTGTGACCGCCGCTGAGGAGTGGAACGCACGCCTCGAGGCTGGGGAAATCAGCCCGAGTGCATTCAAGCGTCTCTACTGGTCCCTGAAGGCGCTTAGAGGTTCGAAGGCTCAGGCTGGAAGCAGCTACGCGGAGCGTCGTGCAGCCTTGCAAGATCACTGGCGAACAAAGGCTGGCAGGAAAGAGGCTAGCCTCGCGTGGGCGCTTAACGATGTCTTTGGTCGTACGTTCTGGTCTGCTGGTGTCTTCAAGGTAACGGTGGCGCATGGTATGCTAGAGTTGCGCTCATGAAGATCTTTCACAGGTATTAGGTGATACGTCCCAGCTCATGAGCCCGATCATCCTCCGTGTAGGTAGTTCCTTCTGCTCGTCAGACCTTCTTGTCTCACTTATTCGTCTTCAGACTCTCATCACGTTCAGTGAAGAGCGTGCAGCCGCCGTGGAGAGCGGCACGCCTCTGCCCAACATCGGTCGTGGAGTCGGCATGGCTATCGGGCTTTTCTTGCTTGTGGTGATGAACAGTTGTTGCACGCACCAGGTAAGCTCGAGACTTGCCATTTCGAAATATCTCGCACTTCAATGACTGCGGTAGTTCTTCTGGAGGTCGATGACTACCGGTGTATTAGCTCGCGCGGCCCTCATCGCTGCAATATACAAACGCGGCACACATTTGACTGGCAAAGCACGCATTGCACTCACGAATGCTACGCTTATGAACCACATTTCGAGCGATGTGAGGACCAATGGCTTTGCGCATGCTACCCATTATCTTACAATTCACACCTCGCCAGGTTAGCAGGGTTGACGCCTGTGCCCAGTGGTTTGTAAGTTTTTTGACTGTACATTGAAGCTCATGTTCTTACTTCAAGCTCCCCAGCACGCCGGTAAGCTTCTATGAGCGACAGCGCGGGTTTTGGGTTTTGATCGCGAGTCGTGTAGCATGGACTGCCCCGATACAGGTCACGGTTTGCTTGATTATACTGCTTGTCGAGCTCGGACCTTCCGCACTTGCCGGTTTTGCTCTGTTCCTAATTATAGTACCTCTCCAAGAACGTGCAATGACTTTGCAGCAACGGACCCGTCAAGGCTCCATGAAGTGGACAGACATGCGATCCAATGTCCTGATGGAAGTTCTTGGTGAAGCCTCTCAATTATGGCCCACCACCTCGTCTTGTTTACCTTCTTGTAGGAGCGATGCGGGTGGTCAAGTACTTTTCGTACGAGATACCCTTCCTGACCCGTAAGCAAAGCACGCCCAATCCAATTTCAGAGACATTGACATGAGATGTAGGTATCGGTGAGCTTCGCAAGAAAGAACTCGTAGGCATTAGGCGAATCCTGCACGGAACTTCCGCGAAGTAAGTCACTTACTTGAATAACCAAAGGAGTTAGACCAAACGGCCCCTATAGCTTGGCTTTTGCTATGTCTCTACCCGTGCTTGCAGCCACGCTGGCCTTCGTGACATACACCAGCACGACAGGACAATTCAACGTTGCTGCAATTTTCTCGTCGCTCAGTCTGTTCCAGCTCCTCCGCCAGCCCATGATGTTTATGCCTCGTGCCCTGGCTGCGATTCCCGATGCCTCCAATGCTCTGAAAAGACTGGCTCGTGTCTTCCACGCAGAGCTTAGATCGGAAGACGCGTTGGTCATTGACGAGAAGCAGGAGAAAGCGCTGATCGTCGAAAACGCAACGTTTGAGTGGGAAACCGAATTGAAAGGGGACGAGGAAGAGTCGCCAAAGAAGGGGAAGGGCGGGCATAAGAAGCAGAAGGCGAAAGCAGCTGCTGTCCCAGTCGTAGTGCCAGTGGACAAGGCAGCGCTTTTCAAGGTGAAGGACATCAACATGATTGTTGCTCGTGGTCAGCTCGTAGCTGTTGTCGGGCCTGTGGGCAGCGGAAAGGTATGCTGAATAGCGTGTGTTATGGCGCAAAGCTGATTAATACCTCTCAGTCCTCCTTGCTGCAAGGCCTTATCGGAGAAATGCGAAGGGTGTCCGGCTCCGTATCTTTTGGTGGTCGGGTTGGTTATTGTCCACAGACCGCTTGGATCCAGAATTCTAGTCTCGTGAGTCTCATCGACGATTATATGGGCTGCATATACTTACCTTATCATCAGAGGGACAACATCATTTTCGGCCAACCGTTTGATGAGGACAAGTACTGGCGAGTCATTGAAACCGCATGTCTTCTTCCCGATCTACAACTTCTTCCGGATGGCGACTTGACTGAGGTGATGGGATCACACTCTACTTATGATCCATCTGTACTAACATCGGCGACCAGATTGGCGAGAAGGGTATCAACTTGAGCGGTGGTCAGAAGCAGCGGGTAAGCGCACCGTGTTTGGTCTTTTGTTGACTGCTTACACCAGCCGTTCAGATCAACATTGCTCGGGCGCTTTACTTCGACCCGGAAGTCGTTATCTTCGATGATCCTCTATCAGCCGGTATGCATGATGCTGAAGTCTGTTTTCGAGGAAAATACTGACCGTATCGTAGTGGACGCCCATGTCGGCAAGTCCCTCTTCCAGAACGCAATCATTGGTTCGCTTCGCAACCGGGGCGTCGCCGTCATCCTTGTAACGCACGCCCTCCACTTCCTATCCCAATGCGATTACATCTATACCATGAGCAGCGGCACCATTACCGAAGGAGGGACATACGCAGACCTGATCGCCATGGCGGGTGACTTCGCCCGCCTCGATAAGGAGTTTGGCGGTCACTCGACTGAGGAGAAGACCGAAGACGATGTTGAGGAATCCCAGGTTCCCCAGACGGACGTGACCATCGATGACGCCAAGAAGAAAGCTGCCAACGCGCGACAGAAGGCTTCTGGGAGTGGTAAGCTTGAAGGACGCCTCATGGTAAGGGAGAAGCGAAGTACAGGTTCCGTGTCGACGGACGGTGAGCTTGGGGACTTTTCGTGTCATTGAATACATCACTGACTTGCGGTCTTCAGTGTATAAATCGTACCTCAAAGCAGGCAAAGGATGGATCACTGCACCCATCGTCGTGCTCTTGATCTTCGCCATGCAAGGGAGCCAAATTCTGAACTCGTATACGCTCGTGTGGTGGGAAGCAAAGTAAGCAGGCCATATGTTAGTCATTCCTCGGGGCGAATACTCATAACGGGCATTCAGCACATTCGACAAGCCTAATTCATTCTATCAAATTATCTACGCCTTTTTGGGTATTGCCCAAGCTTTGTCAATGTTCTTGCTGTATGTCACCCATGGCGACTCCATTACAAGTTCTTGTACTAACAACATCAATGAAGCGGTATCGCAATGGACTATATGTCATATTATGTCTCACGAAACCTCCATCACGAAGCTGTCCGCAACATCTTCTATGCGCCGATGTCTTTCTTTGATACCACAGTGGGTCGAATAACTATGCTATAGTATGATCATTACTGACAGCTTGTCTAGCCCATGGGTCGCATCATGAGTATTTTCGGGAAGGACATTGACAGTGTTGACAACCAGCTCGCTCGTATGTCTTCCTCCTTTTTGGTGGCACATCATGCTAACTATGGTGATAAAGTGGCTATGCGAATTTGTATGTCTCCTTGCGCCTGATCAACTCAGCACTGAACTAACCTATCCGGCAGTTATATTGACCATTTCCAGTGTCATTGGATCTATTGTGATCGTTACCATACTGGAGTATTATTTCAGTACGATTGCTTTCCCGGTACATTATTACACGCTGACCTCTATGTAATTTAGTCATCGCGGTCATCGTCCTCCTTTTTGCTTTCCAATACTTTGCAGGATTCTACCGATCTAGTGCCCGTGAAGTCAAGCGACTCGGTGAACATCGTGCTCTGATATCTGGTTCAACGACACTAAACTTGCGATTGATAGATTCAATGCTTCGCTCCGTTCTATACGCCCATTTCTCCGAAACATTCACAGGTCTTCCTACCATTCGAAGCTACGGAGCCATGAGCCGCTTCGTCAAGGACAATAAGTATTATATCGACCTCGAAGACCGTGCTCTGTTCTTGGTGGTAACCAACCAACGGTAAGCAATATGCGTAAGAGAACTCACGGTGTTTTGACTCGTCGACCTATTCAGTTGGCTTGCCGTTAGGCTCGATTTCATGGGTGGCCTCCTTGTCCTTGTCGTACGTGATAGCTTGCACGTTTAATTTAGCATCGGGTCGGGCTCACATTTTGAAGGTCGCTATGTTATCCGCCACGGATATTGCAGGGATCAACCCCGCCCAGATCGGTTTGGTGCTCACGTATTCAAGTTTGTTGCTCCATTTGAAGTGTACTTATCCTCGCTAACTTTGAGTGAAGCCTCCCTTGCCCAAATGAGCGGTATCGTCGCTCGCTCATCCGCTGATGTGGAGGTTCGTCCCTATCTTGCCCGCTCACTGACGCCAATCTTAATCTCTGTTCGTCTGGTAGAACTACATGAACTCCGTAGAACGAGGTAAGTGAAATGTCAAGGTGATCAGCCTTTTTTGGCTAATCCGCTCTTAGTTTCCGAGTATAGCCGAGGCGATCTCATCGCGCAAGAACCTCCCCACGAGATACCGGAAAAGAAGCCTCCTGCGGAATGGCCACAAGAAGGAAAGATTGTGTTTAGTGACGTAAAGATGGCCTATCGCAAAGGGCTACCTGATGTCCTCCGTGGTGTCTCCATCGACGTCAAGGCTGCAGAGAAGATCGGTGTGGTGGGAAGGTACGAAAATCCTTTGCTATGCGTTTCTCTGTTTGTTTAACGATATCCTCAGAACGGGCGCCGGGAAGTCGTCGTTAATGCTCGCCCTGTTCCGAATTGTCGAGCTGAACGCAGGTTTCATCACCATCGACGGGTACGTTTTAGTTCTACCCAGTCGTGATTAGACCCTTGCTAACGATGGCGATAGCATCGACATCTCTACTATTGGTCTAAAGGACCTTCGCACGAAGATATCTATCATTCCACAGGATGTACGTGAATTACCTACCTATACGTGATCCTCCTCTAACTTCATGATCCTAGCCCCTGTTGTTCAGCGGTATGTTATTATGATAATTTGGGTCGTCCCTAGACTGAAATGCGCTCCAGGAACCATAAGGTCTAACTTGGATCCCTTCTCGCTTTATGACGATGCACATCTCTGGGACGCCCTCCGACGCTCGTATCTTATTGAAGATCAAACGAAGAAGGCCAAGGAGCTCAGCGAAGACGGCGGCTCAGGGAACCAAACCCCAGTCAACCGCTATACGCTTGACAGCGTCATCGAAAACGAGGGCAATAACCTCAGCGTCGGTGAACGGTCATTATTGAGTTTAGCGCGTGCCTTGGTGAAGGACGCAAAGGTAGTCGTGCTCGATGAAGCAACGTAGGCCGAACGCTCTCCGTATGGAGTCATTGGTGCTGATACTCTACTATCTCTGCTACAGAGCTTCTGTCGACCTAGAGACGGACGCTAAAATCCAGCGCACCATTCAAACTGAGTTTGCCGATAGAACGCTTCTGTGCATCGCCCGTGAGTTTACTGTGATCAATTTGTCTTCGTTCAGTCTCTGACCACACGCTTCAGACCGCCTTCGTACCATTATATCTTACGACCGAATCCTAGTCCTAGATCAGGGACAGGTTGCGGTAAGCCATTTGCGTCACCATATCGCCTTCGTTGTGCTGATCTTCTATGATAGGAATTTGATACCCCGCTGAACTTGTTCAGACGACAGGATGGAATTTTCCGCGGCATGTGCGAGCGCAGCAACATCTCCGAGAAGGATATCGAGGGCAGCGTTCAAGCTTTTGACTAGACAGGAATGGTTATGTCGGCAGTATTTTCGTTCTTGACGACTATGATGATACAGTATAGCTGGTGGATTTCTGATACAGGTGATGAGATGCCTAAATAGACTAGATGTGTGTTACGATAGACTGTTCAACAACGTAGACGAACCATAATTACGACACCAACCTACATTGATGAGGTCGATTTCTGATTCATCGTTTTACAATTAGCTAGGGAGTGCACAACTGGCATACCTTCTTGACATCACTGTGGATTACGGACAACTCATGGTTCCTTATGCAAGCGTCGGCTAAATAAAAAATCGGAGCTGAGACGCGTGTCAACAACACCCGAATGCTGTCAACCGCACGAGCGCGAATGAGAACTTCAACACACAGCAACATCGCTCTAATCCTTCTCTTTCCTCTTCTTATCCTTCTTCGGCTGCGTCACCTCCTTGCTTTGATGTCGTCCCCTCACGTTGCCCTGTCATTCACTTGATAACATGTACCCACATGCTCCGTTGCTGCTGAATTCGATTTCCGAGAACGTGTACTACCACTGCATCAAACTGTGCGTGAACATCTAGAAGGAAACTTACCTTATGACCATTGGGTGTTAGCCTCCGGGAAAGTATCGAATGCAGGAAATGTTGGTCCGGTGTACGGAGATGCTCCGGAAGACGATGTCCCGCTCGCTTTTATGAGGTTCGGGATGCAAGATCAACAAAGGGCAGGACATAAGGTGAGCGGGCGCACAGCTATTAGCTCCGATTTATGTCAGTTTTTCTTTCATTCCGTGGCCTGGCGCGGATTGGGCGGATTGAGACAAAACAAAGGTTTTGTGTCCACTTTTTCAGTCGTCTTTAGAGCCCGAGCCAACCAAAGAGCTAACCGCCTTTCAAATCCTTGTCATTCAAGCAGGAGCGACTTTTCCTCCACGGGTCCCAATCTGAGCAATGTCTTGCTTGTGCGCGTTCTCTGATGGCAAGATGTTAACACTCACATGTTGCCTTCCGCCTCCCGCGTCGCAAAAGCGCCGTTAGTCGGGACATTCCGCATTTGCATCGCGAAACCCGTCGTCTACCGGTATACAGCAACCACAACATGTCAAAGCATACTTCCGTACTGTGGGGACGTCACTGCGTTTCGGCATATCATAGTGGGAACCCTTCATCTGTCCTAGCGACTCAACGAAGATACCACCATATTCCAACTCGTGTCATAGGCAATCGATCCCCCTTCAATGCAGCAAATCATGGAAGAAACTGCTACGTTCCAGCGCATTATGGAAAACACCACGCTGCTTCAAAATACCACAGGCTGGGGAGACACAGCTTTCGATACATTCAAAGGCCATACATCCGACATCCTTGCACTTGCATACTCCCCTGACGGACAGTTCATAGCGACAGACTCGGCGGACTCAACGATACGAGTATGGGAGGTGATTGCGGGCTTTCACGTCGGGTGGCCACTGTTCGGACACAAGCATTCGGTCCGTGCCATCGCTTACTCTCCTGATGGGCAGCATCTCGTTAGCGGTTCCGACGACGGGACCCTTCGAGTATGGGACATGAATACCTATCGGATAATCATGAGGCCACTTAAGGGTCACATACACTGCAGCTACTCCGCTGTACAGTACTCTCCCAGCGGCACACTCATCGCAAGTGGGGATGGCAAAGGTCTTCTCCAGCTTTGAGATGCACGCATGGGTCACTGCGTCACCACTATGGAGCATCCCGAAGCTGTGAGGTCAATCTCGTTCTCACCCGATGGCAGGCATATTGCGAGTGCATGCGATGGTGGGGTTGTTCGCGTTTATGACGTATATCGGCATACTCTTACTCGCGAGTTCTCTGGTAACGACGGAGGCGGTGTGCGATGCGTTCAGTACTCTCCAGATAGCTCCATCATTGCCATCGCCGCGAATGACTGTACTATCTGGCTCTGGAACGCGTGGACAGGGGCCCTGGTCAAAGGACCTCTTTGTGGTCACAGATACCATGTCTCGGGAATATCATTCTCTTCTGATGGCCAGCAGCTGCTCAGCTCATCTGCCGATGAAACAATCAGAGGCTGGGACGTCACATCAGGGAAATGTGTCTTGGGGCCGCTATATGGGCACGGGGAGCCAGTTGGAGGAATAGGCTGCTCTGTAGACCGAAAACACTTCGCCTCTTTCAGCAATAATGCAGTGCGTGTCTGGAAGATACAGGACGGAATTGTGACCTTGCTGCGGCCACCGATGCGAAGCAACAACATACCACAAAGCGCGGCGGGTGACATTGACGACCTTTCGTTCATGGTTAGTAATCATTTCATGGACTCATCCTTGGAAATTCAAACATAGTATGGCAGCAGCCGGCAGGCGAAGCAGACGAAATGACCGAAATGGGCGAAGTGGACAGACTAGACGGGGCATCCGGAAAAAGGGAGTCGACTGCTTTGACGCGAATATTCCGTCGGTTGTTGGGCAGCAATACCCATAACAGGTTCGACAATGAAGCTGTTCAACTCGAAACAATCATTGTACTCGGTTCATATACCTACTCGATGCTCGTGGTAACTGACTTGAATGGCTATCTAGGAAATAGGCAACTTTGAGGTGATCAGCTTAGCCACTCACACGGCCCCTTAATCGACGCCGTCTTGCAGGGACTTGGGTTTGAGGACGTAATGGAAGACATTGAGTACCTACAGCAAGAGCCGCAGGTCTCTAGCAGAGTTTTACCTATGACTCGGACAGAGTCACAGGTGACTATCATCTCATCTGCTCTAACTAACTACATTGAATCTCTCTGTTAATACAGCAGACCTTGTTCGTTCAAGAGGCCTCGGAAGACACTGACGAAAGAAGTGGAGAAAATCATGCAAGAAACCAGGGATCAAGACCAAATTTACTAGTGACGACCAACTTTTTGTCGCAATTATTCCTGACTCACGTACATATAGGCATCCGTCGACTCTAGCGATAGTTTGGGAAGCTTCATGAACGTACGTCATTCATGTCTATGCTCACGTGAACACTGGTGATGAACGTTCACTGGCAGAGACCAGCTACCGTAACCAGGACAAACGGTGCCCAAAATGTCAACTTCTTTGACGACGGCGAGACTAATATTGATGATGTGAGTTCAAGCCCTAAGCGCGCCAGAGACTTCTGTGACATGCTTGAAGAATATACCGCAACAGCCATGCCCCTCTACAAAAACGCCACAGCAAAATCCGCAGGGTCAGGGGGAAAGAATGATAACCATCATCATGATACGCACTTCTACTTGGGTGCGGAGACTCCCAGAGCACAGGGACAGGGTTGCGAGTACGTTCCGAAAAATATGGGTTTGTACCATTTGCATTCAAATAGAGTCTCGCTCTAACTGATTATAAACCTCTCTATGGTTTACACAGACCCGCACAGCAGCTACGTGGGGGAGCAATAACGCAACTGGGAAAACCAGCCCTGCTATACCGGAACCATCTTCCATGCGCCAAGCCCTGCGTGTTTTGGATACTATCATTCCGGCAATTGGCACGAAGGTACGTAAGTTCAATGCGATCTTCCTTTAGTTGTTGTACCGTCCCTTTCTTCACAGCGCAACGTCGCTGCAGGACACCAGGCTAGCAGACGACGCAGCGAAGACAATGACACGATAGATTCAAACGTATCTGATACAGATTCGCATTCGATGAAATCGGAAGAGTCTGACAATCCAGTTGTCAACGCGCTCTTTTTCTGCATCTGGCCGTGCATTCCATCACGGAACACAAATTCTCATTCTCCGCATAGTACCGCAAGGCCGGTTCTTGCGCATGAGCAAACGAGCACTTTACCTACCTTGGGAGCCATGGGTTCGCCTTCCACATCTGCGGAAAGAGAGCCGGCGTCTGCTCCTCCGCAAGAGGCGATCTCAGCCGAGACGGTGACGAATTCGGTGAACGCTCTTAGGCATTCGTATCCGCCCGCGAACCAAACGCAAAGTGCGGAAGAGAAGTCGGCTCGCAATGAAACGTTGGAGTCATCATCCGCTGGAGTTTGGGCAGCTGGAATGTTTTCCCCTCGCGGCCAGGAGACGGAGCTACCTTTGCTATGACACCACCTCTAGGCCTTTTACCCTTTTCGGTACATATTCGATGATTTTCAAGTTAAGCTACGGTTGTCTGCGTACTGAGCGTCGCTTTCGTTTTCTTATTTATAGTTGTATGACTGTGTCGCTTCTCCTTGTATTGCGCTGATTTTTCACGTCACAATCGTGGCATGAACATGGAAAAGAAACCGCGTCAACGAGTGAGAGAATGTTGCTCTACTGTCTAAAGAATTAGTGAAGACCGGGTGGTGTGGATCGAGTCCTGTGGGGGACTGTGAGGAGCACGCAACAGAGGCTGATCAGCCACCACTCCGTTGAGTCTGTTCAGGCGGCCAAAGAGAATACATGCGAGGGCAGCACCATGTCTGAGAAGGATACCGAGGCCAATGTTCGAGCAATTCGGTGGACAAAATGTTTCGGTGGTGCTATGCTACGGCTGTGCCTTCTTTAAGATCGTGATGATATAGCTGTGAGTTTTCTTTTAGCGCAGCCTGTGGTGTGAACTTCTAGACTAGACTTGTTTTGCGATAGATATTTTTGACGACTCGGGCGGATTTTTATTACTCGCGGTTATTCGGATTGTATCGCTTGGCCGCGTGCATGATGGTTGGGAGGAAAGCGATAAGACGTGCCAAGCGTAAGTCTAAAACGCCGAAGTCTCACGATGGGTCGTCTGTAAAATCTTTCGCCACCATGATCTTGGTCTCTATCCTGTTCCACTCGCTCCTTCACCGGTATCGTCTCGCTTTTAGGACTAGGCAATGGCTGGTGAATTTCTCAAGTCATTCTTCAACGACGTTGATCTAGACCCCAAGTAAGATGGGTCAGGAGGCATTTCTTCTGCGTCCTGGGTGTCATAAACAAACGATACCGACAACTACAACAACGATGGTAATAAAAACTCTATGGTACAGGATCCCGAATGAAAATAAACCGTGACAGTGCCCGACGTCGCCAAGTCACCAGTGACCTTTACCGCCTGAGCCAACCCAAGAAGCCGGAGACGAGAATGTAGGGAATGCTGTCGAAAGAGAGCGAATGTTTTCTGCGCTCTTCCTCGAGCGCCCGGTCGTACGCCTCCCTCGTCTCCTTTGCCTCTCTTGCCTTTCTCTCCTCCTCAGCCTGCCTCGTCGCCTTCTCGAGCTTGAGCTGCATGTCGCGCAACGCTCGCTCATGCTCGGCCTGCAATCGTGCCCGTTCGATCTCGCGCTCTTGTTCCTCCTTCTGTTTTTGCCTGCGCTTTTCTTCCTCCTCAGCCTCCCGGCGCTTCTTCTCTGCCTCGGTCGCCTGCCGTGCGCGAGCTTCTTCCTCTGCCTTCCGCTGGCGCTCTTCCTCCTCCTTCGTTTTCTTCAACCTCTCTTCCTCCAACTTTCGGGTCTGCTCGTGACTAGCAGCGACCCGAGCCGCTGCAGCCTCGCGCTCCCTTTGCTGTCTCTCCTCCTCCAGCTCCTTCATGATCCGGTCCATCTCGCCCTCCAGCATCGTCCGCTGCCGCGTATGGGCTGCGATGTGGGCCTCGCGCTCGGCCTTGAGCGATGCAGCCTCCTTCTCGAACTTGGCCTGCAGCTCCTCCTGCTCCCGCCTCTGCTGCTCCTTCACCTCCAGCTCGGCTCTAGCTGCCTCCTCCTTCGCCCTCGCGACCAACTCCTGGAGCTCAGACTCCCGCATCGTGGCCTTGCGCTGGAAGCTCATGTGCCGTTGGCGCTCCAATCTGCGGGCCTCCATCTCCTCCGACTGCGTCCTAGCGTGCTCCCGCTTCGCGTTCTCCATCTCCGAGTTCACGCGCTCCATCTCGCTGTTGATGCTGTCGAGCGCCTCGACCTGCTTGCGGTGCTTCTCCTCCATCTCGTGGATCTGCGCGTCGAGCTTCTCCTTCTGCGTGCGGTAGCTCTCGACGAGATGCATCGACTCGCGCTGCACGCGCTCGATCTCGGCCTGCTTCCTCAGCATCTCCGCGCGGAGCTCCTCCTTAGCCTCGTCGTCCTTGGCCCGGAGCGCAGCCAACATCTCCTCCCGGAGCGCCTGTAGCTCCCTCTCGTGCTTGTCCGCCTGCTCCTTGAGCTCGTGGCTGAGCTCGGACCCGGCCGCGGTCTGCCCGATCTCCTTGTGCTGGTTCACGAGCTCGTCCTGGATCTGGAGCGTGGCCGGCTGCATGTTGACGAGGTAGCGGAGCACGGCGTGCGCGGACTCCTTGGTGTCCGTGTGGCGGAGCATGCGCGCGCCCTTGTCGATCACGGGCTTGAAGAACTTGTCCTTGTCCGCGAGTTCGTGCTCGCGCGCGGCGCCGACCTCGGGCGAGACCTCGTTCCACATGTTGGTGAGCACGACGACGTTCTTGAGCGTCTTCTCGCCGCACAGTTCGCGGAACATGCGGAAGTTGCGCGAGGACGTGCCGCCCATCCGGATATCGGAGATGCGGTGCAGGTAGATGATCCCCGCGAGCTTCGTGCCGTGCTCATATCTGCGTGATCAGAAAAAACAGCGGTCTTTCTTTAGCTGCTGCGCCGCATAGATGAAAGCAAGAGGGGACACACGTGTTCTGGAAATAGGCAGCGATGAGCTTGAGGATGTCGGTGTCGGACCGGGTCGTGTCGTCGAACCCGGGTGTGTCGACCAGCGTGACGACACGGCCGTTCAGCATGAACGGCTTCGATGTCTGGACCTCGCTCGTGCAGCTCTCCAATCCACGGCCGACCGTGAGGCTGGAACCGCTAGCGCGGTTAATGAACTGTGCGTCGCGTGTCAGTGATAAACGGGTTCGTCATACCCGCCGTAAGCTTGCTTACAGAGGTCTTGCCACTCCCGGTGGCGCCCATAACGCTGTCGGGAGTGTCAGCTCCTGTCTGCCGGTGCTAAAACACAAACAGATACGTACGCAATTCGGATTTCCTTTCTGCCAGTGGTGCCAGACATGTTCGAATAGGTAGAAGTGGAAGGGTAAGAAGTACGTAGAAAGTCGAAAGCGAAGTTGAAAGAAGGTCGCGCAGCGACGAGTGTGTTAAAAGTCGAGTTGGAGGTGAGTTGAAGTTGCGAATCCAGTCAGCCCAGGATCACGCATTTATATACGCACCCACCGCTCCAGTAACACGCAGCAGACATGAACACATTACGCCAGCGATCCACAGCCTGCGGCAGGCTGAGGCTACGCCTTCGCTTAGGGCTTGTGCATAAACGCGTTGTAGGTGCTGCAGGCACGCAGGCCTTGCACCTTCCGCCGTTCATTAATCATTCCGCGGCGACATTTTTAGGGCAGTGGCCTGCGGTTTTCTAGGCCATGCGCATCATCGGCATTTTGCTGTGCAAGAGTCCTGCCTGATTGTGCGTGGCCCGCCGTGTCGCCCACTCACACGCCTACAATTGATCTTCTTTACCATTCAATGCGATAGGTAATGCACCTTATTCGCAGACTAACACGTTGCTTCAATGCATGATCTTTAGTCTGCTTATCTTTTGTGTTTTGGATCGCGGCAGTCAAAGTTTCGTAAACTCGTTGTAAACCACGCGGAAACGGACGATAGTAAGATAAGAAAGCGTGTCCATGATGCTAATAGTTTATCTTAAATTAAAACATGCAGGCTGGCACCGAGGCCAGCGTGTACTCTACACGCAATACACCAATTGTACACACAAAGTACAAGCGATCGCACGACCGTTTTACAGAATTTGCACAGCGCTCGACGCTGTGTTACGCTCTACGAGCTCGAGAAGCTCGGGGCACCGTGGCCGACCTCGCTGTCGAGCCTCCGGATCTCCTCCTGGTACTCCTCCGCGAGCCGCTGGGACTGGCTCCTGACCCGCAGCAGCTCGGCCTCCATGCGCTCCATCTCCTCCTGCAGCTCCTTCTGCGTCTCCTCGTCCTGCTCGCGCGCCGCCTCGTCGAACTCCTCCTGCAGCGCGGCCAGGTCGTTGCGGTGCCGCTCCGCCTGTTCCATCAGGTCCCTGTTCAGCTCCGCGAACGCAGCCGTCTCCGTGATGTCCTTGCCCTCGTCGACCAGCTCGCGCTGGATCTGGAGCGTGATCGGCTCGCGCGGCTGAGCGCCCCCGGCGGCGAAGACGCGCAGGATGGCGTGCGCGGACTCGCGCGTGTTGAGGTGCCGCTGCATGAGCGCGCCGCCGGCGAGGACGGGCGCGAAGAAGAGCTCCTTGGTGCGCAGCTCGGCTTCGCGCGCGAGGGCGACGTCGTCCGGGACCGTGCCCCACATGTTGGTGACGACGAGCACGGACGGGTAGGTGTGTGCGCCGCAGAGGCGCTGGAACATGCGGAAGTCGAGGCGCGACGCGCCGCCGACCTTGTTGTCTGAGATGCGGTGCATGTAGATGACGCCCGAGAGGCGGGCGCCGTCTTTGTAGCTGTTGAACGACACTGTTAGATGGGCGTCATGCGGCGGGCGATATGTGAGACGCACCTCTTCACTAATGATGTGGCGATGAGACGCAGGACGTCTGTGTCGCTCTTGGTCGTGTCGTCGAAGCCAGGCGTGTCAATCAGGACGACGGAGCGCCCGTCGAGATTGAAGGGTCTCGAAGTCTGGACCTCGTTCGTGCAGCTCTCCAGGCCGGTGCCTATGCGGAGAGAAGAGCCGGATGCGGCGTTAATGAACTGCAAACGCAAGGGTCAGCACACCACAGCCCAGGAAGTCATGTTTAGAAAAGGTTTGCTCACAGTGGTCTTGCCACTTCCGGTGGAACCCATGACGCTGAACAAAGAAAGACATATGAGCGCTCCATCGTCCAAAAAGAAGTCGTGAGGCTCACGCAATATACATGGGCTGCTCGTCGCTGCTGTTTACGGAAGCCACGGAAGCCGGGGCCTCACGAGGTTGAGGCGCATCGGATGGGGCCGCTTCCAGCTCGGCGGGCTCCTCCTGGGCAGGCGCTTTGTCGGCGGCGATCTCTTTCGCCCGTGGAGAGGACTCGACGATGGTCGATTCGTGGTGGGTGGGACTCTCTGTCAAAGGAGTCGAAGGAGGTTGTTCATCCTCGATCTTGCGTGGCTTCTTGAGGAAGCTGAGGCAGAGAACGGAGGCCAAGATGTCGCGAATACCCATGATGGCTGGGCTTTACGGCAGTCAAAGATAGATAGAGAGGTAGAGGGTTGGGTGCTGATAGCAAGCTAAAGGTTGGGGGTGCGTTAGGTGATGATAACGCGACGGTCCAGGGGCTTTTGAAGGATTTGTGGTGTTGAGTGAAATGGAAGAGTCACGGCCTTGTTGAGGGATGGGCCGTTTGTAACACGTTTTGTACGAACGCGTTCGGCGCGTTGCAAGCGGTGCATGATGAAAATACAATAGCAGAAGAGCGGCAGATGGATGCCTCGTGGAGGAGATGAATGGGATTCGAGCCCACGACCTTATGCAAGTTGCTTAAATGCAAAGCATACGCGCTACCACTGTGCCAAACGCCCCTGTGCCAATTTCGGTGAATTTTGCATCTACTGTGATTCACCGTCAGAATAGACAGACTTTTGTGCAACGCGTGTGGAATATTTTTCCTTCGCCCAACTTGCTTAAATTTAGGTTTGAGATATCCTTGGTATGCGATCTACCTTACAAAAAATCGCTGAGTGAAGAAAGCATAGGGTGCATGTGCAATGCACGAATCAGTATTTTAGGCCGAATACCGTCAGAATAGACAGTCCGCGCGGGTGGTGATTATCCATATTAGGCAGGCCGTCCACCATAGCCGGTCTCAAAAAGGAAAGTCAGGGCGTTATCACTGAGCCGAAATCGCCGTTACAGCGGCTATAAGATTATGGCAAGGCTCGAGAGGACACTCTGTCATCGTTCCGACATATTGAGAGTTGTCGCCTTTTGCAGCGTCCAAAATTGCTTCAACGAAGGGTAAAGATGTCATTACAACATACAATAGCTCTATCATCCACACTGTGTCGCATGTTCACAGCTGGTTATCCGCCGAAGCTAAGAAATTTTTTACAACACCCTGTCTTTCATGCTTTGAGGCTTGCAGCTTCACATCCAGACATTCCCTCGCCAATCGCATGTTCAGGCATAAATTACAGCATATTCTCGTAATTACCATGAATTTAGTTCGAATGATTTGCCAAGGAAACGGGCACAAAAGCGAGTTGTCTATTCTGAAGGTGGTGTCTACTCTGACGGTGAATCACAGTATGATCTTTGTTATCTTCAGCCACGAGGCCACCTCGCGTTGCGTCGGCAAACGCGCCGGTAGCTGTGCACCAGGCATCACACCCGACCTTCATCTCTTCACCAACGTCCATTTTTGCTCTTCAATCCCACTCAAATGCATCCAGGTTCCGGCGATGGCTCTCAGACTTCGCTTCCGTCGGAACCCCACACATTGGCTCTCTTACCTTCTTTGACCTCATTACAGGCATCGCAAGGCCCCTCGCTGCAAGATTGGAGGGAGAGCTGACACCTGATTTCTCCCATAAAGGTTCTTCCGTGCTGTCTGTCTCATAAACCCTGATGTGGAATCAGATAACGAATGACGTGGTTTTTGACTCCTTTTCTTGCCTTGAACGTGGGCGAATCTGGGCGAATATCAATGTAGGATTCCAGACTAAACCCAAGGGATGAATTATGGAGTTGAGTTGACGATTTCTGTCACTCAGGTTGACATGCCTGCGGCACCGACGGGGGAAGATATGTCGCTGAGTCTAAAAATATTGCCCGTTATGGGAAAACACGCCACGCGAGCGATTATTCAGATGGTTCCCGACGCTCATCCGACGCCGAAAAAAATACGCACAAGTGGTCTGATGTGACAGCGAATAAAAAGAGTCGGTCGCTTGGGTGCGTTTCCCCTGCTCACCCTCCCCCTTTCCAAAACAGCTACCAGTCATGGACTTCGTCCTCGACATCGCTGACACCTACCTCCTCGACAGCGTATACGCACGCGTCCTCCCCGCCGCTAAGCCATGGGAGGTCGCCTCAACTTCCTTCAGCTCCGCCGCTTCCGCCGCGTACGCTAATGCAACCGCAATACCCATGGTCCTCGAGTCCGCTTGGGCTAGGGACTACGTTCCCCGCCAGATAGTATCACTCAGCGTCATCACCCTCATCGGCATCCACGTGCTCTACTTCATCTTCGCCGGCCTCTCCTACCAGTACATCTTCAACCACGAGATGATGCAGCATCCCCGTTTCCTACCCAACCAGGTCAAGCTCGAGATACAATGCAGCCTGCGCGCCTTCCCCGGCATGACAGTCCTCACCCTGCCATGGTTCCAGGCGGAGGTCATGGGCTATTCGAAACTGTATGACAACGTCGACGACTACGGCTGGGCGTACTTGTTCTTGTCGGTACCCTTGTGAGTTACCATTTGATGGCGGCTTGGCGCGTCTTGTATCCGTTCTAACGGCGTGTCCTTCAGCTTCCTGCTCTTCACGGACTACGGCATTTACTGGGTCCACCGGCTGCTGCACCACCCCGTCATCTACAAGTACATTCACAAACCGCATCACAAGTGGCTCAGTCAGTATTTTTATCTTTATACTATTCCGCCTATGACATAATTGCTGACGTTTGCTCGCCAACTTAACTCTACAGTACCCACCCCGTTCGCCTCTCACGCGTTCCACCCCATGGACGGATACCTCCAATCTGTCCCATACCACCTCTTCATCTTCTGCTTCCCCCTCCAGCGGTATCTTTACCTCGGCCTCTTCGTCTTCGTCAACTTCTGGAGCATCCTTGTATGTTCATCTAGTTCCTCGGATCCCCATCGTTCGAATGCTTACAAGATATTTTTTTTGTAGATCCATGACTCAGACATGATCACCGGACACGCTCTCGAGAAGGTCATCAACGGACCCGCACATCACACGCTCCACCACCTCTACTTCACCGTCAACTACGGCCAGTACTTCACCTGGGCAGACCGCGTCGGCGGCTCATACCGTCAGCCCGAAGCTAGCCTCGACCCCGCACTCGACCTCAAAAAGCACTCATAGCTGTTTTTATTTCTTGCACCGCCTCATGAAGGCGGGTGTCAAATCAGGGGAACATAGAGTATTTTTGTGAAGTCATGTCCAGCTACGATGTTAATATCTCATTTCTCATGGAACATACCGGAGTTTACCTACTAATGTGTCTCACCATCCTGGCATTTATTATTGCAGTATATTTTATGGAATATTAAGCGCCTCGCGCACTCTTAGCCAAACTTTACACACCTTGTTGCGTGACATGAATCTCACTCCGTCAAAATACAAAGGGCCATAGCCTGGATTCGGTTTTGTATCATTCAATCTTTTTATAATCATACACTAATCGCTGACATTCAGACTTGTTCTCTTTCACTCTGGCCGATGACTCTGGCACATCAGTCGACGACACAGACAACCTTTCCAGCAGCAGCATTGCTCTCCATGTAGGCGTGCGCCTCGCCTGCTTGCTCCATCTTGAAGACCTTGTCAATGCTGGTCTTTAACTCGCCCTTGTCGAGGGCGTTGACGATCCACTGCACTGGCGCAGAAGACATGTCGACGGCGTTAGACCCAAAGAATGTGAGATGCTGCACGATGAATTATGTTGATCAGCATCCTAGGCCAATCCTAGGCACACTTTCGAGGGAGAGCAACAACCGACCTTGCTGGGTGCGAGTGCCTCGAACGGGTAAAACTCCTTCACCGTCCACTCGCCCGACACGCACCCAACCACGCTCGCCACGCCATTGGCAGCGAGCGCGAGGCACGTATCCGTGAGCGTCGGCCCACCGACGAGCTCGATCGCCTTGTCCGCACCGCGCCCGCCCGTGAGCGCCTTCACCTTCTCCGCGACGCTCCCCGAGTCGTCGACGACGACGTCCGAGACGCCGCTCGCGCGTAGCGCGCCCTCCTTGCCCGCGCTGCGCGTCGTCGCGATCACGCGCGCGCACCCGAAGAGCGACGAGCGCGCGAGCGCGGCAGCCGCGAGCCCGACGGAGGTGGTGCCCCCACGGATGAGCAGGGTGTCCAAGGGCTGGAGGTTGAGCGAGGCCTTGAGCGTGCCCCACGCGGTCATGTACGTCTCCGGGATGGCCGCGAATTTGGCCCAGTCGATGGACGGCGGGAGGTCGATCGGCGGGGAGACGCACGATTGCGGGACGAGCGTGTATTCGGCGTACCCTCCTGCATGTACATCAGTCTCCTACGTACGAAGGCCCCTATTTATCTACGAAGCACTGGAACGCACCGTCAAACTGCCTCCCCATCCCGCCCATAATCGCAGCGACCTTATCGCCCGCCTTCCACCGCGCGCTCCCGCCCGCATCCTGCACCTCGCCGACGCACTCGATGCCGAGCACGCGCGGGAACGCGATCCCGGGCGAGTGTCCCTGGCGCGTGAAGAGCTCGGAGCGGTTGAGCCCGAACGCGCGCACCCGGATGAGGACGTGGCCCTCCTTGGGCGCCGGCTTCGGGTGCGCGGCGGTGTAGACGAGCCCCGTTGGCGGGACGGGCGCCTCGGGGCAGACAACGGCGCGCATGGTGGCCATTTCTCTTGCTTGGGACTGTTGGTTTTGGTTTGGGAAGAATCTGTGGGTTAATGGGCCTGGTGGCGACAAGGGATGGCGGCTTGTGGTGATGCCGCGACGGAGGGAGGAGAGCATAGATTATATAGCCCCTAGCGTCTTCGAGCTTTATGTGCACCGTAAGACATACGTGTCATAGATATGTAACCTTAGTCAGTGTTGTATCTTCTTGGGAAGGTGTTTCTCATGAACTGAGGCCAAGTGACGTGCATGTCGGTCATCGTTGTAAGACAGTTAAATGTGGAGTCAGCGGGCGTTAGTCGCTGACAAGGGCGCGCCGGCAGCAATCGTCACCCACAACTCCGAAAATGATCATGACAACAATTCATACACTGATGCAGAAATGCGCAAGCGAATGCAGGTAGAAACACGTATATATGTACACAAGGTTGCAACGCATCGTAAGTATGGGCTAACAATCGACAATCAAGAGCATGCCGCGCACCGCGGCCACAAAACAGGACCACTAGCATGGTCAGCTATCATTACGTTCACTTCTTGGCGGGACGCTTCTTAACCTCTTCTTCTTTGCAGGCATGGAGCATGATCTTGTTGACGTGGCCAGGTGTCATACCGGTATGTCCTTTTGACCAGTCGTATGAGACGGCATACGCGAATATGGTGCCGTTCCGGTTGAACGTCGTCGCAGTGATGGGTCCGGGGCATGGGTCGAAGCCTACCAGCATCGTCAGTCGCTGGCATAATTGGAGTGTCTAGGTGATAAAAGTAAAAACCCACTTTTCAGGCGAGTGCGAGCGTCCTTGTCCCAAAAGTGCATGGTGCCATCAGAACCGCAAGTCGAGAACGTGCCGTGCACAGGGTGGAAGGAAATGTCGTTCACAGCGTACACGAGCGACTGGTCTTTCGAGTTGGGAGTCTGGTCTCGGCGGTGGCATTTGAAGGAGAAGTTGTTACTTTTGAGCGTATCAGCAAAGGTTGTTTCACTAAGCAATTTGTACGAAACTCACCTGCTGTCCTTTTCCTCGACATATTGGATGGCAACACGACCCTCGATACTGCCGACGGCGAAACCACTACTGGTGGAGTTCGTGAAGCAAGAGACTGTCCGCGTTTGCCATTTTAGTGGAGAGGTGATGGTCTACGCAATGATAAGTTTAGGTCATGATCAACCGAGTATATCATGATGACGTACTTTATAAGCGGTGTTCGGGTTCGTGAGGTTGAAAATTTGTATATGGCGTTCAGCAGTACCAACGACCAGGAGGGGATACTGGACGTCCATGCTATAGCATCGCTCGGGAAGTTGAACAGTCGCCACGGGGTTGGGAGTGCGCAGGTCCCAGTACTGGAGGCGAGTCAACATCCCATTGCAGGCGCGTTGGAGGCAAAAGGGGAGGTGCCACTCACTTTGATGGACTTGTCCCAGCTTCCCGTAGCCAGAATGCCTCCCTGCGGCGTCTCTATCCACTTGACGACCTTGACGGGCGCGTCGTGCTGCGCCACCTGGTTGGACTGGCCAGTCGTGATATCGAATAGACGTGCTGCGTTGTCTGCGCCGCCCGAGATGACCTTGTTTCCTTCCTACATGCGCCAAAGAAAGAGAAAATCGTTCGTTAGTGAAAGAAGACGCGTCGAGGGCGCGTATGGCAGACCTTGTTCCAGCATACGCTCAGCACGGGGCCCTGGTGCGAGTACATTGCCTTCCCCTGTGTTTGACCGCCTGCTCCGACCTCGTACAGCCTTACCTACACACCAAAACACTCATTAGACTATCAAAATAAGAGAAAGCAACGAAAAAGCGCGCACATTATTGTCCCAGCTACCTACAGCCAGATAATCCGCGGCAGAGGAGAACGAGAGGGAGGATATCGAGTCGGAAGGGGGCTCGGGGATCTCGATATCCTTCTCCGCCGCTGGAGCCGTGGGCGCCGAAGACGCCGTGTTCCCAAAAAACGACATCACCGAGGCTCGTCCGTCGAAGAGAGAGGGAGAGAGGGGCTAAAGGTCGAGGAGCTGGTGAAGTTCCTGCACTCTGACAAGTCTAAACGGAGCCGCCTTGCTTCTGCACGCGTGCACGGAGGTGGCGTGGTAACTTTCTACTGAAAGCAGGTTATGTATCGCTGCAGGGCATGGACATTCAGCAACGGCGGGTTGGCGTAATGGTAACGCGCTAGTTTCCGGCGCTAGAGATTCTGGGTTCGAGTCCCAGGCCTGTCGCTTTTTGCTTCTTTTGCTCCTGGTTCGTCCATAAACGAAGTGACGGCCATAGCAGTGTACGTATGCTCTAACGCGTTGCGAGCACGTTGTTGTTGGATTTCTTAGGATTATGAATACTTAGGTTGAGAAATCACACAGCAGATGAGAGCAGTGCGAGCTGAGTTTTCCTCGCTCGAGTTCGTCTATTATTTATACTACTAGTTTGTAGGGGCTATAGGCCTCCTCTACTTTAGATTACTCATACGAATTCTATGGGCACGGCTTGCCATCGGTTTCAAGTGTAGCTCCGTCCGACTACTAAATTCATTACAACAGGAGTAGCCTCAGTCAGCGCGCTGCGGAGAGCACGTGACTTTACTCATGACGCCGAGACTGACGTCGTGTCATTCTCGTCTCGCTTTATTCAACACTCCCCCTCAAACCGTGCTCATGCCCAGGCCAGCCACGTGCGTCTGGTGCCTGTCTCTGGCAAGCGGCTTCGTGAGGATGTCTGCAGTCATTTTTGCAGTATTACAGTACTTAGTTGTTATTTCTCGCGCTTCGACGCGTTCTCGTATATAGA